CCGATTGCCCCGGGTTGATGAATGACATTCCCCCCCTTCGACCGGCTTCTGAGTCCCAAGTCGGAAGAGACAGCACATGTGATAGTTGCGAGCGGCGTCGCCAGTCAGTGAAGTATGTGGAGTTGGATTTATGGCCCATGATATCGATTTCACCCAGCGGGGTGCTTGACGTCCAGACTGTTGGCTGGAAGAGAGTCAGACGGGACAGGGTACATTCAGGGACTGGACGCTTGTCGATGAGATAGTGGAAAAAGTAGGAATAGTAGCTGCGTATCTACAATACGGACTATTGTCAGCTGTAGATTCGAGGTGTGTCCAGTGAGTATGAGAGACATACATGCCACGCAAGAGGGAAGACCTTGAGACTCAGGGCGCATAGAATGATATTGAGGCATGCCCAAAGGAAGTCCAAGATTGGAGTGGCTATCTGATCCATGACGCTATGGGCAGATTTCATTTGGTCAAAATTGAAATAATGATGCTGTTGGTAGCAAAGTAAGAGGACAGATAGATAACTGACTAGATCAACGTATTGGCTCAACTTCGATCGTTGGACTCACCGAGACGACAGGGCGAAGATATACCAATAGTTCATACGTGCTTTCTGCTGAGAGACCCTCGCCAGGGGTGGATGCAGGACCATTGCTTGGTGATGGTACAGACGATCTGGAGGAGGATTACGACAACCGCCTGGAGATCAGAGATCGCTTTCCCGATCTGCTCAGCTGCATCAGTTATTGGCGTGAGATGGTATAGGGGTGGCATATTGTCTAGCACAGTTGCTACATTGTACCATGTTGTCACACCTTCCTGTACACTTATCTCTGAAGATCTGCAAGTGCTTCCATACTCCCATGCTCTACCTGACGCTTGTGGCACGTCGCTCACGCTATCGCCTGATGGGAGCTCTATACGCCTTGATTTTGATACACGTGTCCTACCGGATCCCTCGAAAGCCGTAGCCGCATTATTCGCCAAATTTTGCTGAAGATGCAGTGCTACCTAGTAGAATACAGATCGAGAGTGATGGAATGTCCCGAAGCAGAGTATCGACCCAGCTGAGTGGAATGCTTCGACAGATTTGGCCTCATGCAGAGCCCGGCATGCAAGGTGGAACGCCACAGGGCCGCAATAGATCGTTGCAGCAGGATCAGTATAAACACAAGACACATGTATGATGTCAAATGTCAGGTGTGATGTCTCGGAGGTAATGTACAGTCCCTTCCAGAGGGTGAATCGGGAGGAACGGAACGTTGCGCTACTCGAAGCCCTGTTTGGAGAACAAGCACCAAAACGGAATAGGAGATGTATATCGTATGAGTCTCTCCCTACAATAGGCTTTAGAGCGCTTACTTCAATGCTGATATTGCTCTCGATCCCGTCCCAGGAATCGTTGTCTGCGATAGTTGCAATTAGTTTCCACCGACATGGAGCACCAGGAAAAAGACGAGCGTCTAGTTCCAGCCCACGAGAAATTCACCGAAGAGGCCGCTGCAGAGCGGCCGTATGTCGGTACGTCGCTAGAAATACGGGATGGACATGAAATTGTGTATCCAAGCGGCTGGAGACTGTGTTTCGTCTTGGCTGGGTAATCCTGTCTACAACCTTGAATGATACTGGACTAACATTTGAGAACCAATCTAGAATCTGGATCAGCTTTTACCTTGTCAATCTGGAGGTCACTATCGTCAGCACCTCCTTAATAGCCATGACAGATGAGTTGAAGGGGTTCGACAAGACAGGGTGGATCACCACAGCCTTCTTATCAACCTTCACTGGTACGTTGCGTCTGTCGATATAAGGCTTCCCTAACTGTACGATAGGCTTCATGTCCGTATGGACAAAGGTGGGCGACATTATCGGACGCAAAAAGACCATCCTCGCTGCGGATGTGATGTTCTTGCTGTTTTCACTTGGATGTGGCCTGTCTCAGACAGCCGATCAACTGTAAGTCCTGGTTTTTCGACCATCTCCTTGTCTTGATCCTGTTTCACTAATATGCTGAATCTCCAAATCATAAGAGTCATATGTCGGGCATTCCAAGGCATTGGCGGCGCTGGAGTCTACCCGCTCGGTATTCTTTGCATATATGAGATTGCACCGAAGCCCAAGTTACCCATCTACGGGGGAACATTGGCTATAGCTGTAGCCCTCGCCTCCTTGACAGGTCCGATATTTGGAGGCGCCTTAGCGCAAAACTCGGCTTGGAGATGGGTATTCTACATCAAGTGCGTTCATCAAGGGTACACAAGCTCTACCATGCGCTAGAAGCTCACACAACCAGTCTCCCACCTGGGTTCCTGGCAGTCTCGATGCTGTTTCTCGCAATGCCGCCGAATTATGGCTCAATCGCCCCCAAACCACTGTCATATCTCAAGCCAAGCATGTGGCTTTTCCGCCAACTCGATATTGTTGGGACTCTCTTGCTGCTCACAGGTGCAATCCTGTTAGTAGCAGTGTTGAACGAGGCAGGTCAGCAGTTTTCGTGGTCTTCAGGGACCACGATAGGCCTACTCGTAGTGTGCGGGTTGGCGTGGATAGCATTCTTTATATGGGAATGGGTTATTTCAGAGAAGATTGCCGACTTTGAACAGATATTCCCCAGGCGAGCCCTATACAACAGAGCCTGGATTGGCATGCTCATGTGAGTAGAGTCCTCGTTGCACAATCTGCTTCGACGAATGCTGACCTGAAGGGCAGAGCCACGTTTGTTAGCGGCTGTCCGTGGAACGTGGTCGTCGTGTATCTCACGCAGCGACTCCAGATACTTACGAAAGCGTCGCCGCTAATGGCCGGCGTCCGACTTATCCCCTACTCTGCGGTTTCGACCATATTTACGAGCGCTGCAAACCTAGCCAGTCTAAAAGGCCGTATACCGTTCGTTTACTTTGCGCTGGCTGGCTCCATACTCCACATAGTCGGGATGGTCTTGCTGTCCTGTCTGCCTGAGACAAACGAATTCCCTGCTGCTGGGTACGCATATGAAGTCATTGCGGGGGCCGGGATAGGCACTACAATCGGTATCTTGATTTTGGCCGTCCCATATGTCGTCGAGACTAGGGATCTCGGTACGCTCGCCCATGTCACTTGCCACGTCCTTGCGTCGCTAACATTTCGGTGTGCTGCAGCAATTGCCACAGGGGCCATGAACCAAGGCCGCTTCCTGGGAGGTGCTATTGGCTTATCGATTGCGTCCAACATCCTGTCTGACAAGTTACATGCGAAGCTGGATGGGAAGATGCCTTCGGAAGAGCTGGACCGTCTACTGGAGGCAGTCAGCGTCATCCCTACTCTTCCGACGAACCTCCGGGCTTTGGTCGAAAAGGCTTTCGCGGAGGGTTATACCATGCAGTTCCGGGTTATGATTGCGTTTACGGCTGTACAAGTTCCGGCCTCGCTGCTTTTGCTCCGGCGGCGGCGCCAGTACGTGGTGGAGTAGGCTTGTTGCTGATACAGATTTATTGTGAGTTGGGTACGTATGGCTAAGTATACAACTAAAGTGGTGGATATTGAGTGGTATTCTACGCGCTGTGCTGTATTAAGAATGTTCAAGGTTGTTTCTATAGTATTAGGTTCTCTCCTCCTTCAATCTACTAGTTATTTTCTGTAAAGCGTCGATTTAATTACAAGTATAGTTAGCACCTTGTTGCCCTAACAGTTGCGGGATTATTAATTTGTCATAGAGGAGACCATGGGGAAGACCTCACACACGCGGTCCATTTGGTATGGAGGATCCTTACCAATCCCTGAGATGAAAAGCCAGAGAGTATGACAAATTGGCTCAAATAGATGAACAGATCTCCCAATCACTAATGCAGAAGTTCAATCATCCGCCTGTCAAGCAAGGCTTCCTGAATGGCCTCCCAAGCGTACCTTACTTGTCAGACGATATGCTTCAGTTCCATGATTCTACCAATGACCCAGTTTGTGCCTTACGTTCCTCTTGTTGGAGTGCCTCACTGCGTAGAACTATATGAAAGTCCATAACCAATCAGTACCTATCCACTATCCAGATACTGTAGACAAGTAACTTTCTTCCATATCATCCTACCCATTTCTTTCTTGCTTTGGGGTAACACAAATGATCCCTTGTATCAAAGAACGCGCATGGCCCTGATTCAGGAAATCCTGAAGAACTGTTACGGACTGACCTGCACTCCCTCGCAGCGTCCCGTCTACCAGAATGGAAGCCCGATACCTTCCAATCAATATCCGTATACAGCCGCTTGAATCATGTTCGTCATCCCTTGCGCAGCCGCCGCGCGCGCCGGCTGGGAGGATGGGCTGGGAACGCACCAAAATTCCCTACGGATGACGTCTTGAGTCTGCTACAACACCAATTCGTCGGTTTATACCAGTCTTACACCGTAGATAATCGGTTCTGCTTTTGGGCGGTTGCATGCGGTTGTTCCAGTCGATTGGTTCTCGACACTCACGATTATCATCTTCATAGCACCTCGACACCGATTCATGCGCCTTCTATCTAGGAGGCAGATGAATCTCATGTCGGCCTTTACATCGCCATGTCGCCGAAGCATGCTGCTGTTCCCCGAGAGCACATGGCTGCAAGACTAGCGACACGTCCAGTTATCTCACGGCAGACTAAAGCTAGGGATCTCCTCATGCGGCCCCGAAGACCGAACTACGCACCCTGCAGCGGGGACCACTCGGCGTTTACAACTGCATGACTGAGAGCTGCTGGGTTTCGTCGAGCCTGGCAGCCTCGCCCACGTGAATCTTTCGAAGCTCTGCATCTTACGGGATTTGCTCGTATAGTATACAGATGGATATTCTGACTATCTCTAATTGAAGGGTATAATACACATCGGATTTATTCAATGACCAACTCGACTCGAGCACCCGGGATGTCGATCTTAGTACTTGATTCCACCGTCGTGGACTCGCGAGAGGCTGACACCGGTTGGAGATAGGCGATGGCTTTCTCAGATAGAGCGCCGAAGGTGTTGGGTATCACTGTCAGATCTTTCTGACCAGAGGTGGTGATTGCTGGCATTGGAGATTCAGCGTCCAATACGACGCCGAAGTGGCATGCAATAGCATCTTGAGAGCCTGAGGACGCCGATGCGGCGGACCGGATCTCACACGGATCGATGGACACAAAGAACTGAACGTAGTCACCTTCTCTAGCAACTTGATCAAGAGAGGAGAGCTCGTTTATTCCCATATTCTGCTCATACTGTGGAAGCCGACCATGCTCACTTCTACTCTGAATAGGAGAAAAGAGGCTGTCAAGGAGGACGCTACTCTCTGTTGGTTCGAGAAAGCAGATCTCAGGGTCCAGGGATAGCAAGCCCTGCTTCTTACCCCAACCACCCCCACCACTCATGACACGGTGAAGTTTACCGCCGGCCTGGATTCGCTGGAGGAGACTGTTTTCGCCAGCTTCTGAAGAAGCGCACTGCCCGGGAGTCTCCACTAAGGCCCAAACAGATACCCTTCGATCTTCAATATTATTCTCCTCGATATAACGAGGAAGCTCTTTCTCCAGCTCTGTCGAGGCCGGCATGGAGGCTGTTGATGTAGAGTCGGTGTGTTTTGCCAATTGGCGAAGAATGTTGCCCATGCTGGATATAACTCTTCTCCGCTGGCTGACAGGAGATAAGGGGAGCTGAAGCCTGTTGTGCACAGTGCTAGTACTAGGAGCGACTATGCAGCGGGACAGGTCGACTGACTGGTCGAGGGTGTATCTGGAAGACGAAGAATCATAGACCCAACGGGACCCCACGAGGGTGTTCTCCTTTCCGTTGACGAAGATGGTGTTCGCAAGCCGCAGTCCGATCTCGTGGATGTGCTGAGGGGCATCTTTGCGGGACAGACCGTCCTGAAACGAAAACACGAGGGCGGACTCTTCGGTCTCCATGCTTCGCACACGACGAGGCGGTGAGGCCTTCCCTTGTATATCCTCTGCTCTGACAACCATCAATGACAACCCTTCAGACTCTGTCGTATCTTCATCACATGATTGCGCACGGATGTCGGGCAGTCTATCGACGATGGCTACAATGGCGTGGACGGGTTGCGGAGAAGCACGCTGCGTAAGTCGATTTACGCAGTCTTCGAGGAACGGGGAGCCTGTGTCAATCCATTGCGCAAAGCTCGGTGTGACAAGTAAGACAGGGACATGTGCTGATTCTGCAAGTGATTGCGACGGGGAGGGCAGGCTCGAAAGTACATCATCTGGAGTCTCATAGGCCATTAGCTCTTCTGTCGCCGCGGTCAACGCAGAATACGTACAATCGCATGTGGAGTGCCCGTCACCCAGGTACAAGCAAAGAGGGGGTTATTGTGGGACGCATTTTGTTTCGTCCCAAGATGTCTCCGTGACAGTATCGGGCTCAGTGTAGGTTTTCGAAGGGAGGTACATCCGAGCGGTTGCAGAAGTGCCCGAGGCTTAATAGCCTGGCGCACGGCCATTGAGCGCGGGACGAGCCCGAATTTCATCGACATGGACGCATGAGTGAGCATGAACTCTGCGTAGTAAGAGTCTATGGGCGAGTCCGTCGCTCTCGGGGCTGCGTGATGGTGCGGTGATGCGGGAGCGCGACATGCGGAAGGTGAAGCGGCCAAATGATTTTTGATGTCAGCGCCAAGACCAGCGTTGTAGGGAGGTAGGGTCTACTCCGGACTAGCTATGTAACAACCCATCTTCACCACGCGGGGTCCTAGAAATACTAGGTGGAGACAACCGCCAAAGAAGACTCTACGGCGTAGTTGATTCCACTTGGTTGAATACAAAGAATATGTTCTAAGAACAGTTGCGTGGTGGCCCACCTAGGCATCAAGCTTTCTCTGGTATGAGCCGTCTTGCTCAGGGGAATCTATTCTGTGGCGTTTCTCGTCTTGTTAAGCGGGCAATTGTACCAATCGTAAGCTCTAGTATGACCAACTGAATCCATATCAGGTGGTGACCCTGTTACGCTCTACAACGGCAGTATGACGTATTGTCCAGGAGCACGGAGATCAACTCCACGGAATCTAACCCCGACCCATCCTGGCCGAGAGAACGTGCCGGTCTTCGTGGGGAACACGCGAGAATGATATCAGTCTGGACAAAGAATCCAGGCCTGGACAAGTGGAGGTCAACAGGCGGGCTCGATGGCGGGTATTGGCGAGCAAGGCCGTAGGGCTGGAAGGACCCCACCATATAATAGGTAGTAAGTAAGGTATAGGTATGGACTTGCGGCCTTCAAGAGTGAAAGGGGCTATGAGACTATATAATTAGAAACCAAATAGGGCTGTACACCAGACTCGAGTAGTGTGTCGAATGCCAAGCCCAGCTTTGTCAGGCAACAAGATAAAAATTGGTGACCTTACTCTGTACAGAGAAGCCTACATAGGTAGCCAAGCGCTCATTGTGTGATACCAGCCACCAACCATTTCTTTGTACAGTAGTTGTGCTCGGAGAACAACCGACATAACGATAGTCCATGATAGTAGTCTGTACTTTGACAAATGATCTAGGCAGCGGAAATCCAGTGTTCATCAGGGCTTGGCTGCTCCAATAAGGACTGGGCGGTGATGGTATGAGCCACAGCGGGCGGTGGCTGGATGACGTAGCGCTCATCATCCCTCTGTAAGGTCGACAAAAGAGGGTCCTGCACATCAGGGACATTCTTATTAAAGGCTGCTGTCCTTCCCGCCTCCTGACGTCGTCGTCTTCCCCCCGTCCCAACTGTCTGTTCATCAACGACTTTTTCACTCCATCCCTTCCACTCCCCACCCCCTGTGTTCCATTCCCCGGGTTTTCGTGAATTCTCCCTCGACTCCATCTCCATTCTATCTTTTTATAAGTCCCTGACGACTTCTCTCGACCACAATGCCTTTCACTGCTTCGTAAGTCACCTTACCTGCCACTCGCCCGGTCGCTGTCTTCTTCACGCAACCAATAAAGAAAAGGAAAGGGAAAAGACGAAGAAAAATCAAACTAACATCGCATCCAGGGACATCTGCAAGATCTTCTTCGCCTTCATCCTTCCTCCTCTTGGTGTCTTCCTCGAGCGAGGATGCGGTGCTGATCTTCTGATCAACATCTGTTTGACCATCCTGGGTTGGATTCCTGGTATCATTCATGCTCTGTATGTTTGCTCCCCTCGTCCAGATTGCGTCTGCCCAGAACCCGAGCTAATCCACCCTCAACAGGTACATTATTTTCAAGTACTAGACCATTATACACCGTCCAATCTCGCTAGTCTCGGTCGATCTTCGCTGCATCCCGCAAGATGCATTTGTTTCCCAACGAGCGATCCGGTTGGAAAGCGAATGGGCGACCATGATGCCGTCAGCGTGATTCCGCGGCGGTCCGGCCGAGACTAGTGCTCGAATTGATGCAACCCCGCCGCTACTGCGCCTTTGTTGCCATAATGATGAAAGCGCATCCGGCCTGCATGCACCTGGCGGAATGGGGTGTTTTTCTTGAGTGGAATCTTTATTGCGATTGAACTGTTTTGTCTTTATATGCGATCGGCTATTTTGCTTCTCTCCGGATGATACCAGCTCATTTGTGATACTGGGTACCTTTTTTTACTTGGTTTGTTGTCAGTGGTTAACTTAATGATTGATGGCAATGACATTAATTTCGATCTCTGCGTTGATTTGACCTAATTCTTCTGACCATCCCCCTGTATAAAATATGTCACACGGGAGCTCTGTATTGCCCCATACAAGTGACCTGCATAGCTGGAAGCCTCCATGCAAACTAGTGCAAACGGTGGAACTACCAAAAGCTACAAGATAGCTCCCCCGTTAAGGCAAGTCATTAATATTGCCCCTGGCATCGATGCAGTGCATTGTAGTACTAATAACTTTTCTTATCATACCTACTATTCAGATTGTCAGGAACCAGTCTCCCTTTACATTAGACGCTCCCCACTCGCTTAAGAGCTAATGCCAGATGCCAATTCTAGGATCCTCGGTGGCATCTTTTGCCTGGAGGATAAAAGCCCTGATTAGATGAATAGCGACATTGCTAGTTAAATAAGTAGATAAAAGCGAAGTTCTTTGTATGTTCCCACCCCTAGTAACTTCGGCTACAAGCAGACGCTATCCATATCTTGCCCTTCTCCTGCCTACTCGTACAGTGACCGATCCTCTTCCTCACATTAATCGACGTCAGACCGTCTTAGTTTTCTTAAGAGTACCAAGCTGAACCGTTAAGGTACCACTCAAGTGGATACTCCCGAATTAATAAAGTATCTAATTAAGTAGAAGGTGACCCCTAATAATCGGTTTCTGGCAAAAGACACCGAACACGATATAGGAATTTATGATAGTGATACTAGATGGTAGATTAAGTTGCTTCAAAAATTGCGTTGAGGCGAAAATTTGCACGTTGAGGTGAAGCAGACCAATCCACTCAAGTTGTGAATGCTCTCACGTTTAGGTAAAAGATCGTTGCGTGGGGACGTACCGGCCAACTTTTCTGGGATTGTCCAGTATGTCTGGCATGCAGTAGAGCTCTATAGCCTTCTTAGGTCGCATGAAACCCAATAGGGCCAGACATCTAGACCAAGGCTAATAGAGAACAACCAGTTCAGCGGATTTTGGTCTGGGTGACTATTGGGGGCTAAATCGGGCTAAAAGGATAGTCCTCCTCGTCAGTTCGGTCTGTATAATCACACAACGCAATTCCTTAAGCATCCTTATCTCGACCGAATTCTCATTCGCAATCCAACAACCAAAATGCAGCTCACCAAGTTCCTCCTTGCCCTAGTGACTACCTCGGCTGTTGCCCTGGCTCTCCCCCAGTCGAACACTTGCGACAGTGCTATTGACTGCGGTTTATGATAGGCAGGTTTCCTATGATAGTGTTTTATCCTAAGTATTTCTCTGCTAGTCTTGTAATGGCTCCTCGTGCAAGATCGGCCTTATTAACTAGTGAATATATTTCTTATTTCTGACTTGATATATGTATTATGCTGACGGGTTCTCTAGCGATTGAGGACATGGTACCAGCGTAAGATAACTGCCTTACTTCTAGGATACCTCCCGTGGAAGCTAGATATTAATCTCGTTGGCAGTGTCTCGCGAGCCATGGTGGTGGAGACGGCAAGAAGTGCTCTGGTGGGTACGATGGAGGTGCTACCTGCCCTGGCAAGGCGTGATTTATACACTGCGTGTGGTTGATAACATTGACTGATAGGTATGATGAGATATTGTGATCTTGTCTAGTTGATTCGTTGTGTTTTGGCTGATTGATCATTGCTTCACTGCTGTTTTCAGCCTGACTGTTCATGGACACGAAGGCATTCCATTCATTAAGTATAAATTTTGCCAGAGAAGACAACTAGTAGATCACGTAAGCAAATAAGGGCTGAATTCAAGCTCACTGAGCTTTCAACACAATAATAATAACTTGATATCATTCCCAATAGATCAGATGTGAGGAGATCGATAAGATAAAAATCTTGGCAAGCTGTTCGCGGACCTTCCCCTGTTCGGAGTAGAGACACCCAAAGTTGTTGACTGTGTCGAGGGTGGATATGTAGTCAGAAACCAGTGCCTTCTCGTAGCCTGCAAGTGCTCGTTGATACATCACCTCGGAGCGCGCGTCTTTCAGTACCATACGATATGCTGCTACCTTAAGATCCAAGGCGGTAGATATTCGGTTAAGCGCATTCTTGGACTACCTTTGAGGGGACAAGAAAGAAAGAATCCTCAAGGGGTGACACCACTTTCGCAAATTGTACTGCTCGATCGGGTTGTAAGGCAGGGCGCGGCGTCCAGCCCTCTCGCTGGACCCTTCAAGCGCTTAACCCGACCACGATATTGGGGGAGTTCCGTCAGCTGACCTGGTAGGATTGGGCGTCCTCTTCATCTTGCATTTCTTCAGCGCCAACCGGGCGCCTATCTGGTCCCTTTCCCCAACCACAACGATCTGCTCACTGCCGGTCCTTCATCCTGTCCCCTACGTGTCCTCGCGTGAAGAATGGCTTCCTGTTTCATCTGGGCGCCTATAGGGCCTGCTTCCCCAAGAATCCTGTCTCAGATTGGCGCCGTTTCAAGTGTACGGCCAGTGAGCGACCTGTCAACAAATGACATCAGACTCAGTTTGGCGCCCTCTTCGACAAGATGAGCTTGTTCGCCATGGCTCTTATGTGCAGCCCCTTTTCTCACGTTCTTCGTAGACTCGACAGACTTGTCTTTCACCTTAACAGCCCAAGACCTTGAACGCCAAATCCAATGCAAATATCTTGGTCCATTGCCTTGTCAGGGTCCTTAGGATGATCATACATGCGTGCCTATGTCTTCAAGAGTATTCAGTTGGCTGCAGTCGTGATATCGAGGTGAGTTACGGGAACCACGTCCACACGCTTTACTGACACAACATTCAAGAGGTGGCAGAAGTATGATATTGTCGGCCTCTCGATGGTTATGCCTCGCAGTTCTGTCCCCGGTCACCTCGTGTCTGGCCGTCACCTCCAATGAGGCGCAGCCTACAATGTCTCCTGCATCTACGTTCGACTCGGTACCGCGCTGTGCGTCGGATTGCATCCGAAAGTTCGTCAGGACCGAATACCCAAAGAATGCATGCTCGAATGGGCAGGATTTTTCATGCTTGTGCAGGACACGCGCCAAAAATGGCTTTACCCTCGGCGAAGCAGCCTTGCAATGTAGCTTCTCAACGTGCTCCATGGCCGAAGCAGTGGCGTCAAATTCCTACGGTATCTGTGATGCGGTGTCTGGAGCTGCACGAGGAACCCATAGCACGATAACTGCTACCGTCGTGGCTGTAACGAGAACAACGACAACCATGCCGCCTGTGACTACGGCGCCCAGTTCCACGATGTCAAATTCAACACGCTCGAGTAAGGGTGAGCACACTTCTGTAAGGCTTACGAGCTTTCAGAGCCCATTGACGGTGACCACCGCCACGCAAGATCCGTCTAGCACGACGAGCGCAGACGCAACACCCCCTCAAGGCACATCATCTGGGAGTCGTCTGAACGCTGGCGCAGTGATAGGGGTCTCGGTTGCTTCGGGAGTCTCGGGATTTTTCATCCTCGGGGTCATCATATTCTTCTGCTGTAGGAAGATGCGACGAAACAAGGAGCGCAGTTCGTTCTTCGAAATCGGGGGTCTGATGTCGGAACCCTCCAATTTTACTCTTCCGACACGACCAACCCCAAGCCCTGAACCCCCGTCTCATGCGGTTAGGGAAATATCGAGGCCCCTGCCACCTTTGCAACGCCCAGCTCCACACCCGACTCTCACCGTCACCAGTCCCGAACATGACTACGATGAAGACCGTCGTGGATATGGCACCCTGGGCAAGACCGCATTTGCCTACTCGTCTACTTCTGACCTGAATGCTTCACCAACTCAGTCATCGCCGCGGACCGTCTCGGATCTGTTGCCAGACAAGCCGGGCCTGTATCCAGAACCGCTACGCTGGAGCCAGCATAAGTCACCCCGACCAAACAGTGGTGAAACACTTTTTGAAGAAGACGCTGCAAGGCCGAGGAGTATCCTGGGTGCTCCCAATCGACCGCAGAACTTTTCGGTGCCAGACCGGCAGTGGAGTCGACCTGCGGTAGTCGGCCTCCCCGTCAATCCACGGGCAATGATGCATGGATTTCGAGGGCCAGGCAATGGAGCACTACCACAGGGACACGATTATCGAAGGAAGCCCGTGTTTGCTAATGCGGGCGAGAAACTACAGCATCCTCGACAGGCTGACGTGTGCCAACCGACATATGGGTATCCTGACCGGCCATATGACTACATCGGAGACTACTGGGACAACACCGGCGGATACTCTGATCATTCGGCACCATCGTCGTCTCAAAGTGCAGCGCGCCGCTCGTTCCATGCCCCGGTCGACTACGTGGAAGATCACTTCGAAACCATCAATATAAACGATCACTCTGAACCGCGCCGAACATCGCGTCACTCGGGGAGTTTCAAGCCGCTCCCTCCTGTACGAGAAGTGCGGACACCGGTGAACAATGCAGCGCAAAGAGCAGACTATTTCGACGAGAACGCGCCTGTCCAATACCCCCGAACGCCGCTTCCTGGGGCCGTCAGTTCCAATCGCGAAATCATCTCCCGGCCGCGAATTGTCCGACAGGATGACATCAAGAGAGTTCACATCCGGCGAGGGAAGCCGCAGTCCAAGGCTTCCGCGGTGCCTTATTCACCGGAGGACTACTGGCTAGGACGCGATGGCGGGTCGCCGTCCAGACTGCGGCCATACGATCAACATCGGATGTCCGGTGGGTACAGACAGCCACCGTATAAGCTGGGCCGCGTGCCGCCGAAGAAGTCATCTCCGCTGGACAGCGACCCCAGGCGGGCAAGAGGGGCGCGAGGTGATTTTCCTGGATTTCCTGGAGAAAGAAAGAGTGACGGTACCCAGGGCTGGTGACCCTAATCACACGCGGTGAATAATCAGCATCGACCATCAGCAGGACATATGGTTGGTTCCGTGCAGAATGTGTCGTTCGAGGCTTCGGTCGTTCCCCCTTCTCTGTACATGATTTCTATGAAACAAGGCACTGCCGAACCTTGTATGTATTTTCCAATAGCTCTGCTTCGCTACCGCACGCGGCGACGGCGGTTGGCCTTTGTAATATAATTGGTTCCTTTTTGGTTTTCTGGATGGACAGACCCCTCGCCACCCGCGAGAACAATAGCGACTGACAAGGTTTTGGGACCGGGCCACCACGTCGGGTTGCAGCGGGTCGCATCCTCACAGCCGCCTCAGCGGCCGTTCACATGTAGCAAGTATGAGAAGAGTCAGAGTGGTTGACGGGTGTGGCTGTCTGGGTCCTGTAACATGGCGTAATTTGGCATTTCCGGGTTGGATGCACGGGCGTCTCGATGTGGTAAGGTAGGGGGGCGCTGCGAGAAGAAACCCAATGAGGGGGAGCAGTGTTCAGCCTCGGGCGACCAGGTTCGGACACCGCAAGGGCGCTTTATAGGCTGTTAGGAGCAGAGAGAGTGGTTCCTGGAGACGGCGAGACGGACGAGTTGGTTTGTCACTGCGGCGGTCGCGAGAGATATTCCCGAGAGGAGGCGCCACGATGACGTCAGAAGAGGAGGGATGGGCGCTGAATCATGCATGCAAAGACCGTGGATCTCGAGATCCTATTATTAATATGACAATAAAAATAAAACGGAGAAATGAATATGAAATGAGAATAAGCGGACTTAATAATGAGTTACATGGGTTACGGAGGACAATATTCCTGCCGAGGTGATAGATGGTGGCTGATGTCAACCTCCCTTCCCTTCCTTAGTTACTCCGTAGTTACTCCATAGACCACTCCTGATATCAATCTCTCTCGAGTGACGTTCCCTCCCTCCACTTCCACTCTCTCCCGCACGTCACCTCCTGCATGTCACATCTCGCCTTTTGGCCGGACGCCCTGACCGTGGTTGAGGACGAATCAGCATCGCTCTAACCGCTGACGCAGGGCCCTTAGCTAGGTAAGACGTTGATCCTAGTCCTTAACTCCCTAGAGAATACAGAGTACAGATAATACAACACAATGATAAACTTCGGTCGGCGGTGGAGCTCGGCCGGAATGGACGAACAGAATCCATCCTCGACACTGCCGTGTCAACGCTAATGAGGCGTCGGTCGATGACGGAGCCATGGGATGCATCCTCGATGAGCCACAGGCAGCACAGGCGTCCTTGTCTCGTATATTAATGGCTTCAACCGCTCGATGGAGACCCTCTTCTCCACCCCACCCCTCTGCTCATCACCTTCCTTCTGCATCCTATTTCACGCTCCGACTGCCCCATCTGCGACCTGTCTCTGCAAGTCGATGCAATTGACCCTCAGCTTCTAACACCAAGGACCCATTGATCGTCCCGTTCCTGGTTTTCTTCATATATCGCTTGCTGCGTCCAAGGACAACCCATCTGTCAGATCCTTGTGGTGATCCATCAAGTTGCTTGTTTGCGACCCGCTCCTCCACCTTCCTCCGGTTCAGTGTATCCGATCGCCACCGGCCGTTCCACCTCGGTTGATCCCCAACCTCCGAAACAAGAACAATGACGACGACCGATTCCTTCGGTACCCAGAGGGTCCGCCGACTCTCCAGTCTCGAGGCCTCTCGGGCCGACCTGTACGGCGGCCCCAGCGTCGTCGTGCCGCCCAGACACCTCATGGCTTCGACCAACGCTCCTGACATCGCCATTGAAATGGAAATGGCCAAACAGCATCTGGAAGAGGAGATTTCCTCAGAAGACGGTTCGCCTCGCGTTGCGTCGCCCGTATCCAGACCGGTCGTTTCAACCACAGACGAATTCGCCCTCGCGTTTGACATTGACGGTGTGCTGTTGCGCGGAGGCAATGTGATTCCCGAAGCAAAGGACGCATTGAAGTATATCAATGGCGAGAATCCCTATGGTATCAAAATGTAAGTCTTCCGCCACAGTTAGTCTTGACGGGATCGACGCGTGTGCCTGAGCGTTGCTAAGACCTCTACCAGACCGTACATCTTCGTGACCAATGGCGGCGGCAAGACCGAAGAAGAACGTTGTCTGGATCTCAGTCGCCAGCTCGACTTGGACGTCTCTCCGGGTCAATTCATCTGCGGACACACCCCCATGCGGGAAATGGCGGAGCGATACAACACGGTGCTTGTCGTCGGAGGTGTGGGCGAAAAGTGCCGCCAGGTCGCCGAAGGCTACGGTTTCAAGGATGTAGTGACCCCGGGAGACATCATCAAGACCAGACATGACACGACCCCCTTCCGAAGCTTGACCGAAGAGGAGTACAAGAACTCTCGTGTACGCGACTTTAGCAAGATCAACATTGAGGCCATCTTTGTCTTCGCCGACAGCCGCGACTGGGCCGGCGATCAACAGATCATCCTGGACTTGCTGATGTCCAAGAATGGCCGCCTGGACACCCGCTCTGAAACCTTTGACGAGGGCCCTCCGGTCTACTTCTCCCACAACGACGTCGTCTGGTCCACCTCGCACGAACATGTTCGCATCGGTATGGGCGCGCTGCGCGCCTCCCTGGAGGCGCTGTACAAGGCGGTCACTGGAAAGGAACTGTCGACGATTGCGTTTGGCAAGCCTCAGCTGGGCACGTACGAGTTCGCGACCCGGCTGCTGCAGCAGTGGCGCAAGGACACGCACGGAATCAACAAGCCGCCGCGCACCGTGTACTTCGTCGGCGATACGCCCGAGTCGGACATCCGGGGGACAAACGAGTTCAACGAGATCAGCGACGCCCACTGGTACTCCATCCTGGTTAAGACGGGTGTCTACCAGGAGGGCACGATCCCCCGATACCCGCCGAAGAAGGTCTGCAGAGATGTCTTGGACGCGGTCCAGTTTGCGGTGGAGCGCGAGGCGGCCAAGCGAAGCGAGGAGTCTGCCATCGCCGATGATGATGATGTTGATTCAGGGATTGACTCCGAGTCAGCTAACGTACATAGCTGATGATTTGCTAGACACATCCTTGACATATCACATCTTCACATCTTCTGCTTTGGTCATATCATTGTCGTTGATCTGTTTTCTTTCCTCTACGATACACTCCAGACCTTTGTGATGTCGCGTTACGATCTATGTTCATGATTCCCAGATATGATATTGCTATGATTTCTTTGGCGTCTCTAGTCGGGTTTGTCTTCGCCGCGCCAGCGTCATCCACCTGAGGCCTGGTACCGTGGCATCAACATAGTTGTCCTTGAGTCACTTGACTGCATTGCAGCCAGATGACCCCGGGATCTGCATAGATTTACGACAGGAATGTTACTATACAAATGACAATGACATTGCATATGTAAATCTCGTCCAATCCATACTGAATGTAGCATCCCGTAAGAACGGATGACCGAACGACGTCATCCATCTACAGCAACCGAGTCCGTATGAGCATCCTAAGCGACGGCTCAGGAGCGTTGAACACATCACCAATCACGCATTGGGATGTACAGGCCGCTGCCTACTGCCCGGAAGCACCAAACAGGCAACTCCGCCAGATCCATGCATCAACGTTAGAACGCGGGGTTGCTAGCGGCTTCAGTCGGTTGTACTAGTATAGTACCCTCCGCGATCTCTTTCCTCCCCTCCCACAACCGCCGATGGGGCTGCACCCCACACATTGATGATTTACCTCATGCATCAGCAGGCGATGTTCTCTTCCTTGTCTACCTACATGCATACGACCTTCCGAAAGTCCCCTCTACTGACCCACTGACACTCAGAACGGAATGGCCGCAGCACGGCGGAACTAGCCCGCTTCGAAGTCAATCTCGCGCCGAGATATCTAGACTGTCTGCCTATTCAGGCGAAGCGTCATCACAGCGACTAGTCGATTGATTGATTGATCGGTTCTACCCCGTGGGGATCACAGTCTCCACCCCTCAGTCCAATCGATTGACACCGTTCTAGGGCGCATGTCTGGTCCACTCACTTCTTTAGTTACATCGTTGAGATGGCCTCCATCTCTCGATCGAGCCGGTTGCAGCGGTCGTCCCGTCCGCTGGAGCCCATTTGGGGATCCCGGACTACACGTGCGACAGAGTGGAGAGACGGGTACTTTCGGAATCCCTTGAGGGAGCCGTCGTCAGAGCGGGATGTTGTTGGCAGTGGTGGATGCACTGGTGGTGTGTTGAAACGACGGTGTCTCGCTTGGGATGGGGGTGGCTTTCTTGCGTTGATTAATGCGCTATTCTTCTGTTCGTTCTACCTTTGTTTAATTTTAACATGCAGGGAGGTAGTTGGACGATATTTGGACGGGCTCAACGGGTGTGACGTCCTTCTACTAGATTGATGTATAGATGCGGTCCGGCGCAGGTACGCTACTCTTGACCACACTGTGCTCAGGATAGATGGTTACGTATGAGCCTCGTGCTATAGCGCCAGTTCAATTCTCTGATCTATATTGTTAATATCTTCGAACTATTTCTCTCATGTCAGTGCCTCGCATTTCTGCCTTGATGCCTTGCAAAGGTGGCGACAGTTTGCAATGTTTGCACCACGGCCACTGATCATAACTCCGACCACTCATCATCAACCCTCCTGCACCGTATATACCTAGGAATATTCTTATTCTTGTGATTGTTGTCGCCTGCGATGGTTGTCTTCACTATGAAAGGCCCGCAACCTGCTCAGATCTAAATTCGCTGCAGGGCAACATGTCACCGCGCCATGGTCATCGAGCTGACACCAACTGCGATCTCAAAGAACAAGCCAATAAGCATCAGTCGACCGGCGTGTCGTCCAGTCTATTTGGCTACGAATCTGCCATCGCGTCTCACCATCTGAATTGCTCATTCGGGTGATCTCAGCTGATACAGCCCAGTCGCTGCGGAAAGCTACTGCAGACAATGAACCGCATGCCAGTACACTAGCAAGCTTCATTCCGCCATATCTTGTCACCTTGACTACAACCTCCTTTCACTATGTTCACCCCCCTGGGACTCTTCAAGGACATAGCTTGTCCCGAAGGGCAAGGATGCTCTCTGGTGCGATGCATATTTTCTCATCCACCTATCAACCGCTCGTCGGACGACCCCAACAACGGTCAACCTACGCTCACCGCGGGCAAAGAAACCACCTCCATGCCTTCGAGAATCCCCAGGCCACAGGCACCAGAGACGCCCAAACCCTCACCAAGTGCCAAACCATCACTCCCAGTGAAGAGCCAGTCTGCAAGCACGGCTGCTGTATCATCAAGCCCGCCGCCCAAGAGACCCAAGACGACCCCCAGCACACCCTCCACTCTCTCCTCAGCCACAAGAGAGGTATCTCCGCCTCGGCCAAAGTCCGGCCCTCCAGAATCAAGCCGGGGCATCCCAGCAAAACCCGCATCGCAAACTCCACTGAGGAAAGCTCCCCGCGAGAGCCTCAACCCGCGCATGCTGCCAAAAGCGCCCGCAACCCACACCGTGCGGCAGTCCATCCTGAAGAAACTGCACAGCGCGATGTCCGCGCTGAACGAGAAGATTGCGCGGGAAAAAACCAGCGCCGAGACGTCCCTGGTTCTGTCGTCCGACGAGCTGATCACGATGGCCCTGGACGAGGAGGAGAAGGCAGCAAAGGATAACCCGAGCGTGTACGCGAACGTGATCAAACTCCGCATCGTCAAGCTCACGAAGATGAGCAAAGAGGTCTGGGTGGAGGAGGTCAAGGCGCATCTGAACGAGAGATACTACAAGCTTGCGCCCGTCCAGCCTGAGCAGAAGCCCAAGGCGCTCACGACTGGACTGACTGCGCAGGAGGAGATCGCTATCGCGAGAAAGCTGCTCACGCCACTGCAAGGCCTGGAGAACCACGGGTATGTCACCAAGGCGCCGTCCAGCCAAGAGGTCGAAAATGCAAGGAAGGGCGTGGTCGAGTCGAAGGGCTGGGAGAAATGCGATCGATGCGGGGGCCGGTTCCAGGTGTTCCCCGGCCGTCGCGAAGACGGCTCGTTAACCACCGGCGGACAATGCACGCACCATCCTGGAAAAGCTCTGTGGCCGCCGCGCAAACGCACCGACCATGTTACTGGCTCGCGAGAGGCGTACTTTTCGTGCTGCAACGAGCCGGTCGGGACGTCCACGGGCTGCACGAAATCTCCTACGCACGTGTTTAAAGTCTCGGAAGCCAAGCGGCTGGCAACAGTGCTGCAGTTCGAGACGACCCCTGCACAGCCCGGCAAAGGGCCACAGCCGCCGGTATGTTTCGACTGCGAGATGGGATACACGACGCTGGGCCTGGAGCTCATCCGGCTCACGGCGGTCAGCTGGCCCGAAGGCAAGAAGCTGCTGGACGTGCTGGTGCGGCCTATCGGGGAGGTCCTGGACCTGAACTCGCGGTTTTCGGGGGTCTTCCCGGAACACTACACCCAGGCGGTGCCGTATGGGAGCGCAGACGCGCCAGCCCCCTCGCTGGAGGAAGGCGAGGTGCAGTCGACGCCGCTACAGGTTGTGGAGTCTCCGGCGGCGGCGCGCGCGCTGCTCTTCCAGCTGCTGCAGCCGGACACCCCTCTCATCGGCCATGCAATCGACAATGACCTGAACGCCTGTCGCATCATCCACCCCACCGTCATTGATACTGTCATCCTCTACCCGGCTGGGGCGGGACTGCCCAATCGGATGAGTCTGAGGACTCTTGCGAAGAGACACCTCGAGCGGGATATCCAGACTGGAGGGAGTCGGGGCCACGACTCGAAGGAGGATGCGATCGCCGCGGGGGATCTGGTCAGGGTCAAAGTTGCGGAGACCTGGAGAGTTCTCAAAGCGAAGGGATGGTCGTTCCAAGCTGGCGCGCTGGTGCCGCCTCCCGGTGTATCAGAGGACGAGCCTATAGATTGGAAACTGGGCGCGGGAGCGGGCCAGAAGCGCAGCAATTCTACATTGGATTAACTACTCAAGCATGATACCCCAGCTAGCGTATTCACAAATCCTACATATCTTTACGATAGATGACTATGAAGTATCGATTGGGCGATAGATGAACTCAATTCATATCTACCAGTCGTAACGTCATGAGTAGAACAAACACCAAACAGCCCGACGGGCGCAGTCAGATCGGGACATCCTTTTCAGGCATGACCCAACGTCTATCCACACACAGGCCGATTAGATGTCTCCTCGAGCACATCTATACCCTGGGTATAGTCCAAGCCCAGCACTCCCAAGCAAGACCGGATGGTCATTCGGAAACCCCCTATGCGAGCGCTCGGGCCCAGACTATTGAGTCAGATGGGGAGCATTTACTCCTCATCCTCCTCGCCCTCCTCGTTGACGACGTTGTAGAAGCGGAGCTCGTAGACGCCCTTGGAGGTGGAGACAACGCGCAGCCAGTCACGGAGCTGCTGCTTCTTGAGGTACTTCTTGGTCCTGCACATCGTCCAATCAGTACGCTATATGGAAGCAATATTCAGGAACGGGGACGTACAGGTACTTGAGGTAGCGACCAGAGAAGGGAATGTGAGCGACAACCTCGATCTTGCCATCGCCGGCCTGGGAGATGACGACCTTGTCGCCGAGGTTGCCGACACGGCCCTCAACCTTGATGCGGTCGTGGAGGAACTTCTCGAAAGCGGAGAGGTCGAAGATCTTGTCGCTCACGGGCTGAGAAGCGTTGATGACGAACTGGGCTGTGTTAGCACGGAAGCCGATGTAATGCGGCCGGTGCAGGATGCTTACCTTCTTGGTGACCTTCTGGGCCTTGCGACCACGAGCCTATTGACGGTAACATTGCGATTAGCCTACTGTTCCTCAGGTCGAATCCCCAGGGCGCGAGGACCATGTCGAGTCTGTGTTTCAAGACTGGGCATGGAGCCTGCAGGCCCTCTAGGGGGAACAGCAAAGCGGTTGTGGAATCAACGTACAGAAGCAGCGGGGGCCATTGTGACTGATCGGGGGTTTTTGGGAGGGGATAGAGAGAAGAAAGTGGTCGCAAAGAGGTGAGTATCCTGCGCCTTGGAGAGGAAGTTGAGGGATGGAGATGGGAAATCTTCTCGCTAGTGGAGCGCTTCACCCAGTGCGGGCTGCGGTGCGTGTGGCTAGTCCTGTTCTGGCAATGCCTTAGGGCTGGGCCTATCGATTAGGGTCGGCACTGTCACCTGATGGGGGAAGCACGACAGCCAATAGGAGGATGCTTCGCTTGCGTGTTGGGCTCGCTTGTCGAGGCAGACGGCGCTAGCGTATTAGCGTGTGCACGGACCACCAGACCTCAGGTATAAATACTGTCCGCACCCCCCGTTCTTTTAGACTTTTTTTTCTTTTCTTTTCCAGCTCTCTTTGCCTTTTGGCTTAGATCAAGTGTAGTATCTGTTCTTTTCAGTTTAATCTCTGAAAGTGTTCTAAGGAACACAACATTGATTAATCTCATTTTTGGATCTCGTGGCGGGTCCTCTGTGCTTGCGCATGTCCTGCCACACAGTGTCATCGGGCTTACACTACCCCCGATCGACGCGAACTCTTTTTCATCAACTGGTCGGTATATCCGATCGCTTGGGGAAGAAGACTGCCTCTCGATTGTATCTTAGTAGCTTAGTATAAGTACCTCTAGTGAGGACGTCATGGTACCTTGTGCAGTGAGAATCAACGAACTTTCTAGATCCCAATCCGTCTGTATCCACGTGATATCAAACTACTTCAAGTACTTCACCTCTACCATCCCCATCAACCCATCGCCACTCCATTCTCCTCACCATGGGTTCCGTCGTCCTGCCGCATCTGCGCACCGCCTGGCACGTTGACCAGGCTATTCTGTCCGAAGAAGATAGACTAGTGGTATGTCCAAGACACTGACACGAAGGAATCATGTTCTGACGCCTGTAGGTGATTCGCTTCGGCCGCGACCAGGATGTCGACTGTGAGTTCTGCTGTCCACTTGCCCGCGATCAGCGCTGATTTCAACAGGCATGCGTCAAGATGAAGTTCTCTTCAAGATCGCCGAGCGTGTGAAGCGTAAGTCCCCCTTTCGCGCTGGACGTGTCTTCTTCGTGAAGTCCGCTACTGACATCCCAGTCTTTGCCGTGATCTACCTCTGCGACATCGACGAGGTCCCCGAGTTCAACACCATGTACGAACTCTTCGACCCGATGACCATCATGTTCTTCTACCGGAACAAGCACATGATGTGCGATTTCGGCACCGGTAACAACAACAAGTTGAACTGGGTGCTCGAAGACAAGCAGGAGCTCATCGATATTATCGAGACGATCTACAAGGGCGCGAAGAAGGGTCGCGGTCTTGTTGTCAGCCCCAAGGGTGAGTTTTCTTTCTTTGTGGTATTTTGCTGCTGCAGGTGGCTAATGGGTGCAGATTACTCGACTAGATACCGGTACTAGGTTTGGGGGTTGGTGTGCATGAATTATGATTGCTTTTTTCTAGTGTAGTAGCTGGTTTTACGTGTTTAAATCAATGGAAGACTTTCTCTGACAGAATCCTAATTCGTATCAGGCATAGTAGGGCAGTAGCCTTGTGAATGCTGATATATATTGCTAGACGCCGGCCGGTCAGCTTCGTAGTGATGTAAATATCATCAAAAGCGATCTTAATGGGAAGCAAATATATACGAGAGAACTCAATCTCGAATAGACACTTAGATATATTTGTGGCTGTTTTGACAGAAAAGCTTGTCCGGTGTCCTTCATACAGCTGCGATTTCTGACGTAACAGTGTTCCCTACAACCTCACCACACCTTGCACCACCCGCCTAGAACCCATCACACCACCCGCACCATGATCGACCACACCATCTTCGAAGACCTCCAAGCCAAAATCGACGAGGAGGCCGCCGTGCGCGACGTAAGTAAAATATCTGCCGGGTTGCTCGCCAAGCCCGGTCCCGCAAAACGTTGGGCCAAAGATTGACCGCTGTTCTAGGAGCTGCACGACATTGTCCAGACGCTCGCGCGGAAGGGTTTGTGCACTGTGGAACAAGTGTATGTCTATTGCTGATCGCGTAACGCAGGGAGATCCACACAGGCGATTCTCTCGAGAGCGCACTCGACACCTGCGGACCAGTGTATGTGTCTACCCATCCCTCGGGGGTGCCCAGTGCGATTAACATTATCTGCAGTGAAACCCGTCCTCGAGGATGCGACCACGGAGATCATCGCGCAGCGGGACGAAGTCCTCCGCTTGAAGAGCGTGGCCGACAAGCACCCGTTCTACAAGTACAACGGCGTGTGGACGCGCGAGCTGCAGAATCTCGTCAGACCGTCTCCTCACCCACACGTCGTAGGACATGACTGACGAAGGTCCGATAGGTCGCCTCCGTCGAGCTGTGCGCGTGGCTCGGCGGGTTCGAAGAGTACAAGAGCTCCGGCTCTGCGTTCCTCACGATCGAGGAGGTCGGAAAGTTCCTCGACGGTATGGTTTGCTCCAGCAGTCGTGGGTGTGGTTGTGTAGCTGACGTGCGCGCGCGCAGTCCCGGTCAACCTCAAGGAGCAGGATGCGTTCCACCTGACGATTGAGGAGTATCTGCTGGCGCTGATTTCCATGGTGGAAGAATTGGTTTGTCGCCCCGTTTGATTGCGTGTGTTTGATCGGCTCTGACGGTGGTAGTCCCGGCTTGCGGTCAACTCGGTCACCCTGGGAGACTATACGCGGCCGGTGCAGATTGGCAACTTTATCAAGGATTTGTTTGCGGGGTTCCAGCTGCTGAATCTGAAGAATGATATCTTGCGGAAGAGGAGCGATGGGATTAAGTACAGTGTGAGTTTATTCTTGTGATCGTGAGATGATGCAAGGAGAGGCTGATTGCTTGCAGGTCAAGAAGGTCGAGGACGTTGTCTACGATCTCTCCTTGCGGAACTTGATTCCCAAGGGGAGTGCTGCGTCTGCTTGACATGAGATTGTCTGTTGTCATCTGTTGCAGACTAGAGTATGAGTAAGGCTACGCTTGAGTCTACGGATATGACTTGTCATACAAGGAAGGGTATGTTCCAATTAGACATAGTACGCGGCTGAGTCTAGAAAATACAACAAAGCACACATTACAACAAAACTTCAACGCATGGTATCACATATTAAGCCTAGTCACCGAGAGACCAGAGTTAAGCCAGCTTGGCGGGCTCCGACTCACCCTCCTTGGACTGCGCCGAAGCCAGGGTGCCGTTCTTCTTGGCCTTCTCAATCTCCTCCAAGATAGTAGCCTCGAGCGACTCGGGCTTGGTGGTGCTGGCCCAGCGGCCGACGACCTTTCCGTCGGCGGAGACGAGGAACTTCTCAAAGTTCCACTTGACGCGCTTCAGGCCCAGCAGACCGGGCTGCGACTCCTTCAGCCAGGTGAAGACGGGGGCCGCGTTCTCACCGTTCACGTCCAGCTTGCCCAGCACGGGGAACGTGACGCCGTAGTTCAGTTGGCAGAACTCCTGGATCTGGTCGTTGGAGCCGGGGTCCTGGCTGCCGAACTGGTTGCAGGGGAAGCCGAGGATGGTGAAGTCGTCCGGGTGCTTCTGCTTGATGGACTGGTACAGGCTCTCGAGGCCCTTGAACTGCGGCGTGAAGCCGCACTTGGAGGCGGTGTTGACGACGAGGACGACCTTGCCCTTGAGGGAGTTGAGGGGGAAGGGGGAGCCCTTCTCTAGAATCGGGGAAGAGGTCAGTCAGGATGTGTACGGAGTATGCGGTTTGCTGTGAGGGGAATACGCACTGTCGACGGGCTCAAAGTCGTAGAATGTCGTCGCGGAAGACATGGCTCTGGTGTGTGCTGGTAGCGCAGACGGTCGGAGGAAGATGGAGGTATGCGCGCGTCGCAGATGCGAGATGACGGGAGAACAAGATAGACGAGTTCGCGATATGGGAGAAAGAATGGAGGCTGGCGACGGAACGAAAGTCATGCTACTTATATAACGGACCGAGGGACGAGACAGTTAAAGGAGGGGCACGATCATCGCCGCCGAGCCTGCGGTTGCATGTCATCATCGCATGCTGGTCTCTGCTGTCGGGTTTGTCATCTACCTCTTCTAGATTTCCATTCGCCCTACTGGTCCCTGGCTTCCATGGATCATCTACGCTGCTTCTACGGGTCCTGCTTACGAATGAACCGTTCCAGACGCAGAAAATATGCACGCGACGGATGGATAACGGCTGCTGCGCCTCAGGTTTGTGCTGGTGGGTCGCATATCCGCCATCGATTCCAAATCGTAAAGTCATGTGATATATCCGCCATGAGCCGATGTATTGTACATCCTCGATAGGAAACAGCCCCGGTCTGCGCCAGCCCTCTTCTTCGTACCGAATTCTAGCATCCTCTATAGTCAGACAATGGGGAAACCTTCTCCGAAGACCTCTTCCGGAACCCCGTGGTCCCGAATCCGCTCGAGATGTGAGGTTTGTAATCAGCAGGTATCCGACGCCGATCCAGGCGCCTCGGTCGTTCCATTCACTGCCCAAGCTCACAGCATCGACTCCGGTTGAATCATCTCGTCCCTCGGAGTCTTCCTTCCTTGCCGACCATGACTCGTGATCTGGCAGAACCGTCACCGCACCGCCGGTCCGTGGCCCGCCCGCGAACCGATGCGCACTACGCCTTGCGGCAGCGGCAGTATCGTACGGAGTAGATGAGGAGCGTTCGTGGATCATGTCTGTCCCCGCTCCGAACCAAGCAGTCGGGGCTGGTTCATTCCTCGTCCTGGTCCATCGTGTAATCCAGCACATCCGTGTCCAACTGCCCCATCACCTCGAGGACGACGCCCAGGCTTTCCATAAAGCCGTTCACCGCCACGCGCAGCATGCGGTTTGTCGTCGCGCGGTATGTCACCTCCAGCGTGGACTTCTCCTGCGACTCGGACGGCGTCGCGGGGAGAAGAGCGAACTCGCGTCGGACGAACGGGGAGAGTTCCTTGTCGACTGCGATGGACTCGAGGGCGGACTGGGCGAGCCGTTCTGTCAGGAGCGGAATGGTGAGGGTCCTGTGTTGGAGGGGTTAGTATAGATTTTCGCAGAGGGGTTGTGCGTGGAGGGCTGTGGGCGGGATTACAGTGTGTATGGGAACTCGGTGGCGGAGGCGTCGGTAGACATTTTCTGTGTGACGGGTTCGATACTGGATAGTATTCTGCGGGATTGTTTGGACTAGTTTAGGTCGTGCGATTTGGTGCGAGTTGACGAGAAACTGCCTGGTGCATCAACGTGGGGAGCCAGATGGGATTTATGCGCTTAGTCAGCAGGAACACACAAGAACACATAAAACTGCATATTGAATTACATGCCAGATACTATATCAAGAAGCAGATGGCTCCTACGGTACGAAGTTAAGGAATATCTTAATAAAGGGTACTGTACAACTGCTCATTCCAAGAACCAAAGCCCATAGGCTCAACGAAACAAAAGTGGTATCGCTACTCTCACTAAACCATCGGAGACTGACATGAAGCGTTCGGATCGGTTCTCAATAAGAGACGAGGTCGTGAGAGGAAGCGTAAACAGGCGTCTGGCGACGTATTTACAGGATGTTCAGGATGCCGAGGGCGGAGGTGAGGTCACCTAATCACATTAGTTCGAGACCGACTCTGTGGATTATTCTGATGACTTACCAGCCTGGACAAGGGACAGGAGGTTGGTGAGGCCGGCGGTATCGAGGACACCTTGAGGATGTTAGTACATGTCACCTTGGACAGACATATCGTGGTGTCACTCACCAGACTGGACCTGCTGGACGATGTTGCCAGAGAGGCTGCTGAGGTCGTTGCCAGCGCGGATACCGAGGGCTGGCGATTGTTAGCGGCTTCGTTTCTGTCGGATTGATGGGATCACATACATCCGGTGACGGCGTCGCCGGCCTCCGTGACAGTGCCGACAGCGCTGCCGGCAACGCCCTCGACGGGCTCGGTCAGGGAGTCGACGAGCTCACGCTTGACGACGCCAGAGGTGCACTGGCCGAGCATGCTCTTGATGTTAGTGAGCTCTAAAGGACAGTTAGATCGGGCAACGATTTATTATGGACAATGTATGACTGACCAGACTTGACCTCGGTGAGCTGGGCAACGGGGGCAGTGCCGCCGAGGACGCCACCGAGGAGAGAGTCCAGGTTTCCGAGGACACTGGTCAGCTTGTTGACGGCGGAGTCAAGAGGGACGGCGGGCAGAGCAGCCGCGGAGGCGGTGCTGGCAACAGCGAGGGCAGCGGCGATTCCAGTGAACTTCATCTTGATTGTTGGATTGTAAGGAATGACTGAAGGTTGGGGTGAAAGAGTGGACCGGTAGCAAGAGGGCCTTGGAAAAGAATGACTTGAATGAGTGTGCTTGATTGGGGAGAAAAAGAAAGATCTCGAGAACTCGGAATCATTCCTCATTATATACATGCTATCGGAGAACTCCATTCACCCCTATTCCCCGGTTCTCAATCCATTCTGAGTGCCCAGCCCGATACATGTTGATCAGGGGGCGACATGGAGGAGAGGGAGGAGAGCAGCTGCCGAGTCCTGACAGACATGCCCGGTAAGATAGTTACATTTCCCCATGGAGTAGGACGTAATAGGGATCGACATGCACGGGGATTCTCTCACTCAATCAGCCCAATTGTCTGACTGGGAAGACTGGGTCATCACCGGGACTGGACTGGCAGAGCATGACGAGACTAGTTAACTAGTAGTAGTTGCGCCAGAGACACGAGGCCGAAGCTTAAAGTAGGTAAGCTTCTGATCACTGACCCGAGTGCAATTGGGTGTTATGGCCGCTCTTTCTCCGCCCGAAAGACCGCTAGGCGCTTAGTGGATACTACCTAGGTAAGTCGAGGACTTGTTGCGGTTGAGATGGGGTAGGAAAGGTCATAGCGAACGTGATGTGCAGCGTGTCTCTTGGTAGAGATTATATCGCACTGCAACCTGTTCACGGTACGAGATCGTCCATGTTGAAACCCATGTAGGAAGACCCGGCGTTGGTATGGCGGATATCCTGGGACACAGCTGGAACAGAAGAATTCTTCCCTGTTGTCTGGTTTGAACTTCTCCCCTCTTCTCTTGCACTTTGGTGGAGTGTTGGTGCTGTCGCACGGGGTCAGTGCTATTAAACCATTGTCGATCACGGCAGAGCAGCCCATAAGAGCCGTGCCCGGCTTTGAATAAACGTCACTGGAGTCTGTTAACCCGAACCTTAAGTGACAATAGTGGTTCTTGGTCGAAGGATCGTCACTTCTTCCTTCCGCGCCACATGCATTGTGTCCAGAGGATACACGAGGTATTTCTACCAGACAGTTAGGGATAATTCCTGACCGTCTATGCATGATCACTCAACTCCCAACGGATGGTGAAGGATTTAGCTTACTCCGGAGTCCAGCATCGGAGGAACTCCTAATTTGCGGTTGTTAGCGCCCCTGTCGATCAGATCCACCGCCATTCTCGTGAAAACCACTTTTTGGGGATTAACCAGAACGGCCGGGTTTAATAACTCAACAGGCTATACCAACCCACCATACCGATCATGATTGGCACTGTGTTGCATTTCTCTCCACTGATTGCTGGTTGCGAAACATGGCCGAGGCACCAGCATGGCAGCAGATCAGAGAACACCCGTCAAATGCTGAACCGCCCGCTGAGGAGACTTCGGGGAAGAGTGATAGCCCTATCCCCGTGTTGTCATGTGGGACTATGTACGTCTCGGCGGAGAACGTCCAACGGTCATTGTAATACCAGGATACAGGAGAAATGACAGTGGAATTCTGTGTCCATCGGGGTCCGCCCCGTGCTATTGTACAGCGTATTCTGGTGCCAGGAATTTTGAGCTGGACGGCATTACTCCGGAGTAGGCTTTTTATTGTGGCCCAAGGGGCTGGCTGAAAGGTCAGGGGTGGCGCCGTTACTCCGTACAATAAGTTTCGTGCAGTCTTGTTATGAGGCATGTCTCAACACTTGGAGGACTATAGTAGGCTACACTATCGACGGGTCAGTCTGAGACAAGAAAGTGCTGTTGATAATCCCAATAGTATACTTGGATCTGATATGGGACCAACTGTGCAGGGAACTACCGAGAGTCTCCTGTATTTCGGAGTTGATGTCTGTTTCAGGAGAAAGACTGGAGATGTCCAACGGTTTTCAGGTGGAGCCAAATATGAGTCCCGTCTCCCAAAGGAAGGATTTATGGGGCATGACGAGATAAGAAGCTCTGAAGCTGCGGACAGACATTGAACTTCGCCGAGGACAGTCACGACAGTGTTCCACATACGACTGGATGGTGCTCCGGGGCAATGGACGTCACCGTCCGAGTCAGACCATGACACATACATTTTGGGGAGTCTCATGCACCATGGGCATTTCTCGTGAAAACATGGTTGCAGTCATTCACTCTCGCTTCAGAAATCTATGTGGTAAGCGGTAAGCCATGAGATGGATGAATCGGGTGTGCTAACGCGAGGTAGTACTCGAGCATTTGGCCTTTGTCACGGACAACTCGATTGATCCAGGGTGATGTTGATCAGCAGAGTCCATATACGACCCAGTCCTCACGAATGCTCTAGTTGGATGGAGTGACAGGTACTCTGCAAAACCGCAGCAACCACCACACCACGTGACCAAACAAACAAGAGCCGGTGTTTGCATGGTTTGCCTGTGGGGGAGAGCTTGCTGACATCAGCAATGTTGTGTTGGTGCCTGAGGACGCTTGGCGTTGTCCTGTCAACGGCGGGCACTAAGCCGCATCGGGCGCATCACAACATAACAGCAGCCACTGAGCGTGCATCGCCGGAGCCAAAACGGTCTCCTCGAGCTCTTCATCCTTCTCTCGTGCGCTTTTCCTCTCCCAACTCTTTGCTCCTCTTCTCTTCCCCTCATCACCTCACGTCTCCCCGGACTGTTCTTTATATTCTCACTCTCACTCCTAACTCGCCTCGTGGCCTCCGTGTTTTTATCCTTACTCGGTTTGCAGGCGCGGGTGATCAGTCCGGTCAACAATTTTGGGAGCATCAACAAGTCACTGGCAGACCATGTTTGTTTAGATTGCCCTGACTGCTTTTGACTTATCCTCTCTGTTATTCCAGCCGCAAACTATACCTTGCGGCGATATCATTTGGAGGAATCATACAGACCTTCCTGTGTCCTGCGCCCCTGACGGATTGTTGATTATTGTTGGAACCTCGCAAGCAAAATGGCTGGAAATATTGGCGGCTATGGGCAGGTGATTGAGTACATCCAAGGTTCGTGATACTTGCGAGATCTTGCTTATTCTCACGTCGGAGGGTGCTGGTGCTGTTGACTAACCGTTTAAACACAGATCGTCTCTACCTCGCCTCTTACGACAACCCTCCGGACGCAAGAACCCCATTCCCATACCCAGTGGAGCAGCCCAAGTCTCCTAGCAAGCGTTCTGCGCGATCCCAGCAGAGCTCTCCCAGCAAGCGACGGAGCCCCGTATACTTTACCGTGGATGACACCCTTTTGTATAATTCTTTCCATGCGGATTTTGGTCCTCTGCACATTGGTCATCTCTACCGCTTTGCGGTCCATTTCCATGAGATTCTCGGAGACCCCGCAAACAGCGATCGCCCGGTCGTGTTCTACTCTCGGACGGACGCGCGGAGTCGGGCAAACGCAGCGTGCCTCGTCGCGTGCTACATGGTCCTGATTCAATCATGGCCCCCGCATCTGGCCCTTGCGCCTATTGCGCAGGCTGATCCACCTTATATGCCTTTCCGCGACGCCGGATACAGTCAGGCTGATTACATCCTGAACATCCAGGATGTTGTGTATGGTGTGTGGAAGGCCAAGGAGCAGTCTCTGTGCGGGTTAAGAGACTTCAGTCTGGAAGAGTAAGTCCTGTCCAATCTGAAAGGTGAACCCTTGACTGACAAGTCGCTCAGTTATGAGAAGTTTGAGCGTGTCGACATGGGCGATTTCAACTGGATCACTCCCGATTTCATCGCCTTTGCCTCGCCTCAGCACGAGCCGATTGCCCCGATTCCACAAAACACCCCCGAATATGATGCCTTGCCTGCCACGGTATCCGAAGTCCTCTCCTCCAGACTCCCTCTTCCTTTCAAGAATGTGTTGGCCCACTTTTCGTCCCGTAAGGTTGGGCTCGTTGTGCGCTTGAACTCGGAACTCTACTCTCCATCCTACTTCACGGCCCTAGGAATCAACCATGTGGATATGATATTTGAAGATGGCACATGCCCCCCGTTGCCTCTGGTGCGGCGCTTCATCAAGATGGCGCACGAGATGATCACGGTGAAACGCCGGGGGATCGCTGTCCATTGCAAGGCAGGATTGGGACGCACAGGCTGCTTGATCGGCGCATACTTGATCTACCGCTATGGCTTCACTGCCAACGAGATCATTGCCTTCATGCGATTCATGCGACCGGGCATGGTGGTCGGGCCTCAACAGCACTGGTTGCATCTCAACCAAGGCTCCTTCCGGGAGTGGTGGTTTGAAGACACTATGAAGGAGAAGCTTGCGGCTCAGATGCAGGCGACTCCCATCACGCCTGCCAGGCAATCTACCAGACAACGTGCAAACAATGGGCCAGTTGCCACCCCTCCGAACAATAGCCACTCTAAGCGCGCCGCGCTGGGAGAGATCGACCACAATGAGGGCGCTGGCGTTCCGTGCGAGGAGAACCTTCCGGCGCCAACACCTGGACAGCCTCGAAAATCCCACAGAAAAGACTCTCGCCATCATCCCTATGCTCGCACGACTTCTGGTAGCCTTGTTGTCGACAAGGATGGACATAAGAATGGGGAGCAACGGGGTCATCGACTGAGCAACGACAGCAGTGAGAGTGAAGAAGAAATTCAACTTCGCATGCTGGCGAAACGTTCCTCCAAGTCTCCTGTGGCCTCGCCGGGCCAGCGTTCTGTCAGTTACTCGGCGACCCTGACTGCCAGCTACACTTTGAACGACGATATCCACGAAGATCGCGAGAACTGGGGTGACTCGGGCTATGCTGCACCGAAGACACCTGTCAGCACCAAGAGTGGGAGCGGGGCGATTTCGGTGACCAAGGTTCGGTCAAGTCCTCGCCGGGTGACGGACAGCAGAAGCGAAACCAGGGGCATCCGCAAGCCTAGCGGCCGAGTTGGCAGTGCAGGAAGCCCGACTAGGGTGAAATGATGAACTCGCCGTCTTCTTTTGTCCCTGCGTATGATTCATCTTGATATCCTTCTCGCGTTCCAGTTCCCTTCTCGCATTGCTTTGCTTGTCTTGACAACCGGCTGCATGGATTGACCGTCCCTGGCTCCAGTTTCTCGATCTATTCGCATTTTCTAATGATTCCGTTAATCTTTGCTGTGGGTGTTGTTCTGGTTTCGGTGGAAAACTGCTGGGTTTGGTTATGTGTGTTAGGCGTACGGTTGCTGTTGATCGTTGAGCGATCTAGATGTTGGCATTGAGTGCATACGGTCTTCTGACTGACACGGATGCTTGTAATGTTGGCTAGCTTGTTACCAGTCAGGAGCCGAGTGATGATGCTATGTACTGTTGATTGACTTGTTGACTTGTCCTGTACGTATATGATCTACGTCGGCATGACAATTGGTATGACTTTCCTCCATTAGTATATAGAAGTAAACGGTTAAGGTAATCGTAGTGCCTCGTTCCACCGAGGCTGCAGTGCCTTACAGACTGCTCTTGGTGGTGGCCGTTGGTATTTGTCGACATCAATCGTTGGGGCATCTGCTTGTGTGGACTTGATGAGCCTCGGCACGCTTCCGTGGACCGAACGGCAGGAGTTGCGCAGCAACTAACGTAGTGAGACAACAGTCCCATTCACGTCTTCAGTCTAGATTTACGTTTCAGCGCAAAGGGAGTATTGTACCCGATAAATGGGGTTCCGGGTCAGCGTCCGCGTATGCGCTGGGAGCTGAGTTGCCAATGACAATCTCAAACGCTTCCATGCCCATAGAAGACGCCACCATATCCAGCCACCTGTCCACGGGGGCGAGTTGCTCCCGTTTGTCGGGCTGCAGCTTGGACACCAGACGAAACGGCACTACCCTTGACGGAAGGGCAGTCAATCCGTCGCCCAGAGAGCCCGGACTGGACGGCAAACTGGATGCGGACTGCGGACTCGCCCCATCGGGCACTACCAGATGCACCATCTCTTGACAGATGACGGAGAGATTGTGCTGGAGGAGGCCCAAGATGCGGAAACACACGTCAGTTGCGCGGATGAGGCCGTTCGCAAACTCCTCCGGAAACGACAAGGGGATGGGACCGATGAACGATGCGGTCTGGCCGGGTGCGGCGTGGGTGCGCGCAGCGATAGAAACCTGCAGCTCGCGGGTCAGGGCGCGGATGGCGTGGTCACAGCGATGGAGGCGCATTTCCAGCGCGCGAATGGCGGGCATGTCCTCGCGGGCGGCCGCGAGGGTGAGGCGACGCACGCGGGACACCAGGCCCGGCAGCTGGACGACCTCCATGAAGAGGCGGTCGGAGACGTCGATGACGGCAGAGATCTGCGGGGTGACGCGACGGTCGACCATGTCCTGGCAGCGGATCTCGTCAATGAGGCGCTGCCATTCGGGGGTCTCGAAGAGACACGGCTGGCCGTGGATGAAGGCCTCGGCGACGAGGAAACTGCGGAAGGAGAGGTACAGGCAACGGTCGAAGCCGGTGAGGTGGGCGCGGGCGCCGCGCAGGGACATGAGCAGGGCGGCGCCGCGGGCGTGGCGGGCCCACGAGTGCTGGTCTGTCCGGAGGTAGGTCTCGAACAGGCTGAGGAGGATGGAGGTGCTGACGGCGACGCGGGAGGCGAGCTGCGTGCTCCCGGCATTGCTGTGGATGATGGCGCCGAAGGCGGCGAGGGCCTTGCCGTAGATCTCGCGGCTGGACCTTTGGAGCTTGTCGTCGTTGTGCGAGCGGCCAAGGAAGACGGAGGTGATGCCGCACACAGCGCCGTCGAGCGCAGGGTTTTGGCCCAGAGTGTCGGCGACGTAGACGGTCCAGGGGACGTGGACGCGGTACCGGTTCAGGCCAAACCAGCGGGGGAAGGCCGTGAGGACGAAGACGCGGAAGAGCTCAGGCTGCTGCTTGGTCATGGATTTGGAGACCAGCGAGGGTGCGACGCGCTCGTCGATGGAGTTTCGAGGGTGTGTGGTGCTGGTGCTGTATCGCTTCTTCAACGCGGGGCCTTCGTCCAGGAATTTACGGGTGCGTGCATAGCCCGGACAGGGGACGCGGTGCTTTTGACATTGGGAACAGGATGGGCGTAGTGTATCGCACTTGAAGTTGGGGATGGAGGATCAGTCATTCTTGCATGGCGAGAGGTGCGCGTGTCGCATGGTGGTGAGAAGCCAAACCTTGACGCGGCGCTGGATGCACGTCTGGCATCCGGTGCTTCGGGGGACGCCGACCATCCTAGCGAGTTGAGTCGCATTCCTCCGTTGATGGGGAGAGGAAGAGGAAGAGCGGAGGAGGTGTTTGTTGGGATGGTTAATACATGGTGTAGAGGTGTAGAGGTGTAGAGATGGAGGATAACGAAGAACTTAGGTAGAGAGAAGATGAGCCCTAAATTCCACGCGCCGATTAAAGTTGGACGACTGTTTCTGATTAGGAAGGTGCAGATGCCCAAGTAGGAAGTCGATGGGCATACGACAAGACGCCAATTAACGCCAATTAATAACAGCAATCAGATTAATCTTAATGTCGGCGTCTGTCCGACAGCCAAGCGTTCTTCCATGGGTCCGACGCCCTAGTGTAAGACATGGGCCCTAATGTTTACTTGTGATCGTCTACTCCGTACTCTGTACTCCCTTCACTATGGGCGCCAGCTGGTCATCGCGCCCCAGATCCTGCAAGGCAATCGACATACCCTCGCCTGTACGGCCATGCGGTGCCCTCCGTCTGTGCTACCCGCCCCGACGACTGTTACACCGATCTCTAAGAGGAGACGTACTTTGTGCAGCATCAAAACCAGGAATGCATCGTGGCCTTTCAATGCCAGACTGACGACCCATTGATGTACATCGCCGGATCGTCAAGCGAGTTGGAACCCCCCAGACTCTTGCAACTGCCGCTAGAACACCGCAAGAGTAGATATCTCGGCCGTCTCCCTCTCGGTTATCTACTGGAAAAGCTGGATCCTGGCCCGCTGACCGGGACCAATCTGCCGCCACTGACGACCTTTTCTTCTGACGGCAGAGAGCCCCTGCTCTTGCTCTTCTACCGCTGGGCGCTTCAGTCGCTCTTCCTCTTGGCCTTCCTGCATGAACAGGGGGGCTACCTGATGGATTTTAGCTCCAGTACGATCTGGGTCAGAAAGGATCTCTTCATTGCTCTATCTGGATTTGTGAATGCCACGATTCCTACAGATGAATGGCCCTACTCTCCTGATGGGACTCCATATGAAGCCGAAATCTATTGTACTAATGTGACCAGTGGACATCCCACACTCGACCCCAAGATTGATCTATCCGACTGGGCTACCTTTGTGTGGAGATGTATGAGAAATGACCTAGCAGCACATGACCCGACCGTTGACGGGGTGAAGGCGTGGGCTCTGCCGACAGATCCATTGGACCCAACGGAGAAGCCAGGGGAGCAGGTGAATCCATGGGAATTCCACCAGGAACGGCTGAAGGAGGCCAAGCTGCAGCTATTAGAAGAGGAGCGATTGGGTCCGATCCTACTCAAGGCCTGGAAGGGAGAGTATGAAAATGCTCGGGAGATCCTGCAGGAGGTGCGATTCTATCCCGAGAAGATTGGGGTTCGGATGGAAGGGGAAGATGAGGTCCTTCCGGACGATGGGCGCAATTGGGAGGATATCTTCACGGTTCTGAGGGAAGATGGCGTCCGCTGGAGTCGAGAGATTCAATACCTATGACACCAGGTGAATCTGGGCCATCACCCAGTGACTAGGCGATAGACGCCTTGTCTCATGCTAATGGTTTGGTCACATTGAATGCGACAATATCAGCTCTCGGGGGCGGCAGCCGAGCCCCGTCGCACCCCAGTCAACGAAACACTATATAAAGCCGCAGAGAGACCTTGCGCCACTTAGGCTGGCCTAACATCATCTTCTTCACGTTTTGCCATGGCGACTTCCTCTAGCGAACATATTGACCCAGACGTGGAAAAGGGCCCGAAGCAAGAGTCGCTGGTAGAATGGGATGGCCCCGGTGATCCAAACAACCCACATAACTGGACTCCCAGATTCAAGTGGTTCGTGAGCGCAGTGCTGGTAACCCTGCCTCTGATTGTCAATATCGGAAGTAGTGTCATGAGTGGAACGCTTCGCTCGCTGGAGGCTGAATTCCATATCGGCCCTGAGGTCGCTGTCCTGTCCACCACTACCATGTTCCTAATTGTAAGAAGAAACTCCCATCTCCCCAGCCATATCTGACTATCGCCCGAATGCTATAGGGCTTCGTTTGCGGTCCGTTGATATTCGGGCCTCTATCGGAAAAGTACGGTCGACGATGGCCTATTCTCAGCGGCGTGATTCTCTTCGCGACATTTTCCATCCCCGTCGCAGTCGCCCAAAACTTCTACACCATCCTAGTTTGTCGGCTGCTGAGCGGCGCATTCGGGGCCTCTTCAATGGCCGTCACGGGAGGTGCGCTGACTGATGTGTGGAATTTGGCCGTGAGCCGTGGCATAGCGTTGGATGCGTTTGTGGCCACGGCCTTTATAGGGCCGGTGATCGGTCCCATCATCGGGAACTTTATCACCACCAGCTACTTAGGCTGGCGGTGGACTATGTGGGTGACGCTGATTGTGGCCTACGCTTTCTCCGTCATTGCTTTTATCGCACTGCCTGAGACGTACGGGCCTGTGCTGTTGACCGAGAAGGCGGCGAGGTTACGCTTCGAGACGAAGAACTGGGCACTGCACAGTAAGGTGGAAGAGGAGCGCACGACGGTGAAGTCTTTTGCCCGGAACTATCTCGTCCGCCCTTGGGGTGTGTTGTGTCCCTGCAAGACATGGCGGAAAACCGCAAGCTGACTTCGAGTTTCTGATGTAGTGTTACTTGCCACAGAGCCGATCATGATGCTCGTCACGCTATACATGAGCTTCCTCTACGGACTCTTATTCCTCTTCTTTGAGGGCTTCCCTACATCGTTCGTGGAGGGAAGAAGATGGGCGCCGCAGATCGGTTCTCTCGCGTTCGTGAGCCTCCTCGTGGGCGTTCTTATCGGTCTCTCCGGAATGGTGTGGTGGTCCTTGACCGTGTTCGCGCGCCAGATCAACTCGACACCGGACAAGATCGTGCCGGAGCGTCGATTACCTCCTATGATGGCCGGTGCCGTCGGCCTCCCTATTGGGCTTTTCTGGTTTGCCTGGACGAGTAACCCCGGCATCCACTGGGCCGCAGAGATCATCGCCCCGGCCCTAGTCTCGGCATCCATGTTTGCCATTTTCATCTCCGGGCTGAAGTACATCGTCGATGTGTACCTGATCTACGCCAACAGCGCCATCTCCGCGAACACGTTTGTGCGGAGCTGTTTTGGTACATGCCCTACATTCTCCTTGGTACACATACAGTATACTGACGGATAAGCAGGTGCCGGGTTTCCTCTGTTCGCAGGCGCCATGTACCACCGGTTGGGCTTCGCATGGGCAACAAGTCTACTGGCGTTTTTGGCGGTGGGATTGGCGCCGGTGCCGGTAGTCTTTTACGTTTTTGGCCATCGGATTCGCCTCTGGTCGAAAAGGTCGGCAAATAAGGGCTAGCCGAAGCCACGGCGTCGTGGTGGTACCGACCTCCCACCGTGCGCACTGAAGACTAGGGGTGGCATTTGAAGACAAACGCTGAAATCAAGATACATTGCACGAGCGATGGCTTAACTGAGCTAGGTCCCTGAAAGCAGACTCTCAAAAAGCTCAGAAGCAAAGTAGTAGTCAGATGAATCAAATGTCTCGTAAGCTTCTACCGTATCATGCTGCGTAGTCTCCCCTAGGCCGGTGCATGAAGAAGCCAGTCCACGAACATCAGAGGTCAGCATGTCGCAACCACCCCCTTGATCAGTACTGGAGGGCGTCATTAGCGATTGTGCTGAATGGGAGTATGCGACCCCATCTTGGACCATGCGCATGAGGTCTGTACACCAAGACACTCCCTGGTACAGCTTTGCTGCGTAGGCTCCTGGGAAATCGGCGCATCTCAAAGTGCCCAAGTGTTGCCGGATATTGTCTAACAGAGCAACGGTTGATGGGGAGTCGTCACCGCGCCCTGTCAACAGGCGCACGCAAAGGTCGTGGAATGCAACGAGAGGGTAGTTCTGAAACATCCTAAGCGATCATTACCAGTCTGTATCGTCGCAATACGCGCGTCCGCACAGAACAGAGAAAATGCTTACCGACGGAGGACAAGACAGCTGTCCGGGCTCACGGGCTCCTGGACGACATCCGTGACGGATCGAAGGGCCGAAAGGGCATGATCTCGCGTTGTCTGCCACCCGTCTGCGGACACATCGCACCGATTGATCAGGACTTTGCTGACGTGGTAGCAGTATTTTGCTTCCATCTGCATCAGGGATACGCCTAGGGTGTTGTTCGAAGACGAGGACTTCAACAGAACTTGGTGCTGTTGCTCCCACTCATTGCACACACGGTCCAAAGCGCGAACTTGATCCCGCCGCTGCTCGGAGCTCGATCGGATAGCGCGTGCGGAGTACAGGCCCAGGTAAATATCCTCCCACAGGCTCATGAGCTGCAGCGAGGCGGCGTGTAACCGATCCGTTGGCGCGGTGCCCACCTCGGCCAACGGGGGCTGGAAGTCCGAGTCAAACAGATACATATCCGGCGCCTGCCCGCTGAGAAACACCCGCTGCTTATCCAGCGCGTAGAGGATCCAGAATAGTCGCTGTCGCGTTTGTGCGGTTTGTTCGTTCATGCCGCTGACGGATCGGCTGAGGCCCATGGTGCGCGCCAGCGCACAGGCGGCACGGCACACTTTTTCGTAGACAGAGCTGAGGAAGAATTCTCGAGCAACGAGGGTCTGCGGGCGGTTAGTGATAGAGGAGCGATGTTAGGTACAGTCGCTCACCAGTGTGATGAAGGCTTGGATATTGACCAGTGTTGGTTGGGACAGCGCATCTAGGTTGGCTAGAGCACGACGGCAGTTCACTATGCTGGTTGATATGGCATCATGTGTCTTTTCACTGGAGTGCGTCTTGAAGCCCGCTCGCTGGCCTACCAAGGAGTCAAGATTCGACGTTAGCAATATGATGCCATGGAAGCAGACAGCCCAAGCCGGATTCCGGTCCGCGCTGTCAGCCCGATAGCATGTTTCGATGGAGGCGTAGATAGAGCTCGCCTCAAACACCGGCATATGAACATTGATGTGGCTCAAATAGCGATCCAACAGCGAATACAAGAACTCCTGCATCGGGTACGAAATGGGTAGCTGGTCACTGGTAATAGGTGGTTCCGTGCATCTTTGCCGGAAAGGAAATGTTTCGTAGTGACACGCAAGAGACTGTCCCAGGGAAGGATTCTGCCCTGCCGCTGCTAGCGGTCCTTGCAGCAGCAGAGTCTTTGTATGGCCCGTTTCCAGCTTCCCAAGAGCTGCACCGAGCAGCTTGTGGGAAGCCCGGAAGAGACATAACGCAGCTGGATACGCATGGAGTTGTTCGCCATCGCCGTTTGTCACGAGTACATTCCTGGCTGTGGCGTCGCTAGAGCCTCCCTCAACGGTAATTGCACCGTCTGCTGGCGGTGAGGACGGTTTATCGTGGCCATCGTCCGCTGTTGACGACGCAAACAGAGACCATGGCGCTGTGCGCGTCAAAGATTCAACTTGCTGTGAGAGCCGCGCTAGGGATCGATCTATATCATTCAGCCTCTCGGCTACGGACGAGAAATCGCGGAGGCTGGTCAGTCAGTCAGTCAGGTTCTTCCATGCTAATGCTGCCGGGTCTTACAGTTGCTTGGCCGGGTTGGTTCTCTTGAAGGACGCAGAGAAGTCACACGGAGTTTTGGCCCGACGACACGATGAACATTCGGGCTTGGCCCTGTCGCAGCGGATCTGCCCAGTAATTAGATGCGAGTCCGTCTTGGGAGGGAAGACTGACCTTTCGCGAGCGACACTTGTTACAGGCTGGCGTGGGGTCAGGCGGGGGACTCGACCGCCGTCGTTTTCGATTACTGTCCTGCATCACGTAGATTGAATTGACGATGGATAGCAGTGTTTCTGGGTTGATTATTCAAGCAAGAGAATGACTCGTCCACTCGATGAGGTTGGTTGGTGATCGGTGCGGGTGCTCGGTCCTCGGCTGCCGTACACCGAAGGAACCAAATCGGACCACAGGTATCTTAGTGTCGAGGACTCGAGGAAGGAGCCAAAGAGAGTGGAGTGGATGATCAAGAGATGGGCGATTGATTCGTTGAGCGCTCACTAAGCCTTAGTAGGTGATAAGAACACTCAGTGAGCAACGTAGAGCGACCAAGGTACATATATGACTGACTCCCATGCATATTGATAGTTCGCGTTATTGACAAGACTCCTGCACTTCCAGATGGGCAGTCATCACGTACCGTTTTGCGGGCACATGACTTGCAACCAGCTGGCAGACGATGTCGCTAAATCCCAGAGAGCGCAGAAACTCCGCGCCAATTGTTTCATGGTCCATGCGTCCGACATTCTCTGAGCTGTCTTTGAGGCTCATCCGCACTTCTTTTGTCGAGTCCAGTGGGATGATTTGTCCGATGTCGTGTAGAAGGGCTGCAATCACGAGCTCACTTCCAGCCTAGGCCAGTTAGCTACCTTTATGTTGCATATTGCGATAAGTGATTCAGGAACGTACCTGACTTTTGGGCTTGGTTGGCAACTTGGAGAGAGTGCTTCAGCTGGCTGATTGCTTCGCCGAGCTTTAAGGCATTTTTGGTAGAGGATAGGGTTGATGTCAGTCACTATGGGGAGGGGAAGGGGGAGTTTAGTATAGATCTATGCTTTGTAGAATGAGGTAGACACGTAGGTGTTCAAGTATGAGGTACTAGGTATATAGCATTAACTAGACAATGACAAAGTCTATACCTGGGAAGTATGCATCGCCAGGGCTGCTTGATCGCTGAATCCAGAGCAGAAACACCACAACCTCCTAGAAAGTGGCAAGAACAAACCGCTGTACTCGACAAAGCATCGTTGAAACATTCCACCCCTTGACCACGCGAAACAAATGTCGCAGTCGAGGGCGAGGGCACAAGATTCACGAAGCGATGTAACAGCAAACCCAAACCCCAACTCCTGTACAATCACACAAACATAAAACATAACATAACATAACATCAGTCATACCATCCATACAAAGTCGTTACTCGGATGCGATTCTTGGATATAGTAGGCCCGATGACAGAGCGGACAGTTGAAGTGGTCCTGGAGGTACCACTTTTCGAGGCATTCCTTGTGGAAAACGTGCAGGCATTTGAGTTCGTGAATTTCCTGGGCGCGGAGGACGGATTCGAGACAGACGACGCTGGTGTCGGTGTCAGTATACATGGATCGTAGCGCATCGCGAAAATGAAAACATAAAAGAAAGACAACCATACCAGATAAATTGCCCGTCGGCCCCTTCGGACGGCAGAAGCGGCCCCTTGGCTCTCGACCACCATTCTTCGAGGGTGCGCGTGGGCGACACGGCATCCAGCTTGCGCAGTTTGTCGCTGGGATCGCGCTTCCGCTTGCAGTTGGGACGGCGCTCGCGGCGGTTGATGAAGACGGTTAATCTGGAGGGGGTTAGATGGGGAACAGGGACTCGCGATCGTGCGGAAGGAAACTCACAGGAGACACATGATGATTAGACTGACCACGCCGAGCCCGATGCCCAGGACAATGGCCAGGTGGTGCTTCCCGCTGAAGTTCTGGTCGTTCTCCGACGACAACCCCATATTCCACGTCGCTAGGACGATGGGAGGTCGCCGGGCGGGCGGTATGGCAGAGGGGATGGGTGGAGGGAGAAGTGGAAGAAGGTAAAGGGAGGAAGAGGATAGGAAAGGTATGCGATGGGGATGTAGATAAGATGTGACGACAGAAGCACAAGCTACCCCTCACCCCATGGGGGTCTGGGCGAATGAAGGACTCGGGTTCGCGTGACGGGTGGGGAGAGGGGGAAAAAACGATAGAAGAGACGATCAGGCCATCATATCGTCATCTTATAGTTAAGTTACTCCTACCAAGGAACCCTCTATCCTGCAAAGTAAGACTCCCGTTGAGAACCCCAAGACAAACCACCAACCGACTCGACAACAGGTATTGTGAAAGAAGATCGACGCATTCATCCCGCTCGGGGAGCGACAGTGCATGCGCGAATCCTTCCCTCGACTAACTAACTGACTTCCTTGGCGCATGGACAAGGGAATGGATGATCAGACCACTCGCAATCGTCAGACTCTGGACAAAACCCCTCTGATCTCCTGGAACCAGGCGCCTGGAGAGCCTTCCGTGCAAACCATCTGCGGCTTGACGAACTCTAAGCGGGAACAACACAGCGGTCATGTGAAATCGTCCTTGCTTTAGTGCTTCAGAGTGGTGCAAGCATGCATGACGGCTGCATGTACGACGATCATCAGTGAGGGGACAGACCGCGTTACGGAGTACCATCATATCTACCCCTACGTACACCGCTAAGCTCGGTCGTCAGAATTCATGTCTCATCTAGCATCCTATCTACGAGTTATGCGAGGATTTCACTCCAACAAATCATTCACACTCCAGTGTGCTCGATGTTCGTCGCCGACCCCTGCGTCTCCTCCTGTTTCTCGTTCACCTGCTCCGGCAAAGTACCCAGAGCCCGTCCTCCGAAGAGCAGATCGATCTCTTCAAGAGACTTTTGCTTCGTTTCGACAAAGAGAAAGTAAATGGTGGGGAAGGTGACCAGCAGATCTAGAGCAGTCTCGGGTTAGACACATCCACACCACATTGGAACGGAACGTACTGAAGGCGGCAAAAACAAAGTTGAACTTCCATCCGATGCTGCCCAGGGCAATCGGCGACACCTGCGCCCACAACGTACTGACAGCCCAGTTGCCAACGCCCGTCGCAAAGGCGTTGCCGGTACCTCGGATCTGCATCGGCATGACTTCGGCCATGTACGTCCTACATCCCACGTCAATAATCCGGCATAGAGCTACAACCGCAGAATACTCACCAGCTGCATGGTCCAAACGACAAGGAGAAGATGACCGTGACGCAGAAGATGAAGAAGACACCTCCGATACTGTAGCCATGCTTGGTTCCGTCCACGTTCTGGGAGTTTAGAGCCGCTTGGCAAACCAGTACAATGCCAATAGCTACCGCCCCGAACATCATCGGCTTGCGGCGTCCCACTCGATCGGACAAGAAGATGATGAAAATCAAGTTCGTCAGGGGTCCAACACAATTGTAGATACCCGTCACCAGGATGTTCCGCCCTCCCGTAATGCCAAGTGAGTTGTACATGATGGTTTGATAGTAGTTGATGACATTGATGTTGGTCATCTGGGTGAAGACCTGGACGAGAGTACCGTGTCTAGAATAGTCAAGTCAGTAACCTGAGCGATGAAAGTGCCGGGTGGGAGACGTACAGCAACCGCATCCGCCATTGGGGAACCTTGAACATAATGGCCCAGCCCGGAGCCGTGATGGCTTTCTCTGCCTCAATCGTTGATTTGATCTCGTTATATTCCGAGTTGATCCACTCCTCATTTGTCCCGTCATAGTGTAACCTCCGGAGGACCTTTTGCGCTTCTTCGTAGCGCTCCTTCTCCACCAAGTAACGCGGCGACTCCGGGAAGAAGAACATTCCAATGACGAGGAGCAGCGCAGGAACGGTCTGGAACGCCAGAGGGAAGCGCCATTGGAATTCACTGGTGACAGGGGCATGGAGCGAGCCGAATCCAACCCAGCTAGCCCATGGTCAGTCTCGCCGTCAGTACAAAAAAGGGTGAGGAACATACGTGCTGACAATAAATCCAATACCGATCATCTGCTGAGCTAGACCGATAATGAAACCACGGTACTTTGGATGAGCCAGCTCGGCTTGATAGACGGGGACCGACATGGACATGAGACCCACGGCCCACCCGGCCAGAATTCGACCAACTAAGATCATAGCAAGATTTTTCGCCGCAGCCTGTAGAATAGCACCAACGAGGCAAATTACGGCACCCATCTGAATGGTGAATTTACGACCAAATCGGTCCATGGTCAGACCTCCCTGGAGGGCCCCAATGGCAGCTGAAGGTTGTCTATCAGCGAGATACGGCCAAGCATAGTATAAAAGAAAGGGGGAAAGGCTTACCACCGCCAGAGAACGTGCTGTTGATAGCCCCGACAATAGCAGATGTCTGCGTAGTGTTGAAGTAGGCGAGGAAGTTTTTCGACTCGATCACATCGGTCATGACACCACTGTCGTACCCAAACAGGAACGAGCCAGTTGCCGCAAATGCGGCGATTGCAATAGCGTAGACCCGACCCATCTTGAATGGCAGAGCGCTATATTACCCTCAAGCGACAGGCCCGCAACCACTGACCAGGGGTAGGAAATTCGTAGGATAAGAAAGACGGGGTAGACAAGGAGAGGGGAGAAACGAAAACCGGGGAAATACCGGCGGGGCACGACATTGTCTATATAGATTGGGATCTACCATATTATCCAAACGAAGCTTGTCGAGGATGAGGATCAAGACGCCGCCATGGCTTGACCCCGGTCAAGAGAGATGGACTGACCGGTGGGCGGAAGAGCGAATAGATGGCGGGGGAGAGAGGAATGACTGGGATGAAAATCCGGGGCGCACGGCGGAGCCGACGCTACGTCTCGCGCCGTCGACTTTTTGGCCACCCGCAAAGCCCGTTATTGGTGCAAAGACATGTTCGGGACGAATCTGGGCGGCCAGTCTCATTTCGCTGTCTCCCGATCTGATTGCAGGACGAGAACCTAGGCCGGGATTGTCTGGATGGATTTTGCCTCAATGTGAAATTTTTCCGTTCAGTCATCCTGTGACGACCAACCAGGTCGCCTCCAGCTCACGTTAAGAGTTCCCGTGCGTGTCCAACCTTGTTTGGCTTCACCATCACCAGTCGGCCCAGCGGCCCCGGTTACCGAGTCGGAGAGATTGCGTTGACAGGCTTTCACAAGCGAGCCGCTAGCCTGGAGTCTAGATTCGAGAACCATCGTTTCCCCGTTTGTGTCCTGAACGTGGTTCGGGAGTGGGGATCAGAGTGAACGGGAGGCCGAGGAGAGACCGTCAGCTCGTGATGGAGGGTGGGGGGTGTACACACGGAGTAGTACATAGTACATAACTCCGCGGTAAGGAGGTTGTGGCCTCCGGACTTCCGAGAAACAAGACGGGACAATCAGGACAAAACTGGCAAGGAGAGTCGTCCGATGCCTCAGACTGCAAGTCGCGATTCAGGGTACTCCGTATGGAGTTAGTACCGGAGGTTATACGGAGGAAGCAAAAGGACTATGCCTATAACGGTTAGTACAAAAGGTTCTCCGTGGGACTTTCCCTGCTTGGAATTACTGTAGATAAGGTAATCACGTGGTGATAACTAGCACGTGCATGGCGCCGACGCTAACCGAAAGCGGTATTTATGATGTTTTCGATGCTCGTCATCCAGGCACGAATCGATCCTCCGAGTTACCAGGTCCCTATCTGACGCCTAGCATGTTTTAGGTAATTGGTATCGGATGGCTTTCCAATCCATGTTGCATGTGATCTTTGTCCTACACACCTCTTTCCAAAATGGCATCCATAACCCGATCCAGCACTATGCCGCAGCTGTCGGCGCCATCTCCTGCACCTTCGGAGTCCTCCATACAGCCTACAAGGCCCAGCCTTGAGCCCGAGGGGGAAATCTTAGCTACGCGGGGTCAGCGTCTAGCTAGTCTTCTTCGCCGACGCTCGGTCTCTTCCCAGGGCCACGAATTCGATGATCATATTCGGCCCGAGGAAGGTCAGGGTCCTCGCGACGCCGACACTCCATGGGAACGCGCCTTACGCTTGATTGGGGATAGTAGACCGATCTACAATTGGTATGCCATGACCGATATACCATTGGCGCCCGAGGGTTAATGAAGTATACAGGCAGCTTTACTACCAGCCGCCGGAGACGCTGAAGAAAATGCGGGGAGCTGTGTATGTTCCCCCAACACATGTGCAGTACCATCTTAACGCTAATATTTGTTAAGTCGCGAGTATTACGAACACAATAACAAGCTCATATCGCAATACGTCTTTATTGATCGACTACTCGACTCATCACTCCCTCATCGCCTGATCGACGACTACCAACACCCGCGATTCAGCCCCTGTGGACAGGATACCGTTGGCCCCACGAATGGGGAAGCACACGAGCAAGGCCATTATGGCGCGACTGAAGGAACAGGGAAAATTAAGCGGACCCCTCGGAATCTCTACCGCATCCCCAGTGAAAGCTCGCTGCTCCTGCCGCCGGTTGCAGACGAGAACGCTCCCTCGCCCGATCTATTACCCAAGGATGATGATGGCTTTGTGGACAGCGGAGATCGTGTTGTTACTGTGGCTATATACGTCAACTTCGTCGCGAATGTCTTCTTGCTGGCGGCAAAAATTGTCGCCATGTCGATGACGAATTCGCTTTCGGTGCTTGCCAGTCTGGTCGATGGTGCATTAGACTTCCTCAGCACCGCGATCGTTTGGTTTACCACCACGCTTACCAATAAAGAGAACAAATACCAATACCCTATCAGTCGGCGGCGGCTCGAGCCTTTGAGCGTCCTCGTCTTTGCCGTCGTGATGATGACATCCTTTGTGCAGGTGGCCTTGACCTCGGCCGGTCGACTTGTGTCGGATGATCACTCCGTGGTCCAACTGACGGTGCCTTCGATTGCTGTCATGGCCAGCACGGTCGTTGTCAAATTGGCGTGCTGGTTGTGGTGTCGCATGATTAAGAATTCTAGTGTCCAGGCTTTGGCCCAGGACGCAATGACTGATGTGGTCTTCAATCTCCTCAGTATTCTATTTCCGTTGAGTGAGTATTGTCATGGCGCACGCGAGACACTCGGGATTAACAGGCTCTAGTTGGCTCTTTTACGGGAACCTGGTTTGTCGACCCTTTGGGCGGCCTGCTGCTCTCTTTGTATATCATCTGGAACTGGGGCGGGACCGCCGCCGAACATATCCGCCATCTGACCGGTGCCGCGGCATCACCTACCGACCACAGCATTCTGCTCTACATGACTATGCGATTCTCGAAGTCGATCCTAAACATCCAGAACTTGAAAGCGTACTATGCCGGCGATTTACTGAATGTGGAGGTCGACATCGTCCTGGAGGAGAAAACTAGCCTCCGTGACAGCCACGATGTGGGGGAGAGTCTGCAGTATATGATCGAAAGCGTGCCCACCGTCGACCGCGCGTTTGTACATCTGGATTACGACCCGTGGAACATTCCCAGTCATATGAATCAGCGCGAGACATAGCACCATGCACGGAGATTTTGAAATTTGACATGCAGTCATCCTGGCGCGCTGCGGCATGCGTCACGTGATGTCGCGTCGAGCGCGTTTCGGGCCGACACGACGGGAGTAAATTTCCCGCGCGGTGTAATTTGTACGGACTATCTCGACAAATACAACCTACTGTTAGTAACAAGGCAACCCGGTCGGAATCCCATGACAGCGATGCCATTGAGCACTGTGGACAGAATGCTGGACCGGAGTCTATATGACCAATGCCTACTTACGATTCTCTCATCTTGAGGCTCGTGGTTGGTCTCCATAATGCTGCTCCTTGCTTCCAGACGACCCACTGCCCTGGGATGGCTCTCTGCGACACCAATTAGACATCACTGCAGCCAGCCGGAATGCAATCGATGCGGCGAACAGCTAGGAGCGTTGCACTCTGTAAATTGGTATCGATCACGTAGTTGCAGTCCGACTGGACTTGGACTCGCCGTATACGAGCAACGAAGGAATTACAGTAAAACCAGGGTCAACCAGAAAGATTAGACAAAATCCGACGCGTAAAACACTATGAACCACCTAGTACAAGACATGAAGTTTAGCAATTGCAATTCTTTAGCGAAAGAAATCAAAAGGTCTCGTGCGGGTGGGCGGGATCGGCCGAACTAAGAGTTCCTTACAACGCCTGCACGGTGCGCCGCCGCGTCTACATCGCGACGCGATTAATGAAGCGTCTTTTTCCTCCCTCACGCTGGGGTACCTCCACTCCTGATCTTTAGTCCCCCCAGCTGCTACCAGAAATCCCATTCTGGTCCATTCCCACCTCTCTTCTCCGATCATTGTGTTCTCCTCTCCTCCCATCTTATCCTCATGCTCCCGTCCTGACCTACCCACATCCATCATGTCTGATCCGGAGCCTTCTGTGGCGGCCTCGTCCTCCCCGCCATCAGCCCAGGCGTCCGATTCTGCTGCTGCCGCCGCCCTCAACTACGCCTTTCTCGTGCACTCGCAGAAGACTCTGACCCAGAACCTTCCTCCACGCGTGGATAATAAGCTGCTGGCTCGGCAGAAGCGTCGTCGGACGAGGTATATCGCCAATGTCGCCCCATTCGCGCGCGTTCATGCGTGACTGACCTGTGACTCTTCCTTGTATAGTCCCGAGGACCATGCCATTCTCGAGGCCGAGTATCAACGCAATCCCAAACCCGACAAGGCGGCCCGTGCCGATATAGTCAGTCGCGTGTCGTTGGGAGAAAAAGAGGTCCAGGTACGCGACTCGAACAGAGCGAAGGCCTGTTTCTACGCGTTTGTGCACGATGCTGACATTTCGCCTCGTTCCAATACAGATATGGTTCCAGAATCGGCGGCAGAACGATCGTCGGAAGTCCAAACCGCTCCAGCCTCATGAACTCGTTGCCCCGCGGTCCGCCGACACGTCGAAGCAGAGTGGTAGTGATGATAATCTCCCGACGGAACTGGAGTCTTCCAGCGGAGCGGAGCAGGATGAGGGGAACAGTCAGGATACCAATTCCCCCGACCACGCGTCTTTCGAGTCAGACGGAGTACATGAGGATAAGGACGGGTTTGTACAGCAATCTTCGCAGGCAAGTGCTGCGTCGACGGAGGCTGTGGAGAGTAGTCAACCTGCACCAGAAGAGTCTAGGCCGGAGCCGGAGCCCGTGCAGGACCCTGAAGTCGTTGATGAGTCCCAACAGGGCTCGGCTAAAAGAAAGCGATCTGTTTCCGACCTGCGGGAAGCCCGACCCATCGTGCAGCAGGCGACAACACCCAATGGGATTCAGACAATGAAGTCGCCGCCATCTCTGCGAATATCACTATCGTTTGACGGGGAGGCAATGGTCAGAAAGGAAGGCGAGTTGACCCCCTCGCCGCCAAAGGGACGCAACGCACTCCGGATTGCCATGTCGTCGGACGGAAAGGCAGTCATTCGTGCGGAAGGAGAACCCTCCCCGTCCAAAAACCGGATTTCTATGTTTTCGACGCGCAAGTCTCGTCTGGGGGGACTCCGAAGAAGCAACAGCGCGGTTGTGCTAGGGACCCCGCGTGGCTCCATCGAGAAAGAGAGGCTATTCGGGAGGTCTCGCGACCCGAGAAACTGGGAGTCCTTTGTCGATACCGACGCACGGAGCGCCTTGTCGACGCCGACGAGCTCACAGAGCAACCCGCATTCTGGATCCCCCGCGCTGTTCCGCTCCAGCAGTCAGCGCTCGCTGACGCGAAGCTTGTCCGCAAGACACTCGAACAACCTGGCAGCTGCTTCAGCCGATTACATGAATACCCCCGTTCCCCAGCCGTCGAGAGAGAAGCGGCGGAAGATCTCTCGCACCGTTTCTTCTCTCGGTCGTCTGGAGTCCAGCATGAGCGCCCCCAACAAGTCGCTATACACATCCAAAACACCCAAGACGCCAGCCCACGGCGCCAAAGACGATTTGGACGGCGGTGATTCCGACAAGGAGAACTGGATACCAGGAACCCGGGTGACGCATGCGCGTCGGCGGCCCACCACGCACCAACAGTTCCAACGATCCGTTCTCCGCGAATCCAACGGTCGCGATGGCCGATTGACCAAAGGCTTATCCGCTGGCGGTAAACAGTCTCGGAAAGCTAGCGGCGGTAACAGCAAGACGGCGCCCCCGGTAGATGCCGAGGTGTCGGCTTTTATGTCCGGCGGAGGCAGCGCCAGTCAAGAGGAAGACCTCGATTGCATACAAGGCCTGCTATCTCTGAGCCAAGGAGCCTGGAGATAGATGAACCGGAGAGGAAGAGACAGGAGCTCCTCGTTTCTCTCCGATATGAAGATGATTTCGTTTGTCCGATTTCCTTTGTTTCCCCATCCATTCCTTTCCTTTGTGATGTCAATTGCAAGCCAGCCAGCAGTGATTGCATGTATGATCTGTACGTGAGCGATGCTCATCCTATAACGATTGGACTATGTTGCCGTTTGGTGTAGCTGTTGATTCTTGAAGGCATAATAATACACCTCCCTTGATGACTGTTTCTCTTCGATACTACCTAGGTAGACCAATGAATGACCTACACAATGAACGGCGTAATCTTTCCAAATTTTATTTGTGATAGACAGGGTCCGAGTAAGCCACGGGCGCGTGGTGGATTGATAGTGGCGAGAAATGGGCAGAAAACGGAAGTGCTGGCCTGCACGTGGCCTGTGCTGCTGACTGAGGCATTTCTAGAAGTTTAAGAAGACTGTCTGGACCCATGGGATCCTCTTTTTCCTTCCCAACATCAGATGTACAGAGGCTCTCCCCGGCTGCAACGTGGTGGGAGACTTTATACTTGGGTAAGCTGGACCCCGCGTTGCTTTTTCCCCGCCATCCATCTGCAACCCGTCTGGAACGTGTCGACCGTCAACATGATATTATTGTTCATGGATTGGTATCACCTTGAATTGCACAAAAACCTCTACATGCAAAATGCTACCTATATCTAGTATTCAGTTATCTGTGCTTTTTCTGTTGTCTTCACTAATTGCGATGAAGGACTCAAAATCCTATACGCCGTATCGGGTTGAAGTGAACTAACGTACGTGACAGAAGAATTCCAGACATCCAGGCAATAGAATTGGCATTTCCTCTTCATCGTTACGGCCTCACTCTCAGGAACGTACTGCTATAATGAGCAGGAAACCTAACGTGGCTGTCATCGGAGCTGGGTTCTCAGGCCTACGGTGTGCCGACATTCTGATACAGAATGGCGCTCGGGTAACCATCTTTGAAGCAAGAGACAGGATAGGAGGACGGGTGAGTCTACTCTCTTGAGATGTAATCGACAGCACTAATATGGAACAGGTTCATCAAACCAAGGTCGCAGACCATCTTGTAGACCTGTAAGGACTTACGCGCCTTCAGTTCTGTGGGCATTCATTAACTATCCCAGCGGTCCTAACTGGATCCACGGCACTGGAACAAATCCCATTGTTGCTATTGCAGAATCAACAAACACGACGATTGAGGACTTTGAAGGTGACCCAGTCATATACTCAACTGATGGCCAGCTTCTCGACGCAGACATCGCCACGAAGATATCTGAGTTCCTGTGGGCCACCATCGAAGAAGCGTTTGAATACAGCAATGCACATAAAGACACCATCCCCGCTGATCGAAGTCTCCTGGACTTTTTCAGAGAGAAGCTTGAAGAGACAGACTTCACTCCCAAGGAGAAACATTTGTGCATTGAAACATGCCGGCTATGGGGTGCTTACGTTGGGGACCCCATCGAAAGACAAAGCATGAAGTTCTTCTGCTTGGAAGAATGCATAGATGGGAGTATGTTTGGCCATCGCCGGAATTACGCATTGACTAACGTTCGATGCAGATAACTTCTTCGTTGCAGCAACTTATAAAGCAATCCTCGCACATGTCTCGCAAACAGCCCGCCAGCATGCAGCCATTCGTTTTAATGAACCAGTCGTGAAGATCGAGTCGAAACCTCATGAAGGGTCCGTCAGACCACATGAGATCACATTGACAACCGCCACCGGGCAATCGTCTTCGTTCGACGAAGTCGTGGTCACCTGTCCGCTCGGCTGGCTGAAGCGCAACAAAGCAGCATTCACGCCAGAGCTCCCTCCACGGCTCATCCAAGCTATAGACAGCATCTCGTACGGCCGCCTGGAGAAAGTCTACGTGACATTTCCCACGGCCTTCTGGCATCCAAAGTCTTCAACAACTACCACGACAAACGGCGCATCATCACGACTCCACCCATACAACAAACTAACCTTTGCGCAATTCCTCGACCCCAACTACACAGAGCGCCCTGAAGGCATCCTCTGGAACCAGGAGTGTGTCTCGATGGCCGCGCTCCCCGCACCCTGCGCGCACCCCACCTTACTCTTCTACACTTACGGCCCCTGCGCCACGCACATCGTGAACAGATTCGCGCATATCGACCCCTCATCCCAGGAGTACTACGACTTCCTCGACAACTTCCTCCGCCCATTCTACTCCCGTCTGCACGGATACGCAGACGGCTCTCCGGACTGCAAACCGCGCGCGTTCGTCGCGACGCAGTGGCAGAACGACCCGTACGCGGGCAACGGGTCGTACTGTAACTTCCAGGTCGGGCTCGAGCAGGGAGACCGGGATATTGAGGTGCTCCGCGCGGGGCTGGGCGTCGACCGCGGCGTGTGGTTTGCGGGGGAGCATACGGCGCCGTTTGTGGCTCTCGGAACGACGACGGGGGCGTATTGGAGTGGAGAGCGCGCGGCTGGGCAGATTTGTAGGTTGTATGGGCTTGGGAGTGTGGGGATAGGGGCTGGGAGAGATGATTCTTTGCCGTCGGCGGTGGCGAAGGGGGGTGGTTGGGGGAGATAGCTGGATGTATAGGCGTTTACTTCTGATGATCATATTGGGATTGCATTGGTGTGTATATCTCTACTGCGTACAAAGGAGGAGATGGGTGGGTGTAAGGTAGAAGGCATTTCTAGCTATAGAGCGAATACGCCCTCAAAGATACTAAAGACCATGCTGCCAGGTTGATTCTGGGTAGCGTCCTCCGCCACATAAGCACGGCCAATGCAGAGCTTGGTCCATAGATATCCCAATAAAGATGGGTTTTGGAATTTAGTTGCTTCCTCTTCACCCTGCCACTTCACTTTCTGCTCCGGATGCAGTACCGGCAGGAGTAGTTGTACCTAGTATTCATATACCCAGAATAGCTGGCATAATGCCTGCTAGGCGGTGCTACCTATTTGCTCCGAATGAAGTATATGAGAAAGGCATCTTAGCGAAAGCGCGATGGTAAGTCCCATTCATAGATTGCCTCCCTTCTCTACCTAGCATAGTATTCCGTCAGGCTGTCTGCTCCGCGTGGTCCCGACCGACTGAGTCCCTCCAATGCGTCCTCTATAGAAATCACCTTCAGTCCCATCTTAGGAAGCAGCATGTCGAGAAGGACGTGCGAGAATTCCGAGTTCTGGGTGGGTGGTAGCTCCACCACGTTGTCTCTGATCACATAGACATTATAGTCCAGATCAAACAACCGGTAGATAGTCGACATCACCACACCTGAAAGACTCAATCCAGACTAGGACACTGTTAACATGCTTTCGAGTCAAGGATACGTAGACCATACCACGACAACAGTTTTGATACCCCGCGCCTTCAGGATCTGCGCAAGCGCGTTTCCAGACGTCGCAGACCACCGGGTCTTGTGCAGCACCACGTCCTTCTCATCCAAGTGAAATCGTTTATCAATCTGCACCGGAGGCGTTCCATGTGCAAACTCGCCATACGGGCGAAGCAAGCTGGCAAATGGCGAGTCGGGCTGGACCTCCGGCTGGCCTGGATTGAAGGAGAGAGTGGAGAAGATAGTCAGGGGGCGAGGGGACTTCTGATGCACGGCGTCGTTCCATCTGGAGCAGTTCGCGATCATTGCCTGGCCCTCCGGGTTGTTTTCCACGGCCTCGATCAGCACGGACATCCAGTCCAGGTTGAGGATCGCATAGTTGTCGCCAAAGTCCACGAGGTTGTTGGTCACGGAACCCATTGTGATGGGGGAGATTACCGAGATTGGTAGCACGAAGGTGGAAGATACAGCACAGAAGATCCAATTGGAATATTTACTAGACTGCTCGGGGATGAAGTATGTATACGGTTCGCAATTCCGATGTCAATCGGAACTCCGATACAAGGCACGCGGAGTTCCGTTGGACAGTATACTTGAGTTCTCGTCATTGTGGCACTTGGATACTTATATATATGCCGTATCTCCATGGAACGGTGGCATTCTCACCATTGACTATAGTCAGTCACTCACTATGTCTTCCCCAGACAGTACAACCCACACACCCACCACCACTCCAACAGTGGTTACTCCGGACCCGCCATACAGCATCTTTGACAAACGTCAAAAGTGGCTAATCATCATCATTGTCTCGACAGCAGCAACATGTGAGTCTTAAATAACACTGCTTACTGTCCTACTCACTGATGATCTCCAGTTTCGGGCTTCGCTTCAAACATCTACTTTCCCGCTCTACCAACCATTGCGAATGATCTCAATGTATCCCTCGAACTCGTCAACCTCACCGTCACCTCCTATCTTATCTTCCAAGGCCTAGCACCGAGTTTCTGGGGCCCAATATCCGATGTGAAGGGTCGGCGCACCGCCTACATCTGCACCTTTATCGTGTTCTTCTGCGCGTGTATCGGCCTCGCGGAGACCAAGAACTATGCGACGTTGATTGTCGTTCGGTGTCTTCAGAGCGCCGGCAGCGCCAGCACAATTGCAATTGGATCTGGCGTGATTGGCGACATCACCACTCGTGCTGATCGAGGCGGGTATATGGGGATTTTCCAAGCAGGGCTTCTTGTTCCAGTGGCCGTGGGGCCAGTGATCGGAGGCGCAATCGCCGGTTCGCTGGGATGGAAAGCAATCTTTTGGTTCCTGGCTATCTACAGCGGTGTCTTCTTGTGTCTATTGATTGCTGTGCTTCCTGAGACACTGCGATCCATTGTCGGCAATGGCTCTCGAAAGTCGTCCCACCCCCTACGCAGATACCCACTGAACCTCTATCAAAAATCAAGCAAGGTACCATGGCAGCAGGGCCAGGACGGCCAGTCCACAACTGCAGCAAAGAAAATCGACCTTTTGGGACCGCTTCGCATGCTCCTCAGCAACCACGCAGCCCCTATCATCTTCTTTCTGGCGATTTACTATGCAGTGTGGCAGATGAGCATCACGGCAATGTCCTCACTGTTCAAAACCCGCTACGGGCTGTCCGAGATCCAGATTGGCCTGACCTTTATTGCGAACGGGGTTGGCTCGATGGTCGGGACCTTGGTGACGGGCAAGATCCTCGATGCCGATTACCGTCGCGTCAAGACAAAGTACGAGGCTTCATTCGACAGCGAGCATGGAGATGCAATCTCCCAGACTGCACGGGAGGAGAACTTCCCTCTGGAGAGCGCTCGCCTCCGTCTTGTCCCCATCTTCTCCATTACCCAGTGCCTTTCCATTATTCTGTTTGGCTGGACAATTCAGTACCCCAATAAAGTCCACATCGCGGTGCCGATTGTGTCCACCTTTATCACAGGATGGACAGCGGTCTCCACGCAGTCCCTCATCATGACATATCTGGTTGATATCTTCCCTGATAGAAGCGCTGCCGCAAGCGCTAGTCTGAACCTGGCAAGATGCCTGTTTGCTGCCGGCGGTACGAGTTTTATCATGCCTATGATCAATGGGGTGGGCGTTGGAGTGGCATTTACGATCTGCGTTGTCGTACAGCTGGTGGCCTTGATCGGCCCTCTGGTTCAGTGGAAGTTTGCTGCTAGATGGAGAAGGAAAGAGAGAGAGGAAGCTGCGCAAAGGGAAGAGCAAAAGGGAGAGTGTTGAAGATGCTGGCAACTTCCATCCCATCGAGTAGTATACTGTATTTGTGGTGAAGACATGTAGGTTGATATGGGTGCCTTAATAATTAATACTAAGCCAAGTACACAATATAAGGAATTCATCATCATCAATGCATGGGGGTGAGAAGATGGACTCAATTAAGAGGAGTCGAGACCATTCCAGCAGCTCGGAAAAGAGTAGAAAGGGACAGGGTCCCTGTGTATGTGGCCCAAGTCTATGCGCGGTTCCTGAATGGTAACATCTGGATAGTCACTTCTATCGGGCATTTTGTCTGGAGAGTCATGGTACCTGGGCCAGTCCCATTCACGGTTTCTGAATAGTAGTAACATCTGAATATTCACTTGTATCAAGACAGATTCTCGAAAGAGTCATGGTATAATTACACGGAAACACTGTATGATCAACAGGGAACCTAGGGAGAGCCACTGAGCCCCTGCAACATGTGCTCCAACAATCCTCACAATGATTGCTCTCACCACCTCATACCAACAGTCTAACCCAGCCGGCGCACCTTTCTGCTCCGAGTACCACCAAACTTTATCCGGGTGGAATCCGCAACGCGACTGACCAGCCCCCGAACGTTTCGTCCCTCGTTGCCCAGCAGAACCTTGGTGAACGCTTCGCGGCCCGCACCAAAGCCACGGAAGACCACCTCCAACCGGTTAATATCCAACAGATACCCCCGTTCCTGCATCTGACCAAACACATGGGCGGTCAACTGGTATGCGGGATCGTAGCCGGAACGACCGCCCTTGCGGAACCCGAGGTGGCCACAGCTCATGGAGAGAAGCGGGTTGCCGTTTGGCCGCGTCAGCGTCAGGATGGTGTTGTGCTTATGGGCATAGACATGGAGGTGATGCGGAGGCGCGCGGTCCGCGTACGGTTGCTTGATCATTTCGGCTTCCAGGCTCTCGGCCATGCGGGAGTAGTCGCGGCTCACGTTGGGGCTGGTGCGAGACTTGTCGGTGCCCTGCATCATCCGGGTGATCGCGGAGAGCGGGGAGTTGTCGTTGGCGGGTTGTTCAGACTGCGTGTTGAGAATCTGGCGCTCGATTTCGCGGCTCTTCTCCTTCGCGTCCGCGAGGGTCTTGGGGGCCGAGGAGAAGGGCCTCGCCAGACGGAAGGAAGGGGCGTGCGTCTGGCATCGTCGGCTGATGGAGGGCAGCGCCTTGGACAGGGCGCTCACGAATGTGCTGTTCATCTTTTCGGCAGTATGGCGAGTCGTCGGGTTGCGGGTAGGGAGTCGGAAAGTCGAGATGGAGCGTGGTGGACGGATCCAACCTACGCTGCGGACACAAGAAAAGCGCAAGACAGCGAATCCGCTAGCAATGCAATTGAGTCGAGACGGGAGAATCAACGGCGGTTCATCACCGTTCGGGACGAGATGTTGGACGGGGCACTGGACTGCACTGGACTGGCCGGCGGCGGAAAAGGCCCGAATTTTCGATCGAGTCTTGGCGCCGTCGGCATCTCAACTTTTTTCCCTTTCCTCTTCATCCGCGGCCGACATCGCCTTTTTCCTTCTCCCCCGTCTTTCTCCCCCACAACACCCACGACTTCCCTGGACCCGGGGAGTTGCTTCTGCCATCTTTATCCTTTGATTGATATCTCCTACCCGACCCCTCCCATTCGTCGTCAGAGTCGCAGAGCATGATCTCGGCTACCAGAATGTCGGCCACCGCTCGGGTGGCCACCTTGCGCTCCCAAGTGCCCACGCTGAAGTCGACATATACCAGTGCCTCTCAGCGCTCCATCCTCCAGGCCTACTCCTACACGACGTCTTCGTCCGCCGGAGCTATCCTGTCTCGCCATTCCGAACGCGCCACCCGTCCCGTGTCGATTCTCTCCCCGTACGCTGCTCTCCCCCTCACGCGGTCTTTCCACGCTTCCGTCTCTCGCTCGCAAGAACAGAAGGAGAAGAAGTCCGAGGAAGGAAAGGAAGAGAAGAACGAAGAGTCGAAGGAAGAAGGCAAGGAGGAGGACAAGAAAGACGCCCCTCCGCCCCCTCCCCACGGAGACAAGACCCCCTGGCAAGTCTTCCGCGATACTCTCCAGTCCGAATTCAAGGCGTCCAAGGAGTGGAATGAGTCCACCAAGGCCCTCGCCTCGTCCGCGCATCAGTTCACCGAGAACGAGAACATCAAGCGGGCTCGTGCCGCGTATGAGGCGGCCTCCGGAGCGGCAACCAGCCGCACCTCGTCCGCATTGAAGACCACCGGTCAGGCCATCGGCAAGAGTGCCGCCTGGACGTGGAACACGCCCGTGGTCAAGGGGATCCGTAAGGGTGTCAACGCCACCGGTGCTGGACTGGAAAAGGCCACCCGGCCTGTGAGAGAAACTGAGGCCTACAAGAGCGTGAAGGATGCCATCGACGATGGCAGCTCCTCTCGCTATGGTGGCTGGATTGAGAAGGAGGAGCGTCGGAAGCAGAGAAAGCTCCGTGAAGAGATGGAAGCCAAGTCTGGTCGCAAGAGTGAGCCCATGGTGGAAGATCCGAAGTAAGTGTTATGGGACCCATTTGGCTCTTTGGTTCTAACGGTCGTCTGCTCGGTATAGTGCTGGTACCAACATCACCCTCCACAAGGATTCCGCCTGGAAGGAGTCGTGGCGCGATTTCAAGGATTCGAACCCCATGATGCAGAAGCTCTTCTCGCTCAAGGAGACCTACAATGAGTCGGAGAACCCTCTGATCAGCACCGCTCGCAGCATTTCCGACCGGGTCGCCGGCTTCTTCGCCGAGAATGAGACGGCCATGGTTATCAAGAAGTTCCGGGAGATGGATCCCAACTTCCAGATGGAGTCTTTCCTCCGGGAGATGCGCGAGTACATTCTCCCCGAGGTGCTCGATGCCTACGTCAAGGGAGATGTGGAGACCCTGAAGCTCTGGCTGTCGGATGCGCAGTTCCACGTGTACGCCGCCCTGGCACAGCAGTACACCACCGCCGGACTCAAGTCCGACGGCCGGATCCTCGATATCCGTGGCGTGGATGTGTCCCACGCCCGGATGCTTGAGCCCGGTGACATTCCCGTCTTCGTCGTGACCTGCCGTACACAGGAGGTGCACGTCTACAAGAACACCAAGACGGGCGAGCTGGCCGCTGGCATGGAGGACAAGGTCCAGCTGGTGACCTACGCCATTGGTCTCACGAGAATCCCCGAAGACGTCAACAACCCCGAGACCCGAGGATGGCGGTTGATCGAGCTGCAGAAGGCGGCTCGCGACTATATCTAGACGTTCCTCGATGAGATGCTGCTCAGCATACGACTCCTCCGACTTTCATATTAGCCACTTCTCCTGATTATCGGCGATCTCTGATGAACTACCTCCTCATTTCTCTTCTTGATTGTTTTGATATCATCGACTGTACAATATCGACTTTTTTTTCAATAGAGACCAGACGGAATGGGCGCTCATGTTACGTCTGTTCGCTTCATGACTAATATTCGCTGAATATTCCAATTCCTGTTGAGTATCTTGGGTACTTTGAGGTCGAACACAAGAGCTGGTGTGTGGAAATCGCACCAGCTCCTAATGGCGCGAACTCTGGTTGTTTGGCGTCCACGGTGGTTTGCTTGGCCTTTGGTTTCTTTCGCGAGTTCAACGCTCCTCTCTCCTCATCGATTGCATCTGGATTTACGTCCAGCTTTCTGTTTGCAGCTTTATGCGAGACCTGAGTCATATCGGGATCTACATTAGAAAACCTGATTACTGTGAGCAGTGTATATACAGAAAAGGATATTCATTTTGAAACATCTGCATGTGAGATCTAGACAGAGAAAGTCGTTTCTATTTCCTCATAAGAATTAAGATATTTTCATATGAATCCGAAATAAGGGATAAAGCTCAAGACAATCCATAGCGTCGTTCACAAACAAATGCCACCAGAACGGCTCCACCGCTTACTGTCCTCCACGCCCAGCACCACCCATCATGTTACGGGCCCTACAAACTCCATTAGCTCACGGCAAATATGATCATAATTCAAAGACAAAACTTACATCTCCGCGATAGACGGATCGCTCATCAAACTAGACATGTCGGGCATACCGCCACCGCGGCCAAAGTTCTCAGCCATCGAGCGCAGCTGCGGGTTGCTCATGAGGTTGTTGAGCATGTCCGGGTTGCTCATCAGGTTCTGGGCCATGCTAGCGAACATCGGGTTGTTCATAATCGACGAGAGGTCAGGGCATGCCGCCGGCGCCACCGCCAGCACCACCACACCGCCCAGCATGCTCGCCAGCGACGACAGATCAGGCATACCGCCAGCGCCACGAGATGCACCGGCGGCATCATCGACCGCATCTGCGGGGGGCTCAGCGCCGCGGCTGGCCTCGGCGATCTTGCGCTTAGTGGTCTCCAGCCCACGCTTCATGGCATCGCTGCCGCCGTTGCCCTCGGCCTCGATGCCCTTCTCGTACGCCTCCTTGGCGCCGTGGTAGTCGGCCATGTCGAAGCGCGCCAGGCCCAGCCGGCTCCACGCCTTGGAGTACTTGGGGTCGACGGCGGTGGCCAGCTCGGCGTCCTCGGCGGCCTTTTCGTGCTGTCCGGAGGCGGAGTAGGCGGCCGCCCGGTTGGACAGGTAGATCGGGTTGGCGGGCGCGATGGCCAGCGCCTGCGTGTAGCGCTCGATCGCGACGGTGTACTCCTTGCGGGCCATGGCGGCGTTGCCCTCGGATTTCAGCTTGTCGGACTCGGCGGTGGGCGTCCCGGCCTTGGGCTGCTGGGCGGTCTCGCTGGGGGCGGGCTGGGTGGCGGCGGCGGCGGCACCGCTGGAGGAGGAGGGCTCGCCGGACGGCTTCTGGCGCAGCTTCTCGTAGACGCTGTAGATGCTGGCCAGCGACTGGCCGCCCAGGGCATCCTTGACAGCGGCCTCATCGGACGGGTCGACCTTGAAGGTGTCGGCGATGCAGGACTGGGCGACTTCGATCGACTCGGCGTCGTCGGCGGTCAGGGTGCCGTCCTTCAGGCTGGCGCCGAGGAAGTCGATGATGGCGAGCGCCAGGCGCTTCTTTGACTCGGTGGGAGCCTGCGCGGGGACATGTTAGAAGGTGGGAAGGGGATTGGGAGGGTCTGTCCTACCATGGTAGTTGGAATGGATGGGATACCGCTGTAATGGGAGGTCGGGGTGGAAAAGGACAGAATAGTTTAAGGTAGTAAAGTACTAAGACTTGTGATAATGCGGGGAGCAGCGGCAGATCCAGCACCTTCTAGGGATGAGTCATCATGCATATATAGATGCATAATATTCTGTATAAGGGATGCTCACTAGTACGTATCTCTATCCAACCCGCATTGCCAACCGTGGCGTAGCTAGTCCAACCTTAATAAGATGAAGAGTATCCCCGGTCTCGTGCCTTGAGAGTAAACATTTCCTCATAATCGATGCCTAGTTCAATGTTCTCGTAAAATCCTCGACCCCAAGAGCGGCTACTGCACCTCCACGCAGCGAAAGTGAAGCGTAATGGTCCGTCGTTTCAGCAAAGAGATATTCACCATGAGGGACGCTCCAGTATCCGTCCCGAAGCGCCTCCTCTTGTCTTACATCTTTGACTGGATTCTCATTATGTGTGTGCCCCCATCTGCTGGTATTCCATCACTAACATTCTTCAGCGGAATCGCCCTCATCGGCTATGGATTCTCCAAAGTGACGCCGAACCACTATCCATTTTCTCTAACCGATCCGAGCATCTCTCTGCCCTACACGGCTCACGAGACTGTCTCCACGGCGGTTCTCGTCGTAGTTTCTCTGATTGCGCCCGCGGTGATCATCGTGGCCGTTGCCTTCGTTTTTATCCCCGGATCCGCAGCAAGCGAGGCGCTGGGCGAGGCCCCGTCGCGGTCTGTGCTGTGGAGGTATAAAATCTGGGAGTGGAATGCGGGATGGCTTGGCCTGGGCCTGTCGATGGCGGGCGTCTTCATGGCGACGCAGGGGTTGAAGGATCTCTACGGCAAGCCGCGGCCGGATCTGCTGGCGCGCTGCAATCCGGACCTTTCCCAGATCGCAGCACACACCGTCGGCGGGCTGGGAAGCAAGTTAACCGACGCCGCTACGCTGGTGAGCTGGGAGATCTGCCAGAACAAGTCGGATGACCTGAAAGTCGATGGGTTCTCGAGCTTCCCTAGCGGCCATTCATCTAGTATGGCTTTCCTTTACATCTGGGAGGGCATCTACAGAGGCTAATCTTGATCTAGTTTCATTCGCAGGACTGGCCTATCTGAGTTTGTGGCTATGCGCGAAATTCTCCATTGGGCTTCCCTATCTCGCGCATTCGCCGTTTAGTCAGGATCTCCGTGCGCAGAAGCGAGATGCCATCCGGACCCAGGGCGCCGCCCCTCCGGTTTACATGGTGATCATTGCATTCGTCCCTCTGGCAGTCGCGTTTTTCATCTCTGCCTCGCGATGGTTCGACTATCGGCACCACGGGTTTGACATCATTTTCGGGTCCCTCATGGGCGTTGTGTTTGCCTGGGTAAGTTTCCGTCTATACCACCTGCCGATCATGCGCGGAGCAGGGTGGGCATGGGGCGCGAGGAGTCGTCGACATGCGTTTTTCAAGGGAGTAGGGCTTCCTAGCCATGTTGGTGCAAATGATTGGTCTGTGGACGTGGGTGTCAGTGGGCAGCAACTTGATCTCGAAAGAGGCCAACAGGATCTGGCTGGGTGATCCTTTGACGTTTTGTTTCTACCCAGTCTCCTCCGATCATATACGGAGTAGCAAATCCAGCGCAATGTAATCGAGCATCACAGAAATGATCCTTGCAGGATGGCCGAGTTGAATGCGTAGAAAGCCGGCCGGTTCATCGCCATCCGCCCACTCGCCCTTCATCCCACCGTGCCTTCGCCTCGGCGCGCGTAGCTAACTTCGCGGTCTCTGCGCGCACTCGCCGGATCCAGTCTGCAACCTCTTTCTCCGTCGCGCGGCCGTGGTGCTCCTCCTCGAGGAAGCTCTCCTCCACGGCATGACATACGGCCTCTTGCTCCGCGATCGACGCCGCCAGTCGCTGGTAGAGAGCCTTGGGCGACCACGGGGCCAGCGCAGCGTCCATCTCGGTCTGTTTCTTGCGCCAGGAGACCTCGAGGGATTGGTGAGTCAAGAGGAGGGTTTCGGTGGAGCCGCGGAGCTCGTCCAGGTGCGATTGGAGGTCTAGGAGATGAGCTGCGAGATCCTGATTGTATTTGAGGATGTTCTGGAGCTGCTGTTGATGCGCTGCATAGGAGGGATGACGACTAGCGAGGGCGGAGAGGAGATTGGGATCTTTGAGGATGGTTTGTAGGTCGACAGTTCTGCAATGTCATGGTTAGTTATGTACGGATCTGGGCGCTGAGCGGTCGTACGATTTGTCTTTCACGCCGTCAGGTAGCCAGCCCTCTTCGACGGTGGGAGGTCGAGGCAGAACATCTGGCTGGAGGTTTGCCATGGCCGGCGAAGGGTATCGATTTGTGCTCATCTGGGGAGTCGCTGGGGAATGGATCTGGGGGGTCCCTCCACGGCTAGCCTCGTGGCTGCTGGGTTTGGGAGGAGGAGGAGGGGGAGTGTCGGGATTGAGGTTTGGTGGATTCATGGTGATGGGCAGAGAGAGATAAAGGACTCTGGCCTGCAGGGGATTATGGAGTATATCGTGTAGGTATGGTACATGGAAAGGGCTGGTGTCGTGACGCGGGGAAGTTTAGCCTCTGGAGCTGGTGCCTCAGGCAGCATCGCTAATCTAGCTAGTTATCTACCTACGAGGTAAACGGCCCTTTCTTCCGCGCAAGCAGCTAAACTTCTCCTTCTCTCTTCTTCTTCCCCATTTCAGCATTCTCGATATCCTCTCTTTCGCTACACCAAGTCAAATGAGCTAGGTCTAATTGCGATGCATATTATCAAGCCCGTTTGGCTCACCCACGGGGGTAAGTTGGTCGTGCACGATTCCTCGAGTTCCTGGCATGGTCCACTAACTCCTACTCTTCTTTCTACAGGCGAACGGAAAGACTTCGAGGTCTACAGTTGCGACGTTTCCCCCGATGGAAGTCGCCTCGTCACCGCCGCTGGAGATGGGTATGTGAGGATATGGTCTACTGAGGCCATTCGCAACACGGACGACTCGTCCCAGAAGCCAAAACAACTGGCGTCCATGAGCAATCACTCGGGAACGATCCATACCGTTCGATTTTCGCCAAACGGTAAATACCTCGCATCTGGCGCCGATGACAAAATCGTCTGCATTTATACCCTGGACGCGAACCCTCCATCGCACTCGACGTTCGGTATGTTTCGCGATACTGCTGAGCTCAAGCTGGGGCTAAAACTAATCGCGTGGATCGCGTGTAGGATCGAATGAGGCGCCCCCGGTGGAAAACTGGCGTACGGTTCGGCGACTCATCGGCCACGATAATGACGTCCAGGACCTAGGCTGGTCATACGATTCATCGATCTTGGTGTCTGTTGGGTTGGATTCGAAAGTGGTCGTGTGGTCGGGACATACGTTCGAGAAACTCAAGACGCTATCCGTACACCAAAGTCACGTCAAAGGCATCACTTTCGATCCGGCCAACAAATATTTCGCTACCGCTAGTGATGACCGCACCGTGAAGATCTTCCGCTTTACCTCTCCAGCTCCCAACTCGACCGCTCACGACCAAATGAACAACTTTGTCCTCGAAACGACCATCTCCGCGCCCTTCCAAAACTCTCCCCTTACAGCCTATTTCCGCCGATGCTCCTGGTCGCCTGATGGCATGCACATTGCTGCTGCCAATGCCGTGAACGGTCCGGTCAGTTCGGTAGCGATTATCAACCGTGGCTCCTGGGATGGAGATATCAACCTCATCGGGCACGAAGCCCCCGTCGAGGTCTGTGCGTTTTCGCCGCGACTCTACTCCACTCAGCCGCCGAACAAGCAAACACCCGATAACCAGGGACAAGCGGTTACTGTGATCGCGTGCGCCGGTGGCGACAAGTCTCTAAGTATCTGGATCACCACGAACCCACGACCGATCGTCGTCGCGCAGGAGCTAGCTGCGAAGTCGATTTCGGACCTGGCGTGGAGCCCGGATGGCACATGCCTCTATGCGACAGCCTTGGATGGCACGATTCTCGCTGTCCGATTCGAGGATGGTGATTTGGGTTATCCGATGGCCATGGAGGAGAATGAGAAGTCGCTCACCAAGTTCGGTACCAACCGCAGAGGCGCGGGCATCACCGAGACTACAGACGGTCTACTCCTGGAGGAGAAGAGCAAGGCCGGTGAACTTAAAGGTGTGGAGGGCAGAATGGGTGCGCTGATGGGTGACGGTCATGCGAGCGCAGAGGCTACTGTGAATGGCAAAGCATTATCATCTAACGGCGCCGCTCCTGCTCAGGGAACCTCACCTACGGCAGATGCACAGAAGACACAGACGAACGGGACAACAACCCCGGCAGCCCAGGAAGCCGACAAGCCCGATCCATATCAGGCGAAGCTGGAAAGACTGAAGCAACGACCCACGTATACCAAGGACGGGAAAAAGCGCATCGCTCCTCTCCTGGTGTCTGGCGCAGGAGCTGCCGAGTCGTCTCTGCCACAGGCACGGTTGATGGCGTCGGTCAGCAGCCAAGTGAAGGCTGACACACCACAATCTATCGTCGACCTGTCGAAGCCTTTTGATGGGTTACCGAAAGGCGGCCTGGCAGCACTTCTCTTTGGTAATAAGCGCAAGCTTGCCCAACTAGAAGGAGACGAGGATGGTCATGTCGAAAAGCGGGTGGCTTTAGCAAGCCAGAATGGCGCAACTCCCATCATGGCTAACACTCCCGATGGCCTTCTGCCGGCACAGCCTCAACCGCCTGCTACCGGCCAGCAGCAGACACCGGAATACATTCGGCCAGCTGTGACAAATCCCTGTATGGCAATCAGCCAGCTTCGCCTGGCGGTTCCGAAAGTCCGCAGCCAAATTGTACGCGCTATTGACTCGACCGGCAAGCCCACCGAGCCGCCCGGTGCGTCAAGCGAGGCGAACAAGTCTCGCGTGGATCTGGTCTTCGAAGCACGCAATCCATCGCCCGCTAGCCTGACCGGCCGAGCGGTGGACCGGGAGCCAGTCCGCCTCACGCTCTTCCGTGGCGAACAGCCTCTGTGGCAGGATTTCCTTCCGCGAACCGTGCTCTTGGTCACTGGTAACCAGAGCATGTGGGCAGCCGCCTGTGAAGATGGCTCAGTCTACATTTGGACTCCAGCCGGCCGTCGCCTTGTCAGTGCGCTGGTTCTCGAGGCGCAGCCGGTGATCTTGGAGTGTAACGGGCCGTGGATCCTCTGTATATCAGCGGTAGGCATGTGCTACGTGTGGAACGTGAAGCATCTCTCCTCACCACACCCGCCTATCTCGCTCCAACCCGTCCTTGATGCGGCAGTTCACACATTAGGCGCTCACCCATCCAGCGCACCGGCGATTACCAACGCGCGGATCAACTCTGAGGGGCGGGTGATCGTCGCATTGTCCAACGGTGAGGGGTACGCCTACAGTCCGTCCATGTACACGTGGCAGCGAATGTCGGAAGCCTGGTGGGCAGTGGGCAGTCAGTACTGGAACACCACCGAAGCACCAGTGGGCAACCTCCAGTCTACGGACTCGCAGGACAAAGATGCCAAGGCGGCGGTGTCGGCAGGCATCATCCCGTTCCTCGAGCGCAACACGACCAACGAGACGCTCCTCCGTGGACGCGCGTACTTCCTGCAGCGACTGATCAAAGTCCTGCTCTCCCGCGAGGGCTATGAGAGCTTCGAGTCCAGTGTGTCCATCGCGCATCTAGAGAACCGACTGGCTGCCGCACTGTCCCTAGGTGCCAAGGAGGAGTTCCGACTCTACCTGTCGATGTATGCCAAGCGAATTGGGGCCGAGGGGTTGAAAAACAAGGTGGAAGAGCTGCTCAAAGGCTTGATTGGGGGTCTGTTTGAAGAAGAAGAAACAGACCCTGTGCAGCGCCTGCAGGCGAACGAGCAGGATGACCGGAACTGGCGCGAAAGCTCGGAAACGCTCTGTGGCTGGCCACGGGAGGTGCTACTGAAGGAAGTGATATTGGCATTGGGTAGGTTTCTCATCTTGATCTCAGTGGAGACCTTACTGATCGATGATAGGCAAACACCGGGATCTCCAGCGAGTGACGGTGCCGTATGCGAAGTTGCTAGGCGTGGTAGACGAGTCGGAGGCAGGGGATGCCATGGAGACGTAATAATGTTCTTATATCATGCGAGGAGTTTGGCGTCTGGATGGTGGTTCAATCCAGGTCGGGGTTGTATTATATGTTATACTAGGGTGACTGTCGAATCTCGATGTTCTATCGATGCGATCAACGTACTGATGCATGTAATCATCCTACACGGAAGTATGAGAGCAGCAGAAGCAGGCGAGTAGTGGTTTTCTACTTTTAATGTGGCTACACGCTCTTCTTTCTGGACTTGTGGGTTTATGAGAGGTGGTTGTATAGTAGATATCTGCCTCCTTTGGCGAGCGCCTGCATAGCTAATCGTTGAAATGCTCGAGTTGAATATGCGGTGGATCATGATGGTTTAATTTGGTTGACCAAAGGGATAGAGCGGACATGTACGGATAGGTATTAAGGAAGCAGGATCATAGTATATGGTGCTTTTATTGTTAGGCTGACTCGGTGGATATCGAGCATGTCAGAATGAATTAATTTAGTTCAAGGCAAAGAGTAACATAAGTATATAAAGCCAACATTTCCCATCCGACGAAGATAAGTACAATCTAACCCCGAATCTAAATCCACACACACATAATACGGAGTAATCACCCAACGTAGAACCTAGAGAAAGGCAACCCCAAGAGAAGTCAGCATACCCGCAGCGCGACCCTCCAGACCAGCCAACACCCCGTCCCCGACCACCTCAGCGCTGCAGGCATTGCTCACACCCGTCTCATACCCAAGCGCACAGACAGTCTCATCCTCCTTCCGGATAACCAGCTGACTGACCCCAAACCCAGCGGAGCGCACCGCAACCTCAGTGACCCGCTGGTCCACGACACAAGAGCGGGCGATCCCCTCCGTGACTCCGGCCGACTTGGTCTCGCCGTTGCTGAAGGTGACCTGGAGACCGGTCAGACCGGCCGGGGCGGGCAGCGCGAACGGGGTCAGGTAGGCCTGGATGTGGGTGACGTGGGCGTGCCCGTCCTCGGCGTACAGCTTGAAGGCGCCGCCGACGTTGCCGGGGCCGTGGGGACCGCACAGAGCGGGCGAGTCGGCGGCGGCGATGTTGGGCGGGTGAGAGCTGGCCTGTGCCTGGGCGGCGTTGATTTTTTGGGCGGAGGGGGTGGGGGTTGGTTGCTGTGTGGTGTTAGTAGGATGTCTTTCTCTTTGTGCTAGGAGGGAGGTCGTACAGTAACGGCGGCGCCAAGGGCAGAGGTAGCAGCGGCAAGGAAGAAGAGGCCGGTGAAGTGCATTTTGGTCGGTTGAATGAGATGGAGTTTTGAATAAGATGGTCAGGAGACTAGATAGGAGGATGGTTTGGTCTGAGAATGAGGAGGATCGTATTGGCTGGACATGGCTATTTATGCCTTTCTGGAGCTCATTGATGAGCAGTGGTCTTGTTTCGATTCATTGTTGATTGTATCAGTTGTGAGCTGCAGTGTCAGTGTCTCAGCCTCCCTGGATCGACTCGGATCTCCGAAAGGGATGAGTATAGCCTATTGGAACACCACATAGGAGGTGAGTGCGGATCATCCCTGCGGGCTCATGTCAGGAACAGAGTCTGTTTAATACAAGTTGTCGATCGAGTCTGAGGTCCAGAGGGATGGTTGGCTTGCAGGTTGTTTATGTCTCTGGGATGTATGGGATGGGAGATTGCAGGATTGCATGGGAGATACATTCGATTCAGCTAGGATGGTGTCTCCTGCGTAAGTATGCACTAAGTGCATTAGGTCTTGGTGTTCATCTCGTACTCTGACAAGATCTGCTAGGTAGAAGGCATGATAGTCTGTATAGTGAGTCTATAGAGTCTACTGTATAGTTCTGGTGACGTTAGGGCTGCTGAGTCAGCCTTAGTCAGCCTGTGCCTTAGGCGAACGAACATGAAGTTTCTGCTTCGTCTTGTTCGTCGACGACGTGGATAACTTCACCTCTGGACACTGCTACCCGTCCGCCGCGCGTCAATTGACCGAACGACTCGATTCCTCTCCTTCCTTGGCCTTGTTCTCGCTGCCTCCGGGCGCCGTCACCACGTCTCCCCCCGTTCTCTGTCGCGCCGCAGCTGGTCCTGCATTAATACCATTTTCCTTCTCTCCCCGCGTTTTCTGCCCCTCCTTCATTTCGCTTCCTTTTCTTCCTCTCTCGCCGGTCCGCCTCTACTCCAGCAAGAAGAAATCCGCCAAAAAGATGCCCCCCAAGAAGGCTGTCGTTCAAGAAAAGGTCCTCCTGGGCCGTCCAGGAAACAACCTGAAGAGTGGTATCGTATGTGAGCATGGACCCCACCGTTTTGTTACCAGCCACCGTAATTTCCCTAGCCCTATTTCTGCACACAGATTTTTTTTCCTCCTCTCTTCTCTTCTTCTTCCTTTCTTATTCTTCCAACACCACCACCATGACGTCCCTCAATCTTGATCCTCCAGAATGAGGGCTAATTCCGCAGGTCGGTCTTGCCAACGTCGGCAAATCCACCCTCTTCCAAGCTATTACCAAGTCCTCGCTGGGTAACCCCGCCAACTTCCCCTATGCCACCATCGACCCCGAAGAAGCGCGTGTCATCGTCCCCGATGAGCGTTTCGACTGGCTGTGCGAACACTACAAGCCCAAGTCCCAGGTGCCCGCCAACTTGACCGTCTATGATATCGCCGGTCTGACCCGCGGTGCCTCCACCGGTGCCGGTCTCGGTAACGCCTTCTTGTCGCACATTCGCGCCGTCGATGCCATCTTCCAGGTCGTTCGTTGTTTCGACGATGCCGAGATCATCCACGTCGAGGGTGACGTCGACCCCATTCGTGATCTGACCATCATCAACGAGGAGCTGCGCATCAAGGATATTGAGTTCGTCGAAAAGGCCCTCGAGAACCTGAACAAGCAGACCCGTCGTGGTGGTCAGAGCCTGGAGATGAAGAAGCTGCGTGAGGAGGAGGCCACCGTGGCCAAGGTTCTGCAGCATCTCAAGGATGGAAACGATGTCCGCAAGGCTGACTGGGCCCCTAAGGAGGTAAGCTACTTTTTTTTTTTCTATTGCCCCACCCGTACACCTATCATGATGAATAAGAGCTTCGCTCGACAATAACCCAGCTCGTCGAATGGTCTCATTTTTTAAACTCACGTAGAGGCCATGTTGAGATAACATCCAATCTGAATTTTCACCTCTCTTTATATTCACTGCATGTCTTGTGCCCACACAAGCTAACAACTGCCAGGTCGAAACCATCAACCCCCTGATGCTTCTCACCGCCAAGCCTGTTGTCTACCTGGTCAACCTAAGCGAGCGCGATTACATCCGCCAGAAGAACAAGTACCTCCCCAAGGTCTTTGAGTGGATCAAGACCAACTCGCCCGGTGACCCGCTCATTCCCATCTCCGTCTCCTTCGAGGAGCGTCTCACGCGCTTCGAGACCGAGGAGCAGGCCCTCGAGGAGTGCAAGAACCTCAACACCAAGTCTGCTCTGCCCAAGGTGATCACCACCATGCGCCAGTCCCTCAACCTGGCTTCCTTCTTCACCACCGGTGCCGACGAGGTCCGTCAGTGGACCATCCGCAAGGGCATCAAGGCTCCTGCTGCCGCTGGTGTCATTCACACGGGTACGTTTCATGTGTTCCCGTTTAGTTGGTGTGATTAAGCTAATCCTTGTAGACTTCGAGAAAACCTTTATCCAGGCCATCGTGTACAACTACGCGACTCTCCGGGAATACGGAGATGAAGCCGCCGTCAAGGCCGCCGGTAAGGTCATGACCAAGGGTAAGGATTATGTGGTGGAGGATGGAGATATCCTTCTGATCAAGGCGGGTGCTGCCCGTGGGTAAATTGAGTAGAAATATAATTGTTCGAGATTCATATTATGCGTATAAAATAAGTAAAATCATTTCATAGATGCAGGGCATGTACTTTAGTAGCTCTAGCTCTACACAATATGGGCAATGTATGTCACGTGACACCATCCCCGCGGCCCGGCCCCTCATCAACGCAAGCAGCAGCAGAGATAGCTACAAACACCAACACACCATCATGTTCAAGAAAGAGTACGTTACCGCATCTGGACCTGCAAATATAAATCTCCTTCCACAAAGCAAAGAAAAACCGCTAACAACCCCAGGATCCCCCCCAGCAACCGCTCGAAGGTCAAGTCCTCCGTGCAGCGCGGCATCCGCCAGCGCTTCCTCGACACATACCCAGGCTTCGAGCCGTACATTGACGAGGTGCTGCCGAAGAAGGCGCAACTCGACGCCGTGAAGCTGTACGCCCTCCCCTCTCCTCTATATGCCTTGCCGCTTCTTGCGGAAGAAAATACCCGCCGAGCAGAGTAACTGACCTGATTGATGAACGAAAAGCCCGGAAAAATGCACCCTCTACACGATCGACACGCAACCACTCTTCTACCAGCCGCTCGACGGCCCGCCGATCCCGCATCTGAAGCTCGTGCACGCGTACCCGGACGCGCTGCCGACCGTGCAGATCGATCGCGGCGCGATCCGCTTCGTGCTGTCCGGCGCGGCGCTGATGGCGCCCGGCTTGACCTCGCCCGGGGGCCGGTTACCGGATAAGGAGCATGCGTTGGAGAGCGGGACGGTGGTGGCGGTCAAGGCCGAGGGGAAGGAGGAGGTGTGTCTCGTGGGCGTGTTGAAGGTGGGCACGGAGGAGATGAAGGCGAAGCCGAAGGGGGTTGTGATGGATGAGGGGCATTATCTGGGGGATGGGCTTTGGCGGTATCATCTTGATTAGATTGAGGGTTTGGGTAAAAGTAATGAATGCATTGATGTGTATTGAGTTGTTGTTGAGTTGTAGAGTTTTACGAGTGTAAGAGGGATATATGAATGTACGAAGATATATTGTAGTATGATGCGATATGTACTAGGTCAGCTCGCCAGGGGATACATCGCTCTCGCGCCGGACGGGACTGCGACGCGGCGAGATCGAGGATGTCGCCGAGAGCGACGACCATGACGGCGTCATCGCCAGTCCCAGTCCCTTGACGTTCGTGGTTCCCGGACCTGCAGGGAACCCGCCGTTCTGCAGACCAGAGCGTGCGATCGTCCGACGCAGCATATCGCCCGACCCGTCCAGGGCCATGAGGAACCGCGCAAGCTCCGCACACAGCTCCCAGTCGCTCTTTTGGGACGCCAACACCAGCAGTCGGACGACGTAGTCTTCGATCGGTGCGTCGTGGCCGTCGTCGTCCTCGAACGCCTGCAGCACGAGGAGATATCCGACGGCGGTTTTCAAAGAGTTGAGCCGCAGCGCTTGCTCGAAGAGGTCCTTGGGCGGAGGGAGGTATGTGAAGAGCGTGCGCCACGACCGAAGTTCGGTCTTTCGCGTGCATTGCACGACTGTGTTCAGGTACACCGGGGCAGGCAGCGATGCCTGTAAGAAGGATATCACCGACGGAAGGAGAGGGCCGTGTTCCTGAGACGGGTCGTCGATCGTATTGTCTTTGGGCTTGTCGACCTCTTCATCTAGGACGTGGTGTAGCAGGACCTCGAGGGCGTGCGGGAAGTACGACAGGTGGGAGAAATGATGGCATAGTGACATAGCGCCCGGCATATCGCCTTGCTCCAGACAATGCTGGAAGAAGTACGGGAGAAACAAATGAGTCTGTCGTCGTCAGTCTTGCAAAGGGGAATAGGACGGGAAACATACTCGGATGGCGAATTTGAGAACAGCGAATGTGACGTCGCGTCGTTGTGTCATTTCAGACTCCACCCCCAGCACGATGCCTTTGTTCAACAGGACCGACAGGGGATAAAAGTCCAATGGAATATGGATCGCTTTGGGTACATCGTCGTGCCGAAGAACTTCCTGCACGTCGCCCCAGGCGAGTAGATCCTTACCACAGAACGTCCACAGGGAATCCCGTAGAGACAGGTTACTGTGATACATGTTCAAGACCTTTTCGGCCGCAGGACTCGGCGGAACCGACTCATCCATAGGCGGCGCGAAATTGAACGAGAGCTGATCACGCATCAAGATGTAGTATTCCACATCGTGGGATATCACTCGCATGTCATATTTCAGGTCGCCAGTGTCTGACATCGAAGGTTGAAGTAAAACCAAGTTTCCATCGACTAGGAGCAATACCGATGCCACTTTCACGTCCTGAGAAGGGTCGCCGTTTCCTGTTCACGTTAGAACCACAGCCCATCATTATGACTGAATGTACTCACGTAACTGGTCCTCTGGTAGGACCCAGCTGATGGCCCGCACCCGAGTAGGCGCTCGTACGATGCCGTTGAAGGCAATCTGACCGACCGGAACCAGCGAGACCCGGGGCTGCACCGAGCTGATGATGTAATGATAAAGGATGTTGTCGTATGTATAGACAAGCAGAGAGTCCTCGCCCGACGGTCCGATGAAGACCACAGGAGAAGGAAGATACTCTATATGCATAATGGAATGGTTGCTAAGAGGTTGCTCCCGAGACCAAAGGCGTAGCTGACCGAGTTAGCCAAATACTCTGCAGTCAAAGGGAATATTACGAACCTCATAGGATCCATCGCTCTCAATGGCGGCAATCAAAATGTGTCCATACCAACACATGCCGCCCCGGACGGCGAACGAGTCTTCAGCTTTCGCATCTTCGAAGACCTTCCAACGACCACTATTCACACTGTAGTGCGCCAGGCCGCGTCTGCCTGCAATAGCAATATATCTCCCGTCTTGTGAAACTACGCTCGATCGTATCGGCCACTGGGAGTGGAGGTAGGAGGGGGGGTATTGAGCGTGATGCCATAGTGAATCTTTGCCTGATATCGTCATGAGGTCAGGCAGATCGTGGCCCCGATAGAGGATAACCTCCGTGCCTGTCTGGAGAAGGCCGCGGGCCAGATTTGCGGACGAATAACAACCCGTCAAAGCACTCCGCGCGGTCTCCAGAATCCATAGACGACGGTCATTCTTCCCCGCAAGGATGATGTCGGAGCCTCCTCCTATCCAGCATCCGTGGGGGACACCGGTCAGCCAGTTCTCATTATTGGCCTTCGAGAGAGTTCGATCAGCGTGGAAGCTGTTACCGCCCGGTTTGCCAAACACGCTCCATGTCGTCCAGCCTCGTTCGTAGCCGGCAAAAAGGCAGTACCCATCAGGTGAGTAGCTCATGAAGTTCACGTTCCCAGTCGTGCTAGTGGAAGCCGGAAGCTGGAGTTTGTGCGACAGCGGGACGTTTCCAAGGTAGTCTTTAGCAGTGTATACAAGGATTTCTCCATTGGCGCAGCTTACGGTCAGCAGCGAAAATCGAGCATTGACCGTCACTTTAACCGCTTTCTCCTCATCTTTCGTGGGCTTGTGGAAGCAGTGGCCGTGGAAAAGCTTTTTGGGCGTCTCTGGGTTCTGTGAATGCTCCAACACGCGTTGAACCGCGTATGCATGCCCCTCGTTGGTAACCCAGACCAGCAGATTGATCGCCCGGTCATACACCATATCCGTTATAGATGTTTGCTTCGATACGCCCAGAATTCGGCTCAAGAGTTCTGACGTGGTCTGAGTTCCACTAGCGTCTGGCGTCCAACGTATGCATTGAATGGCGGCGGGCTTTACTGTAGCGACGACAAGCTCAGTGTCCAGCGCCAAAGCTCTCACTATTCCCGATTCTATCTTGATGGCCATTCTGAACCGAACACTAACATCCCGGATCCCATTCGCGTCCTCCTCGCGAGCGAGTTGTTGGCGACGGGTTTGCGTCGAGTGATCGAAGTGTTGTTGATAGACTCGACTATTAGGGTCGGTGGCGATAGTGTATGTGAGAAGATATCCATTGAGCGTTTGAACAACGAGGATTGTCGAATCCGGGTGGATAAGGAGGGCTACGTTGGAGCCGTAGGTGCTTAATGACGAAGGGGATCGGGCGACAGCGGCGACAACAGCAGTTGGCTGGAACTGTCAGTACACCTCTTTACAGCATGTTAATGAGACATACCCTTGTCTGCCACAGGGCTATTGAGGTTTCGGTCATTGTCGCGAACATATGTCCGCTTCGCGAGGCGCAGAGACCAGTGATGGGCTCGTTAGCCCACGCCGACTCCGTACCAGACGGTTGTTCGGGGGCATGATCCTCCAAGGTGAGCCTCTGTTCCACAGAGGCCTCAATATCTACGGGCTCTTCATCGTTAGAAGCGACAGGAGGAATTCCAGGGCCATTGATCGCATAGGCCCGTGGAACTCCATGGGGCCAGTACATGGCTCGATGTCAGTCAGTTATGGGAATGCGCGGGATCACGAGTCATCTTCGTCGGAATCAAATGAGATAGTCTGTCGGAAATTGGCCAGAGGTAATCCCAGCATTACCGACCATATCCGCCAAGCACCTTCCGACCAACGCGTAATGAGTGAAGTGAGCTGAGAGAGTATCAGATAAGAGGCGCTCAAGCGCATGTAGATTGACCGAGGGGACTCCGCGTCATCACGTGGGGAGCTGGAGCTCCAACTAAACCCAGCAAACACAACAAACGGATCAAACATGTCAACCCCTACAGTACAGTGTCGTGAGACACTTGCTGTTCAATCATACATCTAAGCTTGTCTGTATATCTATTTTCTATTAATGCCTTATTATTGACCTGAAATAATAAACTATACGCACCTCTGGCGTCTTCTCACTTTTTGGTGGTATAGTGATTTTTCGTTCCACGCTCAATCAATCTCCTTCATAAGAGCAACTCCTCCCTGCTTTGCCTTCTGCGCAAAGGGCGAATTATCCCGAATCCATGCGCCATACCGGATGAACACAAACGGAATGACCGCCACTGCAATGGAAAAGAATCCCAGCAACGAGCTTGCCCAGTTAATACCCAAGTTGGTGTACATGGGTGTCGTTGCGAGTGGAAGACACACTGCGAAGATGGACCGCAGCGTACTCGCCGCTGCGTTCGCCGACGCGGAAAACTGCTTGTACGCGTCGGTCAGGTAGTTGAGGAGCGCCATGAAGATCAACAGGTAGCCAATTCCGAAGAAAATCCCGGACATCATGGGCATCGCTGGGGAGATGGATAGTTTGGAGGACCAGCCAAGCCAAAACAGGGCAATGGGAATGAAAGGAGCTCCAATGCATGCGAGAGGCAGTCGTCGGTACTCTTCGACCCTAGACCAGGCTAAACCTGCCTTGCTAGCTTTTGTGTGGTAGGAACTGTACAGGAAGAAGATGAGGAAAGCTATGACCGACCCGGGGAGAACTGACAGCGTTTCTTAGACGGAGCTCTATAGCATGGAGATCCTTCGAAAGAAAACTTACTGGGAAGAAAAGCAAGAGCACCGACACCAGCAGACATTCCGTATAGGCCTTGGAAAACGAGTGGATATGCTTGGAAGAACAAGTACAGCAGGGAGTATATGAGAGCCAGATACAGGGAGCAACAGGCCACAATTGGTTCGCGAATTATCATGACGAATGGGCGACTGAGCACTGCACGAGCCTTGTTGCAAAATCGACACATTTTCGTACGAAATCCCCCCGCAGGCAGTGACTGTTTGCGCTTTCCAGACAACGCTTCCTCAGCTTTGCGCAGCAAAACAGGATAGAAGGTTTCGGGAATCGTGAGAATCAGAGGAAATCCAGCTCCTCCAATGATCAATCCAGACCAGAACGCCCACCTCCAGGACACGGTAGACACGAAACCGGAGATAATGGGGCCCAGGAGTGGAGGGAAGGTTGTGGCGAACATGAACCACGACATGACCAAACCACGATGATGCGGATCAGTGTATATGTCAGAAAACAGGCCGCCCAAGACTGCATTAGGTGCCGAGCCTCCCAATCCACAGAGAAACCGGAATACTACCAGAGCGGGGAAATTGGGCGCCAGAGCGCATGCCATGGTGAAGATCAGATACAGCGCGAAGGTGGTGATAAGCACCGGTTTACGGCCCACCGATTCACTGAGAGGGCCAAATATTAACGGTCCAATGGCGAAACCAGCCATATAAAGTGACGTGGGCAATACCATCCTCAGATCATCTGAAGGGATGTTGAAGTCTTCCGCCATGGCATCATGGGCTCCAGATGCGAGGGAAGATCCCAAGGAACTGTTAAAGACGAAGTAGACACCAGCCACGACGATGTGGAGTTTGCGAGCCTGGGAACGCAGTGTCAGAGAATGATACCTTATACTCCGTACACACAAGTTGAGGGTCGTCGGGTCCATACCAGAGGAAATTCGGGCGGCTTCATTACCGTCTCGGCTGGAGAAGGTTGGATCACGACATTTTCCGGCGGTTTGCCTGCCATTATGGGCTAATTTCTTTACTGCCCTCACCAGCCGTTTGGTATCATTGAGCTGATGAGTTTTCGTCTCTGCTGGAGAAAAGTCGAATTGACGAAGAGTGGGGACTCGGCATTCATCCCGAGCAAATTTGCGACTCCACCATTGTGTTCGGACAGTGGTTCGGTACCTGAATCACCTTGATTGATATCCAGTTCATTACAAGTTGGATTCATGACTTTTTGAAATGAAAGCTATATCTAATTGGTATCGCAGAGGAGGCAAAAATAGCCATCGGTGGTCCGGCTCCTGCGGCAGATAAGCTTATTCAAGGTTATCAAGGTTAGGATACGGTCCGGCTTCTAGGACCATTGACCAGCGAAACCACCCTGGTCTTGCACAAGTTTCACTCCAACATAGGCCTACTATGTCAAGGGATCGATTCGTCTGCCGGTTACCCTCTTTTATTTGCTTGGTTTTATTATTTTTATTTCTAGGACCGCAGCTTTTTTCGTGCATCTGTACCTACAAACCCTGATCCTCTTACGGCACCGCAATCAAACCGAGTTCTTCCCATCCAAATCGCTGAAGAAGTCCCGGCCAAAGTCGGCGCTGCTGTCATTGAAGCGCAGCTTCCGGTCAATCCCCCGGATCTTTTGCATATCTTCCGCGCTCAATTTGAAGTCTCCTTCCAGATTCGCCTTGATCCTGGAGGGGGTCTTCGACTTTGGCAGAACAGAGCTACCTTCGTTGATCCCCCATGCTGAGAGCCTAGTTAGTAAATGATGTTGAGTAGGAGGAAGTGAGGTTCATACCAAGAGCCACCTGGGCTGCGCTTTTGTTGTATTTCTTGCCGATCTCCACCAACACCGGGTCATCAATTAGCTTGCCAATGGTGCCTCCACGGGAGTACAGCTCGTTCTGGTTTCCAAACGGAGAGTAGTGAGTCACATGGATGCCCTGGGACTTGTGCCAGTCCAGGAACGACTTCTGCTGCAGCCACGGGTGGCCTTCCAACTGATGTACAGCAGGAGGCACAGTGGCATGCTGGAGGAGACGCTCCATCTCGGCCTTCGAGAAGTTGGAAACACCGATGGCTTTCACCTTTCCGGTGGACAGCAACTTTTCCATCGCTTTGTAGGTCTATGATCATGTTAGTATGTCCTCCGGACAAGAGATGGGGTGTAATGAATCCATACATCAACGTAGTCGACATCAATGACCGCAGGCTTGCCATTCTCCTTCGGGAACAGCTCACTGCCTCTCTTCCACGCCACGGGCCAATGCATTAGGAACAAGTCGATATAGCCCAGGTCCAGGTCGTTCAGCGAATCCTCCAGGGCCTGCGGAACATCGTCGGGATGGTGCTTGTTGTTCCACAGTTTGGTGGTAATGAACAGCTCTTCGCGTGGAACACCGCTCTTCTTGACAGCCTTCCCTACGGCTTTTTCTGTACCGTATCTAGTGACGGGTATGTTAGAACCTTGGTTGTAGGTGTCAAGGGACTTTGGAGGACGCACACTCGGGCCGTGTCAATATGACGATATCCGGCCTTGATCGCCTCCAAGACGGCGCCTTCCTGTGCCTCCTCATCCTGCCAGGTGCCAAAGCCAACAGCAGGGATCTCGGCCCCGGTGTTAAGCTTGAGCTTCGTCGCCATTGTGTCAATTGATTAATTATGCGTAAGTGTGGTAATTGCAGACTGTGATGAATTAGGTGAACTCTATCCGAGGGAACTGGGTATGGAGTTTCGTCTCTTTTATATGTGAGGAAGAGGATGTCATGTTAGAGCGACGTCAAATTGACGCATGGGCTGTTGTCGCCCCAGCGTTTTCTTGTCAACGGGTATGACGTCGAGCTGAACCAAGCAAGGAGCTTCAAGCCAACAGACCACAACATAGATACTGTTTGCGGATATCTTCCACGGTTCCATATTTCCACTTGAAAGCTCCTATCAGAAAAGAAACTGACCCACATGTATGATATCTACACCATTCAACGTCATATTCGGCTTCGGAACGGGCGCGTCCGATGTCTACCACTCTATAATTGATGGTTAATATAGTACCCACTCGTGGAACCCATGAAGTAGTATCCGGTTTATGCAACTGGCCTGGTCATTCTAACTGGATCTCCGGGCGTTGTACCATGTACACCGTCTCATTTCTATGGGTTCCTGAAATCCCAATGCGCGCAGGCAACGGTATATCTACATAAACTTGGACCCAAAAAGAGGTCTTAACAAGCACGCCATGGAGATTTTTCTCAATTACTCCAGAGCCTACGCCGACTAAGCTAATATCCTCTATCTCTGTACTGTGCTACTCGTATGACATTGCGCCCATACTAGGTAGTAAAGTGACCAGCCAAGGCACAAGGCTTAAAATTCACGACAGATCTTAAAGCAAGCTAATAAACTACCTAAGGTACCTACCTCTATAGACGGCTCAGCGAGTCCAAGGCCGATATACACCGCTAAACGCGAAAATCGCGTCGGAAAACGCGACTGCCAATATAATAGCTGAATTGGGAGGTGTTTGTCAAGCGAGCAAACAGCATTGGTGGTCCGCACCACCTGCCGGTATAGTTTTTTTTTCCGGCTATAAATGAGCTCTCCCACAACAATTTTTTTTTTCTCCCGTCTTCCAAAGCTTGCAGCTCCAACATCAACATGGATTGAGCTTTGTCTCAACATACATCAATTCTTCTATTTAACTTACTAACAGCCTTCATGTCAATCAAGCTATATGCAGAAGTGAGTTCACCATCAACACCCTCTCCCACCTACATTTCTTCGCAGGATGAATTCCTTTACAGGAGTATCCAAGCCCGAAAAAACATGAAGGACCTTTCAAAAGTCTCTAGAATTACTCTGACTCGTCACGATCGGGTTAAGCCTAGCGACAACTCAATCAACACCGTGCTAACATTGCATGTCTGTTTAGGATACTGGGTCTGAATGATGACCGAAGTTCTTCGTCCATCTTATGTATATTTGTAAAAGGTATGCGACAGATTTTCTTTCCTTGCCGCCACTTTCCCCTAGGATGATGACTCTATGACACGCTAAGGCATTCCTCAAACTTAATCACCATGTGGAATTCGTGTACTACTCAAGTTTCAGCCTTGTCTGACTCCCCTCACTTTTACACTATGCTGTCACTCAAGACTTGTTGTGGACGAATGCACTAACAGTTCTTGAATAGGTAAACAACAATCTCCCTTGTCGTTGCCTCTGGCATGTCGATGAAGATATCTTGAACGAACGGGCGGACAGAACTTGTACATTGGGCCACATCCATCAAAAGCAAAGCGTACAAACTTTGCGGATGTGGAACGATGTATGAATTGTTGAGATCTCGTCACCTGAGCCTATCGTCTATCTGCATCTGTTGTCAAACATGGGGATCGCCTGTACTGACAAGATCAATAGGTATTTTCTTGACCTTATATCCACTGCCCCTACACCATATCAGTCAACATTGCATGATGAACACGTTATTCACACTGTTTGATCCGCTTCGCGGAAATGAACATCTTTTACAAAAATCTGATTTAATGAGGTGAGTAGTCTGGAGTCTCTCTATGGGCCTCGGCTAATGATTCTGACAGCCTGACTTAGTTGACATTCAACACTTGTTGAACTACACATGAACCTTCATGGACATGTCGCTGACTGTTCGAGTTCAATATAGGAAATATCATATTGTAGACGCTGATACACGCTTCAAAAGTGAGTAGTACCCTGGTCCGGTCAATTCTCGCTGTCCTATGATGATTTCTTTAATCGCTGTGTTCTTACTGAACCCCATTGAAGAAAAACCATATTTCACCTTGGAGAACTGATCTGCCTTCTCTCCTACTTTGTATTATGGGCTTTGTGTGTGACACTGGCTAACATACAACTTAGGCAAATATCAGATAGACATGAGCAGCCCAATCAATAAACAATTTTTCATCAACATCTCATCTTCATCCGTAGCTTCATCCTTGTGAAGTAGTTACAAAGTGCATGTTCTTATTCGACGAATAAGTTGTGCTTCTTATGCCATCCCTCCAGGCTATCTCCGCCGTATACCTTGTGCACCTGCTTCTTTCCTTCAGGCCAACGCGCCCACGCCGGCTTCGAATCCTCCATGATACAGCACATCTCGTCAGGGATAGGGAGCTCCGTATCAATGGCTGACGCAAACGGATGGATCAGTTCGGGCCAATGGTGATCCCACAGCCAGAGCATGGTGCTGCAGTTGGAGCAAAAGTTGCGCTCGCTCGAGCAGAGCTCCTCTTGCGGAGTGCCGCGTGCTTTGATGGCGGAATATTTCCTTCACAGTTTTAGCATCTCTGCAACGACAAGTATAGAAGGGCAAAGGCGAAGGGGCTTACTTGATCAAGTCTTTCCCTTTCTTGATCTTCAGACTGTCGGCGATTCCACCCAAATTGACACTACCGCTGTATCCGCCAACTTTACGACAGATACTACAGGCACAGAGTTGATATGGGACGGGCGTCTGCGAGTCGAGTGTGAATTCGACCCCGCCGCATTGACAGCTACCTTCGAGTTTCCTGATCTTGTTAGAATTTGCAGAACAAGGAAGAGAGATCGTATGAGATCACATACATAGGCATATTGACTCAATGTATACTTGAATTTTGTTATGATAGTAGATTGTCGGGTTGTCAGACGGTTGTACAAAATGTAGAGGACTATACCGGATCTCCGGCGGGAGACGTCATTCATATATCAGTTCCGAGCGACGCTCCAAATGCCTCCACATCCTACGAAGGAGGGGTTCTTGAGTCACGACGGGAAAGACGGAACGCCATGGTCGTCGGGGATTAAACAAAATGCCACTGTCTCACACTTCGTACATGCACATCTCCATTTGATAGGGCCATCGTGGAGAAGCGCTGCGTCTCCCGTCCCAAATCGGTAAGGATGGCCTGTTTGCTGCGTTTGTCTTGTTTGCTTACCGGCCCCGAATCCGCCGTTTTTCTAGCTTCGCCATCTTGTCCATCACCATCTGACTGCGCCAGTTTGCTATTCTAGGCTGTTGGAGTTCATATTTGGGTCTGATTGGATCAATTTCCCTCGTCTTATCTCCCGGAGAAGAGACAGCCAGTCGCAATGTCGTTTGGAAGTCCTGGTGGTGGCGCCACGAATATCAAGCCGACGCCGTGAGTGCATTCCTTCTGCCTTCCCTGCGCTTGTATCACTATGTCCCCAAAAGCAGAGTCTGACTAGCCTAGTCCCGAGCGTGGAAGCTTTCCTCTCGATCACGATGGTGCGTAACCCAGTCTGTTGCGATTCTGATTTGCGGATCTGGCCCGGAGCATGGCGGAGTTGTCAGGACATCTAAATGACGTTCGAGCCCTGATGGATCTGCCACCGGAGGATCATGAATGTGTCAAGACAGCTGACTAACGTTTGAGTCGCGATGGAATAGGTGAATGCAAGCATCTCATCTCTGATTATTTGAAGTGTCTCAAGTCGAGGAGAGGTGTCAATGACGACGAGTGCCGGAAGCTCGCGAAGGGCTATCTTGCCTGCCGGATGGACAAGTACGTTGAAATCTTACCGTTCCTTGGTCTCAATTGATCAAGCAAGAGAAGTGGAATAGAACTTGGCTAACGCGGTCTTCTTTGATAGGAATCTGATGGCACCGGACGACTTCAAAAACCTAGGACTCATATTCGAGAAGGACCAAGCTACGAAACAAAACACGGGTGCGTTGACTGGAAATTCAGAAACAAAGCCATGAAATGCCTTATTCACGCGCTCTGCGAAAACGCTGTACGATACCATGGGATGATATAGATTTCTGACCTTTGGGCGTTGGGTTGTGGTTATGTGTATATACATATTCTGTACAAATATTTTCAATTGATCTCTATTCTGCAATCCGCATCTTTACAAGTACAAATTATCTATACCCAAGGTATATAGACGGTGTTCTGCGTACTGGGTAGATGGCGGTATGGACGTCCATGCGGGGAAGCTCACCCGAAGTCACGAACCTCACCAACTTAACCTACCCAACTCAATTCCATCCCCCCATGCCACCCCCGACATAATAACCAACACCCCCAATGTCGTCAATCGCGCGACCCCCAGACCCATGCCTAGTCGCCATAATCCTAATTGTGCGCTCGCGCGCCGGTCCTCGCTTCGTCTTCCACTACCCACCCAACCCGCTGTCCGACAACGGCCTCAAATCCGCAAAGAAAGCACGACGCGCCTCGCGCACCAAGAGCACGCGCAGCAGTGACTCCAGCTCCAGCGACGACAGTGGCCCGACTTCCGACGAGGACGAGGAGGAACACCAACGCCTCCAACAACAGCAGCAGCAACAACAGGCACAGCAACAGTCCAGCCACATCGCCGGGCAGCCCCTCAGCGTGACGCATCTCGCCGGCAGCGCCGTGTCGCGCCGCTCGAGCAACTTCGGCCTCGATGACCACGTCGGCATGGCGGCATCGCCGGGGGGCGAGTCGGCGCGTGCTGGGTCGATCGGGTCCGGGCGGACGCTGTTGCGGAAGCGCGGGGGCAATTCAGACGTCGAGGACGACGCGGGCACGAGTTCGGATCGTCAGGACGACGCGGGTTCGTCGGCGATGGGGGGCGGACGGAAAGGCGGGCCTCCACCGTGGGAGTCGCTGCTGGGACTTCCGGCGAAAGTGTGGGAGAAGCTGCTGAGCCCGTCGCGGGCGTGGCACAAGCGGCGGTTTGAGGTGGGCATCAACGACCTCGGGTTTGTGGGGTGGCCGGTGTTTGTGCGCGAGGATGGCGGGTGGAAGCAAGCAGAGACGGAAGAAGAAGAAGAAGCCCCGGGCTGAACGGCAGGGAGGCGAGCTCGGACATAATGAGCATACGGATGACGCGCGCGAGGAGGCGGATGCGGGCGAGGAGCTTATGGTCGCGTCGACGGAGACGCTGAGCCCGCATCAGATGAGCGCTTCGGAGTCGCAGCGGGCGTCGATAGCGAGCAGCAAGACCGGCCGGGCGCCGAGTGAGTCGCTCGATGTTGATGATAAGGATCGCATGACGATGTTTAATGTCGTCTTTGTGCTGGATCCGCCGTTGCTGGAGTACTCGATGCGCAGTCGCGAGATATACGATAATATCATCAAAAAGTTCGCAAAGGCGTTGAAGTGGGAGCAGGCCCGGACGGGTTATGTCTGGCGCGAGGCGCAGCATATCTCGCATATCAAGGAGAAGGCGAAGGAGAAAGGTGAGTTGCGTTGGGAGACTAGGATTGAATTTGGGGCTAATGATGGGCAGGAACCTCGGTCAATGCCCTCTATACCGAGCTGATCAACCAGTCCTCTCTGGCGAGAGCGATATATACGGTTTACACCAGCATCGCAGCGTCGAAGATCGCGTCCGTCTCTTTGAGCCCGGATGTTTCCATCTCCCTTCAGATTCCGCCCCTAACCTCGACGCCGTATCTCCCTGGCCCGACTGACGAAGCTTATCCTGGCCTGTGGCTCACGACAGCAGACAGCGTCACGCCGGTGGATGATCCTACGGCAAACGAAAGCACGGCGCCGCATCAGGTATTGGCGAAGCATTTCGCTTTGCTGTTACTTGACAGCGAGGCAACTATTCTCAAGGATGTTGAAGCATCGGGCGGTGCACTAGCTCCCGCTCTTGCTCACTACATTCGATGCTCTAAGCCTACGAAATCCTTTGCCCAGATCTCCGCCTCGTCGGGGATCCCCCTTCCAACCATCCAGATGCTGGCGAGTCATCTGGTGTACTGGCGGCGTGCACGCGCCATCCCTCCTCTGCATCAACGAGACACGTACATTGTGTCTCCTAACTGTGATCTCAGCAAGCTTGATGTGGCTACCGCGGCGTATCAGTTGGCCTTCCCGACGTTACCCAGCCTTCCTAAGATGCTGTCTGCTCTGAGCGGAACACCCCGGCCGTATGGAAGCTTCATTCCGAGTAAAGACCACAAGGATGCATATTTTGCTATTCTAGCGTGGTTACTGCGGGGAGGCTGGGTGACGCAGCTTCGGTCTTTCTCGAGAGTCAAGGTCACCCCGGAGATCAAGATGGCCGTGGAAGTGGCCCTCCGCCGCGAAGAAGTCGACAAGTATTTGAGCAAACGCGGGAACGTTTCGTCTGACGCAGGGAACCGCGGGGACTCGTCCGAGCACGATGACGACGATGCCAGCTCTTCGTCGTCGTCGTCGCTCGCGAGCCAAGACAGCGGCGAGGAAACGCCTATGCCGGGCCGCTACAAACAAGACAGCGAGCTGCAGCTGACGCGGTCCTTATTGGACCGGAATACATCCCTGAAAACTTCGTCGCTGATTCTCTTCCCTCATCGAGCGTCCCCGCTAGAGTCTCGCTGGATGGACGAGATCGTCTCCCGGTTCCCCGACAACCCTCGACCCGCTAGGCCGGGGACCGAGGGCGACCCCGAACAAGCGGGACTCCAGACGTCGCTGAAGCAGTTCTGGCCGACGTACATCAAATACTTCAACGGATACGACGCTTTGGAAAAGATCTCGGTCCGGGAGAATCTGAAGCGGAAGCACGTCTGGCAGGTGCTGACCCGTCTGGGGCTGGTGACGGGGTCGCAGGCATCGCTGGACCTGGATCCTCGCGAGCAGGTTTTGGTTAGCGTGCGGCATTGGTGATTTACGGATGATTGTACGAGTGATGATTGCGATAAGATTAATATGTCCGTGTCTAGTAGAACACTTAATGGCAGTCCTTTTGTATACTCTGTAGAAAACCACGTGACATACCGGAACCCCCTCGGAGCCGCGGTGAACCGGCGTTGTTCCAACCACTCCGAAGAATTCCGAGCAAATCCCATCCACTCAGATTACTCTCCATTATTATTCCGTATTATCATTTCCATTGATTCCTTCTCCCCGAGGGGCGGCCGCTCAGCCCTAATGGCCCAATTCACCGTGAGGGTTAGGCTAAGCGATGGTTCATGGGTTCCCTCCACCTCGGCATGAGTCCCGCGGTGTGAGATGAGGATAGACGGCAGCTCCAAGCCACCACCTCCATCATCACCGCGGCACACGTCGGAAGAGTGGTGCGGTTGTATTTCGGGCTTGGCTGATGTATACTACCTAAGTAGGAAGGTACTGGATGTCTCTTGGGATGTCCATTTCCAGTGTCTAATGTCTCACTCACGTGTTACTAATTTTGTACGACCGAGTTACATTAACTATGACCTACCATTTGATTTGTTTTTGCTATTTGTTGCTTTGTATTATTAAGTATATGCATGATTTGATAATATTATCAGTGGGAGAGAGACTAGAACAGCCCGACACACTACGGAGAACGGATGAAGAAAATATTGCTGAAACCACGTTTGGGGCTGCAATTATTGTTACCCGAGCGAGTTTGTCCGAGACCAATTTCTATTTCGAAACGTGACTTTGCACATCACAAGTTCATCAGGTCAATAGGCACTGTTATTTGTCGACCTAGATCCAATTAAGCCAGCATTCTGCTTACCCCTTCTGGAATATTGGTCTGATTCTACTCCGTACTGACGTCTCGTTTTGATTCAGGACGTTTGATTTCATGAGGTATTCTGACAGGTGGGTCCCGAGAGTACATATCTGCGATGTAATTAATACCCAGGGAGTAATGGAGTCCACGAGGTAAGGTAATTTTCCATCCGTCTAAGAGCCGGGCTCAATCTTCACGAAACAGTAGGGTGTCCTTATATTAACCTTAGACCAGTGCGGGTGACGATATCCTATGGTTGCGGTGGTGTTCCCGTGTAGAAAGGGTCAGTGCCTTCTGCCGTAGGTAGCTTTACTCCGTAGATATATATATATATATATCTGTCCTGTTCCTAATATATACTTCTGATGAAGTGATCACGAATACGAGTTGATTACAGATATTTGTCCCTCTACTTGGACTACCTACCACTGGCAGTCCCTATTTACAATGTTATTACTTTTACCATGTTGAGGGGTCGGTGAAAGGCGCATGGATCACAAACCCCTCGCCCTCCCCCGCCCCCATTGTGTTGCGTTGTACGCCTAGAGCGTCTTGCTTCGCATGGGAGTTCTGTTGTACGGAGGACGAGGGGCCGTGACAAGCTTGCGGGGATACAAAACACCCTTCTACAGGTAAAGCGCGCAGAGAGAGAGAGAGAGACGTAACAGTCAGGGAGAGACCTGGCGGGTTAAAGAAGGACCTCGGTAATTGGACAGGATTAACGGAATTGAATTGGATTGTGGACGAACGCCGTGGCTGAACAAACTCGTCAAAGATCGGGGTCTGTTTTCTTTTTCTTTTTCTTTGCTTTTCTTTTCTTTCATGGAGGGGAGTGGGGTATGTCAGGTCGCGCGTGGCACACGCATTGTCGATGAGTTGTGAGATCAGGAAAGGCGTAGATGCTGTTTGAATGCTGTCCAGCCTCCCGCAGTACCTTTGGACCATCGATGGCTTTGATACAGTACATATTTGGATGGGACTGGGAAGATCCGGACGGCCTTTTTTTGACTCAGCATTTTGATACTCGCAGTATTGCCGGGTACGGGGGAAAATATGATACCGCAATGCGGTATGATGGATACGCGAATACATGTCGTGTTCTTGAACTGGACCCAGAGTGTGTGTGATATGATCGAATGTTCATAGATGTAGAAGGATTAACAGTACTATGATCGAGATGCTAGGATATCTCCGACGAAGCCCTAACGGGGAATGAAGGAAACGTACACAAACTTATGCTCTCTGTCTTATATTTTACATGTACATTTGGTTACCCTACGGAAAACAGAATCTGGGACCCTAGTTACTACTTTTTTTTCTGGATTGTCCACAGAAGAGATTATTCTCCAAATTATTACTTGGGAGGGGAAAAAAAAAGTGGATTTTATTCCTAGCTTTCTTTCTTTCTTTGATTTGATTTGATTTTTTTTATTTTTATTTTTTTCTCTCACACAGTCTGCACCACCAAACATTTCCCTCACCCCGTCCATATTATTCTCCCTCTCTTTCTCTCTCTCTTTCTCTCTCTGCCCACTGTGGTTGTTTCCCCTCCTCCCCCTCTCTTCCTCGTTCGTCCTTTTCTCTCTCACCTCATCCTGGGAATCTTTCTTCCCTTCATTTCCCCCAGCGTTCCTTTTCCACCTCCCCATTCCTCCCCCTCCTCAGGTTACTCGCGTGTTGCTACAGTGAGGTCTATTCCTCATTGTCGTTCCCCGGTTGTTTCCTGATCCTCCTGTGTTTTTGCGCGGGAACTCTTATTATTTTCTTTTTTCGTTGGCAAGGGTATCCGGATCGGTTGATCCCCTTCGCATTTTGAATTTTTTTTTTCTCCGCACGAGTTCTGCCTCGAACATCTCCGTCGCAGTCCTCACCAACTTTTTTCCCTCTCCGTTCTCGCCTTCGGATCTGCCTTGTGCATTCTCTCGTCTTTCCCATCCAAGGGAATTTCGGACCCCCGAAGACTTCGAGCGTTCCGTGATTCCAGAGCGGTCGTCGTCACCACGTGAAAGTCGCGATACTCGTCTACGTTCTACAAGGGGCAAACGCCAATTCGTCGAGCCTCTTCGTTCATATCCTGTCGTGATTTCACTTCACTTTCGGTCGTCACTCCCACCGTCATAGGTACCTGGCGAGCTCGGATTCCCGTCGGACCGAACTTCGAAACCACACAACAAATTTGGGTGAGTCCTGTGGTGGATTCCCGGCTCTCAACCCCGAGCCTCCAACAACGTCCTGTCCGTGTGTCTGTGTGCGTGGACTCATCGTGTGAACCCTGTCTGTCTCTAGACATCCTCGTTACAGGGTTTTCCACTGTGCCTACCTCTCGGGACGCTGTACGCCGACCTGGACCAAAGAAACTTTTCATTGACGATCAAACCGATGCGATTCGTGTAATAGGATCCATTCCCAACGATACACGGACACACAAGACCTCTTTCCTCCTACCGTCTCTACCACCGTCTTCCGCGAACGATACTCCCCGTGTCTAGCGTACTCGGCTACCACCACATCCTCCACATTCTGCTACCCCAGTAGGAGTGATCTCCAGTGTCGGGAAGTTGCAGTTTGGTGGGGTTGCAAGAGGGCGGAAGTTGGTTCTTCTGATTTCCATCGGTGTTGGATCCGTGTCGCCCCCAGCTGGTTACCATTGGAGGCACTTGTTCTCTGGCAGAACACCAGTTTCCTCTTCTTTTTTGCCCTTCCATTTTCTAGACCGGATATATTAGACTTTGTTTCTTCTCCCCCCTTTGTTAAACGAAAAAAAACGAAAATGGCCGCTACATTTTCTTACGCACAGGCCGCCAAAGGCATTGTTGCGACGCAACCGTCCACGAAGACGACATCCGACACGAATAAGACCTCCAAGCCGGAGGATCAGGCTGAGGTTGACAACACTGTGACCTCCACCCCCGAGTCTCCCCAGGAACCGGAGAATGCTCCCGTCGCCAACGAGAAGGAAGCCGAATCGACCGCTCCCCAAACAAATGGAACGGGGACGTCCACTCCCAGTGTCGCCAATTCGTCGCAGAAGCCCGACGAGGAGTCCAATACTTCCAACGGAACTTCCGAATCAAGCTCGGAGAAGCCGTCAGAGACACCGGCTGCCGACAAGCAGAACGGCACCGAGAAGAAGAAGGGCGACGAGAAGGAAAAGAGCGAACCCCCTAAGGAGCTCAAGGCTGCTCCCCTCCCCTCCGTGAACATCTGGCAACAACGGAAAGAGGCCCAAGAAGCCAAGGCGAAGGCGATTGCGGCTCTGAAGCCCGGTTCTACCAGCGGGAAGGCGGTTTCCAAGACGACGTCCGCCGCCTCTTCGATATCCGGCGACAACCAGCAGGATCAGACCAAGGCGGTCAGCAACAAGAAGTCGGACAACCGCCGGAAGGCTGATGGAGGAAAGGCACGCGAGGACGCTGCCGCTCTCCCTCCCGTCGCTGATGCGACTCTCTGGCCGACTCCCCAAGTCGCGCTGGGCGAAGAGAAGAAGAAGGCGCAGGAGAAGCCCGAGAAGGCTGAGAAATCCGAGAAGAGCTCGTCTACCCGAGGAAAAGAGAAGTGGATGCCGGTTCCCTACGTGCCTACTGCTGTCTTCAACACTCCTCTCCCATCCGCTGCGCGTCGAGGTGGTCGGGCTGCTCGGGGTGGACGGGAGACTGGCCGCAATGGCTCCCACGGTTCTGACAAGTCCGCGGCTGGACAAGGCGCCCAGGCTGCCTCCAAGCAGACCGCTCCTGCTGAGCGTGGTCGCAACGAGCCGAGCACTGCTCGCGCGAACTCTCTTCCTGCTCCCTCCCGACGATCGAACAGTGCCGATGCAGGTGTGGCCGATGCTCGCAAACCTCAAGTCACGGATCGGGCCCGTGGACCCAAGGGCGCGGACAACGCCGCCGGTGCGGCCGCCAAGCACGGTAACGGAGGCGATGGATTCCCTCGCCACCAGAAGGGATTTGCCAGAAACCACGATGCTGCACACAAGGGCGGTGATCAGAGCGGACGCAATGCCAACGTTCCTGCGGATGCCAACGCTCGCTCCGGTGCTTCCAATGAGCGTCGGTTCGAAAATGGCCCCAAGTCTGCTGACTTCGCCGGCTTCAACGGCAAGGAGAAAGAGTTCCCTCGCGAGTCTCGGCGCGGCGGTGGATCCCATCGGGGTCGCGGTGGCTACAACGGTGCGCAGAACTCTCATTTTGCCAACCACAATGGCTTCGCTCACGCCAAGTCTTTTGGCTTCAACGATCGCCAGCGGTCGCAGCCCCATGGGCTCGGAAATGGCTCTCGCGGCCATGGCATGTCTATGCGGTCTCCGTCGTTGCCCAACTCTGCCGCCATGTACGGCGTCTATCCTTTCCCTGCCGATATCAACACCATGTATGGATACCAGCCCATGACTGCGGGCCCTATGTCGGCTGTGCCGTACCAGGGATATATGGAGCCTTTCTCCTTGTTGAGCATGATCTCTATGCAGCTGGAGTACTACTTCTCGGTGGACAACTTGTGCAAGGACCTGTTCCTCCGGAAGCACATGGATACTCAGGGCTTCGTTGCCTTGGGATTTATCGCTGGCTTCAAGCGGATCAAGAACCTGACAGAAGATTTTGAGCTTCTTCGCCATGTCTGCCGCAATTTGAGAAACGTTGAACACATCCAGGGTGAAGACGGTGTTGATCGCTTGCGCCCCAGAGAGAGATGGGAACAGTGGGTGCTCCCCATCGAACAGCGTGATCCGTCCGCCCAACATCAGGGCCCTTCTGCGGCCAAGTCGGATGAAAGTGCCAACAACCACGTGGATGGAGCAATGAACGGGTCGGTCAGTCTGCCCAATGGCACTGCGGAGACTCCGGTTTCGAAGACGCCACTGTCTTCCGAGGCCCCGGAGTTCTCTCCCGCTACGGCCGTGAACAGCCAAAGCGAGACAGCAAATGTATGAGCCTCCCTTGAGATGTGATTTGTCTTTCGCATAGCATGGTCAGCGATATGAGTCTGGGGCGGAGGCTGGGTTCCTTGCCTCAATAATCGTACTCGCTATCCGTCGTGGCGTGCTTGGAGCAGTAGAGTTGACATATCAAACAGCGAGCTGATTAACTGCCGACTGGATCGCATCCCCTTATCGCAGGATCTGTCGGCCGATATACGAGGTGTGTGATGAATATCCTCCGACGTCAACTTTGGGCTAATCCTGGAGCAGTCATCTGAATCCTGCGAGTCACCACTTCGATGGGTCCAGCCTCCCGCGGATCTGATCCATACATACAATCGAGGCGAAGGGGATTATCTCGCGTGTTTACCGTCTCTCGATTCTGTCTACGAAGTTTCGCCGCCATGACCGAAAATACGTTCTTGATGAACTACTTCGACGGCATCGCAACCTCGGTACGACGATCGTGACACGATTGCTTTCTTCTCCTTACCAATTCTGGTCGCATTTTGGCCCAAAATCTCCATGCACAAATGTACAATGAATTTAAGAGTCTAGCGTTTGATGATCTTGCACGAAACGTCAGCACTGGTTTCAACGGGTTATTGCTTGTTTTTACGGTTCCATTTTGCCGCGCAGCAAGGGTTTTTATCGGCGGCGGTCACTCGAATCCTCGCCAATCTACATGAAGAGTTTGTCGTCACGGCGGAAACAAAGGGTCTTACGGACTTCTTGGACCTGGCGCAGTGACAACCACTACCCCGGAACCGCAGCAAGATTGACTGTGATCTTGGTGGTTACCCGACGAACCGCGCTGGAAAAGTCCATTTCTCTGCCTTCTCTTTCTCACTTTCTCCCTCGGGCCATTTATGTTCTCTTTCGTGGTTCCATTATCATCATGACTTGCATTACTATTTGTCAGCTTTTGCATCTACGTCTTTCAAGTTGCCGAACACAGTCTTCCAGCAAAGTGGATTGATATATGCACATTCGAACCTCTCGGCTTGTTGTCTGACAGTCTTCTTTCACCTCTTCATTTCGCTCTTGATTTTACTTACCCCTTTTGCTTCAGTCATGGGAGGTTTACAAAATTCTGGAGTCCGGGAATGTTTTACTGGGCCGTATCGTCTTTGTGGTGCGCCGGGCTGAAGTTCGTTCCCACGACCATAGAGTTCCATTGTTCTCCGGTTTCTTTAATTTGCGATAATGTTTCTCCTCTTGTTCTTTCGATTTCTAGTACGAATGGAAGAAAAAACACAAGAAAACAGCGGAAAAGCTTTCGTTTCTTACCTAACTCCCCTTGCCTTTCCTTCCAGCGAGGTGCGATTGAGACTAACTGGCGCTATTGAAGAATGGGAGACTGAACGGGCATTTCTCATGGGTTTCTCTGGTGTTGGGACGGCGTATGATTGCATTCATGGGGGTTTCTCGGTGGGATTGGGCTTATATCTTTGTCTGGTAGCTTGGGTAGAGAAAAACAGGCTTTATGAGTATCCTTGGTTCATCTGGGAGTGCAGGCATACAGAACCCGTAGCATGGCACAGAAACATCAGTAGCTGCGGTAGCTCATACAGCATATTGCACACTCGTTGACACAGTGTTGAATTTTTCTAGGTGCTCTAAGCCCCAAAATGACCAGGATCTGGGTATGCCGGCTTTTCTGTTGCGGTGTAAGGCGGGTGACTGTGCCCGATATGCGCTGGTCGAATCCCCCCAGGCCTAAAACCACCAGACAGAACTAATGATGCGAGATTTGTCTGATTAGCCATTGTGCAATGTGCGGATGAGCTACTGAATGATGAGTTCAGATGGAACTGGGTGTCTGGAAGGGATGACTATCAGTTGACCTCGTTGACAGATGAATATAGATCCAGTGCGAAGTGTCCGCGGCACCCAATAAAGCGTCCGAGGACACTGTCCATGTCACGGATTTATAGTAAGTTGCTATTATACTTCCTCTTATAGTCTCGCTGCTTTAAAATAGCCTATACTAGGGCATCCTCATTGTAGACCAACCGTATTCGAATAATTATGCAGCGTCCTGGCGGGCCTAGATCTCAAAGTACAGTGGGATGCAAAAAGTATTTAAAACACCCTGAATTGGTTAGACTAATTTAGTTCGACCGCCTACTACATAAGCCTATTCTGCCAAGTTTAACACGCATACTTTTGTATTAATAATACATAACTCCATCCAACACAGTAGGCGGTCAAATTATGATACGCTAACCATTTTGGGGTTTTCTAAATACTTTTTGCATCCCACTGTAAGCTGAAACCAATAGATCCTATGTCAATGATTGTGGCTGGAGTTATCAAAAAAAAAAAAAAAAAAAAAAAAATCTTTTCTAGATGGTCATCCGTATCGCGAGATCTATACGCCGTAAACTGATGAAAACCATCATTCATTCAAGATTATGGATCTCTGTCATCCTAAGTGGCCATGGTGGGCCTCGTGGTGTCTGTCCTCAAATCAGATAGCTGTGTACATCCTATCGATCAACATGCTGTTGGTGTTCGCTGTGTGCAACTGTCCAATCCGGCGATCTACCTCTACCCACTTGCTCAGAGCCCCCTCTCTAGCAGCATCCCATTGATCAACCGGGATGATTGAGTCTCGAACTTTCGCTGCCTGCTCGAAAGACATTCTCGCAGTGTAAGGATACCCTTGGGCCTCCTGTGCTAGACCAAGAAGAAGAAAGGTGGTTGAAACATCGTGGTTCAGCTGTGGGTCTTGACTATAATCAAATCTTGTCCCAAGCCGACCAGCACGATCGGATAAACGTTGACAAATGTAGCCCATTTTCACATACTCCCCCTCACTCCACAGGTACTCCATTGCAGTGTGCCATAGGGTCATAGACTCGTGGCTGTATTTTCCGAGCTCGAGGTCTATTCTATCGAGCATGCCCTCGATCTCAAAGACAGACAATCTTTTGTACAGGCTGTAGAACTCACCCGCATCAGCTCTGGGAAACCTAGCCTGGTTATAAGAGAAATATGCTTTGACGGGGTCGTTTCCTGCTCTGTTCATCCACAAGAAACGGCAGTAAGAATCAAACGCGAGATATAGGGGGCATAATTGCTCCCAATCAATCCTTTCCAAGAATTCGAGCATGAGTCTGCGCGGATCATTCTGTGGCAGCACATCTCGTGCCATAGAAACCAGATTGGCTACAATGCCATTCTGCAGCTCCTCGTTGCCGGCTCTCTTGACCATGAGTAGTATTCCAAGGATATCAGGGAGCTGGCGATGGTGACGATATCCCACGACGGATCGGAGAAGAGCAAAGGAACTGTTTAGCAATGTGTCGGCTCGCTGATTTTCACCCGCCTTGATTTGCCTTAATGCACGGAAGACCATGTTATGCAGCTTACTGAGACCCGCTAGTTGTGCTCTTAGCTCCGTGCTCCTGGCGTATACCCCCTTGTGATTTGGGGCCCATTCGCCACTGTCAAAGCAGGACTCGAAATGAACCCGAGTATTAAAAAGAAGGTATTGGAAGCTCCTGAAAGTGGCTGGGTCGCTTAACATGGTAACCTGGAATGGTAGATGGATCCAGGTGAGCTCCCGAGGATCGGACTTCTCCTTCGGCGGGTCCTGTCTCCTATCACAGTGTCGGATAACCTCTTCGTTCTGTTGAAGTACACCATCTGCAAAGACTAGGCAGTGGTGGCCATCCGGTGTCTGATCAAGAATAGCTTTTGCACGAACAGCGTCTTCCCCCCGAATATACTTAAAGATACCGAGGTCGCGTAGCAGTTTCTTCCATTGGTGGATCCTGCCAAAGTGTCAGTTGATCACTATGGATGAAAGAAGCTATCGCTGACTCCTTACGTCAATCGCGGCACCGATGCTTGCGCTTCGAATGCGAGCTTGGCTTCCTCTCGAGTCAGATCTTCTGTGACGAAGAGTCGGAACACAACACAGCGGTGCCCTCCGTATGCCCTTGCACGTTCCATGTTCAAAACGGCCAGACTTCCTGTTATGTGTTTCCGGTAAAGAGACTGGGTGGCTAATAGATGGAACGAGAATATGCCGATATAAAGGGCATGTCAACAGCTGGTGCATAATTCGGGACTCCCGTAATCTGGCTAAGGGACAGGTCAATAGTCACATCATACCCCAAAGACGCCTGATGACCTGAATTTGAGGTGAGTCGCGCACCTTTTGGCCTGATTACCAGCCTTACAACTTCCTAATCACCCAACGCTGATATCCAGTTAAGCGTCAGCCACTTGACGTGGCACTAATGATGAAATTACCCCGCTCTTTAGTCCATCGACTGCCAGCTGAGGTTTCTAATCAAACCCGGGGTATGGCTGCCTTGCAACTCGATTGGTCGGCCTTTTAGGAGCCCAGCACTAATGTATAGCCCTTTTGTTCGCTTGTCTCTCACGCTAGCCATATTGAGAAGACCTTTTTCTTCATTGGCTTACTATATGGAGTATGGTTTGGTTGTAGTAGGGAGATGGCGCTTGATCAGGCTTCGAGTTGCATCATTTTATGGAGCCTTCCTTCGCGGAGGTAGCGTGTTTTGCGACGACACAAATGGCATGGAATGCCTATAAAGAGGCGACGCTTTCCCATGGTCTTCTTTTCCTCAGATCTTCTTCTTTCTGCCTTCAACAATACGAAGAAAAGCGACATAACTGACTACCTCAGCTTTGTTCTGAGAGTGCTGCCCACCAATCTTTTTCTTACTCAAACATCTTTTTCTCTTCGTTTCCTGATCTTTCTCGCACCGTGGTCCATCTCACTCTGCTCTTTTGTCTCTTTGTCTCTTTCCAGTCTCGTTTTACAATCAGACAGCTGTCAAATTTCGCTCTATCACTACCCTCGCCCTCTAAAACGCCCCTCGTCAGCCGAACAACTGAGCACCAGAGACACTCCGATATATTTTACTTTTTACTAGAAAATCGGAGTTTCTTCAACTCTCAATGGAGCAATCGATCCTGCGCATGGAGACAGAGCTCCAGAAACAGTATGGAAATGAAGACTGGAGCACAACTTTTCGCGCTGGACCGGACTCTATTGGAATTCTCGCCGAATGTATTTTGATTACCTCAAGACCAATGGTCATAGGTATTGAGCTAAAGGGCCCTGGGCTTAAGTGCGTCTAGTATTTTCCAATGGCAGATACGCCCGCTGTTCTGAGCGTAGTAAGCTGACTGCTATACAGGTATACAACACTCTCTGCGAATGTGAGCCACTGTGCAGCCGTTGGCACACATACATTCAGAAAGACTGCGAGGAATATGAAAATCTTGGCTCATTTAACAAATGAACTCTCGCAACCGAATGGGACTGTACGCTATCCTCTTCAATCTACCTGTTGCCAGCTCATTGACACTCAGGGGTCCGAGCAGATTGAGAAAATGTTGAAGTTCTGTGAGGTTGGTCAGTCTCAAGCAAGGGACAGGCTGCTGTCTAAGTATATTTCGAGAGGCGAGAAGATTGTTGCGAACTGTACAGACCTCATTGGAGAGGTCAGCGCCTTGTTTGATGATTGGTGCAACATGACAGCAGCCCTTTATCATGCTTTGCAAGACACGCTGGGTATGTCTCTTTCATCAAGTGTCGACACCTATGATCATAACTTTACTAACACAGAAATTTGTCCCCTATATAGGCCAGAAGCGGAGGCAGGAGCAGCATGTAATCGACGAGATTAAAAAAAACGAAGTTGACAAGAAATTGAAGGAAGGTCAGAGAGAAAAGGAAGAGGCTAGGACAAATGAGCGAGCGAAACGCATGCAAGAGACTCGCGAGATGAAGGATACGTACGAAAAGTATGCCGGAATTGTAGGTAAGTAAGTGGACCAATTCCCCAGAGCCAGCTTGAATAACAGTAGTCGCAGCCAGCGGCAGCATCTTGGCGGAAGGAGGCTTAACTGCTGTAGTTGCGTCTGCATCGGCAGTTACCACAGGAGTCGGACTTGCAGTTGCTGGTGCGGCTGCCTACATACACTACAGAATCCTCAGGGCAGACCTCGCGAGTATGGAGGAAGCTCAAGAACGAAGAAATCAGGAGATCCGTGAGCTTGAGGAGTCAAAAGCAATCCTTGAGCAGACACTGGCACACCTAAGTGCAGAATCAAAGTCAATTGTGCGTTTGTCTTGGTCTGATCACTTCTTAGGATGTCACTAATTATTCTGTCTTTTAGGACGAAGTCAAACACATTGTGCAATTGTCTTTCAGGAAGGTGACTGAGCTACAACAGCTAGTCAGGAAGTTCATGCAATTCCTTCTCGATATCAATTCCATTATCAAATACACAGTGGAGCACAGTACACTCGTATACGATTTTGTCAAGGATAAAGAGGACTTGATCGATCCCGGGATCAAGATGGTATTGCTCATTCAGTCCCAGGGCCCTTATTATGTTTTAAACTGACATCCCGTTAGGAGTTGCTGGAGAACGCTTTTGACATGAAGACAAGATTCATATTTGCCTCAAAAGCGTCAAACGTTTACAACGCCGTCTCCAGCCAGTTCATCCTGCCAACTTTGAACAAGCTACCGGAATTGGGTCTCCTGAACCAGGCTACGGAACGCGAGGTTATGACAAAAATGGAAGAGCTGCATGATCTGAGGTGTAGAGTCTGTACAGAAACCACATCTCTAACTCAGAAGGTCAGTCTCTCATAGCTCTCTTCAAAACGAATATCGAGCTCACAGGTCGATAGATGCATGCAGAACTTAAGGAAAGCCTGGCAGAGGTAACCAGGGCCTCTGCTAGAGTCTTCGAGGATATAGCGTCCGGTGATCACGACGGTCCTGGAGAGGGGCCTCGGTGACGCGTTCAAACTGTCGGATCCGGTTATGTTTTGATTTCTACTTGTCGTAGTCGTGGGAGATAGTGGGCTACAGATAGGTTGAGCCACGAACTTGGGCTCCAATGGCGGTCATGCAAACAGAACTTTTCGGTGTCCTCCTTATGCTCGAGGCTTTCTTTATTTGCTTAATAAAGTACCACACCCTATGGAGCAAACGAACAATGATGGGTTACAGCTGAGCGGGCGTCAACAATTTACCCACCGGGTCCCAAAACTCTGCCACCGCCCTTGAGTCCCTCCGAGCCGTAGCCGTCTCTAGTAAGCAGTCCCACCTCGCCTTTGGGGGGTTGGTCTCCCACACCTCAACGATAATTCCCACCTTAACAACAAATTTGAAGCCTTTTAATCAATTTTTCACCACCACTATGATGAATTCCTATTCTAAAGTGTCGAAACGTATCTACGAAGCCTGCGAAGTCGCTAAACGTGTCTAAAATTCTAATTTAAAAGCGTTGTCGTGTTACTTTCAGGTCCCCTATCAGCAGCTTCGGGTATATTTATAAGGACGAGCAACTCGCTCTACATGAAAAACCGCTGACAAAGTCTTTACTGATATACAAGAAAGGGTTTTGATTAAATAGATACTTCAGCGCAATTCCCTAAATAGTACATCTATGCCAGAAATAATTTAAAGCTTTGTAGATCAGATTTTACGATAAAATACAGAAGACAATGAATGAGGGTAGATTTAGGAGCCCAGGTGATTGGGCAGGTCAGGAAAGAAGATGACGTTTAGTCAGGAACTTCCAGGTTCATGAGGCAGGCATCTACTCTACTATACCACCATATCCTTAGCTGTAATGGCTACGGGATAGGGGGCACCCGGCACCATAGGTAGAGAGAAGAGAGGTTAATTTCTTAACTACTGGGCAAATCTCTTAGTGAGATATACTCCGTAGACAATCTGGGCCCCACCAAACATGTAAACTAACCCGAAAAAGATAATAGGCATTCTCCCCCCGCTTCAATAGTAAATTTTCTTTTAGGTATATAAACACTACTAAGTCTACTGTTAGAAGCGAAATAATAAGCTTATTTAGACAGGCAATAAGATGGAAGATATAATCTAAATACACAGATGCAACTTGCTAGTACAGAAGTTTTGAATAAAGGTCTTTCTGTATAAAACAAAATATAGTTTTTCGGATCTCGTCTAGGATGTGCATATATCTTTGTAATCCTCTAAACTACTCTTGGGCATAACACCCGCCCTCCAACAGTGCACCCATTCCGAATCCATTGCGCCGCCTCGAACAACTCGTCCACATTCAGTGTTCCAATCCCGCTCTCCACCAAGAATCGCCAGAGCTTCATCCGTAGATACTTCGGCCACCCGGGTATACCCCAGAATCGGGACACCAATCCCCTTGCCGCGGCCGTGTCGATCATCGTCTTCATGGTCTCTTTCTGGCGTCTGCTTGGGCCCCAGGGCCAGATGATCCCAGCAGCTTTCCTTAACGATGCGCTTGCGTAGTATGAGTTGTTGGCGGTGAAGCTGGCGTTGTCTGCAAGTTGATCCAGTGGGGCATCAAAGAACACGTCCCTGTATTCGGCGTCGGCATTGACCAGCTCAAATGGAGTATTCCCAGTGCCCACTACTATGATCGGCCGCCAGGCCAGCCCACCGCCGGTCCTATTCCAGTATGATAGCCAGCCACCGGCACGCAGGGGCTCTAGTTGATCCATCACCACGGGCCACGAAGTATGTCCGTCGGTCTTGACGTCAATAAGCAGTGTCAGGCTGGCGTTGGGACGGGCCTCGAAAACTCCGGACCTGGGGACGGAAAAGTTGGCGCCATCGTTGATGCGGGTAAGGATTGTGGTCAGGGGCCAGATATAGAGAGACTGTAGAGTGCGGTCGGCTGATAAGGACGAGGCTCGGTGGCCTACCAGCAGGTCATTGGACGTTTTATCTAGCCAGACATCTGCCTCTACCCCCACACAACCAGCGGAAAGCGCGTCAAACAGTGGCACCTTGCGCCAGTAGTCGTTATGTGAATGGCACTGGACGGGTGTGACGCCCTGGCTAAAGTCCTTGGGCCAAGGGGAGAGCGCTGTAATGGAATCGGATGGCGTTTTCCAGCTCTCTCGTATCCGCTGCAGCCCGTTCGCATGCACAGGAGGGATGAGCCTGTCGGCAAGGACCATGTCCAGGAAGAACCATGCACTAAGTAGTGACCAGATCAGTGGATGGGAACCTGGAAGGTGAAGTGGATACATACAGTACAACCATGCCTCCACAGAGGGTGGCTGGGAGAAGGCAGAGAGACCTCCCTGGAAGTAACACTCTTCTTAATAGCCTGGATGGTGCCATATGTGACTGGGTACCCTCACGCCTGCTATCAAGGCAGACGGATTAGGGTTGTATTGCTCAGAGGTATTTGTTGGCTTGCTAGATACCAGGAGAGTCTGCTGGCTTTATAGTTGAAAAAAGTTGTCCAAGTGAAATGTATGGGGCGCTGGATCAGTCATCTTGCATAGCCTACCAAACCTAGATATACCGGGCAATGCCATGTCAGTTCGGTCTCGACTTTACCTACTTCCTCTGGCGAGCACTGAGAAGGAAAAGTCGGAACCTTACGCAGCTGCCTGGTTTCCTGACTTGCCGCAGAATATGCTGCCTGCAGGGATTACAGAGTAGGAGGCGCGAATTCTTGACCCACATAATCAATGCATGGGATGGGTTTTCTCATCCAACCCAGCTTTTCAACCGCGATCCACTTGGTAGCACAGCGCTTCTCACGTTGGGTAGAACACTTCCAGTGAGAGTAGTGCCTTGAGTGTTGGTGTTTCACAGCATCTTACAGCGTCGTGGCTTTCAACTTCCTGTCCTGTTGCTCTAAGATACACATTACATTGGTAGTCAAGCAACAAGCCTAATTGAATGATATCCTAAGGGTTACGTGCCGCTCTGGAGATCAGGCCCATTCCTCACTTGCCTGGCGGTTAGACATACGATTCGTAGAAATGATCATGTTCCGGAACATGGTTTGATATTCAAAGACTGCTTAAGAAGTTCAACATCCTTCAATGAGTGACAATAGTTGGGATGCTGCAGCACCACTACAGTTACTTTATCAGCTAGCTCTTCATCCACGCTGTCTCCCCAGAAAACGCAACTATCTGCTTGACAGACACAACTGTCTCGCGACAGATGAAGTCTACTTAGCAATGCAGTTCAACTGGCTGCCCTGGTACTCGCATTCTGTGTGATCATGGTTAGATACTAACTCATATAAGATGCGAAGTTGTAGTGACACGATACTTACTGCCAGAGATAACCTTCGAATCGTCGCTAGGACCGCTGTAGTACTTGCAACTGGAGCCCTCCTTGTGACTGCAGTTGTTGGGACAGTTGCAAGCATAGTCTGCACGAAATATTAATACTATGTCTTTGGTGCTGCATGATCAGAGGGAACCAACAAGGCGAGGTAGCAATTTGAATTGCGTCTACATCGCGCGGAACCTCCACAGCAGCTCCAATGACCTGGTTGGCAGCGAGGAGCGCCATAGCAGAAAGGAGGGCGGTAGTGAAATGCATCTTGGAGAGGGTTTCCGAATGGACTTTCAAGTAATGGTTAAGAGTAACGGCGTAATGGTTAAGAGTGATGGAGAAAGATTCTGGGAAAGGGAATTCTTCAGCCTTCTTATATGTGTTGTCTTTCTGATTTATTATCAGTGGGGAAGTCGTTGAGCCTGTATAGATATTTACTCCTTCTTTCTTAGATCCACCTAGAGCATAGAACAGAACCAACAATTACCCAACGTATGATTCTCCTCCATTCGAAACCGATTTAGAGGGAGAAGGAAGAAGAAGAAGAAGGGGGGATAGAAAATACCTCATCTCACCACCTACCTCACAACACAGTCATCATGCATATCTATTGCGTTGTCTATAACACCATTCCAAGGATCGCCAACATTCCCACGTATACTCTGACTCGCGCTCTAAAACTCCGAGAGTAGTACTATGTCCCGGGACTTGTTTAGACTGGGGCATCGTGCTACGGAGCTGGGATGGCCCTGAGACATTCTAGGTCTACTGCGTTGTCTATAACACCCTTCCAAGTATCACCAACATTCCTTCGCTTACTCTGACCCGCGCTCTGAAACCCTGGGTCTAGTACTATAGCCCTAGACTAGGTGTGATTGTCGCAACGAGCTACCTAGTTAGGATAGTGCTTGAAGCTTTTCTAGGTTCTGCTTCCTGATCTCGTATGTAGTATGTGGAAGTCGGAAGTCGGAAGTCGGCGTATATACGCAACAGGCTAGTGCTTAGCTATTGCATCCTTGTGCGGAATGTTTGTACCCGGACGTTAGAATTCTAGTTGGCGAGGGTCGCTGGCGTTGCACTAGTTCGCAAGGAATTGTACTTTTTATCAGCAATTGCTCTCTTTTCCGCTTCCTACGCTGTGATATACGTATAAATACTTTGATTGTCATGCGAGGAGCCGTAGTTATCTTATCGAGAGCCTAAATAAGCACTGGCTTTATAAAGCATAATCTAACAAGCTTTTTGGCGCATGATTAAAACGGTCACATATAGTTCCTAAGGCTACACTATACTAATTTAGTAAGAAAGATCACTTCCCCTGTTCTGACGTAAGCTCTACGGCCCTGGGACTCGCACTTCCCATCTAGGCTGTTACCTAGTTGGATATAGTGCCTCGTTTAATCGTGCTTGACACTTCTCTAGGTTCCGCTTTTTGGCCCCAGCGCACGATGTAACATTGTGGAAGTTCGATGTCGATCATGCATGACTATTATTAATATCAAACTGTAACGTTTTCCACAATCGAGCCGCGCCTACAACCGAGCCGCGCCCTTTCCACCAAAACTCCTACTTCCTAAATTCAACGCGTCTTTTCTCATCACCACAATTTAATATGCATCTTTCTAAAGAATCGCGCATTCAGATGGCTATTTCAGCTTATCAGAAAGGCCAGGTTAAATCAATTAAACGCGCTGTGGCCCTTTTTGCTGTCCCCGAAAGCACTGTACGCGACCGGCTTCATGGTGCTAAATCACGGTCGGAAACACGCGCCAATGGTCATAAACTGACCGAATTCGAAGAGGAATTACTTCTAAAGCGATTATTAGATGCAGATACGCGAGGATTTCCAATTCGACCCGAATTTCTACGTGGAATGGCCCAGGTTTTACTTCGCAGTCGTTTACAAGACCCTACCGCAGCTATCGGAACTAACTGGCCTTATAACTTTGTTAAACGCCATCCTCAGCTCCGTACGCGATATACAAGGCGTATTACCTATCAGCGCGCAAAGCAGGAAGATCCAAAGGTTATAGGCCCGTGGTTTGAGACCGTACGAGCGACTATTCAAGAACACGGCATACATGAAGACGATATCTGGAATTTCGACGAAACTGGCTTTGCAATGGGAGTCTGCTCTACTTCAAAAGTGATTACTGCAGTAGAGCGAAGCGAGCGACCGCGCAGAGTTATTCAGGGGCAATCGTGAATGGGTTACAATCATCGAAACAATCGGGTCAAGAGGCGTATATCTACCGCCAGTCATTATATTAAAGGCAAGCGTTCAACAGGCTGCCTGGTTCCAAGAACCTAAGCTGCCTCGCGACTGGTGGATTTCTACTAGTCAGAATGGCTGGACGACTGATGAAATAGGCCTTCTCTGGCTGAAAAATGTCTTTGAACCGCTTTCTAAGCGCTATATGACTGGTGCAAAGCGCTTGCTTATTCTTGACGGCCATAGTAGTCATTTGACTGCTGAATTCGATGATTTCTGCAAGCAGAATGCAATAATATGTCTCTGCATGCCTGCCCATACTTCACATCTTCTTCAACCGCTTGATGTGGGCGTTTTTGGCCCGCTTAAAGAGGCGTACGGAAAGCTCCTTGAAGACCTTATGGCTGCTGGCAACAACCATATTGATAAAGAAGACTTCCTATCGCTATATCCGGACGCCCACAAGCAAATCTTTACTTCGGCCAATATCTGCAGCGGCTTTAGAGGAGCAGGGCTTAAGCCGCTTGATCCAGAGCATGTTCTTTCCAAGCTTACCTTTCAACTGCGTACGCCTACAACACCACTAGTTGAAGGCTCAGTTTCCTCTGCTTTTCAGACTCCGCAGAATACTCGCCAGCTGAATCGAAAGGTTCGAAGCCTGCAGAATAGCCTTAATAGAAAGCGGCAGCTTTCTAGCAGTCCTATTGCGCATATTCAACATCTGGAGAAAGCAGCGCAAATGGCGATGCAAACTACCCTTCTTTTGCAGCAAGAAATTAGGGCTATACGCGCTGAAAATGGACGACAACGTCAAAAAAAAGCAAGAAGACGTGCTGAGATAGGTAATGACCGCCTTCTTAATGTGCAGGAAGGTGAAAACCGCGTTCAGCAGCTTGATACGCAGCTTAATGAGCAGCCTGCGGAATCTACTCTAGCGCCTCGTCGACGAGCTCCGCAGCGCTGTAGTGGGTGTGGAACAATCGGGACATACAATTCGAAATTGCCCTAGTAGATGGCTATAATTTCATGTATTTAGTTAGTTAGATTTAATGGCGTTGGTGGTTGAAAAGCCTTAGGAAATAGGAGTTTTGGTGGAAAGGGCGCGGCTCGGTTGTAGGCGCGGCTCGATTGTGGAAAACGTTATACTATCTCTCCTATGGGTCACCCACTCCACTTATTGCAAACGATTTACCCTCCACTGCCACCACCAACAATAGCAAGGATCCGTTATTAGCTGATAGTTGGAGTATACAAAAGGGCAAGGATCATTGCCGGTATCATAATAGTCTTATTCAGTTTGTTCTAGGAATCCTTGTCGATAACCAGACGGAGGTTGAGGGGAACTGTCAGACTGCACTGACGGCTGCCTTGCGCTTTGCATCCTAGTATGTTTCTAAAGAATTGTTCTGTTGGTTTCTTACATGCATTAAGGGTCCGCTCACCCGATTTTCCGATCCGAGCCGAGCCTGATGAGATCTTACCTGTGAGATTGGAAGGTGCCTGCCCAGGTATCACAACAGGAGACTAATGCATACAGTAGAGACTTTCAGGTGCGGGATTTAGTATTCCAGGGTGGTTAAGACGTCGCTGGTATAGCGCTAGTTCACAAAGGATCCTACCATTCACCAGTATGTCCCAACATCTCACCTCCAACGCCTAGAGCATGAACTAAAAGCAATTCCGGTTGATCAGCTACCTCCAGCGGTGGTGTCTATTCTCCGTAGTGGCGGAGTTAGTCCTTTACACTTCCGAGATTCTCAGTCATCTGCGCGAATCCAGGCATGTCTTATGGCTGATATGGGTATAAATACTTTGATTGACCTGCCAGGAGTTGTGATTGTCTTCTCCAGAGGCTACAACAAACACCGAATTCCCAAGCTCAATCCAAGAATCTTCTTATACAAAAACAATCTCAAACAAATTCTTGTCTCTCAATCATGCGTTCAATCTTCCTTGCGGTGCTGGGCCTGATGGCAACCTCGTCACTCGCGGCCCCCAGGGTTGCCGCTCAGGAGGGCATCAGTGCTTTCGACGCCATGGCCAAGCTGAAATCCGCACCTCTGGGATATGTCCACATCGCGGACGATGGTGTGGCACGAGCTTACGACGAAAACGAATCCGTCATTGACTATGTCCCCTTGACCAATGACCAGCTCAAGCATCTGCTTCAAAACCTTCCAGAAGCATGGAAGAAGGAAGAGGATCATTTGCACGCTGTCTTCGATGCCGTCGACGGACGCGAAGTTACGGATGAAAAACAATTGCTTGACCCTCCTGCTGAGCTTCGAAAACCCATGAATCATCAGGCACCTCAGTCGAAGCGCGAAGCCAACCCTCTCGAGCAGGCCGACTACTACTGCCTAGGCCAAGCTTGCGTCACTGATTATGCTTGCCAGTTCTTGGGCTGCCGGGCTTGTGCGCATATTGACGCTGTCGTACCAGGAGGAGGAAACGGAGGTATTTGTGTTTAGTGAAAGGATCTTTTTTGTTGCCCTCGCACCTTGCCGTCTTCCTGTTTCGGCCAGTGCTTCCCACAGTTGTTTCCTTGTCTTATTCCTCCATGAACGATAGCCTATACACGTCCTAGTGCAATCCTGTCTCCATTCTTCCCTCATCTTTTTGTCGAAGCCTTCTTCAGATTGTTGAGATTAAAAAAAGGCTTATATCCGCGATAAATCTTCTGTGCCTGGGGCGTACAGTATGTACTCAATGGTTAGAGCGGTACAATACATACGTACTCACCAATCAGCCACCGGTAAATGGAACTGCCTGATGAGGTCACGCGTATGTCTATTAAGTAAGGTAGGCAGAGTAGCTTAAAGGCCCCTTTATACCCCCTTGTCAGGGCAGGTGACCACTGGTCATCACGTCAGAATTTCCTTTAAGTATCAGCTACCCCTCACCACATCTCAGAGGAATCTTTATCTCCTTTCAACTACGCCCTCTCTATTATACAGTACAATCAAGAGATTCGCCATATCACCCGAACCGATCACTTGAATCATGTCTTGCATAGTAAGTGTATTTCTGACAGCTCGCATCTGTCCAGTACTGACATTGCTGCAGAAAGACGAAGACACATCGAAGATCTTCCCGACCCTCAAACACTCGCCATCGTTTGAAGGCTTCACCCATCTTGCTAGCGACGGAGTGTACCGCAGTTTTAGCTCGAGTGGCGAGGTGGTAGATTACAAGCAATTAAGCCCAGCAGAAATTGCAATGATGCTGGAGTTCTTCGAAAAACATATGCACTCGGAGAGTCTTCAGGAGTCTAAGAAGAAATTTGAGGGTGTGGATGGCAGAAACGTGACCGACTTGGAGCAACTGCTTCATCCGGGACCGGAACTTCGTCCAGTGAGATTTAGAGAGTGAAGACCATACAATTGACTTCTATCTGCCGGTCCCGTCCTTGTTTCTACGTCTAGTTAATGGTTCGGGTGGTTCGGGCCGTTGCACGAGAACTTCTGCCGATGTACTGTACTAGATCTAAATAGTATAAAAGGAAGAAGCATACTATTCGATCAGATATTGATCTAGACAACTTTATAGATTTAAGCTTTTCGGATTGTGATAAGTTAAAAATTCGCAGGGCACGGGGGCAGGCTAAAGGGAAAAATTTGTTCAGTGGCTTGCGTATCTGCTGGGCTGAGATGCGTTGTCTATTTAGAACTCCGTGGATGGGCCAAATACCACCTTGTCGGTTCTCTGGATGCGTCTGGCGGTGGGTGAAATTGCTAGGATTCCTTGAAATTGATCTCTGAAGAGGCCTGCCTATAGGCAGCGGCTCTCAACGCTCACTTCGTCCTATTTCAACAAGATCCTTCGCGAGCTCGAGCGCCATTGCAACATTTGCACGCTCACTGATACCCTTCAGTTGCTTGATGATCCATTGGCGATCTTGATCACTGATAGCAGGAGATTTACCGACGGTATACAGATTCCAGATCAGCATATACCCACCCGACACGTTGGGTTCCTGGGGTATATCCGCATCAGGGACCGAGACGAGCCCTAGACCCTGTGGAACACTGGCCAGGATGTCCGCGCTTCGTCTTGAAATAACCTGCATGGTATACCGGAGCTTTGACTGAAGCTTCAGCTGGTCCGCAGCGGGACGAGCCGACTCCTCGGTCAGGATCTTGTTTATAAGCCAGCATACAATCTCGCAAACGATAATCTCCACCGTTCGACAGTTATTCCAAAGCCTTATTGCCCAGGATGTCTTGTATAGGTCATATTGGCCATTGCAAGAAACGAAAGTCGCGCTCCCACGGAGTTCCCTGGTAGTTATGTACGGTTCTTGCAGAGCAAGCATATGATGAACATGTTGAAAATCACTCTGAATCGCGATCGCTTCTTCTAGGAAGTCCGTCCAGGATCTGGGTGTCTCTAGAAACTTGTCCTGATGCTTCTTTGCGACGCTCGCGAAAAGGGTTGCGCACCGCGTGGCGAGGATGCCGGCTAACCATGATGCATCCAAACGGTCGGTATATTTGGTCGCCTCTTCCTGCAGCTCCTGCAATTCGGCCGGAAACGGCTGCACGGTCTGGATACAAGCCGTTGCCATATCGGCGCGCACCTGGTTGAACATCAGGATGGCAGGCCTACGGGCGAATTGCGATTTGCCGCGGGCAACCACCAACGCGGCCGCTCCTTTGACATGTCGAACCCAAGACTCAAAGTTGGAGATGTGCTCGAAGACTCCCAGCGAGATCACCGCCATCAAGGTGCTGTCTTTGACGGACTCCGCGGGGGATGCTAACGCCTGGTTCACATGGCGGATCGCCTCTGAGTATTTGGCGCGCGCACAAACCCTTAGCTCAGGCTGGCGGGAGGCTAAGGCGGCGAGGCCCACGGCCGCTATACTGGCCACGAAGGCCGGGTGCTCTGCATCGGCCGAATAGACCATCGGGATATAGGTCAGATACCCGCGTGACGGGGCGCGACCCCCCGCGACAAAGTCCCGGAGGAAGTAACTCACGCCGATCTCCTCGAGACTGGGGTGTAGGCCTCGGGTAGGTGGAATCAGTGGGGTAGCCCTGGTCGAGACCCTGCTCGTTTCTCGGGCCTTACGGGAACGTTGGATGGTGTGGTTTGTCTGGTCACGGAAGATCAAGTCCCATTCGTCGCGGTATCCGCGGCATATTTCGCGCGTGCGAATGCATTGACCACACTGGGGAACCTCCTTGTCACACTGTGGCACCGTGTTAGTGCCAAGGTCACTAGAATAGTCGTCAGTCAGGAAAGACCTACGCGTCGTTTCACGACTCGGCAATTGTCGCAACTTCTGGATGTTCTTGGGCGAGATGCCTGGAGTTTCGGCATGATGAAGCATCCGTTGACAAGGAGATCAAAGATGACGATGAGACTACGAAGAGAAAATGGAGGCTAGAGGCTGGTGTCTGAAGATGACTGCACCTCGAGCGTGTCGACGTGAGCTGAAGCTACACGGAGCCCTGGGCCCAAATGAGCCCCAACGGCCCCCACCTGCTAAGCTTCAAAGCTGCGCCCTGCGGGCCGCCCCTCTCTATCTGGAGGACTCTGGGTGGCTACTGATCCCGACATGCTGCCGTGCACGCTAGTCTTGTTGGGGTAATTCAGATGTTGGACTAGTCAGCATACCTTCACCTGTACAAGCGATTTTCCTAGTGAGAGATTCCACTGCGGTTTCGTCGCTGGACGGCAAGACTGACTATATCTCGGCCTTAGTCGCCCAGTAAGTAAGAGTGTTGGGACTGTTCGAGCGGCCAAAGTAGAGCTACCAAGGCGGGTGCGGCATCATTAGACAACAGGCCATGGCCACCATGGCTGGGGGTTTGAACGTCACATTATTCGCAGTATGTAGGAAAGAGCTGGCTGTCGGCCACCCCCATTATTTATAGCCGCCCAGGTGATGTGTCTAGTACCTACCCACTAGTAGTAGATATCTGGCATCTCTCAACATGTCCCCTGCCATTGGCCGAGCATCTTACCTGCCCGAAAAGTACTAGCGCTGGGTGCCGAACCACTTTAAGCTCAGTTCAATGAGCTTGAATCTCACAGTGGCTGTGGCTGTGGAGTATACGTACGGAGAACAGGCTTATCCTCTTGCGGTAATCTAGAAGCTGGGCCACTCACCATCTCAATACCAGTAGGGCTGTGGTCTCCCTGACTTCGACGTCGAGTTTACCATGTTCCACTCCCAAGGACATAAAAGGGAGCAGCTGTTCCCTGGTCCGATGGTCATATCAAGCAGTGTTGTGTCTCCTATACCATACTTGTCCATCGACTAATTCTTCTCCTTTTTCTTCTTCTTCCTCTACTACTACTACCACCACCGCTATAGCACTGCCATGGGGAAGATCACCTACCGCGACGGCATTGCAATCCTCCAGCTCATCATATTCCCCATCATCCTCGTTGCCGCCATTTTCATCTGGAAGCGATCAGGCTGGAGGGTGGGCGCCAAGATCTGGCGATTTCCGGTTATCCTCTCGCTCATTCGAATTGCTGGCAGTATTTGTTCGTTGCTCTCGATCAATAACAACTCGTACAACATCGAAGTGGCGGAGGCAGTATGTCAGCTGATCGGTCTCGCCCCTTTGCTGCTAACCTTTATCGGACTGCTGCGTCAAATGTAAGCAGACAACCACGGAAGTTTCCTCGTCTCACCAACCCCAAGACTAACCGTTGTGCTTTTAGTGATGTGGAGGAGAAAATGCCGCCAAGGCCGATGAAATTAGTCACGCTAATCACTATCATCGGCCTTATTCTCGGTATCACTGGCGTCAGTATCAGTGGTTATCCACCTGGGAGCATCACCAAGGCCGCCATGGGCGTCTTCCTCGCCGTCTTCGTTCTGATCCTCGTCCTGAGTGTCTGGTTATTCTTGGGACTCCGCGGCTCACTGCGACAGTTCCAGAAGAAACTCTTTCTCGCCATTGTCCTGTCAACTCCCTTCTTGGTGGTCCGGCTGATCTACTCGGCCCTCGGCGATTACACGACTCTGGATAGGTTCTCCCTGTACGGAGATCCAACCGTCTATCTGTGCATGGCGGTGCTGGAAGAAATCATCGCCTTGGCAATCACCATGGTCTTGAGTATAATGGCGGTCTTGGAGCCGGATTTTGTCAAACTCATCCCTTCATCCAGGGAGGATCCGGAACAGAAGCCCGAGGAGGTGGACTTCTAATTCCAGGGAAATGGAAGAAAGAAAAAGATAGTCTTTCATCAAATAGGGAAGGAAGATAGATATAGCTACTTACAGTGCGAATTTATGTTTATATAATATATCCTGTTATGGTGGAGACTACTTCTATTTCAAACAATGATTGCCGCCTAGGAAACGAATCATAATAAGTTCCCTGCATCACCACACTATAGTCAGCCATCGGTGAGCATCTGTCTGGCAGGTTACTGATACTTACCAATCACCAGCGTGGAGGCCAAATGGGAAGTTAAGCAGTCTTCTTTCGTTGTATCTAAGGGACCAGGAGCTGCTGATGAGCGCAATCGTTCACAAGGGATGTTGGTATGATCTATATGGCTGGTTACTACATAGCCGATGGAGCTGGTTGAATATCATACTCAGACTCTATGCTGCGTCAGAACAGTATTAAGAGATTCCTTAACGGAAAGAGTAGCAACATATAAATAGAGCCTATTCGACCCTTTGTCTCCTGAATGATAATATTCTAACCCGGACACTAAAGCACACCAGCTTGTCGTGCTTCCCGAAGCAAATGTGGCAATGGTAGTGGATGCACCGTTGGAGGACAGAAGAGACGCTGGTGCTCCAGCAATGGTGAGAGATGGCCTTAATATCATTTTTGTCGCTATGGGATTCCTATTACTTGACTCCAACTCTTCCTCAGATGACGCCGCTGCTGAATGGTGCAAGGCTACTGACACGTGCCCAGCATGAAGGACGCTAGAAGTCCATCGAGTTGTGTCCACTCTTGATATTCCGACTTCTTAGGGGAAGCCAAATTTATGTTAGGGAAGTTGTAACGCTCATTAGTTTAAGTCGTCTGTTTAAACTTTCCAATCCGCCATCTTAGAACCAAGACATATTTTAGAAGTTCGAAGTATTCTTGTACAACTTATTCCTTTAAACGATTCACAATCATGCCCTAGCATTGAAAGAAAAAAAAATACATACAACAGCAGGGATTCGCTGGTGGTCACCCACCCAACTACTAACCTGCCGGCGTGTGGCTTAAGTACGGCTGAGCGGACGGGAAGCCCTGTTTTCCACACCCTATGGTCGTATGTATCTGGTGTTTTTTAGAAGGCAAATATATAGGTAGGTACCTTTCTGGTATGGTGCTGTGCTGTTATGATGACATACATGGTTTGATATTCTGCCTCAGGCGCCAAGGCGGTGAGCCAACCCGTCTTCCGCCAGCTGCCCTCAGCTTCCCTCTCCGCTCAACCTGTTCATCTCCATCCCCTCAATTGTATCTCCGTTTTCAAGATGGAACTGGCCTCCCGACAGACGTCGAGGCTGCTCCGGCATGTCTCCAATCCCTCCCACCGCCTCATTCAACCCTCTCGCTTTCCCGCCTTCACACCCGCTCTGAACCGCGTTCGCCGACGACATGTTTCCACATCACCGCGGAGGCTTGCTCCCGAATCGTCACTTCTGAACTTCGGTTCAGGCTCCCAATCTGCCGGCGTGCCGACGACGTACTTTTCGAACCGCTCCCCGCTTCCCATGAACACCGTCATCCGCTTCGTCCCTCAGCAGACCGCATGGATTGTCGAGCGCATGGGCAAGTTCCACCGCATTCTGGAGCCCGGCCTGGCCATCTTGATTCCTTTCCTGGATCGGATCGCCTACGTCAAGAGTCTGAAGGAGTCCGCTATCGAGATACCCAGTCAGAACGCCATCACGGCCGACAACGTCACGCTGGAGCTGGACGGAGTGCTATATACCCGGGTGTTTGATGCGTACAAGGCCAGGTGAGACTCCCTTAGGCAACTTACGGTAGGAAGACCCTGCTGACGACATCAGCTACGGAGTGGAAGACGCCGAATACGCGATCTCGCAGCTGGCGCAGACGACGATGCGCTCGGAGATCGGCCAGCTCACGCTCGACCACGTGCTGAAGGAGCGCGCCACGCTCAACACCAACATCACGCAGGCGATCAACGAGGCCGCGCAGGACTGGGGCGTCGTGTGCTTGCGCTACGAGATCCGCGATATCCACGCCCCGGACGGCGTCGTGGCCGCCATGCACCGCCAGGTGACGGCGGAGCGGTCGAAGCGCGCCGAGATCCTGGAGTCCGAGGGTCAGCGCCAGAGCGCCATCAACATCGCCGAGGGACGCAAGCAGTCCGTCATCCTGGCCTCGGAGGCTCTCCGCGCGGAGAACATCAACCGGGCGGCTGGTGAGGCCGAGGCGATCCTTCTCAAGGCCCAGGCGACGGCGCGCGGTATCGAGGCTGTCGCGCGTGCGATTGAGGCCAACGGCGAGAACGCGCATGGCGCGCTGAGCTTGAGCGTGGCGGAGAAGTATGTCGATGCTTTCTCCAACCTCGCCAAGGAGGGTACAGCCGTTGTTGTCCCGGGGAATGTAGGGGATATCAGCGGGATGATCTCCAGCGCGATGGCGGTGTATGGTAAGGTGAACGAGAGCCAGGCTCGGGCTATCGCTGCGAAGACCCTGGGCGTGCAGGAGCCGACGAAGACGGGGTCTGAGAAGCCTGAGACCTCTGGAGATGGCGAGGCTGAGCCGGAGAAGTCAGAGGTGGCGGAGAGCGTGCTGGAGAGCTTCGATCAAGCGAGCCAGCCGAAGCGGTGAGACGATCACCTAGTACTTGTATCTCTTTTGTCTTTATTACCCGACTCCGGTCCTGATCTTACGAACCGTCGGATGTTCCATCCGCTACGCATGTATCTCTATCTTGTGGCTTATCTCGGCTCTGTCTTAGCATGTTGCAGCCTCGTTCGAAGTGCATCCAGGAAAAGCCGGAATGAAGTTGGTGCTGTATCTGGGGGATTAACATTGTACAGTAAACTATGATAGTACTAATACGGTGCCATGTGCCTAAGCCTGAGGGACGAGCGCTTCCTCATCCCTCCCGTCCTCCTGACGCAAGACCTTGATAGTAAACTCGAAAGTTAGCTGCCCCGTCGGGAATCTCCAAGTATTATACCCCTGCCGCAGCTTGCGAACCGCAACTACGAGCGCTCCAAACACAAACAGCGCATGAACAAAACTACCGCAATTAGCACAGCCCCCACACCAGGCATAGAGACAGACAGAGAGAGGCATAGAGGAGAACATACGCAACCACCAGCCCAACCGCAAGCCCAACCCTCAATAAGACATCCACAACCACCGGCCTACACCGCTCCACGATGACACCCGACGGACAAGCAGGACGATACCCCAACTCCTCGAACCCGAATATCGTGGTCGTGACCCCAAACAAGCCAATCATGACGTCAATGACGAACGCAAAGAACGCAAAGGGCCCTTCGGGGTGGTTGCGGTGCCGGGCGATGTTCAGCGCCAGGCTGAAGGCGGAGACGATGCTCTGTCTTTCTGTTAGAAGCTGCTTTATGAGGGAAGTTGGGGGAGAGGGAGGGGATACCAGGTTGAAGACGAGATTGGCGCATACGCTGGTTGCCCAGTCGAGACTGGGGGACGATTTGATCCAGATGCTGGTTGGGAGGGTGTAGAGGAAGCTGAGGGCGGACATGAAGATTGGGAGGATTAGGGCTGGACTTCGGGGGGAGGTAGAGGGTGCTGGGAGAGGGGAAGGAGGGAGGAGAGGGGTCGTTTCAGAGGTGGTTTCCATTGTGGTGTCCATTGTGAGGGTGGTTGGATTAGGGAGAGATGGAGGTAGAGGAGGTTTATGTTGTGTTTTGTTTTGTTGGTTGCAGGATGAAGCTAAACTAGCGCCCACGGTGTCTGCCTTGCCTACCTGCTGCCTACCAAATGGCCATTCCACTACTAAAAGGGATAAGACACCTGGCCTCTAGTGGTATATAAGGTGTATTGTGGTTGTGATCGTAGTAGTCCTACAAGCTCAATAGGAAGCGTGTTGTACGTGAGAAGACCGAGCGCATTTCGGTCCTGGATTATGGTATATTAAACTATTTTCAGAAATAAACAGATAATCATGCATCCACCGGCCGTATCACAAGCCACAAGCCATGTCGAATATCCGTCTCTTCACTCGCCTCACTGCTTTGCCCCAACCCATCCCTCCACTGAGCCGGGTCATTCCTCTTCTTCAGCGCCGCATTGAACCGCGTCAACTTAGACTTGGACGTCCACGGCAGAATATCAAGCTCCAACGCCGCAATCCACGGCTGCAAGATCTCAACCTGACGCTGCTCCACTACCATCCCAGCATCACGCGCCCCCTCCGCTGCAGCCCCCGTCTCCAACAACCGCTGCAACAGCGGATTCTGCCGACTAACCTTCCCATTGGAATCCAGAATGGGGATATTAGCCATGTACGCCAGCGCATCAAGCTTGGCAATCTCGACCTTCAGCCCGCGCGGGCCAAACGTCTCGCGGTTCGCCTGCCGGAGGTACGAGTCCGCGCGACTCTTGGAGACGCCCTGGCTGCCGAGACTGGCCAGCCCGCTGACCGCGGAGCCGATCCAGCGCAGCGGGAAGAGAATCGGCACCGACTGGAGGATGCCGCCGGTCGCGTCGAGGACCTGCAATGGCGGGCTCCCGGATATAACCTTGTTCAGGTGGTCCAGGAAGGAGAAGAAGGAGTCGCGTGGGAGATTGTAGGTGGTTAGGATGGGGGCGTAGGCCCGTAGAAAGGGGGAGTCAGATGAGGAGCTGATCGCGGGGATTGCGATCGGCTTGTGTTCTAGGGATTGGGATTGTGGTCCTGATGTGGTGGGTGGATGTGTTTCTTGGGTGGTTGGTGCGGAGGGTGTAGTTGTAGCAGTGATGGTGTATGGCGGTGGATCCGCACTGTCTGAGGTGTCGGATGCGACGACGCGGTCTGACAGCGTAGTATGGTGGCTGTCAGGCGACGTGCCCAGATTTTCGAATGGTGTCTGTGACTTTTCGCCGGCCATGATGTTGTCTGGGTAGAAGACTAGAATGATGCTGATGCGGCGGGAGTTATAAATGTGAGCGGAGGCCGCAGCGGAGTAGATAAGATAAGCTCAGCCACAGCTGAACTACACAGCCTCTATCCATACTCGAACGGACATTAGATCATGGTCTAGATGCTGTACTATTCTGATAGTATTGCTTGTTATATGCTCATTCACTCATTGACGCTCGCTACTATCGTCCAGGGTATCTCAAATTGGACATGTAACATCACCGCCATGAGAAGATTTCGCTTCTCGACCTCAGGCCGGACCCAGGAGATCAAACATTCCGCTGACTTGGGCCATGCCGTCGGCGCAGGCAACGTATCGCCGGGGTAATCGAGCTCACGCTCGTAAATCATAACCAACCAACCAACAACACCCTGCCTAATCCATGCGACGGCGCACCTCCCGATCCTGGGTATTAATATTCGACCCACGAATAGCATCCATGACGAGCTCGCGTAGCTGAGCCTGCGTCGCCTCGCTGTTAAAATCCTCCCGCGCCGCCAACTCATCAATGCGGCGCTTAAACTCCGGGTCCACCTCGTCCGCCCCAGCGTTCGCCTCCTGCTCCGACACAGTCCCCAAGTTAACCTTGATGTTAGGCGGCAGCGGCGGCGGCGGGTTCAGCGCGGCGTCGGCGCCCGTGTCCGGCTGCTCGGGCAGCCCCATGACCTGGCGCAGGTACGCCGCGACGGCCGGGAACGAGCCGTCGGCCTCGATGGACTCGAGCGCGGTGAAGCCCTCATCGTTCTTGCGGGCGACGTCGACGCCCAGCTCCTCGACCAGACACTTTGCGATGTCGACGGACTCGGTCACGAACAGACAGGTCTCGCCGTCTTCGTCGAGGAGGTTCACGTCGGCGTGGAAATCGCGCACCAGCGCGCGCAGCAGGTCGATGTGGCCGTAGGACGCGGCAGCGTGCAGCAGCGAGTAGCCGTGTTCGTCCTGGTTGGAGGCGATGGAGGGATCGGCGCGCAGCAGGGTCAGCACGGCGGTGGGGTTGTCGGCTGCAAGAATGTACGGGTTGGGTTGAGTCATGGTGTCTGAGTCATAGTTAGAGGGTGTCAAAGAGGAGCTAGAGCCAAGAGGGCGCACCGGCAGGAATCGAGGCGGAATCAAGTTGATTGACTGCGACGATAGGATGGAAGCTTGGGGTTTAATAGTGGGCGGGATGGTGGCGCAGGCGGAGAGAAGAAATTCTGCCGGCCCCGCATCGATAAGGCTCTCAGTCATTTCCATCGCGTTGTTTCCTTCTGACTCACGTTGCAGGCGTTGCGGTCATTGAGCTTTAAAAGCGGGTCCTTATTTTTTTCTTCTTTCTTCTTCCTCTTTACGCACTCTCTCATCTTGACCACTCCAGTAATACAAAGATGGTTCGACAGGACCCAACGGAGGTCGGCGACTTGATCGCCGCCCTCGAAACCGCCAGCAAGCGCACTAAACGCGAGGGCAAAAAGACCTTTTCCTGCAAGAAATCTACCTTCCCCGTGGCGGGATCCGATCACATCAGCGTCGATTCGTGGCGGTTCATGGATTGGGAGTACAAGCGAAGCGATCTGCCAACCTACGCCCGCGGACTGTTCACCACTATACGAAAGGACGGCACGCCCGAGATCGCAGTACGCGGGTACGACAAGTTCTTCAACGTCGACGAAGTGAACGCTACGAAGTGGAGGAACATTGAGAACAACACACGCGGACCGTACGAGCTGAGCGTCAAGGAGAACGGATGTATCATTTTCATTTCGGGGCTGGAGGACGACACGCTCTTGGTGTGCAGTAAGCACTCAACGGGCGTGCGCAGTGACGCGGCGGTCAGCCATGCGCAGGCGGGTGAGCAGTGGGTGGAGCGTCACCTCGCGGCGACGGGCCGATCTGTCAAGGACCTGGCGCGCGAGCTGCGGAGCATGAATGCGACGGCGGTGGGGGAGCTGTGCGATGACCAGTTCGAGGAACACGTCCTGGCGTACGACGAGAATGCCGCGGGTATCTATCTCCACGGGCTGAACTACAACGTCCCCTACTTTGCGACATGTTCGGGCGCCGAGGTGCATGCGTTTGCCGACAAGTGGGGGTTCAAGAAGGCCAAATACGTCGTGTACGAGGACCTGGACGCGGTCAAAAAGTTCCTGGAGCAGTGTGCCGAGACCGGGTCGTGGGATGGGCGCGAGACGGAGGGCTTCGTGGTCCGCTGCCAGATGAACCAGGGGGGCGTGGGCCCGTACATGGACTGGTTCTTCAAGTACAAGTTCGAAGAGCCGTACCTGATGTATCGCCAGTGGCGCGAGTGCACCAAGGCCGTCATTTCTGGCAAGGTGCCCAACATCAAGAAGCACAAGAAGATCACGGAGGAGTATCTGCAGTATGCGCGCCGGCAGTTCGCGCAGAACCCCGGTCTCGCCAAGCAGTACCAGCAGAATCATGGGATTATCGCGCTGCGGGAAGGATTCCTCCGCGAGAGAGGACTGAAGGGGTCTGAGATCATCGCTATGGCGACGGAAAACGAAGTGACCCGGGACGTGATTCTCTGTCCGATTGCGTCTCTTGGCTGCGGAAAGACGACGGTGGCGCTGGCGCTGACGAAGCTGTTCGGATGGGGCCACATCCAGAACGACAACATCCCCAAGCAGAAGAACAAACCGAAGAAGTTCGCCCTGGACATCACCATGCAGCTGGCAGACAAGCCGGTGGTGATTGCGGACCGGAACAACCACATGAGACGCGAGCGACAGCAGCTCATGGACGACATCTTCCCGGTCATTCCCGCCGCTCGATTCGTTGCCCTCCAGTACGTTCACGAGCCGAAGGGCGTGTTGCTTCCTGGCATTCGAGAGGTGACCAGGAAGCGGGTTTTGGACCGCGGCGATAATCACCAGACGATTCGCGCGGGCAGCAAGGACTCGTCGGAGATCATTGGCATTATGGAAGGCTTCCTCAATCGGTTCGAGGCAGTGGACACTGACCGCGAGCCGGACAAGAGCTTCGACGAGGTCATCGATCTCGACGTCGCGGCGTCTTCTCGCGAGAATCTCGAAAAGGTCGTGACCGCGCTGCACTCGTTCTACCCGGAGGTGGTCAAACAGGTACCCTCGGCTCAGGAGCTCGACGACGCGATCGAATGGGCCATGTCTGAATACGAGGTGCAACTCGACCTTAGCCACCAGTACAGTTCCAAGCAGAACCAGAAGCAGAAGAACAAAGGCAACAAGGACCATGGCGGGCCTCCGCAGGCCCCGCCTAGCCCGGAGGTTCTGGCAAAGAACATTGAATATTTCTGCATCTCTCTACCGGCCGCCGAGGTGTCCTCCGTCCTTCACTCTTTGTTTCCCCCCTCGACAGCCCCGGAAAAGGCGCGTCTGTATCACCAGCTGGTCAACTCGCGCCGCGTCCAGCCCACCTTCCACGTCACTCTCATCCACCGCGCCTCGAAGAAAGACCAGCCGGAGGTGTGGGAGCAATACGTCCGCCTGTACATCGAGAAGATGCACCAGAAGCCTGAGTCCGATCCCACGGTGACACCCGTGTTGGCGCCGGCGCGGGTGCGTCTGGAGCGTCTTGTCTGGGACGACCGGCTGATGACATTCGTCGCGCGCATCATGCCGCCAGAGGACCAGGACCAGGCCGACTGGCCCTGCGCGAACGCCCTCCCGCATGTCACCGTTGGCACGGTGTCTCCGGACGTCAAGCCAAAGGAGAGCAACGACCTGCTCCAGCGGTGGTTGGAAAACGGATCCGGCGCGGACAAAGGAATCTGGGAGGCGGAGATCCCAGGCGTCAAGGTGGTGTCCGGGTCTGTGGGACTGGTGATGAGTCGGCGGTGATTACGAATGATGAATGCGATGATAAAGTGAAATAGACGCCTTAATGACAAGATCCATAGTCTAAGATATACTCTCTCTATGTAGTCCCACCGGGAACCCCCACTCTATCTCGCAGAAACGCAACAATATCCTCAATCTCGTCCGGCACGCGATACCAATGCCCGAGTCCCTCATACTCCTTCCAGGTAACATCCATCCCCAACGCATCCAACACCTGCACCATCTTCCTCCCCAACCTCACCGAGACCTTGGGATCCTCAACACCATGCCCCAGAAACACCGGCGTTTGCAGACCCCGCGTCGCCTGTACCTCCCTCTCAGGACCGACGACCTCCATATCACAGACATCGCGCAGATGGTTCACCACCCGAAGAACAGACGATGTCTCTTCCTCCTCATCCTCCTCCTCCTCGTCCCCAAAACAAACACCACAATCCTCATCTCCACCCCTTCCATCCTCCATGACACCCTTAATCTGCCGTTCCAGCGGCAACCACCCACTCATCCCCACAAACGCCCCCAATCTCACCCCCGCAGCAAGCACAAACGTAACAGCAGCCGCACACCCCTGACTCAGCCCGCCAACAACCACACGCTCGTACGCGTCGCCTTCATGCATTGTTGCAAGAAGGCCAGCCTCTTCATCGACAAGACGGCGCAAGAAGGCGGCCGCATCAGCTAGCCCCTCGGCCTGCAGCTCTGGGCGTTCGTTCGGGTCGTCCAGGGAGTAATTATCGAACCACTGGGGGATACGACTGCGGCGGAGGATGGTGGAGCGGCGGATTGGGGCGGTGGGGAAGATGAATTTTGTTGTTGGGAGGGAGGTTGCGAGCGTGGTGGTTGTGAGGGAGGGATCGCTGAAGACGGGGCCGGTGCTGCCGCGGCCGTGGAGGAGGATTAGGGTGTGGGTGTGTGTTGGGGATTTGGGGGGGATGGTTATTGAGGACATTTTGGGTGAGGATTGGTTTGTATATATGTAATAGGTGAGGTTGGCGGTTGTAGTTGAGGGGTTGTTGTGTTAGGTACATACGTAGTTGTATGGTGTTAGGTACTTTAGCGCCTGGATAAGATGTTCTATCTACGTTCTAAGTATATACTCGTATACTCCAGTGCGCGGCTCATATCTAGGCAAGTGTATGCAACTCTTGGATGATATTATACATACAACTATCTATACTACGTACCTAGTTGTTGATCCATGCTCCCACTCGCTGCACTCCAAACCGTCCCATAAATTGCAGCCCTGTGCTACCCATGGGAAAGTAGCTGACCAGATACCAGATCAACGCGGCGAGCTGGAACAAAGACGAGATCAGGGTCAACAAGGTCAACCGCAACTGCATCAGTCAGCATGAGTCATACAGAGCCCACCGCGCACAGCATCAGACGTCGACCGCATGTGCGAGATGATGTCACCAAGGCTAGTGCACCCTCCCGGCGCATGCAGGTCGATGCAAGATCCATTGAATGCGAGGCGTCGGTGCGACGGCCGCCCGCAGAGGAGAAATCACCCCCTGCCAATGGCGTCATGCTGCAGGCCGACAGGAAGGGAAGACAAGGCAAAACGAGCATGATCCGACTTACCCCGATCGCAAAATACAGCGTCAGCGCAATCGAGCCGAAATACGCAGCTGTGAAGGGCAGACGTGGTCCCGAGACCAGATGCTTCGCGTACACCCAGGGTCCCATGAGAACCGCCCATGAGAGCAGGAAAAGGAGCGACCCGACAGACCATCTGATTGGCAAAACCGGTTTGATTAGCCCCAGGATTCTCGAACGTCTTGGCAGGAGATGGGGAGCATGACGAGAGGCGACCCTCAGATTGGTGTGGGAGCACACACACGCCCTCAGCCACACATGACAAGCCATACACCGCCTCGTGCAGGGAGTAGGAGGATGTAAGGGGGTCGGCCAGCCCTCCGGAATGGATGGAAGCAGGCTGATCAGCCGGGAGACACTTACAAGATGGCAAACTTGCGGGGTTTCAAGGAGAGCACCGGGAAGAGGAAAAAGCAAATAAAGAAACAGACCGCTGCACCCACGTTGCAGGCGACGAAGATGAGCATCCGGTCCCATCGACTCACTAAGTAGACGTCAGCGCTAGGACCGAAGGATGTTGCAAGGTACACAAGAAGAAATCAGCAGATATACACGACAGATTTGCCACACTGGTTCCGTGCAGCCCGACCAGATGCAGGAACTGAGCTGCCGTCACCTGGACCGGCTGTGCAGCAAATCGACAAATCACAGTGGAGGAGCGACGGGGACTCGGTCATGAGCTGGGGACCTACAGGCAAAGAAACCATCCTCCTCTTCGCGCCGACTGGGGGCTGGGAGAGGAGCTCCGGGAGCTTCATGGGTGGGCAGTTGCACGTAACCGTCTCCACCGAAGGGATTCCACGACTGTAACCGTGATAGAAAAGGGGTGGAGGAGTTGTCGTTGGTGCGCACCGGGAGATCTGGGTCCCTCCGAGACCAGCCCAATGAGTTGACCGAGTCACGGAACGTATTCGACGCCATGATCCTATTCGTGGACGGGACGTCTGGTCTGTCTGCAGGAGGGGGCACTTGGAGGGGATGAGTAAAGGTTACGACAGGATTAGTGCCAACGGCTGGCAGCTCGGTCGAAAGCCGCCTTGGAATGTCAAGGCAGGAAAGCTCTGCAGGGACTATGCACGACGGAAACCAATATGTACGTGCAGATGATCTGCAGATGCAATAATGGAGGGGTGGGAAGGATGTGAGAGGGAAGGGGACGGTGATAGGATGGGCAGTGCGCGGGCCAGATGACTTGCGCAACCCCAGCTAGACTCCGAGGAGCTTGGGCACGGGGCAGTTTAGACCCGGCACTAGTTGGGTGGTTTGCTTCTTGGAGGCGTTGATTCGATAAGCTTGTGATCGCCCTCTAGGGCGATAGGATTCACTCGGCGCAAGGAAGTAGCGGGCCTCGCGATAATGGACCGTCCGGTATGTCTGTTGGGCGTAGGTTGGTTCAAACGGTCTATCCAGTACCCGACCCAGCTGCACGGGAACGAATGAACGGGAGTCCCAAGAGACCGGAGGAATGCGAGAGGCGGTTGTCTGGTATGGAAGGCCGGAAGGACAGGCAAATCGAGGAGAAGGACCTCCACCGACAAGGTAGGGAGAGATGCGGAGAATGGAGAGGGGGAGGGCTGCAAGACGATGACGGAGTTATCGACGGCGTAACGTCAGAGAGAGGCAGTTCTTCAAACAAAAACCAGCTCTACCACAGAATCAGCCACTGTCATCTGACCCAGACATGGAGGAGGGCGTCAAGCCCGTGGAGGGAGGGGGGAGAGTGCGCAGGAGGCGGCAATCATCCTCATCCATCGCGGGTTTGGCGAGGGGAAAGGAGAGACATACATGGTGCTAAGACGTCGGGATTCTTTCCTGGAGAATGATTAGAGTGGTAAGGATAGTGGAGACGGGATGGTGGTGTGGGCAGCAGGCGGCTCCTTGACCAGAGGGAGAGAGTGTGTGTGTGTGAGAGGGAGCATCAACACCGCAACCTCGTCGGCCGGACGTTGAGGAAGTTCGGGGCGCAAATGGGCCCACTGGCCAATCACAGCCTCGGATGGGCGCTGCGGGACCCGGGGAAGGGTGCTAGACCGGATAGGGCGAAAGTCACTCCGCTCTGATGTAACATCCGCCAATAAGGACCTGCAGTCTGACCCCCCTAGGCAGAATCGATGCAAATGATTGGCTGCCGGGCATATCACAGTCCATCTTGCGCCGTTTCCCAATCAGGAAATCACCCTCCTTTGTTTCCCCCAAAGGCATGGAAGATCTTCCTCCAAACGTCCGGAGTCTAGGTAGTTCACGACGCTGCCTAATGTTTCTCTTAGCGCTGTTTCCGCTGGACGGTGGAAGTACATGCCACAGTTACCGCCTAGCCTCCAAGAATGAGACGACCCTTCCAACATCTCCAAGGCTTCATCGGACAGAAATAGATCCTAACATGCCTCAACCTTCCGTCGGATTTCATGGTAGTTGCGCAGTTTTGTGACGATTGTTCACGGGTATCGCGCTACCTCACAGCTAAGTTTAGCCGGTGGCGATCGGAGTAGCTCAGCCCAGTCGATCTTCGCTAAAGTAGCGGTCGATGCAGAGTCTAGTTACTAAACTCGCTATGCGAAGACACCATCGATAGCGTGCAGAACTTACTTGCCTAGTACTAACCAGAAATCAGTACACCGTCAGAACCCGATCAAAGACATGTTACGTAGAGAGTTACAGGCTATGTATTAAGAGTTCCCCTCCATCCATCCCCGTTTTGGCACCACTGCTGAAACGATCGTCCACCCAGCAGCCAGTAGGAGTACATAACGAGCATCGGCTACTTGATTGCCCACCCTTAAATCATGATTGAGATTCCACCGGGGTATGATGACGGATAAGATTCCCATCTGATATCCGACCCTCCCGCTAGACCCCCCTGTCTCCTGTCTCCTCCATCCCCACCGGGAATTTGCTCGGCTTTTCCCCAAACATGGGGTCATTGCATTAGGGCCGGAAAGGATGATAAGCGATGCACGCGATATCCAACCCCTCCCTCCATCCAGGAAATTTCCCGCATTGGGATAAAGGAACAATAAACCACTCCGATCGAATAGCTCCTTGCAGTCGCCCGTGGGTCGATACCAATCGGCCATGTTCTCCGAACCTTGACGGGACGGCACGGGGCCACGGGAGCCAAAGTGCACCAGAGGCATGCCTTCATTCCACTTGGGTTGGATTCTGAGATTCAGGATAGAGATGCCTCCCGCTGCTGACGTTTGGCTGGCCAAGTCTCATATCTTCAATCGGAATATCTAATAACTAGTAATGATATTCGGTACCTGTACCTGGTACTTGTACTTGCCCCTTGGGCCCTATCAGGTACCTAGGTAGTAGGTATCAGTACCCCGTAGACACCCAAAGTTTCTCTTCAACAATCAATCTCGACTAATCGTGCTGAAGACTCCGGGTGACTGGTTGACAGCATTCCTCCTGATGGGTATCTCCGAGAATTCCTCTGATAGCTGGATACGACGCCCCCACATTCCTGAGATGATGTAGTATTTGGAATCACTGACCATGCGGAGGGTGTGAACCATTAAATTAATCCAAACTCAAGCAAACAAGAAATTCATATCAGATACCGGCAACGGCAAATGCCTAGGGAACCCTAACCTCGCTCGGGCGAAAGTTCCCTGCGATAGCTACACCCTCCCCTTCCGCCTATCACATCTCCACTGCGGGTGCCCTCTGGACTTCTGCTCGGGAAGCGACAGGATCTCCAACCTGCACGGTGTCACGGACCGCCGTCCGAGTGTGTCAGCACAAACGCTCGGACGATCGTGGCGCACCAGAGAGTTGGATTCGTCTCTCGGGGTTCCAAGGTAAGCGTTTGCAATACGCTTCCACGGCGGCTTCTGCGCCCCCTCCTCGTGCGGTCTCTACGCGTATGCTTCCCTATAATGATTCCTCGTATAGGGTGGGATTCGACGCGACGGCTCCGTATGGCGACGTTTCCTCCCCGGACGATCCGGTGGCAGTCGCTCCATCCATGATCTGAGGCTTCCCGGGGGGACTAAACGAAGATCATTTCCCGTCTCCATCCCTTCCACATGGGGGCGGTCCCACGATCATCCAGGCATTCCATTCCCTCGATACCCGCGCTTCTATGTAGGGCATAGGCAGTGATCGGGACGCGGAGGCGTGTCGAGGGGGTGATGTCATGTCTGTGCTGACGAGCCTTCAGCTCCAGAGGGATATCATTCCCTGACGCAGTGATTGAGCCGACTCCGCAGTGGGTACGAATAGTAACTAATCCTCAGCATAATTAATGGGGGAAATATTATATCGGGGCCTATTATGTGCCTTCGCCATCCGTCTCACGTTCGCAGGTCATTCAGCCTGACACAGTGATCAAGGTCAGGTATGTTTGGACTTTGCCCGAACCGGCCATCTGATACATTGCTGGAGTGACATCCTCCAGCTGCCACACGTTCGGTACGTCAACCCGAGGAATCAGAGGCCCAGAGGGAGAGCCTGGATGATCAGGCTAGGAAGCGAAGAATACAACGGGACTCGCGTCGCGTCATTAATGTCAGTCTTGATTCTTTCGAGAACATGTCGACCTGGCGACATTGGCAAAAGGCCCAGGGCTCCGAATAGTTACCTAGGGCAAAAACAATTTTTGGAAAATCCTCATAGGCTGACGCCCTGTGAGTCATGACTCTCTCTCCCTTTGAACGTGACAAATATAGTAGTACCTGGCTGTTCATGGGATTGTGATGCGAAGGTATTCACTCCCATCCGGATTGTACAACCCTCCTTGGACGAAAGACTATCTGACCTTCTCCTACACCATACACCCATCCACCCGGCATCCAACCACACCCTCATCCACCCCCCTCCCCCTTTTTCTTTTTTTTTTTTTTTTTTTCCTGTTCTGATGGATTCCTAGGGAGGGATCGAAGTTATCTTCATCGGCACTCATACCCTCCATGTTACTCACATAGCTCTGGCGCTTGTCTGCCGGATCGCCACCGGTTTCTATTTTCTTAGATTCCTGTCGCATTTGATTGCCTGCTCCACACCCTCTTCATATTTTCTTTTTCTCTTTTTGGTAGAAAATATTTTAGATATCGTCATAATCATTTTTCTTTCTTTTCTTTTTTATTTAGTCAAGAAACACTAATCAAACCCAAGCGTAATCGACAGTAGAAATCCTGTTAAGCCTCGTCGATTTGAGGATCGACGCCCTGCATGACCATTACTGTGATATATCAAATGAGAGCCTGCGAAGAACGCCTCGGAGCTCTTTAAAGTCTCCCTCCCCTCGTCACTCTGACCTGCATCTGGTTTCCTCTGCCTTTTATTTGATTGTCCCTGTTCGATCCATCGCAGACTCCATCGACTCTTGTTTAACCAGGTCGGGATATCCCTTGTGCATCTCTGTATCTGGCGTCCGTGATTGCGCAACCTCCGCAGACTCCGCTGGAATCTCTCTGCCTCATGCTTCCTTTTCTGAACGGCAGCCTGGAGTGAGATTGTGTTGGACTTCACCTCCAGGAGCTCGAGCCCCCTTCTCGTCTCAGCGCCGTATTGAATCGAGCGAGGCGTATTATCCTGGTATGTAAGTAACCCGTTCCCCTCTTCTGCTCTCTCGTGTCTTATTCTTCTTCTGCCTCTTCCTCTTGATCCTTTCTGTTATCTCGTTGCCTGCGTCTGTCCTTCCCCGTCTTTCCGTTCCTTGTCCAGCCTTCCGCCTGTCTGCGGATAAGCGAGGCTCTTGGCCAAGTGGATGGTTACGTTCGTGGTGTTTGCTTCTTTCCGTCGCAACTGTCTTTTTGATTGGACTTGACGAACTGGAGGTTCGTCTCTGCCACGTGTGAGGCACTGCGGCTGCTTCCTAAAATGGCCTCGCTTTATACACAGGCTACAGTGTCTATCTGGATGATGACCTCGAGGCTGACTCGCCTAGGCTAACAGCTGGCTCCCGAGTCGCAAAGACGTACCGTCCTGAGAGACCACTGCGAAAGCAATCCATATTGGTGAGTACACGGTTTCTTTAACATGCGTTTCTTTTCTTGTCTTCCCTTCCATCAATCTACAAGCGTGGCCATCGAGAAGGTGGAGAATCCCTCCGCGGACATTTCACCGGAGAAACTTTGGAAGAAAGACAATGTTACCCGCGTTGGGCTCTGTGCTCCAGACATCGACGGCGGGGAAAACCCCGATCAGCTCTGCACGGAAGATAAACCGGTCGGAGGGCGCTTATTATTCGACGATCCCCTTGCCGTAAACGGCATATCTGATGAAGCGGAGAAGAGAGATCCGAGGGTGATTTCTCATCCGACGGTCTGGATGTTACCAAGGGGAGGAAGTGGAAAGCAAAGCAGGACATTCATCAGAGGAAAAGAAGAGACAGAGGCATAGAGAGGATCTACAGGGGATGAAAAGGAGGCAAAACACGCAGAGGGGATGGAGCAAACTGGATAGTGCCCGGCTTCACCGCCCTTCTGGTTCTATTCTGGGTGACTCTCCCCCACTCCGTCTTCGTGTTGTCCCTCCACATTGTCCTCTCTCTCTCACTCTCACTCTCTCGGTCTCGGTCTCTGTCTCTGTCTCTCTTGCTATTGTCTCATCCTCGCTGGCATCCATCAATCCTCGAGCAACTTCAACTCCTCTCCACTCCTCGACCGGATCTCCCGTTGGACCCGGGTTTCTGTTTCTGGCTGTCCGTCTTCCAAGCCCGGTTCGTGCTTAATCATTTGGCCTGGTTCCAGCCCCATCGCCTCCGCGGACCCGTCCCAACCCATACTATCGATCGATTTATTTCTTTGCCTCCCTCTCTTTTCGCTTATGGCCACGCATCCCTTTTCTTTGCCTCTGTTTATCTCTCTCTGCGCTCTGCGGCTTCCCCAGATTCGCGGTTACTCATAGCAATCCAGTCTTCATTGGTCCTCTCCCTCCGATCGCCAGTGGCCGGCTTTTGAGTTCCGCCCACGATACTGGCATTTTTTCCGACTTGGCCGCTTTCGACTCAGACTTTCTCATCCCCATTTCTCACCGTTGCCAGTCATCCCTCGCATCGGGACAAACTCTGCTCTTTTTGCCGTCCAATCGCCACATCCGTCTACCAAGGGGCCGTTGCTGTCCCCTGTGCTCATTACTTCATCATCTTACTGAGGTTGGTAACTCTCCGCTTGCCACGCTTTGCTGTCTCAGTCGCCCCTCTTCCCCCTGGATTCCACCCCGGCCATCACCGTCCGAGAATCGCAACGAAATCTGGGGTACTCGGAGCCTCATCTCGCGCTCGATCTATTGACTCATCTTCCTCCACAGGTGTAGCCCACCCCGCACTCTCCGATCTTGTCTACAATCTTTCATGCCTCGGCCCAACTCCGTGCCGGCTTGTTAACCTCCGAACCCTTGCACATTCCAGCGTCTCGTCTGCAGAATTGCAAGCCGATCCAAACGGAGATTGTCTCACACCGAAACCTTTATCGCCCCTCTCTCGCCCCGTCGACTTCGTCCGGATTTCGGCATACATATATATACCGAGATAGATCCCGTGGGATTTGGTATTTGGATCGTAAGGCGTTCCCTGATCTGTACCCCATTATTCCCGAAGGCCGTGGACGCTCGCCGCAATGACTGAAGCGAGTGTTTTTATCAAACACGATCCTGACGAGTTCAACAGTGATCCGAATCAGTCCATCATGTCGCACTCCGGTTACACCATGTCCAACCAGTTCGGGAACACCAACGACGGTGTGGACCCTTCCGAACTAACCATGCAGAACAGCGGATTCATGTCCTATCCGTTTGGTTCCCAGCAGAATATGTCATCCAGTTTCAACTTTGGCAATTCCGGAATTGATACCGATGAGCTGTTGGACCTGGAAATCAGTGGCCAGAACGGAATCCAGCGTGGAGACAGCATGAACTTCATGCAGGATCAACACAGTGCCGGAATCTCCATGAGTCATCCCGGCCAGATGTCGCAGATGTATTCGAACACCCCGGATGGTGCTCCCATGCACAGCCCGTTCATGCATAACAGCTTCAACTATGACCAGTTCCGCGCCATGCAACACGGACAGCCTGGCTCTCACCTGCAAAGCGGCTCCCATTTCGAACAAAGCTATATGAATTCGAAAGGCCGACCTGGCTTGCAGGCCACTGAGGGTCGTAGCCCGATGACCCCCAAGACCCCCGCCATGGGCGCTTTGACGCTGGGAACACCGGAATCGGGTAGTTTCCCGACGCAACCGATCCGTACCGGCCTCCACCATCGGCACCAGAAGACCCTTTCGAACCAGTGGGATGGTACGCCCGGAAGTGCCCAGTCTTATGGCGTGGAATCTCCTATCTCGTCCCCTCCCCATGCGCACCATGCCGGGATTTCGGAGATCCTCAAATCTGGAAAGCATGCTTCCTTGCCCGCGAAGGTTGATACCCACATGCCAGGTTCTGCCCAGGATTTGGAGTCTCAAGAAGCCAAGCGACGCCGTCGCCGGGCCTCCCACAACCTCGTGGAGCGCAGGCGACGTGACAATATCAACGAACGTATCCAGGATCTGTCGCATCTGGTCCCTCAACACCGCCTCGAGGATGACAAAGTTCGGAAGCAACTGGTCAACAACACTGCCATGTCCACCGGATCGAGCTCCAACCCTGCCACATCTCTTCTGGCCGGTGGGAATGGTCGTCGCGCTACTGCTGGTAACATCACCATGGGCCTTCCTATCGAGGAAAAGGAGAAAGGACCGAACAAGGGCGACATCTTGAACGGTGCGGTGGGATGGATGAGGGATCTGATGTGGGCGCTGCACGTCAAGATCCAGCAGGAGTCGGAGCTTGCGGAGTTGATCTCCAGTCTCGGTGGCACGTGGCCATTTGAACAGACCGAAGAAGAGAAGCGCATGCGGACGGAGATTCTCGATGCGCTGGAGAAGAATGATCCCAACACTTTCGCTTACAGCCGAGCTCCGGGAAGTGGACTGCGCGTTCCCAAGCACACGAACTTGGCCGGTGAACCCGTCTCCAACAACGGCACCTTGAGCCCGCAGAGCCTTAGCCCACCATTCAACGGGGGCAACACGAACAACGGCAGTACTGGACAGGCGCAGTACTGGAGCAGCTCCGGTCACGCGGGGATGAGCTTCAAGGAAGAAGATGAATATGCCATGGAGATGAACTAGATTCTCCAGTGAAGCTCCGTGACTGTTTCTCAGAGCATGTCATGACCTATTGCATACAACGGCGTCAAACGGAGGGATGGCACGGTTGACCGGCGTACGCGGAAGTCTTGACATCGGACTAATTGGATGTTGCTGCTTACATGGGGTTTTTATCCTTTGACTTGTTTTGTCGTCTTTTCTTATTAATACCTTTATTCTTGTCTTTGCTTGATGCAATTCTTCCCTGGATCGGACTTGATACACTACATATGTTCTTTCCGCATAATGATGCCTGAGACCGATTGTTTCATTGCTATTTGTTGAGTGTGTTTTTGCGATGGTTAGTTATTGATTTGTTTTGGGCTGTGCTTTTGCCGGCTGAGAACTGTTCTACATTGTGGATTCTACATCGATACCCTTGTTTTGTTTTTAATTCGCTTCTGCCTTTCGTGTATCTTTCTATTAACCATACGGCATACGACGTTGCGTACTCGATTGAATTTTTTTTGATCTCATTGTGTAGACGTAAGGCTGTACGAATGGATTCCGCGTCTAACATGAATCTATTTGCAACGACAACAGCAACAACAAAACCACTGGCCACCCGCTTACTCACCGCGCATCTTGCGGAAGAAATCCATGACACCGGTGAAGACGACCAGCAGGATACCACCACCAGGACCCAGCCGCAGCACCTTAGGCATGAAGCCCTTGTACAGGGCGCTGAAGCCCTCCTCCTTCATGACGGTACCGACAGCCGGCCAGGCCCAGTTGTACTTGGGCGTCTGTCCGGGGACCTTGGGGCTGTTCTGGATGCGCGACTTGACGACATCCATGGGGGTGTTGAGGATGGTACCGGCGGTACCACCGATCGTACCGGCGATGAGGTCGTTGCGGGTCTGCTGGGCCTTGTTGCCGGGCTCGGCGGCGGGCAGCTGCGCGCGCACCTGGAAGATGCAGCCGAAGTAGCCGCTGTTCCAGAGGATGTGGCGCCACAGCGTGGACTCGAGGCCGTTGTACAGCGCGAGGGGACCCTCCGAGGCCACGATCTTCTTCACCACGTCCAGCATGCCGTTGTACTTGCCCGCCGACGCGCGGTCCTGCAGCCGGATCTTGACCAGCTCGAAGGGGACCACCACGAACGACTCGGTCGCGCCGGCCGTCGCGCCCGTCAGCACCGCCAGACTCTGCGTCTGCTTCTCCACGCCGAACAGGCCCCGGTAGAACGCGCCCCAGCTGTCGTTCGCGGCGAACTTGGTCGCGCGCTTCGGCGCCTCCATGAGGATGGGGGCGGTGATGCCGCGGTAGAGCCGGGAGGCGCTGTGTTGCGTCTGTTATTATGGGGCTCGACGGGGAGAGGGGAAGGAGGATGCGTACCCCTCGTTCTTGACGATCTTGCGCAGGCAGTCGAACATGCCATTGTAGTAGTCCTCACCGGCGGTGGCGACGCCCTTCTGGAGTTGTCTGCGGGCGTTAGCGGGGAAGGTGGTCGCGTGGAGGGGCGGTTGGCGACTTACACGCGGGTCTTGACGACGTCCAATGGGTACCTGGGTCGTTAGAATGGGTGAAGTCAGTGGATTGAGAGAGGGAACGGATCGTACATGACCAGAATCTGGAGATTCGGTGTTAGCTGAGTCAATGCGTGGGCTGATACGGGGGACGTACCTCGGACACACCGGCCACCGCACCAGCGGCGAACTGGTAGATGAAGGGGAGGGGCTTCTGCTGCTGTTGTTGCTGAGACATGATGCAATGGAAGCAGGGAATTGACGGGAATTGAGGCGGAGGAGGAGAGGAGAGGGAGAGTGAAGCGAAGGAATGCAGGATGGAGATAATGTGATGATTAAGCCCGGCGTCGGAGCCGCTCGGTGACCGGCTAAACCCAAACTGGCGGGGATAAACTCTTCCCCCACGGGGCTTTTCCTTTTTGCTTCACCACAACTTCATGGGTGGTCGACACTGATAATCTTGCTATTTCTTCGAGAAACCTCATAATCAGTCCCTTCGAGAGAAGTTTATCCAGTTTGTTTGCTCAAGCCGTCCCTCATCAGATGGTTCCGGAATCATGAATGTTTAGCATCGCCAGCAACCTTCTAACAAAGAGTTGATTGAAGTCGTATCTGGAATTTGTTGGGGTCCTTCTGTAGTACACTTATTCTTTTCGGCCAGCTTTTCTGTATCCAAACCTGGGTACGGCTAGTAGTAGACTGTACTAGGTACCCTTGGATCGTGTCCCTGAGAATGATAACATCAGGGGCTTCAAGATCGGCGACTGCAAATCTGTTGAGTACATACGTGATTTTCCCTCCCCAGAAATACCAATCTAAAGTGGTTTCGGGTGATATACTACCTATGTAATGGCGTCGCAATATCTGGAAAACAGTTGCGGTCCATCTAGCTGTCCTTTGCTATCTTCTTCTAGTGCTCTTTGCTATTTTCTTCCACTGTTCTTTGCTTATAAAACGGGGGGCAGCACTCGTGTCAAGTGATATCCTCATGGGATACTTTGGGAGGGCATCAGCGGTAACACGAATGTCACGCTGGGAACTTTCGCCCTTTTTTGTCAACCCTTCCTTGAGAAGAGCCCAGTCAGTCTCAAGGTTTTTGGCCGGTAAGAAGGACCAATTCTCTGGCTCCCCAAGCTCGGGCAGTCCGCCGTTATCGAACTCCAGCCCATCCACTCTTCGCTTGCCATCTGAGGTGTTCATCGTCTCAGGAATATCTCCCAAAGATTCCAAATCATAATGCTGCTGAGGATCTCTGGAGTTTCGCGCATCCGTGCTGGTTCTGTCGTCACGCGAACTTTCCGTCTCGCCTTGCACGTCATCAAGACTGTCCTGTACATATGACAACGAGAGAAAAGCTAGTGACTTGAGATGCTGTGCGATATGCTCTGAAAGCTGCTTATATGGTCTTTCGCTCACATAAGGCACGAGGGCCTCCGGTACACAGTCGCAGAGAGGACATATAAATGGATCCCTAATGGCCACTCTCCGGTTGCGTCTTGCTCGACCCTGGAGCTGGGATTTCGAGAGCGTCTCACCATGTTCGGCTTTTAAATGAGTGAGAAATGGCTCCTTTTCGTCAAACTCTAATGCGTCGCTATGGCCTATGTCACAGTACCACTTCTCGGTGTGAACCTGTTGGGTCCAAGTCATGGTATGTCGTGTCTGCATATGTTCCGCCCATTCTCGCTGGCGTACAAAGAAGCGAAGCGGCTCTTTGCATTCTTCTGAGAGGCAAATGTATGGTTCGAGGTCGTGATCAACATGAGCCCTACCCATCATGATTAAACACAACAGTATCCAATGATGGTCTGCCACTTACCACCAAGACTCTTTTGTCAACTCTTCTTTTTCCAGTGGTTCAGAACAGATTGGGCATGAGATGAACTTCTCTCCTAGCCGTGGCTGTGGCTTAGGAGGATAGTAGAAAGATGTCTCTTGAGCCTCTTGGACTGTCGAACCTCTGCTAATAATAGACGCAGTTGGCTTCTTACTCCGGGAAACTTTAGACGCCGAGACACGCGAAGGCAGAGTTTCAACTGTGGTAGGCGCCTGCTGGCTTCTATGCTTCTGATCATGAAATACGTTCGTTCCTTGGTCTTGCAGCTCGCCAGCTTCTCCGCCTATTATCGTCGCTGCAGGCTCCCCGAAGGCGTCTCGTTGATACGCAAGCTTGTCGTTGTGTTTCTTTAAATATCGAAATGATATCCCACGAACGTGTATGGAGGCACCGATCTGGTCGCAGAGGCTTTTCTGCGCGTGCGGAAACCTCTTGCGGACGAGCAAACCGCACAATGACTCTTCTCGTCCAGCAGAGACTGTAAAACCCTGCGATCGATGACTTTGTCGCCCTGACCGACGTATCGAAGCTCCTAAGACAATAAGTCTATCGATGGCTGCGGCTGCCGCGCTCAGACCTGGCTGCGCTATGTCCGGTATGTCGGTCTCGTCGCTTTGACTACCAGTCGTCGAAGCGTCATTCGTGCTGGCCTCTGGAGTGCTTTCAGATTCTGCACCTCTATTAGTATACGATAAGCCTATACAGCGAGAGATATCAGCCACCTACCCCACTGTAGATTTCTGCGCACCATGTCAAGCAACTCGATGACCATGTCTTTTATGTCTGGATGTGGATCCAGCCGAGCATCCAGAGATGCTCGTTGTGCTGCAAAAACCCCAACATACCTTGCCCAGAGGCTGAAGCGCCCCCTCAACTCTTCAATAAGCAGGAGGCTTTCCCTCTCATTCTTGGCTCTCTCCAGGATGTGATCAAGAAGGTTGGAACACAAGCCTGCGGAAGCATAGATCGTGTCCTCGTCGTGATCGGTGGCAGCCATTGTCGAGCATTGGTGTGAAAAGGTACCGCGGATATGTTGGTCTCAAGGAAAGAAGGAGACAAGGCTGAGCAAAACAAAACATCAATAAGCGCCGCTTACCCCGCTCAGGTTCTTCTCTTTGTATCAGAGATCAAAGCAACGCTGCTTTCACCGAGTCGGTCCTAGATCTCACCTGGACAAGATGAGACTGTGCGACGATGAGAAGGGCTATGCGCAACTCTTCCTCACAGTTCTGCCCTTTTTCATAAGAGCCCTCCCTCCTTCGAGCGCCTCCGCCTCCCATCCATATCACGACTCTATCTCACGCCGACAGGAGACATTGAAGAACTCTGTTACCCTTCTGCGATTTGAGCTCAGAGAGATGCAAAACGTCTTGACGGAGTCATACAGTGCATGTGACCTCTCCCCACAGGAATTTGAGACCGCGCGAGATGCATTGGAAGACGTTTTGTATTTGCTGGAGGACTTGGTGGACGAGTCGATTCGCAAATATCAAGGTAGCGAGCCCCTTCCCACACAAGGTAGTCACCCTTTGAGTTGTTTATAACCTTCAGTCTTCAGCAGACCGAGCGCATACATGCGGTTTCCCCAAACTCATGGCCCTGGAAGGCGTTTGCCTTCCCGATCTGCATTCATCGAGTCGCCCTGATCAGCGTCCACCTTGGATATCGTTTGGGACAGCCGCTGCCCAGTACCGTCTGATATGCAGCCAGGCACAGCGGTTTAATGAGACGATAAGGCGTATTTTTGATTCACCAATGGTCGACCCAGAATCACAAAGACGACCTCTCTACCAACAGGACGCGTATACTCCATGGGATGATGATGTGGCGATGAACGAGTTGGCACAGGCAAAACGCGTGTCTGACATCGCAAAGGCCTTGTTAAGACTATTGGCCAAGGAACTTCAGTCCTGCCAGCCACCTCACTCAGCTCATATCCATCTTAGCGGATTCAGTCAGCCCGAAATTGATACTCTGATCTCACTATGTAGCCACAATGGCTCAGTGAGATGGCATCGCGTCTCCTGGAGCAATCAGAGTCACAAGGATCTTCCAAGAATGGGATTGGAAGATCGGAGGCAAAACATTTGTACAATTCTGAAGCGGTCCTGCAAATTCAAAAGGCACCTGCGCATTCAAGTATCCCATGATGGCTCATGGCATCCAATAGACGCTCCAGGCGGTCGCCTGAAAGACATTGCTATGGCTCCAACCCTGAAGTTAGAGGAGCTGCTCCATGCAAAGGGTGGATCAAGATCTTCTTCTATCAGGTTGTTGAAGAAGGATAGGCTAATCTTAGCCAAATCAATCACGAGATCCTTGTTTTATCTCATTGGGAGTCCGCTTTTGTCGGAGGTGTGGAAAACTGAGGCCATCTACGTCGCCCAACCTCATGACCCACGGACCGATATTTACAAACCTTACGTTGTACGAGAGATCACCAAAGAGATGATGCTGAAAGAGATCGGGGGCTCAGCATTTGTGCTTCATCTAGCAGTCATCCTCTGGGAGTTGTTATTCGGCCGAAGAATTGTAATTTTACCAGAAGACGAAGAGCATGATGGCGAGGATGAGAACATATCACTGTTCAACGCCCTCGGCCGTGAAGAGTGCGATTTACGGGAATCTTGTATCGAGAAACCTTTCCTGGACATCATAGCCAACTGTCTTGATCTCTACCCCGAGAATGAGTTGGATGATCAGGAGTTGCGAAGCAAGGTGTACTGGAACATTTTGAAGCCGCTCCAGACCTATGTTGAGGCTTACCAGCCTGATATACCAGCAGCAAGTGCCTATCACACAGCCTCTCGACTATCTCAGAAGTACGAGGACAAAACAACGAGGGAGAGTTCTCGAACACGCACCTCGTTACTTGGACCATCTGCAGCACACGATCCTTATCCCTCCATCAAGAGCAAGGTGCACTTTATCAACAAGCGCTTGGCTTATTGTGGCGATGCCCACAAGATCAATTGGACGCCAAGAGACCTTCGGTCCTTATCAGAGGAGCCTGGACCCGATGCCAATGGGAGGTTTCCGCCTTATGTGTTGCCTCAGATGCTATCCAGTGAAACAACCTCGACTCCGTCTCTAAGGCGTCTCAAGCATGATGACTACAGGATTGGCATAGTATGCGCGCTTGCCAAGGAGCACCTAGCAGTTCGGTCACTCTTCGATGAGAAACACCAGCATCTCGAGATTCCTCTAGGAGATACAAATCAATATGCCTTGGGTCGCCTGGCTCATCACAATGTTGTTACTGCCTGTCTGCCGGCGGGAAACTACGGCACAAGCCCCGCGGCTCAGATCATGACCAACATGAAAAGGACCTTTACTTCAGTGGAACACTACCTTTTAGTGGGGATTGGCGGCGGAGTGCCAACCAAAGAAAATGATATACGCCTTGGAGATGTGGTGGTGAGCCTTCCAGAAGGAGGTTTTCCGGGAGTCATCCAGTACGACCGTGGGAAGGATGTCGAAAACGGCGACTTCGAACAAACTGGTGCTTTACCACCTCCTCCACATGCATTACTGAATGTCATAAGCGACCTGCGATCTGATCCGGATCTCCCTTCTGACCCTCTGCAACCGCATATCAAGAGAATATCAGACCTTCGGCCGGAGTACGGACACCCAGGAGCAGGGAAGGACAAGCTTTTACAAGTTGAGGCTGTCTCTTTAAATGGTTCAACTCAGAAAAACGATGGGTGGCATAATAGTCACGCAGTCGAAATCAGGAGTCAGCCAAAGATCCACTACGGGTTGATCGCATCAGGAAACCAAGTCAAAAAGAATCCGGCGTCGAGAGACCGCCTGGGTCAGAAATACAATGCGCTTTGCGTCGAGATGGAGGCGGCTGGGATAGCGAGTGTTACCCAGTGCCTTGTCATCCGGGGCATATGTGACTATGCAGACTCGGACAAGAACAAAGTCTGGCAGGAGTATGCGTCTGCTACTGCTGCAGCTTATGCTAAGCTGCTTCTCTCCAATCTGAGACGTCAAGCCTGATGCTTCCGATCAGTCGGCACTCCGCCTAGTTTAGACCGCAACCAGGCCAATATGACTTGAACAACGACCTGCCGCGCGCCTCCGTGGGATAACCATACACCTCTGCAGTTGCAGGGGTGTCACTAGATTGGAGTACTGGTTGCAGCATATCCCTCCAAAGATTCGGGAGAAGGAGAGTATCAGCACGCAAGGTATCTTATCGACAATTGGATTTTTTTGCACCTGTTTGGTAAGTCAAAGATACCATCATGTTATTTTTGTGACGCAACAAGGTTGTTTTCGGCTTGTGAGGCTTGAGAATGCATTAAGAAAGCTGGAACAGGGAGAAGTGTTTACTGTACATAGCGGGTGTTATCATTTTGCTGAAGCAATGCACATGACCCCTTTAATGTTTAGTTGTGTACAACGTTAGTTGGCTGACAGTTCAAGTGCTGGCTTCAGAATCTATCTACCCAAAATGAAGCTACATTAACAGCGACATCACCATCGCTATCACCAGTGTTCCCACCAGACCCGTCGGACTCATCCGACTACCCGAATTCCCCGGCGCCTCCTTGGCCACAGTCCCCGTCGCCGTCGCCGTCGCGACCGCAGTGCAACTCGACCCGCACGCATAGCCCGTCGGACAACACCCCCCTCCAACGGTATCAGCGCAGCTGAACCATCCACTCGCGCAGCGCGCACTCCCCATCCCAACAGGCGGGGCCGTCGTCTCCGCCGGAACAACGATCGTGCGGCCGTCCGTCGTCATCGTCGTCGACGAGGTCGTCGGACACGACGTCGTGTCGCAGTCGCGTCCGGTCCGACAGCATCCACCATGGTACACGGCCGAACAGGCATAGAATCCGATCGGACAGATATCTCCAGTAGTCTGCGAGGTTGTCGCAGTGGACAGGCTCGTGGGCCGGGCGGGAGGGACCAGATCACCTGTGGATGTGGACGTAGATGTAGAGGTGCGACTGGTCGTACTCGTCGTGCTGGTCGCGCTTGTTGGGTTGGATGTGGGTGTTGTAGCGGTGATGGTGGACGTCACTACCGTTGAATGCATGGTGATTGTCACCGTGTACACCCGTGCGCCTATCTTCGTTAGCAACTTCAAATGTACACAATCTCCGGAGGAAAAGATGAGGAGGGAAGACATACAACCACCAGTAACGCACTCATACCCCGGAATACAACACCCGCCCCCCAACGCCGCCGCACACTGCGTATACCCCGCTTGACAGCTCCCCACAGACCCAGAACAGCTCTGACCCTGCGGACAACACCCGACATCCCCGGACCCCGTGTCCGCGACCAACTGGCACGTTTCGCCCGCGCCGCAGCAGCTCCCGGGACGGTTGATCGCGGTGCAGGCGTGCGTATCCCCTGGACACTGGAAGTCGCGCCGAAATATCGACGATAGAAGGCTTCTGCCTTGGGGTGTCTGCGGGACGGCTGGGCTGTAGGTGTTGACTCGGGGTTGGAGGTCTGTTTGCTTTTTTTCAGTGGAGCCTGAGGGTTGGTCCGTAGGGCTTGTGGTGTTGGCAGATGCTGTATCGGCAAAGTGCCAGTAGTCGAGGAAGAATTTCTCGCCCTCGTCCGGGGTCATTTTGTGGACGCCGTGGATTTTTTGGGTGAGGAGTTGGGCTTGGATGGCGGCATTGCGGTGGAGGGATTCTTCGATAGTGTCATTGTTGAGGGCGGAGACTGTGAGGAGTAATGAGGATCCGAGGATTGTTGGGAGATGCATGGTGGAGGGGATATCTAAGGATGATAGTGGTATGTTCTGGGCGAGAGAATGAAGATATTCTCTTCGGGCGTAAATATAGAGGCTGAGGGGCAAAATGGGTGGCTGGGATGTAGCAGCCTATCGGTGGCTCCATCTAAGCTTGATTCATGTCTAAATTATAGATATAGGCAACGATGAAGATAAAGATAAAGGTATAAATGTAATATATACATGTTATCTGGTCGTTATTTAAATAGTCAGTAATCGTGATGTTGGATTAGGGTTATTTAAGCTCAGATTAACCTCACTACGCGCACTACTAGAATTCCAGACCCCGATTAGACCCCAAGACAACCACATTCCCCATGTAGGACAGACCATTCCTGTACCTCTAGAGTACACAACTAAGAAGCCTGAAACGCCTCCGGTGTATAAACCACCCCCATCACATCCGCCGCCCACCAAACGACACACTCCACCACAAACTCAACCGAACACTTGATCGCATGCAGCCGACACAGCCCGATAAACGTCTTCCCCCTCACAAACCGATAAACCCCCTGTCCGACGCCCTCCATCCGAACCAACCGCATCCTCCCGTCAACGAAATCGCGCATCTTGGCTCTGCGCCGCCCCGTCGCGTCAGGCAGGATCGTCGCCTCCGCGTCGTCCAAGAAGCGCGCCTCGACGAGCGTCAACGCGATCGTCGCAGGCATCAACACGAACACGCGGATTAGCACCCACTGGAACAGCGTGCCGACCTCGCCGAAGGCGAAGAGATGCGGGACAAGGCCGTCGTGCGCGGCGGAGTTGACTGACGGGTGCGGGAAGAGGAGGGTGCTGGAGCGGTTGACGGCGTGGGGGAGATGCAGCATGGCTGACCTTGCGGTGGCGCGGACGAGGGTTGGGATGAGCAGGGCGGACCAGCGCTGTGGGTTGTGTGTGAGCGGAACGAACGTGTTGGATCGTGCGCAGATGGTCGCGTGTGTCCAGGTTAGGTGGAGCTCGGCGAGGAGGACGCGGGCGAGAATGTCGATGAGAGCGGCGGCGAAGATGGAAGGGCCGGTGAGGAGGTGTAGTGTTGCTGTGAAGAGGTACAGGCAGACGTGGTAGAGGATGCTGATGCTGAGGCCGCGGAAAAACATGTGGGCGCCGCCGGTGGCGCGGAGGAAGGCGAAGGTCTTGAGAGGGCTGTCGGTGATGCGTGAGCCGTGGCTGTGGTCCTTCTGGTGCTCGGTGTCGCTGTAGCGGGACGCGGTGGGCGTGCCTTCGCCTTCGAGGATGAGCATGGTTGCGAAGACGTGGCCCACGGTGTAGTTGATCTGTGGTGGTTAGAGGGGATGGACAGAGCGATGGGGTACAACGTACTAGACTGTTGGGGATGGCGCAGATGAGAGGAACGAGCAGGTAGGAGATCGGCTCGTTGGACTCCTTGCAGTTGGTCTGGAAGGTCTGGAACTCGACGTAGAGCGGTTCATCGCCGTTCGGGGCGCTGAGACGAACGAGGAAACGCAGGATGAGGAAGAATATGGCAACAGGGAGGTCGTTGAGATGCATGATGAGGCTGTCGGAATGGTGGAGGAGAGGAAGCGGGGGTTGTTTATGGTGTTTATATGCTGTTGGACAGAGTGAATGACAGGACTGACGTAAATCGGTATATTCCGCGTGCTTACTCTACAAAGCAAAGTGAAAACATTCAGCATCGTTCGTACCATTGGATCAGTACATTGTTTCGAACACGCTCGCTTCATCAGCCTTGAACAATCACTTCAGCTAAGTGCTGGTAGGAAGACACTGAGCATAGTACGGATTTAGCGTCGTGCAAGTAGCCGAAGCCACGCACGCCGTCGGCCCTGTCCATCCCGTTCCACCACACTGACCATATACTGTCTGCGACCCTCCGGCACCAGCCGTGGTCGTCGTTGTGGTCCTGCTAGTCGTGGAGGCGGACGTCGTTGTGACAAGAGTCGTAGACGAAGTCGTCGTGGCCTTGCTGGTCGTCGTCGCCGTGGTTCCACCTGTAGCACCAGGGGCTGTTGCAGTGCCAGTAGCCCTGATGGCCGAGCTGGACTGTACAACCGATACGGCTTGAGGGATGGGCGTCGGTCCTGGGACAATATAGTTCAGCGAGTTGTAGATGTTGACCAGAATGCCCGGGTCGGTAGGAGAGTACAGCGCCGTGCCGAGCACGCCAGACGGCTTCACGGTGCCCGACCCAGTAATTTGCAGGTTGAAGCACTGCGGGTAGTTCTGGGCGCCGTTCGCACTGCCGGCGCCGTGGAGGGCGATCAGCTCGTGCCGGAGCACATAGTTCCCCGGCGCGATGCTCGAGGGAATTTCGACCAGCCAGGTGTTGTTGTTGGCGATCAGCTGATCGTCTCCCCAAATGCCTGGTGGAGTTGTGTCATCCACCAGGCCGACGCCGTCGATCTTGAAGAACTTCAGCGTCGTCTTGTCCACGGTCTCGCAGGAGCCCCCGCAGTCGGCCAGGTAGTCGAGGACCGGACCGTGATGGCTTTCCGGCCAGGTGTTCCACTGGAGGCTGATCCTGTCGCCTGCGGCCACCTGGATGTGGCCCTGGCCGTTGAGAGCGTTCAGATGGCAGATGATGTCGGATGTGCCAAAAGCATCTGGAGCGATGAACCCGTTGGCAGTATTCGGGGTCCGCCAAGCAGCCACCAGAGGTGGATTGGAGTTGTAGGGGTCACTGTCAATGTTCCAACCTCTGTAGTAGACTCCGTTGATCACGATGTTGGTTACATGACCGTGAGCGGCGACCTGGGTGGCTAGGAGGCCCCCGAGGAGGATGGCAGATTGCAAGGTGTGCATCTTGACTGATGGACTGTTCGTATGATAAAGGGATACTTTGATCAAGCAAGACGTCTCTTTTATATGTTGGCATGCCGTACCTTCGGAGACCTTTACCAGAAAAGAAACGGCAACACCTGGAGCGGGTAAGGTCTAGAAGCAAACATGGCGCACCCATATAAAGAACTTGTGCATATAAAAAGTACTATGAAAATATCTCCAAGTCCAGACCATCAACAAGTGGTCAGAAAGACGCCACCAGCGCGTGAAGGCATATTGACCTAGCCCCGACTTCACAGGCCAAGGTGTGTCTCTGTATAAAGTTTAGCATAAATCCACCACTCGCAGACGTCATACAGACCTGACGCGTGACGAGCTGCAGCGGAGTTCATTTAGAATGCGAGAGCATGAAGAACCGTTGATTAGCATGGAAGAAGGTGGAAGAATGGCTTCGCGCCACTCTTTCCGCAGAGCGCCGCAATAAACTACCGGCAGAACTAGGCTTATTTCCCCACGGAGAACCCTGATAGCGCGTGGACGTGCATATTCTTCACGGTCATGGCCGAGGCGATGCCGAGGGTCCGCCTCCAGAACGGAATAATGCACCGGCATTGTCATGCGCGTTAGTCGACGCCTCCAGCGCCACGGTGTCTGGGGGAGTCCTTAGATGTGGGGTTAAGGGGGCTTTTTATCCGGTGGGGATGCACTTTAGAGTGGATCGGGTCGAGATAAAAACGCAGATGGTGAAGGTAGAAGACATTCTAATGTACTCCGGAATGTCCTTAGGGCTTGATGAACTATTCTGAGGCACTAACCAGCGATGATCTCAGTGGGGGAACTACCGACATGGCTATGGCCTGCCCTGGAACTCGGTAAAAGAGTCAAGACCTGGTCTAGGACCGTCGCATGGCTAAATGGCCAGGGGTTGCGGCCCAATCCGCTCGCTCACTGGATGATTCGCACGAGCGGACGGCTATGCGGAGGAAAGTTCCGACAATTATGGCAAGGATAAAAGGCGCTTGGCATCATCTGATGGTCGCTTCGCATGGATCAGATAGATTGTACTCGCTCTCGAGGTTCAAGGAGGGCCTATAGTATGACATCTCACGAGGGAACCACGCGCACGCTTGATCCAGGTCCAAAAGAGTGACCGGGATCATCTTCCCGACGTAGTCACACCGTCAACTTGTGCGGAGGCAAGACTCAGAGAGATTAGTCACACTCCAAGAGACAGGTAGTTAGAATAGGTATATCGGCGGACGATAAAAGACCTGCACTCCACTTTCAACAAATGACCAGATGACAGGGGTGTTACCCTCCCCCTTAGACGTAGAGAGTGCAGCAACAAAAGACGTCTGCAGGTGTCAGTGAAAGCTATAGATCTCATTGGCCTTGGTACGCTGTCAGTCACCTTGCATGCACAAGCTAGGTGGCACCAGGGCATCCTATTCTCTCGGACCATCATTTTTAACCAGAAGTGGTTGGAGACGTCAGCTGAAGGTGAAGCTGGCGCAGGTGGGCGGAATTCCGCCGGATTTTAGTCATCCATACTATGGACGCTGGTAGTTTGAAACTGGCGTGCTTGTTTAGAAGACTTTTATTAAACCCCATAATACACATGTCACATTAAATTCATTTTGCAGATTTATTTCAATTACCCATGCGTATCCAGTCTATCTTTGTCATGCAGCTCTGAGCATCGGCTCTCGCTACTCATTATACCCGACGGGGCGAGCACGTTTAAGCACGGCTCAGGCTCTCGCCCTCCTCGGCCTTCTGGAGGCCGTACTTCTTCAGACTAGAAGATTATTAGTCTCACTCTCGGAGATTAGATTCACATCTCAACTTACCGGATGGAAGAGATGGCAATGAAGCCGGTGGTGTCGGTAGGCTCAAAGTCCTCCAGGGAGTCCATGGAGGCCTCCTGCTCAGAGTAGAGCTTCTCGGTGCTGCTGGAGCGGCCGAGGATGTAAGTGTGGCCCTTGTAGAGGCGGAGGCGGACCTCTCCGTTCACGCGCTATCCTTATGTAAGCGTCTGGGGAGTATAAGGAGGTTGCTGGACTTACGCGCTGAGAGAACTTCAGACTGTTCTCGATGAACTCACGCTCGGCACTGAAGTAGCTAATCGGATGTGAATAGATGATCATCGACTGGAACAAGATACACTTACTAGCCGTTGTAGAGCTGGATGGACCAGTTGTGGGTGACGAACTGATCACGGAGGGCACGGACCTGGCCATCCAGGACGAGACCTGTGCCAAGTTAGGTTTGAAAGACGAAATGGTACGGACGACCTACCCTCAAGGTCAAGGTGAGCATCACGGAGGATGGTCATGGCGGGCGCTACGCGATTGTCAGTCTCAAACACTGAAATACCGCGGAAATCTTGTAACCTACAGTCGTAGCAGCCACGGCTCTTGAGACCGATGAAACGGTTCTCAACAATATCGATACGGCCAACACCGTGGATGTTGCCGAGCTTGTTAAGAGCGTTGAAGAGCTCGACGGGGTCGGTGTAGGTGGCGTCGGGGGTAACGACCTTGACGGGGATACCCTGCTCGAAGTGGATGGTGATGTCGGTGGGCTCGTTGGGGGCGTTCATGGGGTCCTGAGTCATGGTCCACATGTCGGCGGGGGGAGTGTGGTTAGGGTCCTCCAGGACACCTGCAGGCGTTAGTTATGTCTAATGGGTGTATCTATAACCAACATACCGGCCTCGTAACTGCAGTGAGCAGAGTTGGAGTCTAGCGAAATTAGTATGCATATAGACATCGCCGTCGGGGGAGCACGAACCCATGGACCAGGGCTTGGCCTACACATCACGTCTGTCAGTAAGGCACAAAAACATCTGATTGTGCGAATCGTACCTTGGTGGAGGTGACGGGGATGCCAGTCTGAGCAGCATAGTCAAGGAGATCGTTGCGACCAGCGAAGCGCTGGAAGAACTTGGGATCACGCCAGGGGGCAATGATCTTGATCGAAGGCTGGATGGCGTAGAAGGCCAATTCGAAGCGGACCTGGTCGTTACCCTTGCCGGTGGCACCGTGGGAGACGAACTGGCAGCCCTCGCGCTGGGCAGCGCGCATCTGGGCGCGAGCGATGACGGGGCGTGCCAGAGAGGTTCCTATGCGAGGTCAACAGGTGGGGTTCCGATACCGCTGATAACAGGCCGGGCATACCAAGCAGGTAGCGTCCCTCGTAGATAGCATTGCACTCTGTGGACGAAATTAATCAATTGATCCTCACTCGCAACAATGTAACAGTTTTCGGCTTACGGATGGCGGGGAAGCACAGCTCGGTGATGAACTCGCGGCGGAGGTCCTCGATAATCATCTTCTTCGCACCGATCTTCAGGGCCTTGGCCTCGACGGCGGCCCAGTCCTCTTCCTGACCGACATTGGCGAGGAAGCAAACGACATCATAGCCCTCCTCTTTTGTTTGAGATGGTTAGTTTGGTGGTCGATTACGGTGGACCGGAGAGGGAAGGGTACCAATGAGCCAGCGGAGAATGCAGCTGGTATCGAGACCGCCTAAAAAGTTTCCTGATTAGCTACGAACGAGCGCAATTGAGCATTGAGGAGGGGGAAGGCCATACCGGAGTACGCGAGACAGACACGGGGCTTGTCGGCCATGGTGAGAATAGCAGAGGGGGAATAGACAATGGATTGGGGAAAGAAGATGGGGAGTTCTGGGGAAAGTTGCAGATGATTCAACAATTGATATGATGGATGGATAAATCCGATGCGGGTCATGACTCATCCGGGAAGTGTTACGTAATAATAGCCAGTGGATTGTGGGAGACGGGGGCCAATGATAGGGCGATAAGCGAGTCGCACGTGATTGATAAAGATAAGGTACCGTTATCTATGTACTCCGTACAGGTTTTATATGGCTATTCGGCCCTGGATCGCCAATTTTGATGGCAGTAGTCTTATCGCAGCGTATAGTCACAAACAAATCCATAAGACCGGCAGCTTCCACAACGCGGCCTCACTTCACCGCGCCAGAATGCTAGAGGATCTGAAGTTACGGATAATCTCACATTCCGAGGGACTTACCCCGCACACTTCTCGTATGTCTCTCGATCAAAGAACTGTCACCTTATCAGAGCTGGCTGTAATAGTATGCTCATTTGAGCACTTAGTAGTGAGTGAATTATGTCCGGAGCAGAGTTCGTGGCTGTTATTGGCGCTATTTCTTCAGTTATAACGATTGTCGAATCTTGCCACAAAATCACAAAGATTATTCGGCAAGGGCCAAACGAGTTTCTTAAGAATCTAGAGCCCCATATAGATCTGCTGGCACACGACATTCAGCAACTCAGACGCCTGGACCTCAGATCTCCGCGTCACATCTTTCTGAATGGAGTACTTGGAGGTTGCAAAGGATACCTTGAACAGCTTACAACACTTATCGAAGAATATAAAGAAGCAACAAACACCAATGTTCCTTATTCAAAACGCTTTGTGAGAGCTTTGAGAGCCTCAAAGTTGCAGAAGGACATTCAGAACACTTGGACGATCATCAGTGAATACAGATCGACAATTACACTTCATCTGGCTGTCCATAACTCTATAAACGCTCTTCCTGCTCCAAATTCTGACACGAAAGGACTATTCGGTTTGCCTCCAAGGAATGACAAACATATCAGAAGGCAGAATGTACTGGATACAATTTTACATGCAATACGCAACGACAATTCGCGGTCATGTATCTTGTCCATTTTTGGCGTCGGCGGAATAGGAAAAACACAAATTGCGCTTGACCTTTGCTACCAGGTACAACATCAATACTCGGTGGTCGTTTGGATAAGGGCAGACTCCGATGTGAGGATTACAGAGAGCATCACGAGTTTCGCCAACCTGCTTTCTAAAGGCGGGAGAAGTCTCTGTACGATGGAGGATAGTCTAGCCTTCATCAAAACGGTTGCCAAAACAAGAACGCGGCCGTGGTTCTTCGTTTTTGACGACTACGGGTCCACAACAGCCCTTCCCAGTATTTGCTCGGCCGTCATGGATGGTTGTCAGCAAGATGTGGTCCTCACAACCCAGCGAGATAAACCATCTTGGGGTTCGGCCATTGAAATACCACCTATGTCAGAAGACGATGGATTACAGCTCCTTTTGCGAGATTCATTATTGTCATTGGGTCCAGATGACTTGAATTCTGCTAGGCACTTGGTTAGAGACTTAGGCGGGTTACCTCTCGCGGTAGCTCAGATGGCGGCCTACCTAAACAGCAGTGGAAAACCCATCCATAATGTGCTTCAGGAATTCTTAGGGACTCAGCATACTCTGTCTCTCACTGAGAGACAAAGACAAAGTTCTTACTCGTCCTCACTTGATGATAGTTTCAAGCTCGCCTTTCAAGAAATTCGCATCGCCGATACAAACTTATTCGACTTCCTTCTGCAACTGTCAGTTTTTGATCCTGATGGTGTTAATGAGAGCCTATTCCAGAACTATTTCTTGAGTTTGAGATCTCGCGGTGATTATCTCCCTGGATATTACACGTTGTTCTGCCGCAACGGTGAATGGAGCTCTGAACAATTTCTCGATGCAACAATGAGACTCTCAGCTTTCTCTGTGATTCAGATGTCTAGTGAACGGGATACTTTGCTGATTCAAATGCACCGACTTACCCAAGGAGCGTTGCTAAAGTCCGTTGACCAGAGCATTTTGCTCAGGGAGGTCTTTCGAGCAGCAGCAATCATCAGTGCCAGCTTATCTATGGAAGATTGGGAGGGCTTTGCGTTGAGCTATAGAAGGTTACTGCTCGGGAACATACGTCAATGGGTCGATATGCGAACGTGCCATATAAAGACGCCTTCTCATGTACGGATGCACAGCGGCATTCTCGAAGGATATCAAACTGACATGGCAACATTTCTGGCATTCAATGACGAAGAAGAACTTGCGGAAAGACTACTTCTGGATGCCCTTCAACTCCAGTCGTCAGAACTGGGGGATTCAGCAACGCTGACAAGCACAACGATGGTGTCTTTAGCAAATCTTTATTTGGAAGCTACAGATCTTGATAAAGCGGAGACATTCACGACGAGACTTGCTGAAGTGAACCAACAAGCAAACGTATCTAAGCCTTCCCTCCAACTTGTGCCTTTGCTATTGCGTGGGCAGTTAGAGATGCGGAGAGGAGAGCTCGGGAAAGCTTTGCAAACATTTCAGAACTGTTCCGAGTTCTATGGGACCGCATTTGGCGCCTACGATCTCATTATGTCGGCATTTCTTGTGAATGGCGCTGAAATCCTCCTTATCCAAGGCGAGCTCGAAGACGCCTCCCAACTCCTTTATGATGCGCAGTGTATCGCACAAGCATCAACCGACTCCCTCAGTCTAACCTGCCGTGTCAAGTGGAATATTGCGCGTCTTTCAGCTCTAAAGGGTGAATATGTTCGAGCTGTCAGGAATTACCAGGATTTGATCGAGGATTGCAGACTCCGATTTGGTACTCAGAATCCCAGGTGGCGTACGCTGCACTGCGAGCTGGGCGATGTCTACCGAGAATTAGGGATCCCTGCCAAGTCGGAAGACTGCTACCGCAATGGGTCCGCTACAGTCGCGCGGAAAAGGAGGCCGGTGAAAGTAGAACCCACTGATATATCACAGGCCCTCCTCCACGGTTGTTTTCGTGGTGGTAGGACTTTCCTTGACTGTTGAATCACCAATAATTATCCTGCACATTTTGGGGGGCTTCATTTGACGATCGTCAGCCCCCTTATACTTGTGTATTCGCTTAAGATTAAGACCATTTGTTCCTGGTATGTCACACGCCGATGATAGTATGTAAATCAGAGTTGCGTTCCAAGCACTGTATTCTGACTATCGGGCTTCCAGGATAACCATTCCGTTTCAGAAAAAGGAGGAACATGACAATTTCATACGGAAGCTCAGAAATTATTCTGATAACTTCTACCCTTGGGATCAGGAAATATCGCCCGGCATGTAGAAACCCAATTCTGGAGATGTAAAGAGCTCTCATGGGGCCGCGCACATGCATTGGAAGGGATATTGCGTGAATGGAGCTGAGGTTGATTGTTGCGAAGTTACTGTGGCATTTTGATTGGGAGGCTGTTACTCGCGAGTGGAATTGTCCGGAGTATCTCGTGCTGTATCGGGGACCGATGGTGATGAAGGCGCGGCTGCGGAGCGAATGAGTATGTCTGGATGGAGGGATTTTATATGTTTGTTTGAACTTATGTAACTATGAATCGCATGTGCGTACGTACACCATCGTGCCTTCTTCTCTGTTCACAGAGCTCGTCGCCTCTCTGCCTTCATCTGTATCATTCATTGAACTAGTCTCTCGGCTTCAGCTGGACCATCAAGTCATTCTTTTCCCAGATTGTGAACGACTTCTGCTTATCCCATCCGACTAACTCTGGCGCAACCACCAGATCAAAATTGTAGAGGACCTTGGCTAGGATCAGACGCATCTCGTGATACGCAAGACTGACAGTATCGTCAGTGTTCAGTTGCCAGACCCATTGTCCTTAGGTATACTTACTTCTTCCCAAGGCAGTTACGAGGGCCAAACGAGAACGGCTGGAAGGCAGACTTGTCATCTGTAGAAAAGCTGGGATCCGTCCAGCGCTCCGGGAGGAATTCATCCGCTCGCTTGAAGTTCTTCGGATTGCGGTAAGTAGCCCACTGGGCCACAGACACTGCAGTCTACGACTCGGTTAGTAGCTCGGTAGCACAAGGGGAGAGCAGAGCGGAGCACACCTTTCCCGGGACATACTCGCCGCAAATCACCATCCCCTCCGGAGGCGTGAGACGAGGCAGTCCCGCAGGCACGGGCGGATACATGCGCAGGCCTTCTTCGATGCATGCATTGAGGTATTTCATTTGCGCGAGGGTGGTGATGTCGATATCGGAATCCTGTTTGAACGTGTCACGGACTTCCTTGGTAATCCGCTCCAGCTTGTCCGGGTTCAAGAGGAGCTGGTAGGTCAGACCGCTCAACGCCGTCGCAGTGGTCTCGGTGCCCGCAAGCATAAATACCTGCGAGTTGGCATGCATCTCCGCGCGCGTCAGACGCAGATTCTCCTTCTGGTCTAGGACAAGACCCCAGATATCGGGCTTATCCAGCTTCTGGTTGACGCGCCAATCGACCCTTTCAACGCAAGCCCGGAAATGATTCGCGGCTTTCTCTATCACCGACCTGGGGACGGAGAGCTTGACCAGCAGCGCCGCCCAGGGGTAGTACCGCGACGCGCGCCGAAAAGCGCCTCGCTTGACGCTCGAGAACACAGACGACACCCACCCAGTGTTACCGGTGCCTTTGAGCAGATCCAGCGGGTCGCCAAAGGTCAAGTCGCCCATGATGTCGAAGGTGGTCAGATTGTACAAGCGCACCATCTCAACCTTCGCTAAGGGATCGATCTCAATTTCGACCTTGATCTTCTCGATCAGCATGTCCACGTACCGACAGATCAGGCTCTGCTGCTCGCGCAGCGCTCTGTCCGAGAACGCGTTGGAGAAGTTGCGTCGGAAACGGGCGTGGTCGGGCCCGGAGGCGCGGATGATGTCTGGCGTGTCGTTGAACGACGGCCCGTAGAAGCGCATGTCTTTTTCAGTCGCCTTCTTTCCGGCACTGGCGTGTCCGTAGATGCCTTTCCAGGCATCGCCGGTGGCGTAGCTCAGCTCGTCGGGGGCGGTGCGGACTACGTCCCCGTATACTGTGTGTAAATTGTGGATCCATTGCACAAGGTCGCCCTTGATTGTATGGTAGATGTACGGCGCGCGGGTGACGGAGGCTAGCTTTGGCCCGGGGTATTTGCGGAGGGGATTGATCAGGAGCTCATAGGTGATTTTGGCTATAGCTGCAAAGACGAGCTGCAATGAATGGACCGAGGTTAGCTGCAATCCATGTACTGGTGGAATGGGCACGCATACTGTTCCAAGTACTATATGAGGCAAGTGCTCAAAGGACACCTGGCTCAACGCTTCAACGAACATTGTGTCGAGTCCCACGATGCTACAGTAGACAGGATCTTGAGTAGCAACAGACTACCGAAGACTAAATAACGGCCTGAGGAAGGGAGCAGGGTTATATACACCCCCGGTCCTTTGGTGATGCAACACATACCGGAGAAATAATGTGCCTAGCACCCCCTATACCATCCCCGCCACGGTTAGACCTTGACCAAGCGGCGAGGGGGTCCCACGTCCAATAAGTGGGGTGTGCACGACTATCTCTGCATGAGACGGCGCATAATGCCCGAGGGATTTAATATCTTGCTTAATGCTTGCTTTTCATGACATAAAAGCGTTGTCTAACGATGTCTGTGCTGCCGTCACACTTGTCGATCAATAGATTAGTGTCGGGAGCTAGATGATCCACTGGTCCTGACGAAGTCGAGGACTGGATCATCTGAGACATCCAAGTATTGTCTATTGTTCATTCGATATGCATGTGGTACGATGCACAATGCACGCGCCCTTTACTCATTCGCTCGTCCGATCCAGGACAATATGGCAATTTCGTCCAAATCTACATACCAGAGGTCTCCGTGGCAGCAACTCTATGATGCTTCAACAGCAAATGATGCAACCACTGCCGCTGCATACTACTCCTCTAAGAGGCAATACGGAAAGGACCGATAGCACCCTTGTACATCCTTGCAGGTTGGTGGGGTGTATCAAGAATCTAGGTGAAAGTCTTCAACAAGGATTGGCTATCACTGCCGAGTATGATCCCATGCACAACCGTGTCACTGACGCTATCTTGGCTGCCTCACGGGCCAGACTTGCCAGGGTCCTGGAAAGACGGAACGGGAGAATCGGATTATAGAGACAACCCAGTCTTGCGGCCAGGGTCCAGGCCCAACTACCAGGCATCGAAGCCACTGTGTTGCACAGAATTCTGCAAGCAAACCAGCTTCAGAACTAGCTGCATTTTCTACTAGGGAAAGCACATTGGAGAAGGTGTTGTCTTTGGTTGTGAACTTGGAAGCGATTGAAAACTGCTCGTAGTACGGATTTTACGTAGCTAGTGTGCAGTATGATGCATAGGAAGAAACTTGCTCTCGCAAACCAACTAACAATATGCACCTTCTGACATCTATAGACCAAAGGATAGAGTTCTATCACACTGTCAGACAACTACAACAACTTGAATCTAACAGCAAAAAAGCACGCCATAGCAATAAACCCGATAAACACACCCACGATCCCAAAGAACCACGCGAGGTTCTCCGTTTCTTGCCCCGGGACTTCAACATTCATCCCAAACAACCCAGTCACCAGATGCAGCGGCACAAAGATGGTCGCAAGAACAGTCACCTTGCTCAGTCCCGCGTTGATATCCAAGCTCAGCCGCAGGTTATTGACACTAAGCTGGGCAAGGAACTTGGACTGGGACCGGGCGACGATCTCGTCGACATGCGTCAAGTTCGTCATGGTCGTGATCAGGTGGTCCTGCACGTCACCCAGATACACGATCAGGTCGCCTTCGGGAAACATGGGGTTCTTGTCTTTGGCCTGGCACCGCTTGATGAAGGAATTGAGGACGTCGTGCTTCCCGTTGAGACAGCGGATCAATTGGGTGATTTTCTTGCGCAGAAGGTCGATGCGAGGGATCAGGAACCGGAGGTCGTCCGCCCGTGCGATGAATACTTGGTCTTCGATGGATTCGGATTCACGCTCGGCTGATTCCATTTGGGGAAGAAAGCTGTCCACGATGTCGTCGCTTCGGGGATCTTGTTAGTTCGGTGGTTGAAAGATAGTCAGTTATCGAGGTCTAACATACATCAAGGCGTAACAAATCCAATCCCCGGACAGAAGCTTCGCATCGTGCATCCTACGAACCCGGTCGCGGACACGGGTGACATGGTCACATCCGCGTGGGGAGAAAGTCACCACGCCGGACTTGAAAACGAGGATGTACAGCTGTGCGGACACAGGGACCAAGGCGGATGGCGGTACAGGGCTGGCATCTTCTTTTTCGTCGTCCGGCTCCGTACGAGGGACCAGCGTCTGGAGCGAGATGAGGTAGTAGTTGCGAAACACCTCGATCTTCTCTCGCGGTTCCCGGATGATGACATCCTCCGTCGTCAACGGATGGATAGAGAAATACTGCGATACCATGTTGACATCATCTTCGGTGCCATCGCAGAGATCCACCCACCAGACGTCTTCTGGATCTTTCCGTTCCAGGTTATTCAGGATGCTTTCCCAGGACGACGACGGGGTGGTCTCCTGCGACCTGCAAGAGAAATAGGAGAAACGGGGGAGTCCAGGGTCCATCTTGTCCCGGCTTCAGGGCTCTTCTTCAAATATAGGGGTGCTTCATCGACGGGTGTAAAACAGGGCTAGGGTTTCTAACAACGTTCAACGAAGCAGTCTAGCCCATGATAGAAAATTTGAATGATCTGGGCTAGTCCTTTGGTGGCCAGGTCGTTCCATGTGTAGGTGAATTCTCAGGGAGACGGGGGATAGTCCAGAATGTAAGAGACAGAAACGGTATGCCTCGGGGCCACCTGGGGACACTGCGTTTTTCTATCCTTGATCGAATCCACTCTTCCATAGGGCTGAAAAGGACCTTGGAGAGGGCCAGGCACGTCAAGGCCCACCGAGGAGAAATTGCTGCCAATAGTTAGATTCTGTCTGTTCTTGTCTTTGTAGGCAGAACCATTTATGCCCTCTTACACAGTATGATTGCCCCGTTGCTGGTGCTGCGGGTCCCTCTCAGCCCTACAAGTGGGGATCCTCGACTGGGACATCCGATAGAACAGTACGGAGTACCTTGATCGATGAAGTTGTTTATTCACTGTGGAATATGAGTCCTTAGAGACATACAGAGAGGAGTTAGCATGTACTATAATGGCACAACTCCATGATCTGGAGAAGAAGGATGGAACGAGGTCGGGTTCATAGTTCATGGAGATGTGAGTCGTGACTAACCCCTAGGCAGAATTTTAAATCGTACCCCATTCATAAGCGGGGATGCGATCCAACCATCTGATTGCATGATCCACTATCATGTCATGTCACAGTCGACGGACTTCGTGGAAGGATCTTGTCCTGGTACGGGACTGACTGAGGCGACGGACAAATGCATACAAAGATGTCAAACTATCATTGCTACTGATTGTGATGTATGTCTTGAACGCCTGCAAAAAAGTCAAATCATGATGCGCCGTATATCAAAATTATCCCCATCTTCTATCTTGCAGCCACAACTTCTTCCCTCTTTGAAGAACTTTTGGGTATCATGTAAGGGACTTCAAGCCTCCATCCTCTACCAGCCTTTCGTTCAACCCGCATAGAATCGGCATTGGAAGCTTTGATGTTGCAGAACCGAGGACTGGCCCATATCCTATGGATGGCTCCGACATGAACATTGCAAGGTAAATACCGTAGAGCCGGGGGATCGGAATCTTGTGTGGTAAACAGAGATGTCGCCACTGATGGTTTTCAAGGTCATATAAAATGCATAGAGGTTTAGACGAGAAGGACCCTGTAGTTTGTTAGAATACCAGACATTGGAGGATGAAATAGATGCTTACGCATTGACGCAGCCGTCGTTCTCAGGGTTGTCTATTTTATTAGTTAGCATGCAGCACAGACTGGAATAGGAACGAAAAAACTCACTAGTAATCTGGGCATACTTGGCCCACACCACCTTACCGGCGGTTGTGACCATTCCAAGTTCGCTGACGTTGACCTCGATAACAGTTCCACGGCTCAAGACTCCGAGACGAGTGTAGAGAGGGTTGTTGGGGTTCTTCTGGACGTTGATGATCGGGAGTTGGACGGTGACACCGAGCTTGGGATGAGTGACGTTGGCCTTCTTGTAACGCAGACCCATTGGCCTATAGAGCAGGTCTGTCAGTACCCCATCCCACAGGCAACACCTGCAGCCAAAACATACCGGATAAACCGCTCGTATTTCACATTCTGCCGGGTGAAATCCTGTCCCACAAAGGTGGGCTTCGTGATCATTCTCTTCCACGACTTCTTGTGCGTCTTCTTGCCGGTGTTGACAACCTTGAACATCTCCTCCTCCGAAATACCACGGACTTTAGGAATCGGCACGGAGAACTTGGCCGCCTTCTCATTCCGCTTGTCCTTGATGGCAGACGACAGGGCCTTGGCGTTCGTGGCCTCGGATCGGTCGAGAAGGTAGTGCGGGACGGCGGACTTGGGCTCGGCATCGCCAGAGCTGGACTTGACGTTGCGCTCCTCCTGGGCCTTGATGCGCTTGCGCATCTGGATCTTCTCCTTGTGGCGCTGCTGCTGCATCAGCTTGGCCCGCAGACCACGCAGATTCTGCGCATCCTTGGACTTCTGATGGCTCTCACGAGCCTCACGCTTGCGGGCCCGCTCTTCCGCATCAAACCTGGGCTGGTCAGTGACACCCTATAGAAAATTCTGCAAATTAGGCAGACGTACCGCTTTCCGTGCAGTTTCTGCCAACGTTCGACATATTCGTTCTGAGGCATGTTGGCGGTGGTATGTGCACGAAATTGGGGGTCGATGTGTTGATGGACGGTGAAAATCTGTATCGGCCGCCTTTGCTGATTGCCCGCGATACCGCATTAACATTTTTCCTCCCGCCGCCGGTTGACAAGCAACCTGAGGGCGGTGGGCAGTATCACGTGATAGTCCACGTTGTATTACTATAGTATTATTAATTATGAATTTTTATACATTTTCGCTATCCAAGCAGACAATCATGAAGGTCTGTCTACAATATGGGGAATGGTTTTCGTTTAAAGCAGTTAAGCTTCTTCCGACGGTTCGTCATCATCGTTTCATATAATTTAAAGTGGTCAAACTGCTCAAGGGAGTGTATGAAGCTAAAATGCAAAGAGACGGTACAGCAGTAGTGGGGGTGTTGGCGACAAGTTCAATCCAGTGCTCGTGAAGAATCCAAAACAAAGAATGAAACCTGTGTGTCTAAACTGAGACCATTGATGGCCCAATCCAGGCGCGCATTTGGGTGCATTACAAAAAAAAAAGAGAGACAACAGATGTGGGAAAGCATTCGGCGAGACCAGCTCTGCGAATGTCACAGCCCCAAACCTCATACTATCTAAGTCTATCTTATGAGATGACTTCGACGAACGAACGAGGTAGGAGTGAAGCAAATGGAACACTCATAACTTCCATCTTTGTCGGAACTACACGAGACGCAAGTGAGGCAAACCTTGTGTCCGCATCTCGTGCACAGGACCTCCTTGGTTGACAGGCAGGTATGGCAGAAGTTGGGAGGGTATGTGATGCGTTTGATCTTCATCCTTCTCTCGATCTCTGCAGCGAGCTCTTTGCCCTTCTCAATGCGCGCCTTCAGATGTTTAACTCTGTCCTTCAGCCGCTGCAAGTCGTCGTCTTTGCCAGACCACCGAGTAAAGGGCGGGACTGGCTCAAGGAACATGATCAGGCGAATCCGATGTTGAATGGGAAGTTTCTTCATGCATTGTTGTTCGAGGGACCAGCGTCGCTGCAATTGGCGATTTAACAGGGCTGTGCGAAGGATCTCCAGGCTCTTGAACAGACGCCATTGTGCTTCGGCTGTCAGCGTCTCCTTGTTGTCGTTTGCTTTTCCGGGGTTGGAGGACTCCTGTCGGAGGATCTCCATGGATACCCTGATGGAGGGAGGGTGGAAGGTTTTCAATGAATGACAGTGGGTATGAAGAAGCATATGCAATGATGTTCTGATAAACGAGTGTAGGTGGTGAGGGGACCTAGTGAGATCGTGGTGCCCCGATTGTTACTTATATACTTCTGGCTTCTATCTTCCCCATGGATATGGCGTCACTCGCGCGAAAGACGAATTACAAACGAGTATACTCCGTCTAATTTTTAGATCATCGGCGGTGCCAATAATATTCCGTCGGAGCCACACGTTTCCTTCGCTACCAGACAATGTTCGGACCCGAGAGTGTTCCATAGATCTCCCAGGTCAACAATGGCAAATAGCCTCGGTCGTTTGACATCGGAAAATATCTCCTGGTGAACAATTATTAGTAAATATTCCCTAGTGCCATTTGTAGGTATACAGGTTGTGTATGAAGCTACTGTTGAGTCGAAATTGCATTTTTTATGCTGTACGTCGTGCTTGGAAATGCGGATTTTGAATAATTAGGTTTCATGTCAGCATCTTAATTCCACATTCCACACCAACATTCTCTGAACGATTTTACTATTCGTTTTTCTACCGATGATAAGCCATAACATGATGCCATGGTTGCAGGTCTTCCATCTTTCTTCCCCTTGCCATCGCTTGAATGGGCAGTGTTAACGGCTGTTCGCAAGGGAAGCGATCAAGACAAAAAAGGGAAGCCATCCCCATACTGGATAGACGGTGGCGGATCAGCCTCATGTCAATCATGTCTCGCTAATTGTGGGGATAATTATCGCCGCCGGAAACCTCTACCAGCCAACAATATTTGTATCCAGCACGCTGAGACCCATTGAGTACCGAATATCGCAGGCCGATGAAGGGTCAGGGTTCTGGTGGGGCTGATGTTGGGTGCGGTTGGATCCGTCGGTATGATGTCAAAAAGAAAACCCTGGAAAAAAAGACTTCCGCTTCGGATCGAGTATTGGGGTAAATGTATGCTATATTACAAAGCAATTCGTCTAATTATACAACGGCGGAATAGAACCCATGGTTCATGTTTCATAACGCAGGGATGGTCCGGAATTCACTACCGAGTACAACGTAGAAATTGCCACTGGCTACTCTGGATGGACCTTCTGGTTGAAGTAACTGTGCTTTCTGTAGCTTTTCGCAGTATTATCAGCAGATATACAGTACTCTCGTCAACGACAGTCGATCATAATGATGGGAAGAACCTAGACTGAACACGGCAGCCACGATTCGAGCAAGCACTTACCCACATGTAGATCGGAATTCACCAATCTAGGTAGAAACTATGCCAGAACAGAGACGGGTCACTTTTGGGAACTGGCCCATGAATGGATATAATGGCTCTTATGCAAGGAACGAGGGCTTAGCCGTTACGCCGCTGTTCAGAAACGGCACCGAGACCAATTCCTATCTTGTGAGGCGTACTGACTGTAAGTCTACTGATAATGCGAATTATCAGCTCTAAGTGCCAACCACAGCTGGCAGCCTAAGGATTTCTCGGTTAGCGGGTAGATTATCATTGAATAGTGGGGATTCGGGGATCCATGCCACTGACTACGATGTCGGTGGGATAAACCTGCTGTATTCCACGGCGGAGATCTTCACCTGGGTGCGTGACTCGCGTAACATGCGGGTTTTGATTTCGTATGGCGTCGAGGAGGAGCTCCATGAGTTCGCTTTGGAAGGACATTGATCGAAGCCAGCGTTTGTTCTATGAGGATAAAGGAGTCAGTATTGTGAGACTTCACGGCTTTCAATGGGTCGTTCAATGACATGTTACTTCGTCCCGGCAAGTCATACATGTCGGCTCTGTGGATGTTCATCTTCTCTGGCGCAGTGATGCATGTCAGTACTGGGCCCTCGAACTTCCACTTTCAGCGCCCATTGCCAAGTACAGCTCACCGTTCAAGGATATAGTCGTCAATAGAGGTGGCTACCTGCTCCGTGGCGCCTCTATTGTGGATGACACGCTTGTGTTGTCTGGGTATATCAACACCACTACTTCGCTGGGCGTTATATCGACGCTAAATGACCGTATTCGAGGCGTAATCTTCGATGGGGGATCCCTCGGAACTTCGCAGTCGGATATTGGAAAGTTGAGTGCATCTTCCAGGTCTCTCCCAGTTAGAATGGAGATACCTCGACTCTCTGCTGGAGCTCCTTTCGGAATACGGTGATCGAGGATGGAGTCTACTAGGTCACACTTCCACAAACAATATACGCGCTCTCACCGCCCCAGCTTGCCTGTATGCCGTGATTACGAAGGTATCACTGATCTACCGCGGTCAGGAGGTATTGGTTCTCCTAAATATTTCACTGTATCACCGCCCTACGGGTGAGTGTTTGGGTTTCGAGGCAGAAGTACTGATCTGTGTGTTGTGGGTATCTCGTCCTGCTGATTGGGGGATGTTAGACTCTTCGTTGGGGGGGGGGGGAGACACGATGTGGTTTCTCTGACGGGGTGGTTTGAGCTTACAGTTGGGTCCAGGGATAGTTGAGATGGTCAATGTGTGTAGGGTTGTTCCTGTCATTTGTTTACCCATACCTATGGGATGTTCGTGAGGTCCTTTCGAAGGACACGAGTAAAATATATATTTACAGGAGAAAAAGCCTCCCCAACGAGTCAGCCAATATCCATCTATGTGGGATTCAACACGCCTTAGCCTGGCATTATATATACATTGAATCCTACATCTGGCGAACTAAGCCCATTGATGGTTCAAAACTTCGAAAACCTCGTTGGACATTGAGCCTGAATGAGCTCGCTATTGAAATGGCTCCTATAGCATATTGCGGCTTCGATCTTCCATCGAAGTCTCCATAGTCTAGTGGTTAGGACGGCGGTCTCATAGGACTCTATGACAATTTCCATCCAAAGAAATTGAAATCCGCAAGCACGAGTTCGATTCTCGTTGGAGGCAATTTCTTTTGTATTTTTTTTATCCCCGTTACTACTCTTCTCCCCAGCGGAGTACCTATATGTCTGCTTCCATGCGAAGAAAACATGAAAATCGAGATTTTTTTTTTTTTTCTCTATGTACCGCAAGAAGTTCAATTTATTTACCTGATGTGTGCACCGGTGGTGGACACTTCACCTGTTAGTCTACAGAATATCATGTGAAGGACAATCCCAATCTTTCCTGCTCCCCCACCCCATAAGTAACCATTGTCTAACAAACCGACCAATAGCAATCGTCTCCATAGTCTAGTGGTCAGGACGGCGGTCTCATAGTAATCTATGACAGTTCCTACAAAAGGACTGGTAATCCGCAAGCACGAGTTCGATTCTCGTTGGAGGCATTCTTAATTTTTTCACGCCTTTTTTTTTTCCCTCTCCTCCCCCGCTTTCGGCCCACATAACAAACATTCACTTCCCGTCTATATTGCAACCCACCTCCAACAGAGTCTTGGGGGGGTCATAGCTCCTCACCTGGGCCAACAGGATTTGCCACGACACCTCTGCGGAGTGTCCATACCGTTTTTCTGCCTCATCATCCACTGAGAACCACTGTTGATGTCCTGAGCGTATGATAATGCCCGTGTCTAGGGCATAGAGTCGGTGGGCAGTTTCTTTCTTCATAGGACATTGTTATGTATGGTCTTCTCTCTCACGCGAACCCTGTCTCCATTCTCTTACTTGCTGGGATAGGTCTGTAGGGCTCGGCATATGCAATATCAGCATAGACAGTTTTCAAAAAGCATTCGATACAAAAAAGCATGTTTCTCTTTAAGTGGTAAAAGAAAATGCCTCCAACGAGAATCGAACTCGTGCTTGCGGATTTCAATCCCTTTTGGTAGGGGTTGTCATAGAGCCTATGAGACCGCCGTCCTAACCACTAGACTATGGAGACTTGTGTGTTGGAGTCGCCGAACATATGCCTACATAATGCCGCTCAAGAGAACAAGGCGCCACCTCAACATGCCCTTCGCCCCTGCCTCTTGAATTCTCACCTTCTTGCGCTTACCCACCTATGACATATGGATATTTCTATCATCCGCATTACTGAACACATAATTCCTATTTGCAGATGTCTGTAGACTTCATGCAACAAGACTTAAAGAAATGACATCGTTCATTTCTTCGTACCTGTTCTTGCAGGTTTGAAGTAACAATCGTTGTGTCCAGAGTCCTGTAGGCTCGTCCACCTGCTACGCAGAGAAGTGTACCTAAGGTTACTCTTCAGATTCAGGATGGAATGGCGACCCTTTGACGCGGTCTACTGAATAGGTGAGCATCCTCGTCAAGACAAGTGTCTTACTCGCTACTCATTCGGCGGTATTTTATCTACAACTTCACCTCATTGCTGGCACTACGCTGGACAAGGACGCCTTGTCGTAGCTTACACCCGGAGTCTTCCACCTTGTTCCTTGCAACAGGGGGAGACGTCAGTGAGTGCTATCATTCTCTCTAGGCAATAATGTGATAAGAACATGGTAGTACAACAACACCAACCTATTGAATAAGTGACTGGACCGTACACCAATTGCTGTCTGTACCCCAAGAACTGGAAGATGAAGACATGCTATGAGACTACCGCGAAACTGCCAAGGCTGACTACCTTCCAACCAGATCAGCTTGCTAGCCAGCCCTACTCTGATCCTGACATCCATGCAGGACAAAACACGAACATGGCCAAAGACAAAAGACAAAAACAGTGGAAAAGCAAAAACATACAACAGCAGGGATTCGCTGGTGGTCACCCACCCAACTACTAACCTGCCGGCGTGTGGCTTAAGTACGGCTGAGCGGACGGGAAGCCCTGTTTTCCACACCCTGTGGTCGTATGTGCTAGGTTCTGTGGAATAGAGATTGATATCAGGGCTGATGACCGGTGCGTACTTCAATTGGAACATCACGCTGCATCTGTTCTTCACAGCGTACTAAAATATTTCGACTATAGAGGATCATGAGAATCATCTGTCACGATTTGATACAGCCTGGGAAAAGAGCCAATCAAAATACAACTGCAATGACAAGCAAGTCAAGCAAGTCAAGCTACCAGTACCTTTCTCCCATCGACGTAGGGACTTAGCTCTACAGGTGGACAATCTCCGGAATTGCATTAACCATCGGCCTACCTATAACTATTCGACCCCAACTGTTCGATAATCGTAGGGCACTCTGAATTAGAGAAAGAGTTTGATGAGCCCTATCTTGTCCCTGTATATCATTGGCCCACCTGCCATTGAACGACGCTTCCCGAAGAGAACAGTACGCCTTCAAGGTTTGCTCTAAAGCAAGGCGATCGAACAGCCCCGAGCATGTTGATGTATGACAGTCAGGGTACTGGGGTTGAGCCACAGCAGTCCACGTGTCCACGTGTCCACGAGAATACCGACAAATTTTCAAGAGGTCTTGCAACAAGGCGGTTTCCCTGTTCTACCTAGGTATCTTGGCAATCAATCCGTGACTTCAGGACCAGAACGTGTGTGCCGTTCATTGATATACGGTCTGTACAAGGCTCGGGTGCAACCTGGGACGCAACAATGACATGAGAGTTGCGTTATGTGTACTACAATGGCACTGTGTAGATTGTCACATGGTGATAGCTAGTGACAGCACGGAGATCCGAGAATCAAAACAGATCCATATAAAGCAGACAGCAGTTTTGTTTCTGAATCCTCCTAATGACAGAGTGTCTACTTAGCACCATCCTGCCATCAAGCATAATGGCCAACCGCGTGTCTAACGACCCTGATGCCGTCTCTCAAAACGAAGTGCAAGCGGCGAAACGGCCAGACATAGCACAGAATACAGACAACGTCGATTCTACTCCGTACAGGATCCTCACTCAATTCTTGACCTTTCCCGATGAGGCTCAGAAAGGATGGTGGGAGGATAGCGGAAGCCTTCTGAGCCGGCTCCTTCAAGTGGCACGCTATGATGTCCATGATCAATATGCAACACTACTCTTTCTGTACAAGCACTTGATTCCTTTTATGGGCCCATACCCTCAGCGGCGACGATGCGTCTTCGAACCATACGGGGCACCGATCGAATATAGCATCAACTTTCAAGAGAACAAAAAAGAAATATTGCGGATCGTCCTCGACCTAGTCAGCATCCCATACTGCACCAAAGACAACCCATCACACCTGGACTGCGTGGCCGCATTCGAGTCGACCCTTGGGCAAATAAGCCCAAAGGTCTACAACAGGGATTTATACAAACATTTCGCGGATGACCTCCTACCCACAAAGAAGGATGATGAAGAGCTCACTCTACACGAGATGATCACGGATTCTAACAGCCTCCCAGCCGTTGCCCTGTGGGGTTTTGTCCTCGAAGAGGGAGGAGATGTAACTATCAAAGGGTACATCAATCCTCAACCAAATGCTAAAGCGGTGGGAGCCTCCCCGCGCGAGAGGCTAAATGAATCACTCCAAAAGCTTGACAGCATGGTCGACTACTCCGACTCCCTGAAGCTTGTCCGGGAATATACGATGGAAGGCTCATGGCACACTGGGGATCAACTTGTTTCATGGGACTATGGTCCCCCGGAGGTATCCCGGATAAAAATGTACGGCGCAGCCCCCGAAAATGTCTCTCCAGCGACTATTAGGGATGTATGGACCCTTGGAGGCCGTGTGGATAAGGAGACTTCGCGCAAGGGGCTTGAGCTGGCTATAAAGCTCTGGGAGCTCATCCACATGCAAATGGAATCTCCCCCGATGGACAGAAAACGAGAGTTTCTTATGCATGGCATGCTTTGGCATTATGAGGTCTGGCCAGGAGCACAATACCCTGTTCCCAAAATCTATCTCCCTGCAGCTGGTACGAACGATGGAAGGGTTGCAGAGACTATATCCAAGTTCTTCTACTCGCTTGGTTGGAAAGAAAGAGCAGAGTCATATCCCCAGATGCTGAAAGATATATTGTAAGTCGGAAAACCCCGTGGCATTTGGATTTGGCTGATGAATTTAGTCCCGATGTGGATTTGTCTCAGAGTAGTCGGTTGCAGACATGGATTTCCTTCTCCTACACTGAGCAGGGCGGCGCATATAGCACAGTGTACTATCAAGCGGCAACGCGCTCTACTGAATTCTTAGCAGAGTAGGGGGATGTGAGCAGTAGGTTTGCAGGACAATTGAAGGAACCTTTCAGTCCTTGATAGGTGGAGATGGGCCTCGCAGTTTCTGCAGAGTAGAGCAATTTTCGGGCAGTCAGTTCTAAGGCAAATTGTTAGCTAGTGGATATTAGTGGAGGATAGAGAAATCTATAACGTCAGTTTCCAAATAATACCTGGACTGCTCGGTGTAGGCCCATAATCTATAGAATTCCCGAGTCAGACCGGTCATTTCCCGATTTGGACATATACGCGATTCGACCAGTCACAGGGTGTAACGACATCCCCATCTCGCTTCCTCCAACCTTTACTCCAACATATAAATAAGTCGATTGCTGCTGAACGAGGGGCAGTTTGCATTCACCATCAGACACTCGAGATACCGTGTTGACCCTTCTTGTTTTTCAACATGGTTCACATCAAAGAATTTGCCGTGGAGCAGGTAAGTCACGCATCCAACACTACAAATACAGACAGAGAGAGTGACAGTCTCCAGTGGATGGATAGCCATGAAACATGGGCCACCCATAACATGGCAGAGACTTGCTGTGCTTCTGTATCCCTGAAGGATCTCGTTGCTTTTTCGGGCAAGAATGATCTCCTGGACATTATAGACTTTGAGCAAAAGCAGGTCTATGGAGCCATCCGGGGCTCCGATCGCCTACGCTCTAACATCAGCAATCTTTATAGACGCGAAGGATACCCACCTTTACCCAAGGATAATATCCTGGTGACGAACGGGGCGATCCAGGCCAACTTCTTGGCTCTCTATACCCAAGTTGGCCCCGGGGACCATGTAATCTGCCACTACCCCACGTACCAGCAGCTGTACTCAGTCCCAGAGTCCCTTGGAGCAGAGGTCAGCTTGTGGAAGGCGCAGGAGCGGAACGGTTGGCAGCTGGACTTGGAGGAGCTCAAATCACTGCTCAGACCCAATACTAAGATGATCATTCTGAAGTGAGTTTCCCCGGATCTTTGCACTGCCACTACTAATGGCCCGAAAGTAACCCTCAGAACCCGACTGGTGCTGTTCTGCGCCATCCGATCCTGCAAGGGATTGTCGACATCGCCCGTCAGCACGGAATCATCATTCATAGTGACGAAGTGTACCGACCGCTGTTCCATTCCTTACCGGACGATGCAGAACAGCCCCCGTCGATACTCTCATTTGACTACGAGAATACGGTCGCTACGGGATCTATGTCAAAGGCGTTCAGCCTAGCTGGAATTCGAGTTGGATGGATCGCATCCCCAAATCGCGACATCATCAAAAAATGCGCTTCCACGAGGGACTACACCGTCATTGCCGTCAGCCAAGTTGATGATCGGATCGCAACATACGCCCTTTCAGAACCTACAGTGCACAATCTTCTCGGTCGCAACATTGAGCTTGCACGGAAGAACCTTGAAACTCTTGAGGAATTCCTCGAGGAGTTTTCGTGGGCTGTGGAGTGGGTTCGACCCCAGGCTGGTACCACCGCCTTTGTCAAGTTTATGAACAAGGTCGGGAAGCCTGTAGATGATGTGGAGTTTTGTAAGCATCTACAGGAGCGGACCGGAGTCATGCTTGTTCCTGGGAGCCGCTGCTTTGGGGAAGGATCCGAATTTAGAGGGTATGTTCGCATTGGGTTTGTCCCTGAGCATCAGGTTGTGCTGAATGGACTACGCGCGCTGAAGCGCTTCATGGAAACTGAGTACGAGTGTCTTCCTGTTCATATGTGATAGAGTATGTTTAACTGTTAAATACTGTCAATGACGTCGCATACTTGGTCGGCACGACATTGGACAAAAGAACATTTCTTTCTAAGAGACGCACAACCTGATATTTATTGATAGTACTCCTTCAGAAGGTTGCTTTATGTATATCCATTTGGCTCATGTAATCTGTTATGGGATCCATAGTACACTGATAGTCGGAGATGTACGAAGAACAGTCCTCAGAGCTTGCGCTGCCATATTATATACCCATGACTATGCGAATATAACGACCCTCTTCCATTGCAGTGGCCAGAGGTCCAGAGAAAGACAAAGCGACTTGTGACATAATGAGTCCAAATAATCTACGTAACATGTATGGTAACCCTCGCAAAGCCTCGGGCCTGTAGGGGACAGGTTGCTGCATTATGAATGGAGGTACGAGGTGAACACCGTCGATATGTCTGAAGCGGAGGATGTCTATAGCAACGGGGGATTGATGAATGCAGCCATACAGTCTTTGAACATGACATTAGCATGCCGATATATTGGGAAATGAAAGAAGCTTCTGAGTGAACTTCAGGTGAACATACAGTCAAGTGCTAGATGATTACTCCTTGCTGACACGGGTGTGATAACTTTGCTTATTTGTCCTACTTATCTTGAAGAACCATCTTTACCGCTCCAATGATATTAATGTAAAATGATTGTTATGGTAATCATGTAATTTGTGTGAGTTAACATTTGGGTAAGCACGGGTCAATTGTTTGTGGGAGTGGAGTATTTATTATCACCATAATACTGATGCACCTAAAGCTCCTCATCTTTCAACATGGCCGATAACATGCTGTGCTGCGTAGCATGTGGAGCGATGATTCCTCCAGGCGACAGTTCGAGTATACTAAGAGAGCGAGTGGATTGGACCAAGCAGTCGGGTTCTAGAAGGTCAAGCAAAATCTTCGAGGTGCCGAGTATGCTGCTGGAGCAGACCAGCTTCGAGAAAACACCTACACTGTGGTCATCTTACTACAGGACAAGTAAGCCAGTAAACGCCTCTTAATTTGCCAGCCGTACTGACCCAAATGTGTTAGTTCTCGATGATCCCAGAAAAGACCGTCAGTCCATATCCGGAATATGCTCGAATGATAGTATTTACGGAAGACCTGCCGCGTTCAGAGCTTTCGCGTTCAGACCTTTTCGCTACATTCCGCCCGATCCTCAGACAGCTCGCATCCTTGGAACTGCACTCGGGAGCAACAAAGCGAGCATAAGTTTCTGTATGGCCACTATGTTCGAGCCCGACCTGAATAGGAAAATGGGTAGACGAATCGGCTATCCGGTGCATGTCCACTGCTGGATGCTCATGGACCGCGTGATCGGACACGATGTTGTCAAAGAGCACCTGTGGGTGTTCATAGAGGCGCTGCACAATTTCTGGAGTACACGCTCAGATATCTGGGGCATCGACCTTGTACATGAGCCTGAGGAAAGCCCTTGTTATGAAGGTGATCAATACTGGCTCAGGAGACATCGCATTCGCGACCCCCCACTGCGCTGGCTTCCAAAGGTCCACAGTTCAGGAAACCCAGTCCATATCCAGGGCATTGAAGCATTGATCGCACGAGCGACCCAGTCCAGTGACAGCGACGCAGACGCCCAGCCCCAACGAAGATATGGCTCAATTTTTGCCAACGTCCCGTTGGAAGTTGTGGAATACATGGTGGATGTGATTTTTGAGACCCAGCCTAACAGTAAAGCGGCTCCTGATGATATACGTAACATGCTGGAGGCCTTTCAGTGGAAGCTGCCTGGCAGCTACTGGAGATCGCGATGTCCTGTAAATCTGTTATTCGAGCTGGATGATCTCAGTCAAAAGGGTGTCACGGTCAACTGGGGGGAAGTCTGGTTTGAACTAGAGCAGCTACTCTTCAGGCGTGAGTGGTACTGCGAAAGCGGTTTAAAGAACCGGGGGCGGACTTTGAAAATGCTCTATGATCTTAAAGATTGCTTTTTGAACACTCTGAAAGGTGGATGATCAGATATCACTGGAGGCAATTGACCAGTCTTCATAATGTGTGGTTTCACTATGCTTGAGCGATGCTACAATATTATATTTATGGATTATTCACGCTAGACTGAAAGACAATCGACAACGGTTATTTATGTAAGTCCCACATGGACTTGATATCTATGGAAATACTGGAGTCACTAGACCCAACAGTCCCATAGGAGTCCATGTCCTTTAGTCGCCGTCATTCCACTCGGGCCCTTTTTCAGTCCAGTAGCTATGAGGCGTGAGGATATCATTGCACTTGCCGTCGATGCCGATGGTCATCCAGGCAGATATACCGTCTCGGACGTCATCACTGAGCAAAACATACTCCATCAAAGGATGAGTGCTGTCAGCTACAATATACTACTAACAGATAGAGTATAGATAGAGAGGATGAGGGTGGCCAATGGTGAGGCGGGATCCGCTGAGTCATCGGGATTTCTGACGGCCGAGAAGTTTGACGCAAGCTTTGATGATGATTTCAATGTTCTACAGCATCTCGTGGCGTCCTGCACTTCCACCCTACCATTGGCCGTCGTGGATCTCTGGACGAAGCCTACTGCAGGGATACTGCAGAGGTGACAATCCCCAATGCAGGGCGGCCATCCAGGCCCCATTCCTCAACCATGGCAGATCTGACCCGAAACCCGCGGGGCGGAAGGCACCGCGTCGCTTGCGATTTATGTCGCCATAAGAAGGTAGGCTACTGTTGGCCCACTTGGCCCTGTTCAGCCGGCGCTAGTAGTGCGCTAATAATCATCCGCGTGGATTCTACTATAGATACGCTGCGATGGAGAGAAACCAGCATGTGAGACATGTTATTTCGCTGGCGTCACTTGCACGTTTACCGCTAGACCGGCGCCTCAACACAAGAGCCTGAGAGAGTATGAACAGCGCTCCTCCGATGAGGCCTATATGTGACAGTCCATGTGCTAATCGTATTCTAGGCAGCTTTCTGAGGCCAAGGCCCGCATTCAAGAATTGGAAGGATTGATTGACAGTCGGGATCGGGAATTCCGGCCCTCCGTGGCGCAGCCTCCGACAGCTGGTCCACATCCAACATGCCACTCGCCGTCCCCTTGCGTCTGTCTGTCTCTGCCGTCTATTCCTGACACCTCGGAATTCGACGTCGCAGTGGACCGTTTCCGGTGGCATTTAGCATGCTCGGGCCCTCTGTTCACTTCGTCGCCTCAGGCTGAAGTTTTCCTGGCTACAGTATACCGCCAGACGGGGGTCCCTTTGGATTTCGACGGTTTCATCACTCGAGTGTCCCAATTGTATAAATCGCAATATCCCGCCACATACCCGAAAGCCGTCGCTCCGAAATGGCCAGAAAACGAATTGATCCAGCGCTGCATCCGATATTATTCCGAGGAACACCTATATTCCATATTTCCTGTCATCGAGCCAGCAACCCTTCCAGTCATATTCGATGAATATGTCTCAGCTTCCACAGACGCGAGAACTCGCACTGTTAATGCGGCTTGTCTATTTTCTCTCACGGCGTTTATAACCAAGATGCACGGCAACCAGCCTATGTTTAAACACGCCGAGCCAGACGCCTATATCCAGGCGTCGCTCAACTTACTCCCTCAAATCATAATGCAGGCTGATAACCTGAGAACGCTGGAGGCTCTTCTCTTACTGGTATGTATTTGACGGTTGTTAAGCGCTGTTTAGTGCATACTAACTCATACAGGCGCTGTACATCGCACCGACTGGCCAACCTCGGAGTGCCCAGATGTTACTTGCAGCGGCGGCAAGAATCTTATACAACTTCGAGGGCCATAAATGTATCCCATCAAATCATCAACAGAACCATGAGCACCTACGGGCCCTATTTTGGACGTTTTATGGAATGGACAAGGAAACATCCATTCGGACTTGTCAACCACCCATCATGAATGACGCAGACTGTGACCTCCAGCTTCCATCAAGATATGTGCCCTCGTCATCCGACATCCAGTTTCTTCCGGGGGAGTTGTCGCCCCGGATACTTCTCTATCCATCTGATCTTCGTCTGGCGATGTTAAAGTCGAAGATCTATCATCTGCTTTACTCGGAATCTGCGCTGGCGCAGCCTGAGGCCCGACGACTTGAACACATCCGTCAATTAGACCAAGAGCTTAATGATTTGAAGACTAGTTTCCCTGCTCCTTTTCGACCAGACCCGGTGGCTGGCGATCCTGCAGGTTGCAAATTCCACAATCTCAGTGTTCGCGGCATGATGATACACTTTGATTACTACCATTGCTTTGGGATGATTCACGAAGCTGGTATTACCTGTAGCATGTCAAGATCATGTTACAGGAACCCTCTTGCTTCTAGTGTGGAATTATATTATCATGCCTCCCGATTCATGCTCCTTCACTATATCCGCACAGAAGACCTGATCCAACCACCGAACTTCTGGTTAGTCTACCGTGCTCCATCATCCAGACTGAAAGGCTAATTTGACACCTAATTGCGTGTATGATAGGATTCAAGTTCAATTTCTCCTAAGCTCTGTTCTCTCTCTCTTCTGGAAACTCATCCAAGTTCCCACGGCAGAGACTTACAACGACGACCTTAAACTACTGGAGGATGCGAAAGATCTTTTCACTCGTCTGAGCTACAGGTTTCGGGATTTAGGGAATTTGCCGCCGGTGTTCATATGCCAGGCCTTCCTTGATATGCTCATAGATCTGTCGAAGCGAGCTCGGCAACGGGCGACAAATGGATGAAGTAGTTGACAGGTTCTTCTTCCAGTCATGCAAGTCGCTTGGGATTACGCACTCACAATGTTGATAGCGATAGAGCGCATTGTCCAATAGAGAAATCTTCGCGGACCCATTGAAGGCTTACAAGTTGCTGGCTCATTATCAGTCTCAATACCGGCGAAGCTCTTGCCCAGGATTACACGAAGTTTCTCATCAGATGTAGTGGCCAGTGTTTTAAAGATATCCTCTCCATGTATCCTTTCTTGCCTGTTCTTTACATGGTTTTTATAAAGATCGACTGGAAATACAGCACCTTTGGTCTTGATGACTGGCTGCTTATGACCAGCATCCTTTGATAAATCGACATTCTCCCACCTTTTGGGTTGGGAATTAAAGGTAGGGTAGTCTGCTACGACTGGCTGAATCAAGACGGCAATTCAATCCTGACAATCACTAATAGACCGAAAGATGCGTGTGCAGATTAACCCGGATGTTGTCGTACAACACCGAGGCAACAGCTAGATGCCTTTACTTCCCCGCTCCTGTACTAACCAGCTTCGTGCCAACTGCATCTGTGCCTTGCACAACATCCTTCGGCTATGTACAGCTCGTTGAATTTGTTCTCATTGCACCGGCCCGTGCCGCGGTAACATGACCGAAGCAGCGCCATCGTCGCCTTCCAGAAGAAGGGCATGGACGTGTCGACGGGCACAGTTGGACCTCTTCTACCTGGTATTAGATGTGCGCTGACAGTCCAGGGGACGGCGGAGGACACGCCCGAGGGCGGACCGGGCGAGCTGTGGATCAGCGGGCCGAATGTTGCGTCCGGGTATGTCTGCGTCGCTGATAGTGACGCGGTCAAAGCCAAGTCGTTTCCGCTGCCTGGATGGTACAACACGGGGGATGTGTGCACAATTGACGAGAATGCGTTCCTCGCTGTTGTCAGCCGCACGAAGGAGCTTATCAAGTACGAAAGGTTCCAGGCGAGTCCGGTTGAGCTGGATGCGTATCTTAATCGAAATCCGCTGGTGTGGCGTGTGGGAAGTGAGCGAGTTGCCCTGGAATGCAACTATGAAGATTTTGAGGACTGAGCTCAAGAAGCGTGTTACAGGTATTTGCTCGTTGGGGAGGGCTCGACCAAAGGCTAGGTTGTAGGCTGTAGCACTACATCTAGAGTATCTCAGTGTCGAGACTTAGCACATACAATATCGTACGTATTATTCCTGAACCTGTTCGATCAAATCCTATGGTCTATGAAAGCGAAGGGAATCCTCCGAATATCGGCAGTTTCACAACTAGTCGCCTCCGTGAGCAAGAGGTACGAGATACCAACTAACCCGTAGAACGGATTGGTAGAACATGACAAGTCATATGTTGGAAATTATGGCATTAATTAGCATAATCAACTCTTCTCTTCGCATAGAATGAGTCAAGACTCCGATGTTCGGTGAAGTAACAAATAGATCACTCCCGCGATCACAACACCAACCCCTTGGGTCATCCGGTATTTATTCAGATGCAATTCGTGTCATCAAACCAACACATCCTCAGCTACATCTCAATCACTGAAATGCTAACTCCTCCTCAACCACTTTCTGCCCGGCTGATCTGGAAGAACCTCTCCTTCAAGACCCTCACAACTCCCCGCACAATGTCCACAGCAAAGCCCACAACAACCAAAGACTGGAGCGCATCGCAATACCTCAAATTCGCAGATGAAAGAACGCTGCCCGCCCGCGAACTGCTCGCTCGCGTCCCGCTCGAAGCCCCCAAGACAATCGTCGACCTGGGCTGCGGACCGGGAAACTCGACCGCCGTGCTCGCAGCCCGGTACCCGGGCGCCCACATCGTGGGGCTGGACTCCTCGCCCGACATGATCCAAAAGGCCAAGTCGACCCTGCCGGAGATCGACTTCCGCGTCGCAGACTTGCGGTCGTACACACCGTCGTCGCCGACGGATCTGTTCTTTTCCAACGCGGTGCTGCAGTGGCTCCGCAGAGATGAGCGCATCGAGGTTGTCAAGCGCTTGCTGCGGACGCAGTCGCCAGGCGGCGTGTTTGCGTTCCAGGTGCCGGATAACTTGATGGAGCCGTCGCATGTTCTCATGAGAGATGTTGCGGCGCGCGGGCCGTGGGCGGAGACGCTGACGCATGTCCACAGAGATGGTATCCAGTCGCCGCAGGAGATCTACGACGAGCTTATACCGCTGTGTGCGACGGTGAGCATATTCCACACGCACTACTACCATTCTCTGGAGAATCATGAGGCGATTGTCGAGTGGCTCAAGGGGACTGGACTTCGGCCGTATGTTGACCCTCTGGGTCCGGCGGAGAAGAAGGCGTTCATCGCGGAGTACTTGAAGCGCTTAGAGGGTGCGTATCCCCGGTCTGTAGATGGCCGTGTTTTGCTACGGTTTCCGAGATTGTTTGTTGTAGCTGTTAGGAAGTAGCATTCCATGTCCATCTATCATGTTATTGTTCATAGTCCTGCGAACACCCCATATCCGATGCAATCTGATCCGGTTCCCGAAGTCGTCCCGTGGCGGAAAAGATGCGTAAGAACAAGACGTTCAGCATCAGATGCCGCCTAAGCGGTAGTGGTAGTGACGGACTAACGTAATATCCTGCTGAGACCATGGAATTGGCCTACGACAAAGAAAGAGGTCTTCCTGCTATGTCGGTTGTTTGTATAAGCCTCCTCTTTGTAACATATATTGTCTCATCTGGAACAGGCATGCCAGACTTCGTGCATTACACGAAAATTGTATGAGCTGTCTAGAATAAAACCAGTTCCAGTCCAAGCCGCGCAAAGTACATGTCCCACGGCAATGAAGTGCCAGAGGCCCAGAACGTGCTTAGCAAACGCTTGGCCCTGGTAAAATTTCCCATTCCAAAACCCTGCATATTGTTCATGCGATCTTGTACAAAGCTTCGTTGATTTGGATCCTCTGTCTCACACCCCGCGCTGAATATCGGCCATAAAATAAGGATATTTGCTGGTGATAGCGGCCGAATGTGTGCTACGGCATCAAGGATGTTCTCAATATCTGCCAAAACTTTTGTGCTGTTTTTAGGCAGCATCTGAACTCGGCGGTGAAGATGCAACAACGCTGAATAGACAAAGGCGTGGTGGGTCTCTTGTAGCTCAGTGGCGAGTTCACCTCGCGAGCTTCTCACATTGTCGGATACAGTGCGGCCAACGAGAGAGTAAAGCTCTGTTTCCAGGATCTGAGCGTCCCGATCGATATCTCGAGGTACTTCATTCCCGAGACTCGCGTCTGTATGGCGTTGCAAAATCAAGTCTGATAGACGAGCGAGAATCGGTATCAGATCCAATGAATAACCACAAATATCGTCCACATCCCTCGTGTCAGTGCCGACCATACTCAGTGGCATGGTCTGAGCGTCGTGGACACAGCCTGCTTGCAGCCCTGACAAACCAGCCAACACATCCATTGTCATGAACCATTTTGCCAGACAATTTACGTAAGATCCCTCGGCTCCAGATGCATTTTCACTGCCCAGCAGACAGGTAAGGAGCTGCATCGTCCCACGAAGGTGAGTCCTCCATATGTGCATGTTGCCGTTGCAGACATCGTTTGTACAGAGGGCCATTGCCGCAGTGACAGTCTCTGAATCGAGAGTACCTTGTGAGTTAGATATCACTGAGCGGAGATCTGAGATCGCCTTGTTTGTGAACTTTAGGCATGCGAGTTCAGAATTTCGAGTTGGGTCTTGGACGAGGCGGCCATGATGGCTACATGCTGCAGCCAAGAGTGCATATAGAAGATGTGGCGTCTCTAGTGATGCACTGATCATCCTCTGGAGAAAGAGGTCTGGCGCCGCAGGGAATAACCTTGGGGCTGTCTCGGTGCTGAAGACATGCATGAAGAACCGAGACTCCTCTGACGTTAAGAAAGGAGATAACTTGAGAGTAGGCTGATATGAAAGTATTTCCCAATCCGGTGTATTTGACCGTCGGACGTATAATGCGACTTCCTTGCTTCCATGGCCTATAGAAGGTCCCTGGTCATTTGGACAGATTGGGCCTTGCTGAACAACGCTCAAGTTATAGATGCATCCCCTCGGGTATCGCTTGCAGCGAGAACATGCCGGCCGTCCCAGGTCACACTATAATGACATAAGCACGTTTCTATGTAGTATTTTAGACGCCAGTCTCACTTTCACCTTTTTCCTCCGACACTCGGTGCAGCCGTCTCGTCTTCTCTGGAAGGATGGAGACTGTCGCGTCTTCCCCGTTGAAGACTGACTTTCTGGCGAAGCTAAGGCCATAGAGAATGTTGGCTTCACGTAATCATGTTTTCGAGTGCGAGATAGGGCCTAGCATGGGATTCAAGGAGGAAGAGTAGAGGATCATTGGTGATATCGAATGGATTGGGTGGTGGCGACAGCCTCTAACCTATTCTGGACATTTATCCGACCAAACCAATCGCGGCCGTCATCGAGCAGAAGTATACAATTGTGCAATGTTGCGAGTACTGGTAGGCAGAATCCAAGATTGCAAGATACATATTCTCAGACTTCGTCGATGTAACGCCTGGCTTCGCGTCGTATCATTCACCAATCCCGAAACCTAGTCTATGTCCTTCCCATTCAAGTATAAACCTCGTGGAATTCTGCTTGTTCAGCGTGGGCGGATGCAATATAATCTTCTGCCGGAATCGCGCTCGACTCGTCCCGGATAGCCTTGACTGATGAAGATCTGTAAGACCCAGCTGTTGTCCAATATGACATCTCGGCACGTTCTTGAAGTAAGCCATGTCAATCCCTTCAGGACGAAGTTGTCTTGTCTGAGGCTGAAGCGGAACAACATACGCCCGACAAATGTGGCGCTGCAGAGCAGACAAACAACGCTAGACCCTATGTGGTAAGAAGCTACTCATCCCGCGCGGCCTGCGCCACACGCGGCCAGCAAATGATGCCACTCCGCAACACCCAAACATCGACGCTTGTCTCAATTCCTCTCTTCCAGATCTCTCTTCCCTGAACCCCTTTAGTCCGATCGACCCCTGCATTCCTGCTCCCACAATACAGGTACCCATTCGCCCCCCTCCCCCACTACTCCCGTACAGATTCCGCTCCCGGTTTCTCGGCTCCCCGACGTCGGAGCCGCATTCCCTTGTCTTCCCCCCACAACCGCTGCTTGAATGACCACCCGCCGTCTCATCACCACCGACAAAACCACAATCAGCCCGCGAACCCGGCTAATACACACGCCATAGAACCTGGATAACCAATCTATTCGCTATATATACCATTCCGGAACCTACAATGGCTGTTGACGCTGCTCCCACGTCGGTACGTGCAACCCCTCGACGCGACGTCATAATCCGCATTCCGCGTGGTTCATACCTGGCCCCCGTTGACTGACGCCCGTTGAATCTCGTTGCTAACGCCTCCCTCGTTTCGATACAGCCCGTCCCCATCGCGGACCTGACCAAGATCGCCACGGAGGTTCGTACCGTCCCCGCTGATCCCGTCAAGCTACCACGGGGTCATTCCTCGCCGCACACCTGACCCATCCCAATCGACCCGACGCGCAGAGCACTAACCTATCGATATAGGCCTGCGAGTCTGCTCTCAAGGACGTCAAGGGCTACGAACACGCCAAGGTCGGAGAATGGAACTCCCAAATCATTGTATGTACTCGCAGCTCGGCTCTCGGAACGATCACGGACTAATCACCCACGAATCGACAGAACACCATCCTCAAAGCCCTCATCACCGCCACCGCGCCGGCCGACTCGTCCGCCTCCCCTCCCTACCGCTTCACCGTCAACAGCACCATCGTCCAGCAAGGCCTGATCGACCAGTCCGCCGCGGCGGACGGCGCCGCCGCCAACGTCGGCAAGCGCGGCATGCACTCGGCGTCGGGTGCGTTCTGGGACGTCAAGCGCGACGGCATGTGGACCTTCAAGTACCCCGAGGCGGACCAGCGGGGTCTGGATGTCGTTGTGAGTGTGACGTGGTTTGCTTTGAATTGATGGCAGCAGAGAGAAAAGGAAAAGAAAACGAACGAGAAACGGAGATGAGCGAGCGTTGAATCCTTTTTTTGTGCTTTCGCCTTTTCTTGCCAGTAAATCATTTCTTCTGTTCTTTTGTATGTTGAGACCCATCTGTTTGATCTGATCTTAGTTCCCTATTTTGTCGTCTTCGCTTTCGGAGCAAGGTGCTATGAACCAGTTGGCTTTTGTCCTATTTATTCCGGTATGTTGTTTCAACGAAGAGCTTTATACCATTGTTTCTAGCCTCTCAATGCATCTTCAAGTGGAGTTGCGTTGTAGTGTGGACGCGTATGATCTAAATTGCCTGACGATGGTTTAAATGTAGATTCGTGAATGAAGAACCTCGCGTAACGTGGGATTATATTGCAGACATGAAAGGATTAGACAAAAGGAACACAGTCAAGCACCCGAACTCCAATGAAACAACAACCAACCAGGCGCCATGCTAACCATGTAGAAATGAAGAGAATCTGGATACGATAATCCGAGCACCAAACTAGTTCAACAACAACTCTACCGCGGTTCCGAATAATCGTTCAACGCCACACATACCGCCCCGCGGTGATGGCCGCTGTACTGTCGAATGACCTGGCCGGACGCCAGCTCCCAGAGTCGCGCGTAGTGGTCGCTCGAGACGGTGACAAGATACGCGGAGTCGGCAGAAAAGGCGCAGTCCCAGACCCAGCGCTGGTGGTTCGCGAGGGTAGTTTCGAGGAAAAGGGTCGCGGTGTTTGGATCAATGGGGGGACCGTCGGGTTGCACGGGGAAGGTCTGCTGTGGCTCATTGTTAACGGGAGGGGTCCCATCAATGAAGCTGAAAGGATTAATGAAATCGGCTCTCCCCTTATCGCTTCCAGGAGTGTCGTTCTGGCTATCTGATGCCATTGTGCCCGGGGACGACGGAGAATCCTTGCTTGGATCGGGCGAGGTCTGCGAGGTGACGCTCTTTGCTCTCGCCTTGGCTGCGGCGGCGACAGCCATCTTAGCCGGGGGGTAGTCGAGATCGAGGTTCCAGACTTTGGCGGTGTGATCGGCTGAACAAGTGGCCAGGTGCTTGACATCGGGGGAGAGAAGGATACGGGTGAGATAGTCTTTATGAGCTTGGAAGGTGCAGATCGGGACAATGCGCGTCAGCTCGGCGTCTTGAATCATTCGCCAGATGTAAACGTTGCCCTTGGTTATATTAGTTAAGGAAAAAGATAAAAATTAGCCAGGGGTGATGTACCTTCTTATTGCCTGCGCACAGCAGAGATCCATCGCTCGCAACACTAACGCTTTGCACAGCGACATCATCTTCAGGGATCAGTTGGTGCGTACAGACACTCTCACCCAGGTCCCAGACCCGAACAATGCCGGCGCGGTCACCACTAATTAGTTCACCCTGGTTCGGATGAATTACGACATCATTGACTGGGGCTTTATGCGCGTAGTTACGCTGTAGGCTGCCTGTCCGAGTGTCCCAGACCTTCACGGTACCATCTTCGGAGCTCGTAACCATCCATTTCCCTTCGCAGTGAAAGGCGACTCCGGTGATGTTATTTGTGTGGCCATCAAAAGTCATGACCGGGTTAGGGTTGGTAGATTTAATGTCGTATAATTTGACATTGTTGTGGCCCGCAGCTGCAAGATAACGCTTATCCGGGGTGATACATAACCGGTTTACCTGAGAGTCGGGATGCTGAATGGTTCGCGAACAGATCCCCGACAAGGCTTCCCAGAAGCTATCCGCAGCGTTAGCACAGAGGCCTGTAGAGAGTACGGAGAAAGGCTTACCGAATTGTGTGATCATATCCCGCTGTATACCAGAGACATTTAGTAAAACCAAGTATATAAAACTCCAGAGTATACAGCTGGCAATAACTTACCCGTACATAGAATAACACTCATTGTGGCAAGGTGGGCGATATCATCAAGTAGACCAAGGGACGACGACAGAGGGAAGAGATGACGGTGGTTCAGTTGATGCTGTTGCTACTCTCTCTGCCGGACTTTCCCTACTCCGCAGGGCGGCCCCCACGTGAGCGGTGTTGCAGGCGGTGAGAAAGGCGGCAACCACTTCTTTTTTGTTTTGGAGAGCGAACTGAGACTTCCTATTCTCACTCTCCAGTGGCAATCCTTCGATCATACGGCGTTTCGTCGGATAACAGGTCGAAATGGATCTGGTGATATTATCCTTTTGATCATTTGATTTTAAAAATCAATACAAGGGTCTCGACAGCCGCTGTTGTCCACTTCTTTGACCTCGGACACGACTGAAGTGGTTATCCAAAGGTACTAGGTATCAGGACCAGTTTATTCACCATATCGCTGTCGGAACTCGAATAAGACTCCCGTCGTTCTCGAACCAAAAGCCAAACGTGCCTTTGTTTCCGCAGTATCGAGTTATCATTCACATGACGCGTCGACACGCCCTTGCCACCTAGTGAAAACTGGAATCATGGATGGAAGTGTGGTTGAAGGTAATTCTACCTCTCTCCAGACCTGCCCTCCCGGTCCTCAAGAGCATCTCGCCTCTGAGGATCTCCCGTCTTTCCCATCAATACCTCCACTGCATGAAAATGATCTGGGGCTTACACCTCCCCCTGGATCGCAGCAGCAGCATACGAATGCTACTCAGGAACCCTCCCGAGATGAGAAACCGTCCATCGGGAATGGAAAGTCGTCCAACCAAAATCAGACTGCGCTGGGATCGTTTGATCAGAATAGCGGGTCATCCCACGACACGGCAGAAACCGACAACTTAAACCATAACTACGATTTCGGTCACGTGGAAGATGCAACGGGAAACTACAGTCTGGATGTCCTCTCCGCGCCGGATATTTGCTCAGTCGGCGTCATCGACGATGGGATCTTCGAGGGATTTGATTCCGAGACGTTGCGGGAATTGGAGGCGTCCTTAGAACCCCGGAAGCGCACTGGCGATGAAGCATTTCCAAATGAACTGGACTTTTGGAATCCACCCGAGAAGAAACGTGTTTTGGATTATTTCCAGGGTTCGGCCAGCACGTCTCCGGAAGACACGCCGTCGCTGTCCTCTCCCGATTCTTTGCTCCGGACTGAGCAAGCCGACTCTGCCCCTCATACGCCGCCTGCTTCGGAGAATGTACATACACCAAACTCGCTTTTCGACTCGCTGGATGCATTGTTCGAGGATCCTAATTTCCAAATACCTCCGGATTTGCACGAGAGTCCCGTGCCTCCGGCTGAGCTTCCAGAGCCCCCCGAGCTTTCCTTTGAGGCCAGTTCAGACCTGTGGAGCAAACGCTTCGATGCAGTCGACAGCATCTCTCAGATGGAGCATACAACGGGCCATGAAGCACCTTCGAATACCTCTCCCGTCAGCAAACTCACAAAAGAACGATTCGGTTTGAACTCTTCCGATATGCTATCAAATACGGCATCAGAAACTTTGCGAGTGTGTCCGAAGCCGCAGTATACTTCGCCCTACCCCACCTGTGGAGGCCCTTTGGGTTACTTTCCGTCGGCTCCCGGGATTCATGTACGGTGTATTGAGGCTGTGGACAGAGACGTTCACCACCGCATTTCCGGTTTGAAGGATCGAGTGCAACAGCTCACATACGAGCGGAACAAGTACCGCACGGCGTGGAATCAGTGGTCCACGCGCGACCCGTCCACTGGCAAGTCGAAGGAACAGCTTCTGCGCGAAGAGAATACACGACTGCGACGAGCGTCGTCCCAACTCCAAAACAAGGTGGAGGAATACAAGACCGAGGCAGCAGAGTGGCGCACGCGACTAAACGACCTCAGCATTGTCTACAACAATCTCCTGTACGAAATTCACGTCCAGCGCCAGATGCCGGCGGTCGCGCCCGTTCCTCGGGGATACAAGCCCCCAGCAGGTGGAGGCCACATGCCCCTACCAGCCTCGGTGGGTCCGGTCCAAGCTGCACCTCTCAATGGCCCAAACAGAAGTGACCGGGGGTCTGTGAACCAGCCGTCTGTGACAACCCCAGCCCCTCGACCGCCAGGACCCTCTCCTCCACCGCCAGCACCGATTATGATTGACTTGACCGACGAGGGCGACGATACCCCTGCACCACCCCCATCCAATCCACGTGGGGCTGAAATGATCCAGTCTCTCCGCAACAAACAATACGGTTGGCTGCAGAGCACTGGACAACCTGAGACGGGTGCGCAGGTGGTCTCGGCACCTCAAAGTCCAGCACATCGGGGTACACCGAATACAGCCGAGCGCAGCCAGAGTCATCCGCCGTCCAGTACGGAAGAAGAATTGGTTCGAGCGATGGAAGCCGAACTTGCTAGGAGTAATTGATACCCATTTGTTTTAGTTTTATTGCATAGCGACGGCTGTTGGGGGTCTGTACCGGGATACAGTGATCACAACGATAACTTATGTTACAGTTCAACATCAATGCATTGAATCATGGCTAACTCGTAAAAATCGTGTCAAATCCCAATACTGTCTATAATCTATAATCCGTATATATCCAGCTCGCTATGTAACAGTAGTCCTTTGCATGCTTATCTATCCAATCGATTTGTCCAAGGGAAATGCGCGGCAAAACGGGCGAGCCAAGTTAAACCGGCTGACCATCCTTTTCCCGCATATCAGCGGATCCAGACGAGGACCCGTTCGACTGCTCGGACACGGTCGAGCGCAACTGCTTCCGGGCCTTACGCCCGCCGCAGCAGGAGGCACAGCACGAGCCGAACTGAATGATAAAGGCGATGAGGTTGCACGCGGAGGCGATCCACATGAAGGCCATCATGCGGGGGCCCAGGTCCGCCTTGATGTTGAGGTCATAGTCGTCAGAGGTGAAGACGTTTCTGAAGATGGTGAACATGACGGTGGCGACGACGGAGGCGACGATGGTGAACAGGGCGGTGAAGAAGGTGAGGACGAGGAAGGGGACAGAGCGAAGTAGCACGAAGGTGCGGCGACGATGCGGACGGTTGCGGTCGTTCTCGGCGGGATCAGACGAGATGGTCTGCGGCGGGCGCGAGGAGACGGCTAGCGGGGACAGGAAGATCATGACGAAGGTGAGGACGGTGGCGGCGAGGAAGAGGCCGAACATCCAGTGAGAGGCGAGACGGGCGATTTTGAGGGCGTCGGTGATGTCGGCGGGGAGGGCGACTGCAATCATTAGCATATTTTCGGATAGGAAAGGGTCTTGGGGGAGGGAGACAGGGACGTACTGGTTGCGCCGGAGAGAAGCTCGCTGAGGATAATCTCGACGGGATTGAACCAGTAAAGCGTCTTGTGTTTGGAGCAGTGGGTGATGCCCTGGTCGTTGTAGCCCTCGCAGAAGTTCCACAGACCGACCTGGTAGAAGTCGTGGAGCCCGATGGAGCGGGCGATACTGTTGATGAGGACGGCATTGGGGACGGAGAGGGGAATGATGTTGGAGAGATCGATTTTGAGGAAGTAGGTTTCGCGGAGGACGGGCTTGTTGGAGAGATTGCCGATGCAGACGAGCAGGAGGAAGATCCAGGCGATTAGATAGAGGAGGGTGCGGAGGAGTCGGTGGGAGAGGACGGTAGATTTCGACCGACGGGTGGTGCGAGAGGCATTGTTCCGACGAAACGAGGGGAGTTTGGCGGCCATTGGCCTGTCTTTGTATGTGCTGGGATTTTATGTGATATGGGTGGGTATTGTGGCTCCAGACGGTGGGAGTAGGTATGTGTGTATGTGTGTATGTATGCCGGAGACGCCGGAGGGAACGACGGAATCAGGTATATGTACAGGGGAGGGGAGGGGATGACGGTCAACGTCATGAAAGGAGGGAAGGGGACGTATAAATTGGGGGGTTGGAAGAGTCAGGAGAGAGGAATATAGAGAAGATAGAAAAGAGAGCAGGAGAAAAAGAGAGGGAGAGAGAGAGAGAAACAGGGACCAAAAAGACGGAGGATGATCGGCGGCCAGAACGGGGATGATAATCTGGATGGTGTCAGGGTGGCGTCAGAGTTTGTAGTGGGGCCAGAAGAATAATACTGATGGTGAGACTGATAGGAGTATACGTAGTAAGCCATATAAATAGAAAATAGAAGAGAATTTACTATAATTATTGTAGCCTTTCTACGTGTTTCTATTCTACTATACTACCTATACTATATTGTAAACAATAGCAGGTCTATAGTCTCCGCAGAGGTTGGATTAAGTGATAACGCGTGGCAGCCTAGACGCCCGTTAGTCAGCCACTAGTCCCGCCACGATCGGCGGATCTTCGTGGCCCCCTGCCCAATGACGTCGTGCCCGATGGGGCTGCCTGAAATTTCGGGCTCCACTTCCACTCTTGGTGTCTCACAGGCTATTCTTATCAACTTCATCTCTTCTTCCTCTGTGTTCTTCCGCTGTCCCTCTCTTCTACTCCGGAGTACCTCCATCCTTGCATGGCATCATAATGCGCCTCCATCTTCTGGCCCTCTCCGGGCTGATTCTGTCCACATGGGCCGCCGATGAGACCACCAAAACCACCGGTCAACTCCGCTCGCTACTCACGCTGGACGGCACCGTCACCTCTCTCAGTGATGTCGAAACTCCCACAGGCAACTACATCTCCTACACGTCTACCCGCACTCTCACCGCCAACCATGGCGGTATGGTCACTGGTTCGGCCACCACAGATACGGCCCTGGTCACCGAGTCGGCGTCGCAGAATGCAACCGCTACGTCTACCTCCTCCCTCACCCTCCTGAGCGGTAACCATACAAGATTGTCCAACAACAGTACCTCCAATGCGACATCTACGGCCACCTCGACCTCCTCTCCCCCGGTCAACACCCAGCCTTGTAACAACTACCCGGAGTTCTGCGCCCGGAAATACTCCAACATCACCATGGTGGCCGCCCACAACAGTCCCTTCGTCCAGCCGGGCAGCGTGGCGGCCAACCAGGCGTTGAAGGTGGAGGATCAGTTGAACGATGGAATTCGCATGCGTAGGTGATATCTTACCGCTCGCCCCGAATCTGCCGACTAACAATGCCATTGTGACTAGTGCAATTTCAGACGCATTACACCAACAACACCATCTATCTCTGCCACACCTCCTGTGAACTGCTGAATGTTGGGCCCCTGGAGGACTATTTCGTCACCGTCACCAAGTGGCTGCGCACCCATCCATACGACGTAGTGACCATTCTGATTGGTAATTACGACTACGTGGCGCCCGGAAACTTCTCTTCGATCATCGAGAGCTCCGGTCTGATCGACTACGTGTACACGCCGCCCAAGATCCCCATGGCGCTGGGCGATTGGCCCACCCTGTCCAGCATGATCTTGTCCGGCAAGCGCGCCGTCGTCTTTATGGACTACCAGGCCAACCAGACCGCCTATCCGTGGCTGATGGACGAGTTCTCCCAGATGTGGGAGACGCCTTTTTCGCCCACCGACACCAACTTCCCCTGCACCGTGCAACGGCCGCCCGGGCTGAGCGCGCAGGACGCGCACAATCGCATGTACATGGCCAACCACAACCTCAACCTGGACGTCGACCTGGCCGGCATCAACCTCCTGATTCCCAACACGGCGCTCCTGAACCAGACCAACGCTGTAGAGGGGTACGGAAGTCTGGGGTGGATGGCCGACAACTGTACCAGTAAGTTTAGCATCTGCAGAAGGTGAGACGGGAAGACTAACAATCGCAGCGAAATGGAACCGTCCGCCCAATTTCCTCCTCGTGGACTACTACAACTACGGGAGCTTCAACGGCTCCGTGTTCGAGGTGGCCGCGCAGATGAACAACGTCACCTACAACCAGCAGTGCTGCGGGATTGCATCCGGGGCGATGAGTGTGAGCCCGCCGGGTCTGGCGGCGACACTGCTGGTGCTGGGGGTGGTACAATGGATGGCGAACATAATCTAATAGATACCTGTGAACATATTACGAGCGATGACCGAGTAACTATTTAGTATATAGCTTGCATTGTTGGAAAGATATTGTGTATACTCTAGTGTTAGGGCTGGTATAGTTACCCAAAACGGTTAGCGTACTCTGTGATTCCGACCACACTCGACTTTGACCTGACCTCTACTCCGGAGTACATACTATCCACCATCTCACTCAATCCTCCCTCCCATTCCAATCCCTCGAACCAGAGCACAACTCTATACAGAAAAAATGGTCGACATCGTCCCCCTCTCCTCCTACCCCTCCTACATCGACCTCCTCCCCTCCATCCAAACCTGCAACATCACCAACCTCCCCGAAAACTACTTCCTCAAATACTACCTCTACCATGCCCTGACCTGGCCGCAACTGAGCTTCGTCGCCGTCGTGCGCCCCAAATCCGGCTACTCCAAGTCCACCACCGGCCCCGGCGGCGGCGCAGGCAGCAAATCGCTGGCAGAGCAGTACCCCAAGGTGGTGGGGTACGTGCTGGCGAAGATGGAGGAGGAGCCGACCGACGGCGTGCAGCACGGGCACATCACGAGTTTGAGCGTGATGCGCACGCATCGTAGACTGGGAATTGCGGAGCGGCTGATGCGGATGTCTCGTACGTTTTTTTCCTTCCTTCTCTTTCTTTTTTTCCCCCTTCATTTGACTGCGCCCCCGCCCCCGCCTGCGGCGGGTAAAAAGGTTGGTTGGGGGCGGTGGAAGACCATGCTAACAGGTGATGAATGGGTAGAACGCGCCATGGCCGAGTCCCACCGCGCCAGCTATGTCTCGCTGCACGTCCGCGTCAGCAACACCGCCGCCCTGCGGCTGTACCGTGACACGCTCGGTTTCCAGGTCGACAACGTCGAGAGCAAGTACTACGCCGACGGCGAGGATGCCTACGCCCATGCGCCTCGACCTGACGGATATGTGGATGAACTGGGCCGAGATTGAGCGGCAGGACCGGCTGCGCGCCGAGGCCGACGGGAAGGAGGCCGATGAGGGCGATGAGGTTGGGTCGCTGGGTAAGAAGGAGACGGGCGCGGCGGAGCAGGAGAAGACGGTCAAGGTCAAGGTGGGGCGGGGGCTGGGGGTGGGTGATCTGGTTGAGAAGAATGAGGCCCAGGCGGCTTAGATTAATGAATGGATGTACATTGGATAATAGATTCAGCGACTGGAGTATCAAGTGTGGTTCGTTATTCGTAATCGCCGTGGTCAATACATGATGAAATGAAGCCCTACTTCCCCGTCCCCTCCGACTTCTTCTCGCTCGCTTCAGTCCTGCTGCTACCCGGCTTCCCGGCCGTCACGTTGCGAGTGCTCTGCAGTGACACCGTGCTCGGCGTGCTGATCGGACTACTGACCGTGCTGACTTCCGACACCGACCGCGTCGGCGACGGGAAGGACTGCACCGTCGATCGACTTTCGCGGTTCCCCGTCAGCTCCAGGTTCTGCAGCCGCTGGTCCAGTGGTACAGATCCGTCTTCCGCTTCGTCTTCCTTCCGCGCTGTCTCTCGCTTAAGACCACTACGGTCCTTGCGTCGGCGTTCGCGCTGCTCCTCCCGCGCTCGTCGGAGTACTTCCCGGAAGACTTTGCGCGTCGCCCGCGTCTCTTCCTTGATCGCACGACGCTCTTCGCGGCTGCGTTCTTGCTGTTGCGGCGACTCCCAGCGACCCCAGCCCGTGCGTCCGCTGCCCCAGTGATGGGAGCGTCCATTGAGGCGGGTCTGCCGCCGTGACTCCCGCAGTTCATCCAGCTGGCGACGCAGACCCACGGCGGCGTCGTGCAGTTCACGGTCGTGGTGCTCGTCCAGGGAAAGTAGCTGTGCTCGCACGGTGGCCAGATCTGATGAACTCAGTTCGGACGTGGTTGACAGTGAATCGATCGAGCTGAACGACGAGTCCGACGAGATCGATGCTGTGGATGCCCGACGCGGCCGCTGTGGCTGTGGTTGCGGTTGCTGTTGCGGTGATTGTTGGTTTGGTAGGGATAACGGGGTGACTGGAGTGGGAGGTTCGGCTGGAGGTAGGACTGCAGGTGGATAACCGTACGGATACGGGCCGTTGGGATAATACGCTTGAGTGGCCGGCCACTCATCCCGCGGTCTCGAAAACCCGCCAAACATGTCCTCCACCTTGCGGCCTTGCAATCCCGCTTGTTCCTCAATCCACCGGCCGTGTGCCAGCGCTTGTTCCTCTACCTGTCGACCGTAATGCTCGGCTTGCTCGGAGATGCGTTCACCGTATTTCTGCGCTTGCGAGGCGAGTGACGCAATCCAGCCGAGGGGCCCACCCTTACTGGAGGGGCTGGAATTTTGGTGTTGGGGAGGCCATGGTTGGGCGTTCCAACCCCACGGTTGTTGGTAAGGTGATGGCTGCGGGTGGTAGTAAGGGTAATGCGGAGCGGCGGGATTAGGATACGGGGTTGCCCCGTACGGCGCAAACGGGGCGGGAGACACGGGTGTGGTCGGGTATGCATAAGGCGCCGGAGGATATGCTGTGTTGGCTTGGGGGATGGGTTGGCCTGGTACTGGCGGTAAGCCAGGGCGTACGAGGCGCCCTCGACCGGCGCTTTGTGTCGCGGCGGCGCGATTGTCCTGCGATACCTTTGTCGCGGAAGGATAGCATTTTGGGCAGAGAGGCGAGAGGGGCGCATTTCGTTGATTAGTCACGTAGACAAAGACGATGCAGACGGCGCGGGGCTCAAAAAAGTATCGATTCCATTCCGTGATGACGGCCGAAATGCGCACCCGGCGCTGCTCGTCGGTCTCCTGTGGTCGATCCTTGCGGTCTCGCTGGATCTGCGCCCTGATCTGCCGGGAAAGTTGGGCGGAGGTCGAGGCCAGTCCCAAGTGCGGGGGAAACAGATATCGTAGAAAGGTGTCCCAGTCCTGCTGGGTGATATGATTCGTCCGCGGGCCCCAGCATCGTGGGCGTCGGGGGAAGTCCTTGGATTGGCTCCGGGGGTAGATGGTGAGTTGGTGTTCGCGAATGGGACATTCCTCGTCAAAGACGGGCGGCGGGCGCTCGGCGAAGTAAGCGGCCGCAGAGGTGAAGTTGGCGGGCGGGAGAGGAGAGGTGATGGCGACTTCTAGGCCCGAGCTGGAGCCATCGCTTGAGACGGTATCATTCAGGGCATTATTGCCGCCGCGCAAACGAAGTAAATTCCGGTTGTTGTTTGTCTGCGAGGCTAAAGGGTCGACGGCGGAATACGGCGGGGGGGCCTCATCTTCAGGATCCATCACGGGGAAGGCAGCGAGCTCTTATCGGCGAATCGACCCGTACGAACTGGGAGGGAACCTGGAGGACAATCAACAATTATTGATGATGATGCATGAGAGATGGGATGCGGAGCGGATCTTCCGCGGCGGATGGACGCACCTGCTGACGCTCACTAAGGCAGCAGGATTCTCAGCCGGCGCGAGGGATGCCGATCGATGAGCGGTACGAGAAGAGGAATGAACAGGGCTGAAGGGCTGGAGATACGTGGAGGAATGGAAGCAAGACACTGCACTGCCGAAGCAGAGAGAAGGAATGCTGGAGACCGTTCGAAAGAGCAAGACAAGATTCCACGGAGATCGAAAGAACCCCCCGAACCCGGTGGAGCCGGAGATCACGGGGCTGACGGCGTCCGATTGGTGCCCGGCATCTCTTGTGAAATGCTGACATCGGCTGACATCTATACCCAGTCTATACAAGTCTAGACACTATCCAACTACCTAAGCTCTAGGTACCTAACGTATACATCACCTCATCCCATGGAATATATATAACCCGCCAACATCCCCCCTCGCCCACCCCAATCCTCTCTCCCTCTCACCCAGCCCACTCCCATCCACTCCACCATGGCAAAGCCTACCATCCTCTTCATCCCTGGCTCTCTAGCCCTCCCGGAATTCTACTCCAGCATCCTTGATCCCGTCGCAGAAGCCGGCTACGATGTCCAAGCCCTGCATCTCCCAAGCGTCGGTCCTACCGGCGGACAGGGAGGCGCATGTCCCCCGCCGAGCATGGAAGACGACGCAGCGTTCATCGCATCTCACGTCCGCGATCTCGTCGACCAAGGTAAGGACGTAATCATTTTCGCCCACTCATATGGCGGTATTCCCGCCACCCAAAGCACCAAGGGTCTGTCCAAGCATGAACGTCAACAGCAGGGAAAACCCGGCGGTGTCGTGCGACTGGCGTATATCACCGCGTTGGTTCCAGATCTTGGAGAGAACGCGGTGGGGCTTACCGCGAGGTATCAAGACGAGCAGAATCAGGTGGAGATGAAACCCGATGTACGTCCTTGCTTTTCATGCTTGCGAGGTCATTTCAATCCTCCAGTGGGCGCTGGGTACTAGTAACGCTGCTAGGAAAACGGCTGGATTGGCCCCGTCGATATTGCGGCCTCGGCCAAGGTCGTGTTTTCGAGTCTTCCACCGGAGGAAGGCATCGCTTGGATGCAGCGGTTTCCGAGGCATTCGGCGGCGAGTCTCATGGGGTTGTTGACGCACCCCGGGTACGATGACGTGCCGGTCTCGTATTTGATCTGCGAAGATGATCTAGTCCTCTCAGCGAAGGGCCAGAGGCATATGATTGACGTGGTTGAACGACAGAGCGGAAGAGATGTTGACGTGACGAGTATTAGGAGCGATCATTGTCCGATGGCGTCTGTCCCCCAGGATGTCGTGCGGTGGATGTTGGATGTGCTGAGCAAGGACTAAAGATATATTTAGGACAAGGTACGAAATTGACTCGAGTAATGTTGCAGGATGTATGTTCGAATATTGTATGACTATTCCGGTTGAATCATTAGTCAATTAGATCTCGAAACGAGACGTCTATCCGACCCATATGTGCATGATATCCAGTCATCAATGTCGTACGGGCTGAGTACATTCCAAACCCCAATCCAAACGAAATCAGTCCCATGCATCACCCCAGCCATCATCCACATCATCATCCTTTGGTTTCGTGTCAATCTTCTTCGGGGCGGCGGTCTTGGGCTTCGTGGCGCTATTACGGCTAGAAGTGCGCGAGACCGGAGTCGCAGTGGCGGTGTTGGTCTTGTTCAGGCCCTTTGGTAACGGTTTCTTGGCTTTCGACTGTGCTGCTAGCCAGCCCGCAAAGTCAGGCTCGCCGCCGTCATCATATGGCACAGGTGTCGACTTCTGGGCAGGGGCAGCGGCACTCGTAGATGAAGCCGTGGTGTTGGATATGGGACTAAAGGGGTCAAACGGATCCCCCGCTTTTTGTTGCGTCTCCTCATCGTCATCGATAGCGCCCCAGGCATCGTATCCGTCGTCGAAGTCCTCGACCTCCTGTGTTACCGGCACAGGTTGTTCGGACTGAGATCGACGGCCCGTAGGCTGCGCCGCAGGACGCAGCGTCTCCTTTGGCACGTCCAGCTGCGCAGAGGCGGACGTTTTCACAGGGCGAGGAACCGAGGCAGAGCGAGCTGGCTCGGCCTCGACGGGTTTGGCTCCGTTCGTTGACCCGGGCTGGATCTCGCCGTTGGCTGTCGTGAGCTTGTTAGTGAAGGAAGAGATGGCCCAGCCAGCCCAGGACTTGTCGTTCGAGGTTCCAATGCGAGCGGTATCTTTGGAGGGATCCGGACTGGCCGACGTTGGAACGGCTGTTTCAGCCATCGTATTGCTGAATTTGCGTACCCGCTGGAGATACAGATCGAGGGTTTTGTTTGCTTGCTCTCTCATCAATCTGCTGGCTGTCAGGTCTGCACGAGGGATGTAGAGCAGGGTGGCTTACTTTTCTCGATCTAGGAGCGAGGGACAGATCGCAGGTAGAATCTTAGTGGCACAATCTTCCTCGGTGAAGAAGTCCAGTGTGGCGCTCAGAGCAAGCAGACCAGCACACCTGGCATGCACAAACGGGTCTCGAAGGGAGCGAGTGAACGCCGCAATGAGCACCTTGGATCGGGACTATATAGTTATTAGCAAGATGTCATTTGAGGGGAGGGTAAACCTACACCCTGGCCTAAATGCTTCGCAATCTTCCCCAAACAGATCGTAGTGTTTGTACGGATACCGGGTTGCTCGTCGTTTGCCGTCCGCGCCAGGAACCTCAGCAACTCCCCGTTGATCGTCCGATCGCTCAGTTTGGTGATAACTGATAGGACAGCCTTGACAGTTTGCTCACGAACAACAGGGGCGACGTCCGTAAAACCAGAAGTCTAGAATGTCTTAAATCAACCGCCTGTCAAAATGTGGAGAAGCTCCAGACTCACCATCTGGGGAAAGATCTTATCGTTGACAATCTTCTGCGGAAGATTGTCGATCATCAAAGGCAAGTTGTCCAAGAGACATACGCGCAGTGCGCGGTCAGGATTCGCAAATAGGCGAACAATGACTGGCGTTAGCTTCGAGCTATATTCGTCCGGCGAAAGCTTCGATCCGATCTTTAGAATGGCCGACAAGACCTTGGGGCCGCCGCCACCGAATTCAACCGACTTGAGCAACTCCGGAAGCACCTTCATCTTGAAGAACTCCTCGGGGAAGTCCTCCGAAAGCTCATCCAGCTCACTAGGTCAATTAGCACTAACACTCGAACCTCGACGCAGATCGGAAACGCACTTGATGAACTCCTCCCGCTCCGCGTCATTCTTCAGACCCAAGCTCTCAATATCATCCGTCAGGCGGATGAGAGGCGTCTGGAAAAAGCCCCCGTGCTTCTTTCCCTGCTCGACGAAATGCGCAGGACTCAAGCGCAGCTTCGGATTCGCCGTGCAGAGACGCTTGTAGCTCTGGTGCATGCTCGGCGGGACGTTGGTCGTCTTGCCCACCTGGTCGCCGCCAACAAAGTTGCCGTTAAAAACTTCGAAGATCAGAATGCCCAAGCCATAGGCGTCGATCGCGCTCAACGGATGGCGCTTGATGATATCCCAGCCGCCTTTGACGACCTCCGGCGGCGTATACCGCGCCGCATCGGGCACGAGACTGCCATATGTCTGTCGCTCGTTAGCTACCGCCTATCTGACATGAGTGACATTCATCCAATCCAACTGACATATATCACCGCGTGCTCGTCATTCATGGAGCTCAGCACATCGAACCCGCCTAGCTTCCACTCGCCGCTTTCACTCGCGTAGATCGACGATGCGCGCACGACACCGTGGACGGAAGCCGCGTCTTCATTAATGAATTTCAGAGTAGACTGTTGCCCCAGCCACTGTCAGTACTCCCGGCCTCGTCTCGGGTTAGCATAATACACACCGCTACAGTATACAAGCCCCATTTGCACGTCTCCTCGCTGAGACTCCGTCGCTTCACATGCCAGGAGAGCGGGACAACCCGTTCGGTCACGATATAGATGCTGGTCTCCGTCTATGCCAAGTTATTTTGGTCAGCGACACCCAATCAACAGGTACCATGTAGTCCGCGGTGGCGTACCTCGATCGTGTCGAGCACCTTGATCACGCCGGGGTGTCTCAATGTTCGAGATTTTCGCACAGCGTTCTTTGCGAGCGGTAGACGCGACTTGTTCGCGGCAATGTCGAAGGTGAATATACTGCAGGCGGAGCCATCTTCCTGTCCACAGAGCCAGATTGCATTAGCGGGGCAAGTATAGCCAACAGGCGCGAGAGGGCATGATCATACCCGTTTGGTGGCGTTGTGAAGGGTCCAGATCGAATCGGAGATGTCGACACGGTCGCCGAGCGAATAGGGAAATGAACTGCCTTTGGCAATCGCCGATGCGACGGCGGACTTGAGGAAATCCATGACGGTTTAGGAGAGTCCGTCCGCGGGGGTTGTTTGTAGGGTTGCGTGACAAACAGGGAGGGTGGTGTTGGCTGTCAAGCGGGACGGTAAGAAATAAGGTCAATCCAGTCGATCAGAGAGGTCAGGCAAGGCAGAAGGAAGACCACCGCCGAGTATAAGAAGACCCTCCGGAGAATAAAGTCGGAGCAGCAGGACGAAGAGCGATGATCATGGAGATGATGATGGTCTCCTTGGCAGTCCCCAATGGGGCTTAGTGGGGATCGCCGCCAGCTGTTTTGTTCGTTTTCGCATTCCGCCGTCTCTCCTCACTCTCTCACACCTCGCTCTTTCGCTTCAACAGCTCTCGTCCGAATGTATGGGCAGCTCATTCAACTCATTCAGATACTGATTACCAACCCCTTCTCATAGCTAACCCTCTCTTCCAAAGCCCTCGCGATACCCAAACATCGGCATCAGGTGAGCTCCATCAAACCCCCATCCATCCCACCCGCCTCTCCGAAGATGCGAATCTGGTAAAAGGTCAGACCGCGAACCCGCAAAGACGCGTTCACAAGACACCGAAGGGACTCCATCGAGATCAAGAAAAGCCAAGCCACTGGTCCAAAATCCCCTTCCCATCCCACAGTCCAGTCGCGAACATTTTTCCGCATCGTTATCGTCCGCATACCTCCTGGGTCTCCTTCCCCCGTCATCGTTGTATCAAACAACAGCAGGCACATGATTATGTGAAAGGCGCAAGGTCCAAGTCGCAAGACTCGTCCGACGTTGCGGACCCTGGGAATACATGTGTACAACGAGCTCTGATCCGTTCAGGCGGGGAAGGCTTCACGCCGTAAATTGGGGTTTCTGGTCCGCTTTGTCTCCATGAGGAACTGCAGAAACTAATGGCTACGGCGGACATTGTGGACGTTCGATCTATTTACACTGCTGGCGATGGGAAGGACGTAAATGGAAAGTATGCACGATACGATGTGTGGGTTTGTTCGTCCCTGGGGTTCCTGTGATATGGCGCTGTGGTGGAATTTGTGACTCGGTTCGGCTGGCTTCTTGCATCTCGATGGGACTACAGTACCGCGGTGGTGACCGTTTCGTCGGGTGGATGATGACCAAAATATAAACTGAAAAGACCTGAGGAGACACTCCCCATTCGCTTGATAAGCCTCGGATATGACATGCGAATAGTGGCTGACTCGTCCAGGGTTATATAGGTAATTCACACCCGTCCTATCAAGCTACTGGAAAAATGGACGTATTCCATAGTATCACGATCCATTCGTCACTATCGTTGAACGCAAATCTGCTACCCACCACCGTCCTGCGCGGTCTCCTAGATCACTTGCTCACAGGTTCCTAGAGGATCCTGAACCAGCTGAGACCCAAGACCAGTGACAAACTGTAAACCACAACGCCTTCGACTCGCGACTCTCCATCATATCCCCACTCCTTTCCCTGGCCACACCACAAAGCGAGCAAGTATTGCAATAGCAAGAAAACGTGCGAGAAAGGAAATGGAAAGACTTCCTCGCCTCAACGCGACCAGGCCAGCAGGGCGCCATGCCGGCATAACCCCATGCGTCTGCCAAAGATTGACCGACAGACCCGTGACAGCACTCCCCGAAAGGGTGTATAGTATAGACTGTAGCGATGAGGGGAATGCACACGATTCGAAGAGTGTGCTATCATTGGCGTACCACCTAGCAGATCGTCCGACAGTGACCATATACACCCCCGGATCTTATATCTCCCCTATCTGGCTGCATTTCCTGTTGTTCGAAAGGGTGTGCGGCGATGCCATGGCCTGGGTGCGTCAGTATGCAATCCAGCTTAGATCCAGAGGTTCACAAACCATGACTGTAGTGTCGCTTCACACCCACTCATTCCGCATCGCACAAGTCTGCAAAAGGAAGGAATGATAGTACATGGCAGACATCTTTCGAAACATATTGGCGAGTTGGACGGAGCAAGATAGAGAAGCCATCGAAATCATACAAGATCTGATCAAAGCGGAAGACTGCCCTCACCCGAATGCCGCGACTATACCGACAAACGGCGGTGTGCGGCCTCTGAGAGGCAAGTATGTGGCGGACTATATGTGAATTCATTTGGTCTCTTCGGTGGCTTCGGAGGTTTGGGGACCTGTGGTGACGCTAGGCTGAGATTGGGCAGGACCCTGCGGAGGCATCTGAGGCAACTGGTTGTAACCACTGCTAGGAGTCCGATGCTGATGCGGGGGATAATGAACCTGGTGGGGACTAGACTGGAAATGCGGCTGCTGGTAGTTACCGCGGACGGGGGGCACTGGATCGAGGTTAGTACCTTGGTCTAGGTGAGACTGGCTTGGCATAACGTACTGTGGCCTGGCTGCTGGGAGCCATAGACAGGTTGGCCATGCTGGCCGGGGGGAACGAACATCACCGGCTGGGGAAGCTGACCAGGTTGGGAGTTTTGATGCATCATCATGGGAGCTCCACGGCTAGGGCTCGGATATCCGCTATGAGGTTGTGGCGGTGCAGGTTGGGGGTAGGCATGCCCAGGGTTTGGTGAATACATCTGCATCTGCGGCGTATAGGGGGCCATACCCTGAGGAACTCCCATGTACGGCCCACTGGAGGGATGCTGCACCATCATCGGTGCACCCATCGTGGCTTGCGGGTTCACAAACTGGGGTGCGCCAGGATAATGCCGCATATGACCAGGCTGTGGGGCGTTCGGGTTCACATAGAACTGTGGCATGGTTTGTCCAAATGCAAGCTGCGCGGGTGGTGGTGCCATCGGCGATGGGTAGCCAGTTTGAAGCCTTGGTGACGGGAAGATCTGGGAGGTCGACGCGGACATCTGCATGCGGTGTGGATCATCCAAATGAGGGCCCGAGGCGTGATGTTGTTGGGGAGGCAGGTGAGGCGCGTGAGGGGGCCCAGACGCTGGACCCATTCCCGGAGTGGACTGGGCGAATTGGAAAGGCATCTGCGACTGGTTAGGTCCTTGTGGGTTGGATGCCGAACGGTTTGGAGCGGGCAGTTTGACCATCTGCTGGTAAGTTTTCTCTTCATTGCCACTTGGAACATCCCAGGTAGGAGGGGTCTTGAAAGCCGGCGGGATTCCTCCGTTGAAAGCGTAATTGTTTTCAGAATTTCCTGCGCTCTCCTTCTTCATGCGCTTGATCGGATTGAACAGATCGTTGAGCGACGGCCGCTCAGTAGCAGGCTTCGGCTTCTTGCCACCAAAGAAGGCAGACGGACTGGTTGCACGGGAGACGGACCGACCTCGGACAAACGGGGAGGAATTGGATGAAGCACCTGGCGTGAAGGTGCTTGCGGCGGGGTTGGGCTTGAATTCCATCGCTCTCACGTTGAACTTGCTGGAGGCAGCAGATGTCGGTGTCTGCGCTTTGTTCGGGCTGGTAATACCCGACTGGTCGCCAGCAGGGCCGGTTGGAGGCGCGCGAGCATCGTGGATTGGCAAGGGCGGTGGGACAGCTCCCATAGCCGCTCCTTTTCGCTGCTGGATATTATCAGCCAGACGGTGACCAAGCATACCCGTAGCTTGGCGGCCGGGGTGCATCGTTTGATGTGCAACGCGTCCACTAGGTCCGGCGTGGGGGCCAGTGGGAGGATACATCTGTCGGCCTCGAGCGTAGTTGGAACGATCAGGGCCAGCACTCGTTGGCATGTTGCCACTGTCATGACGGGCAGGTCCAGATGGGCGAGTTACCGGCTTTTGTTCGGTGGTCGGTGGGGTGCTCTTGGTGGAAGACTTCTCATCGGCCTGTTTTTGAGCGCGCTGGATGATCTCTTCTTGCTTATGAGGATCCTTGGCCAGAATTGGGACAAGGTCCTTAGGGACGGGGGTACCGAGCTTGAAGTTCTGAGAGAACTTCATCAGTTCGTTTAGTTTGATGGTCCGATCATAGGAGGCTTGGTTACGACGACGTTCCTGTAACTTCGCTTTCTCACTGTTGGCAAACTGGCGGAAGTGATCCAATACTTCCGTTTCCACGTTGGCGGAGGCATTCTCCGTTCCCGTCCGCTTGGGGGCTGCAGCAGGGGGCACCAAAGCCTTGGCAGGCGCGGGTTTCGATTCCGACTCGGCGGGTGTCGCTGATGATGTCGTCGGGGGCTGGGGCTGCGAGGGAGGGGCTTCTTTCGCCGGCGCAGTAGAGGGGGTTGGTGTCGGTTTGGTGGTAGCAGCGGCTCCGGCGGCAGTTGCTGCTGCCTGGGCCGCAGCTTGACGACGCGCGGGCGGCGTGTACTTGTTCGGTTGGCCCGAGATGAGGGGTGGGAAGTTCTTCTCATCGCGACGGACACCACTGTACTTGTCTTCCTCGTCTCCGTCGCCTGTTGCAACCAGGCCTCTCTCTTCCATCACATGAGCATTATCCACCTCAGTGCCCTCAATTTCGCGAGCAATCCGTGCTGCTTCGGCCTCCTTCTGCTTGTATGTCGGATCCGAGCGGTCGATCCGGGTGGTATAGATGTTCTCGTCGTAGCTACTCGTAGCACCGAACAACCGCGCGTTGGCCTCGAATTGGTCCCATCCCGTGGTGTCCGAGCTTTCCAGTGACAGGTCCACATCAGTATCAGCTGATGGCTCCCAGCGTTTCAAGGTCCGCTCGCGGATCGCGAGGTTACCCGAAATGTCCACATCAGTCTTGAATCCAGCCGATGCACCTGTTGGAGTCAGTTGTCGAACACCTTGACAAATGGGTACGTGATGTAGAGATGAGCTTACTGGAAGACTTCGCGATCACTTCCCGATGTGGACACATTGGCTACGGCAATGTCCCGGATATTCTTAATGTCAAAAGCCACCGAATGATGGGCGCTGAGCCCAAGAATTGACTGGGAATTTTCGTTTGTGCCATTCGCGCGCTGCTGGTTGGATCCGGGTCGTCCGCTGTACCATCTTAAGAATCACCGTGGACTCGTGGGGTTCCAGAGACACAGAGGAGAAAATTCCGGTGAACTGGTCATCATGTTCGGTCGTGATCGTAGTGGTCAAGCCCTGTGAGGGAAAAGTGAGTTTTCCGCGAGTCAATGATCAACATAAGGTAGATGGAGCTTACAATAAAGCTCGTGAAGAGGAAAACGAGACGGTCGTGTGCATGGCTATCGGGGGTGTTTGATTCCTTGGGCGTCGGTCTCGGGGAGGGGGATTGCTTTTGAGATAGGCTTCCGTTCTGCTGCGAGTGGGTAGATCTCTGGGTAATGGGGTTTGTTCCAGACGTCCACGCTTTCTGGGAATTGCTACGCCTGCATCGGAGAAGGGTCGTTAGCAAATGCGTACAAGGCAAGCACAGTGTGTGATAAGCATATATCCCAAGCCATGTCACACGTATTGGCAGTGAAACTCAACCACTAAGGGGATGCATAGGCTGCGGACAAAGCCACAGTGACGGGAACACGGCAGCCAATGGGGATGAATTGAGAGTAAACTGCGAGTACGGCGCAAGCAACAAGGCGAAGGGAAGAATTAGGCAATAACAGTGCAAGGCAACCAGGGAGGAAATGGGCTTCGCAGTCGAGCGATGCGGTAGAGGGCCATGCGACGTACCTTTGTGTGCCGTCAAGCGGACTGCCCGCCTGCCGCCGACTTCCATCCGACACTCTCGTGCTAGCACTGGGTCTCAGGGACGGTCTGCCGCCCGGGTTTTGCGTGGAAGCATTGCCCGGAGCGGTGGTGTTGGAGGCCGGCATTGAGTTGAAGGAGGAAGTCATATAATCAGGGAGATGGTCAATGCGGAAGCAAGCTTACGTCGTGTGGGAATGGGCACGACGCGAAGCTAAGGAAAGGATCAGGTGACGGAGAGCAGGAATGCAGCCAAAGCAAGCACACCGCCTGCGCGAGAGGAACCTCCAAAGGCGGAAGGAATTCCAAGGGAGAAGAAGGAGGAGGAGGATAAAGAGGGGGAGAAGAGGAGCGGGGGTGGGAGGGGAGTGTGTAAGGAAGAGGGAGTTGAAAAAAGAGCGAAGGAGAGAGAGAGCGAGGGAGGCGGAGGTAGTGGTGGAGAGGAGGAGGAGCAAGAAGGGAGCTTGTCAAGTCACGGGACTTTGGATGGGGGGAAGAAGAACACCGAAAAAAAAAAAAAGTGCCAAAAGAATAAATAGAACGACGACCGTCGCACACCACAAAAGACCGACTCTACCACAGCCGACTCAAGGCTTAAGAAGAGTCCCAATATGAGATGAAAATCTCGCCTGTGTCAAACCACGCGAAAGAGGGGGAGACCGAGTGTCAAGAGGGAAGAAGAATGATGATGACGGATGGGCGATACGATGTCGTTGGTTGGAATTGTTCTGGTGCCACACTTTGGACCAGTACTCGGAGTAAGGTAACGACAGGAGAGATTCGTACGGCGTACGGAGTACAGAGTAGGCTCTGAGTACTATTTCTGTTGTTGACTGTCGTCGATCTGCTATAACGACACCCATTGATAACTCCATCTTGTTCTCAACCCAGGACCATTATCACATTCAATTCAATTCAATTTCTCTATGTTGATTTCTTTCTCCTTTCATAAATTCCAATTGGAATGTGTGTTCCACCTCGCTACAACCACTGCACATCTGAGACGCACTATTCGTCTCCATGATGGTGGTTTTTATTGGAGCTGTGGCTTGGATGTTTGACCCATCTAACTAAATGGCGGCTTAGTTTGTGACCGACTGTCATCCTCCACCCAGGCATGCTCCACCGACATTGCAGCACCATGGCTGGATCCGTCCTAGTCCGATGGTCAATCGTCCTCTCCATCCCTTACACCACCACCATTCTGGATCGAAGACGTCTCCGTGGCTATCCTACAGTATCTCATGGAATTCGTCATCTCTAGAACCCCATATCAACAATTGGACGAGATTCAACGAACATCACCACTCTTTTCGGTGCCAAGTTGCCAACGCATCTGGAACATGGATACTTCGCTTAGTGGAAAATCACTCCCCACCGCGCCAGACTAGGGTTCCTCCCGATACGCGATAGACCATTTGATCGTGGCGGACTCCGATGAATATGGATGTACAGAAGACTGTCCTCTCCAGGTACCTGTTCGGAAATCCATCCTTCTGTGCGACTTTGTACACCATCCGGTCAAATGCACATGGGCCTCCAGCCTTCTCCCCACCCCGAGACGAAGTCGGTCCAAAAGGGAGGACAAGGTGTTAATGGATCATTGGTCGAGACTTGGTACTCCAGACTCACAATGTTAGGGTATCATGCAGGATATGGTGCTAAGACAAAATAAGAACCGCACTCAGCGCTATTGCAGTAGGTAGTCTCCCGGACAATAATGTAAGGATCAACGGTGAATACCACCGTCACTGTCTAGGTCCCTCACTCCATGCAGGCGGGTTTGAATTTGCATTAGATTAAGAACCAATATAGTCGAACCCTGGACTATCGCACAGTTGCAGAGAAGCGATAATTGGTGGACTACCAGCACTCCAATGCCTCTCACTCCTAGAATGGGCTGGCCCAGGTAGTATGCACGAACTTATTGGATCGGATGTTGTCGACAGTTCATTCTTAACAAAACACAAGACAGAAGAATGTACTCCGTATGTACTATTGGGTAGGATACCTACCTAGGATTGGGCAATAAAACCAGCTTCATCAGGCAAAGTCATCGCGAAGGATTGGAAATGGAAATCCAAAAACATGGGAAAAACAGGAGGCTGGTCCAAGCATGTGACGTCCCTGCCTGAGGCCACCCGCATCGACTCCTCACCACTAAGCATAATACCCAAAAGATCATCATCAGCAGCATCCACTTCCTCCCCCATCAGTGCACCATCTCAACCCTGAAGAGAGGCTGGCCGCCCTCTTATCTTCCCTACGCTCGGTCCTGTTTCCCGCAAGTCCCTGCATGGTTCTTTTCTGCTTTTCCGCCGACACTCCCACTACCGCTCTCGTGCCTCTTCTTCACCCTTACGCCCACGTACTCGTTGACGCTATAGCGGTATCCCTTCTCAGCCCAGCCTTTTTCTGTGTCCCTAATCAAACTGGCCGCCTACTTCTCTATCCGTTTATTTGCTCCAGGGTCGGAAATTCACCAGTACCTTCTGCCTCCGCCGGTCGCCTGCCCCTATGCAGTCCGCCTCCAGTAGTGCCTCCTCTCGATCCCACCGAAGTCCCTCCGCTCAGCACTTTTCCTCCGGCTCTGGGAGCAGCGTGGACTCCGCCATGAGTTCCGTTTCGTCTGCGCCGCGCAGTTCTTCCAGTTCGGGACGGTCGCCGTCCAAATCCGTCGTGGTAAGCCCCAAGACCTCAACGTCAAATCTTTGGAGTTGCCGAATTACGTCGCTGATCACTCCATGTTCTTTCGTCCATAGCCTGAGAAACAGATCTCTCAAATTGAAAAGAGCGTCACGCATCTCCTCGTCGCCACAAAACAACTGCTCGAAACGTTGACGCAATGGTCGCGACGACAGGCGTCGGAGAATGAGGTATCGGATGTCTACGTGCGTCTCGGCTATGAATTCAATCTCGCATGTCGCGCCTTCAATGCTATTGGGGCCGATACTTCCGACCTGGGCCCTGTTCCCGATCTCCTCCGCACGATTCTCGAAGAAACCCTCAGCCAGGATGCCTCGCCGCAAAGTCTCGATCGTTTCCTTCCCCGCATCCGCGAAATCATCATCAACCTCCTTCATGGCCTCAAGAAGAAACAGGCCCGTCTACGATCTCGGCAACAGAGGGACGATAGACCCGTTGCCAGTCGTCAGGCAAGTGCCGGAAGTGCCACGAGCGCTCAGGCCGCCATGAACCAGGCGTATGAGGAGACCGCATCATCTGTCTCCCCTCCTAAACGGTCTGCCCGTCGATATGGCAGTAATGGTTCGGTCGAAGAGCCTGGTCCTGGTATGGGTCGGTCTTCGGGGTCAGGACAGGGTTCCGGTGACATGCGGGGCACCAGCTACTCAGAGCGAGAAGCGTCGAGACGTGAGGCACAGAACATCCTTTCCCAGCCATACCCAGAGGGTGATCGGGGAGCCATTGCAGCAGCGTATCCCCCTCCACCGCCACCTCCAAGACAAGATGACGCCATTGGTGCACTTCAGAGGAGTGGTGAACTGGAACGTCGAGCGTCCCGGCGATTCTCAGCTTATCAGATCCAAAAGCACTTGGGAACTTCAACCAACGGGGTGCCCGTTCTTCCCACTCAAAATTCGCCGATCCCAAACCGGGGCCGGGATGTCCATGAGTCCTTGAATGCCGTACGCCTGCGTGGCTCCTATACCCATGGCCGGCAACGATCAACCAATCGTGTGGCGGAGACTCCGAGCACCAAGGCAGCACCCCAAGCCGCTCCCTCCGTTCCCACTGTGGAAGAGGAAAGCACGAAACCCCGCCAGGAATCCATCGCGAAGCCCCCTAACGATGTCGCCACGTCAGAGAATAGATCCAAACAGCCTGAGACCGAGACTGCCGACATTAGCCAACCAACTGCGTTGCCTCGGCCTACGCAGGAGCCCTCCCTAGATGATGCGTTCGAGCCAGTGAAAGCCACCGCTGAGACGGCAACGTCGCCAACAACTCCAAGGTCAGAGCGTCGACCCACCTCCGCAGGCGTTTCTACGCCGCCCCGATCGGCTCAGACCCCGTCCGAACAGTCGTCTCCTGGCAAAGAGCTGACCTTGTTCTTGCAATACAAGAGCAAGATCAAGAAATATGTTCTTCCAGAGGGTTACTCCGGTCTCACCATCGGGAGACTTCAACTGGGCCTTTCATCGAGAAATTCGCGTGGAACACACACAACAACGGCGCTGACCTGCCGGAAATTTACATTCAGGACCCGATATCTGGGATACGCCATGAGCTTGAGGATCTGAATGACGTGAAGGATCGCTCCGTCCTCGTATTGAACGTCGACATGCTTGATGAGGTTAAAAAGCACTTCGATGATGAGTTTGGTGGAGTACGTCGATTAATCGAAGGTGTTAAAGAGGCCTTGGGTGGTCATGAGAGTATAATGCAACGGGTAGCAGACAGCCAGCTAGAGGCAGCGAAGGACATGGCTCGTCTGGCTGCAGCACCCCCGGTCTCGGTTGCCGCCGCCTCCCAGGCCGGTGAGCCTCGGAAGGGCCCCATCACCGGCAGTGACAGTCAATTAGCTGAAATCCAGAGCCTGCGACGCGACCTGGCTGTTCTGCGCCAGACGTACTCCAGTTTTTCGTCCGATATCTCCAGCTCAATGAGTGCCATACGGTCCAAGGCCGGCAATATCAAGACAGCCGCAGCAGATGTTGCAGTGCCATCCTTTGAAGGGGATGCAGGACGCGCCCGTGTCAACTCCGGGAAGAAAGAACTTGCCGAGGAGTCAGAAAGGATCGTGGCTCGCGTGGATGACCTGCAGGATCTTGTTGAGGATTTGCGGAAGGATGTGGTGACCCGTGGAGTTCGGCCGCTCCCGCGCCAGCTGGAGATGGTCGGAAAGGACATCAGTGCTGTCACTAAAGAGGTCAAGAAGATGCAGGAGTTCTTGAAACGGGAGAAGCCCATCTGGACGAAGATCTGGGAGAAGGAACTGCAGCTCGTCTGTGAAGAGCGTGATCAGCTCACCATGCAGGAGGATCTCGCGGCTGATCTCCAGGACGACCTGGAGAAAGCTGCGCAGACGTTTGCTCTCGTCGAACAAGCCACCAAACAACAGGCGCTGCAGAATGCCAATCAGGGCGTTACATTGCGCAACGTTTCACGAAACATTGACCCATCAGTCGACCCCCTGAAGGCAAAGGACAATGTTCTTGGAGAGGTCCGCGCGCTGCAGCCTGACCATGAGTCTCGATTGGAGGCCATAGAGCGAGCTGAGAAGGCCCGACAGAAGGAGCTTGAGAATCGACGTATTGGACTGTTCCAGAAGGAATTGGGATCGTTTGTTCAGGAAGGGAAGCTGAAGAAGAGCGGTGGTGTCGAAGAGACGGAACGACTGCGTCGAGCAAAGGACGACCGCATCCGCAAGGAAGTCTGGGAGAGACAGCAGGCTCGCGCGGCGGAGATGGAGAAAGCAGAGGCGGAAGCTGCATCTGCACAGGCGGAGCCATCAGAAAATAACGAGAGCGAAGAAGCCCCTGTCGATACGCCGGCTGAAAATGACGAACCAAGTCAGGAGACGCCGAACGAGTCCGCTACTACTGAAGAGGTGAAGGAGGAAGCCAAAGACGAATCCGCCGAGAAGGATGTCGATAAAGCAGCCGATTCTGAAAACCAATAGAGCCAGATGCCTTTTACAGTCTGTTTGGCAACGCTCAAGCCCAGAAGTCGCCTTTATTTGTTTCATTCATTGTACTCAGCCCAGGAAGGTTGTTCTGTCGTTATGGGTTGCGGTACCATTGTTTATTCGCGTTGCTGACGATACCCTGCCACTGTTGTGGCCTGTTATGATCATTGTGATGATAGGGAGATGTTGCTAGTGGAATGTTGATTATGTTTTACATCTGTTACATTGTTTAAGCCAGCGGTTGTCAGCGATCCACTTTTGTGAGCGTAAGATTCAGACTGAAGAGGTCAATATACTCATGAACCGAAAGCACTGCATTTTATGTATGTAAGAAACCGCACAGCGATGAAGGTATAATCCGGTAAAAGAATAGTCCACAAAAGGAAGACAACAAAAGAGACCCGTTTTAAATCCCACCAACCCCAGCAATCAGAAGCAGACAGACGAGTAGCGAACCCAACCCTTAGTCCATATCCATCGAATCGCCCCCGGCAACCTCCTCGACCCCGCCATCAACGCGACTCCGCAGCCGACGCTTCTCGCCCTCGCCAAAGATCTTGGTCTTGTGCGTGTACGGCGCGGCGGGGGTCTTCTCGCCGTCGGCGGCGACGGCCTGCTCGCCGCTGCGCAGGTGCCGCGGCAGCAGGTGCTCGTTCTCGGCGACGAGCTTGCGGTCCTCGGCCAGCTCGCGGGCCTCCTTGCCGGCCATGCGGTTCTTGTAGAAGACGCGCTCGCGGCGCGCGCGGATCTCGGCCACGCGCTCCATGGCATGCAGCGTGCGGTCGACCAGGTCGCGGTTGTAGCGGACGGGCACGTTGCGCCGGGCGGAGAACTGCACCGTGCTGTCGACCAGCATCTCCTTGCCCTTGTGGGCGCGCGACGCCTTGGTCCATTTCAGCTTGCGCGGCTGGCGCTTCATCTTGAAGTTCTTGTGGCATTTCGAGCTGCAGAAGCGGAATTCTTTGGCTTGTGGGGTGTTAGCTGAGGTCTTGGGTTGGAAGGGGGTTTTTGGGTAGTGAAATCGACGTACCATCGTTGCGGACGAAGGTGATGCCTTTCGAGGGGTCTAAAAGCGTTTTGTTAGAGTTGAGAGTGAGAAGGGAGGATGGGCTGCGTACAGGCTGGCTTGGAGCAGAAATAACAGGTTTCAATCCTCATGGTGGCGGCGGAGTGTGTTGATGGAGTGTGGTTTGGATGTCGAATTATCGGAGGCTCAAGAAAAACTTCAATCGACCGATATCTTCAAGGCGGTGAGGCACGAGGGCGGTGAGGTTAAGCTTGTGACGGGCGGGGGCTTATTCAGCTGGTGCCTGAGGCAATGTTTATCTTATCGGAGCTTAGCAAGGAGCGACATACAAAGTCTGGATAGGACAAGAATGCTTCATTAGAATGCAGAGGCCACTCTGGAAGAGATATCCACGACAATTACCCAAGTTTGTTATCCAGAAACTCCACTCATTTGTCTACTTTGTACAGCAGATCGCGTCCCAGCAGCTATTTCGTCTTTGGCGAAAAATTGCCACTCAATGCCCGGATAGTCTAGTGGTTTATGATTCTCGCTTGTTAGTTTTTCCGCTCATGGGCCTACCATGCACATATATTAACCTTCTTTAGTGGGTTGCTTTGTACCTGAATTGCGAGAGGTCCCGCGTTCGACTCGCGGTTCGGGCCTCTTTTTTTGCTTCCATTTCTCATATCAAATCTCACTAAGAATCCGAGGGAGATCTCTTTAAGAAAATGAGCAGCTTCTCGGCGCCATCTGGCAACCTTCCCCCCTCCGTTTCACTCCAATCGAAATGCAGTCGCCATAACCCGGTCGAAGCTCCTGCGTGCTTTGATCGCACCGCCATCCACCGTTGCGTTCCATTCAGCGTGATATACTCTTCGTCCTCTGTTAGATCAAAGGGACCGCTAATCCCGCCCTCGCGTTCTTCGCGTCCTCCCCATCTCAGATCGTGCGTCTTGGGGTCAAGGAACACCCATCGCAGCTGAGGCGGCTCCTCTCCACTGACCGTCACTAGACCGGACAGATTGCCTTGTTCGAAATCCGGGCTCTGGTAGAAGAAGCCGTTGAACGGGGCCATGGAGGGGGTCGGGTTCTTCGTGATGTACATCTGCACCGGTCAGCGCTATCTCCGGGCGGTGGATCTGCCTGGTCGAATTACCTGGTTGTCAGAGTCCAAGTAGATCCTGGCATTGTGGACCTCCTGTCGTTGTTTCAAGGTGCCCGTGTCGAAATCACATTGCGCGGTTAGATGGCATCGTGTCTTGCGCGTTGTCTCCCGTCGCTTGTTCTCGGAATTCTGGGCTCCTTTGCTTGCTTCGTTCAGGCCGTAGACAGTGGGGACCATTGCGGCCATCATTGCGACTCCGATCACCATTTTGGCGGTAGAATTGAAGGAAGCTGAACACGTGTGCTGGGGCTGGGGCTAGGATTGAGTTTGGTCTGCATATAAAGATGCGGCCAAACCCGCATCAGAGGACGAGTCTACTAATACTGTCCATAACCTCGCATGTAACTCCCGTCCTACTCGACTCGTCTGGCGGGACTAGTATGAGCATCATGAACAAGGTGGTAGCAGCGCCCAACGTGTGGACTGTAACGTTGCAATGAGTTCGGGATAGACTTCCACGGACCTTAGCGGCAGCTTAACCACCGTTTCTCTTGCGTCTTCGGTCTCGGACCAAATCTGTGTTCCCCGGGTGGAGCGTATGGAGCAGGATATGGTTGTCCTTATGAAACTTTCCGTCTTCCGAGGTTTCCAAAGTAGTATAATATCAATACACGTCATGGATCCTGACACCCAACCCACTCTAAGTCATATAAGTTCATTCTTATGCGTAGTTGTCTTTGAACTCCAAATCCATATCTTACCAATCCCTTCTCCCACAGCTAAGACGGCATTAACTCAATATGTACGTACACTGCAGCAAGCCTTAATGACATCTACCGCCCATCTCTCCCATATCAGTTCTATACGAGAATTCCAATGCTGATTTCTCTAGGGCCGATAACGAGGATAAAGCAAAGAAAGAGCCACCCACTGTCGACAACGAAGCCCCTCCAAAGGGACCCTGGGGTGATCGCGGCGTCACGTCTCCCAGGGCCGGAACGAACAAAGTGCAGCAGAAGGACTCCAGTTTGAATGTGCGCATCAACTTGGATCTGAGAGCGGATGTGGCCCTGGAGCTTCATGCGGTTATACAGGGTGATGTGACGATTGGACTGTTCTAGTTCGGGGCATCAATTGCACACGGTACATGGAAGTCTAGTTTAATACATGAATGTCCTGTTCTGTGTATCCCATGAGTGTGTATACGTTTGTCGGTATGCGTGAAGTATGGCGGGATGCTAATATCAAGGTACCTATCCCGTAGTTCAATTGTCGATACATAATCCAAGTAAAGAACCCCTAATGTAAGAGTTATTAATATCCTGATATTCATGAATTATTTGTGCAGAGGATGTTACCTCACCCCGTAATTGCAGTAGATTTATGATCCGCACCTCCGCAACCGTCAATTTCCTATTCCGGAAACCTTCGTGACGTCCTCCACAACCTCCAAGATAGACGACGTCACAGAAACATGAATAATCGTATCCCACATTATGGCAAGTCTCAGGAACGTCTGTTATCGGGACTGACCAGACTGTGGATCGAGCGACGGTCAGAGACGTCCCCGATTCTGATTCCTTGGGAACATACCCCATATTATGATTGTCATTTCAATAATCATAACCTTCTTTTCTGAGCAATAACTCACTTTTCCGTGTCTTATCTAGCTATGAGCGAGCTCCAGAACAGTCCAATTCCCCCTTCATCGGAAGACCAGAGGCCCCCCGAATCTAGCAACGATGAACCCAAACCCTCCTTCGAGCAAAACGATACCGCCCTAACACGATGGGCTCCAATCCGAGAGCGCTCTATCACCCCATGAAAAAGCCGAACTTGCCCAAGAGATTGTTGCGCTCCGGAAAGATGGGCAAGCTCGTCATCAGCGCGCGGGCAAAGTTAAGGAATATGCAACCAACTCCACCGTCAAAAGTAGGGAGAGTCCCGATGACGAGGCGGGGGATATCGACGAGGAGCTCGGCTTCATCAACACGATCATGAATCAGTTGTCTGTTGCGGAGGATGGAGAAGGAGAGGCTCCGTCCAAGGAAGATCTACTCAGGATATACCTTGGTTTCTATGCGGAGCGGGAGATCAAGCTTAGCGTTAAGGTTAAGGGGGATTTAAATGTTACTTTACTGTGAGTATCGTGCTAGCAGTCAATAGGGGTTAATTGCTGACAGGTAACAGGTTATGATTGACGTGTTGGACAGTGCTACCGCTGATTGAGAGACTAAGTGGTATAAAAGAAGCATATACAATACCCGGTCAGATTAGGTGTACATCCTATTCCCGGCCATTTCATCTCTTCCTTCTCTCCTCTTCTCTCTATCGCATTCTTAAAGAACCGACTATGCTCCCGAATCTACACCCCATACCGAATAAACACAAAGGATATCACCGCCATCCCCAGCACAAGAAACCCCAGCAGAGACGTAGCCCAATGGATCCCCAGGTCCCCGTGTACATCGGAACCATCACCAGCTGAAGACATATGACTGCCACCGATCGAACGGTACTCGCGGCAGACTGCGCAGATGCTGAGTTCTGCTTGTACGCATCGGTGAGGTAGGGCCATCACTATATGGTTCCAAGACAGAGAGAGTCGATGCAATTTCAGCTCAGATCTACGCCCAATACGTCAAAGTGCGACGTATAAACCACAGTCAGAAAGTCATGCTGCAGCTATTTAAATGGTGTTTAAGGGTTTCAGATCCCCTCAAGAGGTCGATTTATTTCCTTACGCAGCAGTGAACGAGTCATTAATCTACTCGTCCTTACCGCCGTTAACAAAATCAAACTATAGGAATACCCACTGTTCAAACCACCCAAATACACTTCACAAGAATCAGCCCAAGCTTCGCGTAGGAGCCGAAGATGTAGATGCGGTTCATTTATTCGCAATAAAAACATTCTCGTATTATGATGAAACCAAGCGTTCATTACTAGAATGAACCTGAGGATTCGAAGCGTAGTTTCGCAGCAATCGATGATGCAATTTCATGCACATTCTTGAGGCTGCTGTCACCTTGTGCCCACGGTAGAATATTGTCGACAGCAAGCTTCAAGATTGGATCTATCTCCCTTGGTTTAGACTCTCTGAGAACAGCATTTTGTGCGGCTATAGAAAGAATGAGAGCGCTGCCGAGGCAACTTCACAGTAAGAGTCAGCGGAAGAATAAAATAAATCTCTAGCATCGTCCTTACCATTGAGCAACGCTATAAGTGTAAGGTGTCCGACGGGACAAGGTATGGCCTGCGGTAAGGAGAAAAGCGTGACAAGCATCCAGGCAGATCCCGCATTTATCGAGTATTGACGGAGGAAAGTCGCGGATGTCGCTAGTTGCTGAGGAAGCGACGTAAATCACAAGTGGTCTATATATATTCTGTTTCGCGGACCAGTACCGCAGCCTCAGTAAACACGCTTGGTTGTTCCCTTGACATCGCCCGTAGAGGTCTGGCTTGATCGCTGCGGGCAGCGAACCGTACCATGCTTCCAGCTGGGAATCAAGCTCTTGGCAGACTCGAAACAAAGGGATGTCAGTGCCCACCGCAGGTAAGCCCCGATTGGATGAGACTCCTATAGGGCCTGCAGTACAGATTGCCGTCCGGTTGTCCATAGCAAAGAGAGCGTGGTGTATCCGATTTAAAAGAGACCTCGCGGTGATATCGGCGAGGACAAAGAGATTCCGAGGACAGAGGGGACCTTTATAATCTGGAAGTGGCATTTTGTCGGCTAGCAGCTCAATCCCACTCCTTGGAAAGTGAAACTCAGCCAGAACATCGCTTGATATGACTCAGTGTCAGTGTTCTTCCCAAGCAACAGTAATTGCAGAAAGGATTCCACAAACCATTCAATTATGTAACAAACCCAGCCTAGGCGGATGAGAGCTTGCACATATGTATCATGGGGCGTCTCTAGGCAACTTTATAGAACGTTAATAGGTCAATACAAGCCCTGGGGAGGATACAGACCAGCTAAGGAGTCTCTGCTGAATATTGGTCGAAGCCATGTGAACCAGCCTCCAAGCCATCAGTGGGTCAATCGTGTAGGTAAAGTAAATCGCACATAATATCAGCGCCTGTGCCATCAAAATATCGCCCCGAAAAGAAACAGCCCAAGAAGGTAAAAGAAAGCCTAGGGCCCGTTGAATATATGCGTCACCGGTATACCGTGCGTCGTTGCCTGCAAAATATATTAATGTGAGTGTCAAATGGGAAGGCAGGACAGCCAGCGAATTAGGATGTCGTACCCAAATCTATAGGATCAGACGCCGTGGCCCCTAAAGCCAGAAGAGATATGATCAGAGTAGACTGGGCATCAGAGCGAAACCCTCGTGCCATAGTGTCTTCGTACTGACTTAGCAGCTCGTCTTTATCGAGGAACGGATGGAACGGATGCACGGAGTCGAAAAAGCTTTCAAGATAGCCATCTGCTGTAGATCTATCAACATGGAAGTCCGACTGCAGTGGTTCATTCATGGAAAGCGGTATGGTAATAGCAAAAGACGATCGATGCCGCTGTTCCTCAATCTTAAGAAAAAACCCATCCGGGTACCAGCCCGCCAAGCGGCCAACTAGTGGCGACCTGAGGAGATCACTAGTACTTGTCTGATGGCCGATGGGGATGGTAATGGGAGGAAAAGCATCATTGCTGTGTTGGCTGGTTGATTTAACCTGCGTGCCATTCCTCTCCCCACTGGAGATGCTTCCTAGGCCCGGAGATGGACATAGCGAGAGGTGTGCACTAGGCGTCTTGTGCATAGGGTTAGCCGAGAAAATCGAATCAGAAAGTAGGTGAATCTGTTGGTTGAGGGTCTCTATAGATTCTGCATGCCGATGGAGGAGAGATTCCGCGGCCTCCATACGCTGTGAAGAAGTCTGGTTGCTCATCGCCTCCTCCATCCTGTACAATAGTTGGTTGACGCTTAGTACATTTGGGTAATGAGAAACTGAAATGGAAACGGTACCTTGGCGGGTCTGGATAGACGTATATGCATTGCAGACCTCTTAGGCGACAAGCCCGGCACTGAGGCGACTGACCGTCGCATCTCCGCTTTCTTTATTGTAGCGGATTAGACGTACTTCAAGGTCTTCGTGGCAGTTCGCTGGAGCTGGGTGATATGGACTTACCGCTGGCGGCAAAAGGTGCATGCAATAAGTGCTCTTCCCTGAGTGTTACTCATTGCAATAAGACCGGACTGTCGGTGCGTGAACCGAAGTATCAGGCAATGGGCAGAAGCGAAAAGTCAGGTAGGTAGTGATGGCGGTGGCCATCCACCAGCCGCCTTAACGGTGTAGCGTCATCTGAGCACGAAAGTATGTTGGAGCTTACTAGCCCCTACGTATATTACAAATATTACGGGCCCTACATGGAACGGCAGCTAGCTCTATTTGACAAATACCATTTGCTGGATCTAGCTGGTTTCTTCAAAGCTAACCAGTTAGTTGAATGGCTAGTAAATACGAATGAATAAGCCAGAATGCGGGTGTCCCAAGCAAGACACCACATGGGTCACTCTTTAAAGAGTGGGGGAGCCTTGATCAACCCGAAGCCATTGCTATCTCATTTTCAATAACTTCTTCCGCCCTGGCTTCAGCATCCAGGAAAAATCGTCTTGCGTCCTCAAACTTCTTTCTAACCGCCCTATCCGTCTGAATGAAACTGTCCAACTTTTGCCCTCCACTTGCCAAGTAATCCGTTTTCATAGAAGCAAGCGAGCCGTCCGATCTTGTTCCCCCTAGAGGGTCCTTTGAAATCAGTGCTCGCAGACGTTGCGGAACATCGAAGGCCGCATATGGATGTACACGATTGACTTTCTCAATCGGCGGCAAGACGTCAGGCGTTTCCTGGAGCTTTCTCAGATTTGGCGCGGACACGGTGACGTGCTGACAGCCGAGCTCCGCCATAGCTAGGACCTCCGCAGTGTTGAGATGGCTCGCGATCACCATGACGGGCTGTTCTTTACCTGTAGTCTCATAAACTCTGGCAAATGTTTCGAGAATCTGAAGAATCGTGGCAGACATAGGGTGCTATGTCGGTCTCAATACGTGTCTGACGATGCAATTGAAGGGTTGGATAGTACCTACCTCTAGCGCAACATCCGTAGTTTCTGGCTGAAGTGAGTTGTCAAAATGAGCTGCAATTTCTGAAAAAAAAAAAAAAAAGGTGATAAATTAGCCGCAGTGGCCTATAACGCCCCATGATTTGTACCGCTCACCATTGAAGTATGGACTTATGAACAAGCAATTTGACTGGCTTGCCGCGATTGCCTGCTCAAGAGAAAATACTGCCGTCGCAAGCGTGCGGATGCCTCGTGAATTGAGCTCTGCGGCTGCAGCGGCCGCAGAGCCAGAAAAAGGGAGTTTTATCGCGAAGCGGCTTAATGGGACGTCTTTCTCATGAAAGTACTCGGCAAAACGTTCACACTGCCTTATGATGGCGGCGGAGTCGTTGATGACCCGAGGTGAAATCTGCACGAGGACACGCCCCGTGATGAAAGGTAGGATGCGGGCACAGAATTCGACGGCCTAGATGGACAAATGAACGGCGTCAATAATAGTCACGTCCCGATATCGCTCGCATAGGATGGCGACAGACCGCTCTGTCGTATACCGTTTCCCAACCTTGCTTTCCATACTTGGCAGCCAACTCTGTGAGCAGCGTTCGGTTACTGGGTTTGAGCAGCTCTTCAGTAATGATATGCTGGTTCGAAGTCTCTGGGCACAAAACGTTAAGACAAAGTTAATTAAGAATTAAGTCACTCAAATGACTCACGATTGTATGGTTTGAAAGGGAGGCTTTTGATCAGCTCGACACTCGCATCGTCGACATCGACATTACAGACCTTCTGTAGCCGGTCGAGTAATGTGGAGGCAACCATGGATGTGAAGTGTAGGTAAATCAGAAAAAACAAAAGGACTATCGTATATTCTCAGAAGGACGCATGGCAAACGGTGAATTTATAGTCCATATAGGAACTCCATCCCATCTAGCTCGCTCAGGTCTGAGACGCCAGAAGCCCTGACACCGGAGAATACTGACCTCAAGATCCTTGTTTGCCTTTCGTCAGAGCCCACAACGACTCAAGTTCCTTCTGCCCACATGTCCAGGGCGGGCGGACCTCCCGCCCGCCATCAAAGTCTTGGTCGGTCATTGGCCATAGAATTGGTTAGCCTTAACCTAGATCCTCACTCGGCCCGCCCGCATGTAAAATTCCCGCCATTCAGGTCCTAGTCGGCAGGTAGTGGAACCTCCCGCTAGCCTATGTTTTGGTGTCGTGGTTATGCAGGCAATTTGTAGACTTTAATTGGAGAGCAGGGAAAAGATAGCAATATGTCACAAGTTTTGTTCCATCGCTTTTTGTGTTACCACGCTTGCTCCGGATGTATTTTGGCTACTTATAGTCGACCTGTCCTCTCAATGCATCTAGAGCTGTGTGCGCTTCACCTGCAAACACTAACTTTCTATCGAACTCATCATGCTTTCCATGGAAGACAGCTCCAGGAATGGTTCCATTCGTACAAGGGAAACTGCTTTGGAGCTATTCACCCTTACCCACAGGACCATTATTGGTGAGATGAACCTAAACTCAACATTGGCGTACGAAATATTTATGCTTGACCCCGTTTTAGTGACCGGCTCCGTCGGAGGGATGGGACTTGCGCTTATACAGACGATTCTCGAGTTGGGCGCCGACGTGGTGGCGATCGACCGTGTGAAAAGAGCGGAAGGCGAAGCCTGGGGTGTGTTAAGCCCGTAAAGACAGCGTTACCAAGAAGCCGAACAGAATGCTGACGAATGGTACCTGTTCAAAGGAAGACTGCAAGGTGTCGCCAAGTCTAACGCCTGCAATTTGACATACTTTCAGTCCGACATATCGAGCTTCGAGAATACTTTGAATGTCTTCCAAAGCGCCATTTCACAAGCTAGATATCCCTTGCGTGGACTTGTGCATTGTGCCGCTATTGGTTGGGTTGGAGACTCTCTCAACTTCTCCGTCAAGGATGCACGGCAGATTATCGACGTCAATCTCGTTGGAACACTGATCGTTGCGCAAGTAGGGGCTCGGCTAGTCCAAGAGCAGCAGAAAGCGATGACAGTACCCACCCAAGCAAGCTTTGTCTTCATTGCAAGTATGAGCGGATACGTTGTCAACAAGGGCACGCCGAACGCGGCTTATGCGGCATCAAAAGCTGGCGTGCAGCAGTTGGCGAGAAACCTGGCATCAGAATGGGGCCCATCAATCAGGGTCAACACAATTAGTCCTGGTGTAATAAGGACGCCGATGACCAATGGAATCCTTGAAAGTAAGAGGGAACTGTGTGAGCTATGGACCAGGGAGACCATGCTGGGGCGCCTGTCTGAGCCGCAGGACTATCAAGGGCCGGCAGCGTTCCTGTTATCAGACTCCAGTGCATATGTTACAGTGGCTGACTTGCTGGTGGATGCAGGCTACACCGCGTGGTGAACATATATTCACTGTACGAAATGGCATTAAACTTCGAATGGTGCTTCTCAGATGTTAGGCAATTGATGTGGGCTAGAGAGAAAGGAAACGCTTTCGCAATGCCCCTTACCGCCTCCCGGTAATAGGGGAGAAGAGTGTCTTTACTATTTCGCCGCTTTGACTATGCGGAAGACGCGGCCCGCATATATCGAGACTGTTCCCAGCTCCGCCAGAGTACACTCCAAGCTACTTATTCGTCTGTTCCAACCTTTAGCAATGAATAATCTTCAATGCTCTTCTCTTTTGACTTCTGTTCAAAGTCGTCATTCTATTCCGCTTTATTATACGTCTTCCCTGCACAATGGGTAACGAGTACAAAGCCATGGACTTTTCAACTTCTTCCGAGGGGGCTCATTACAGAAAGAAACGATCACCAGTTGCTTACAGTTGCTGTAGGGAACGTAAAGTCCGGTGCAATGCGTCTCTTCTGGGGATTCCCTGTACAAACTGCAGACTGGATAACGTCCCTTGCAAAATTATACCCAACTCACAACGTGGCGGGTAAGCCATCCGTTACTTCGCATTATTTTATCTTCCGGGCCCTAAATTTTATGACGTCCTATATTGCTAGACTTCAGCATTTATTTCCTCACTACATTGAGCCGGTCCCGAGCCACATTACCCAAGATGATCTTGAGTTCCTTCGGTCCAAGGGAGTGTTAGATTTTCCAGCTCCCCGTATCCGTGATAAGCTCTGGACAAGCTATTTCGAATTAGTTCACCCGAATTTACCAATCCCTGACCGGGACAGAGTATTGAGGACTCTCGCTGTTCACACTGGCGAACCTAAGATCAGCCTTTTACTCTTTCACTGCATCACACTCAGTGCGAAAACATTTCTGTATGCTCGACAGCACACTTTAACGAAACCAGCCGCTTTGGAGTCCATGTTCACTAGGGCCCGTCTTCTCTATGATCTTGGATGGGAAAGAGACAAGCTCGTCTTGCTCCAATCCCTTCTCTTGATGACATATTATCCACAACCCATCGATAACGCCAGAAGCCCTATTCATTTGATGGCACAGGCGGTGCCACTGGCATATTCCTTAGGGTTTCACATTGATCCGACGGACCTGCCACTTAATCCGAGAGAGAAGATCCTACGGAAGCAGCTCTGGTGGTGCGTCTATCTTCGTGAGCGCTTCTTGTCACTTGATCAGGGTTCGCCTTGTATTATTCATGACCGAGAGCATGATGCTCCCATGCTTACTCGGAGCGACTTCGAACATATCCCACTATGCCTCACCAGAAGTGGAAACTAATTGGGTTTAGATTTATGCCTTAATACCTCGTTTCGTAGTTAGTCAGCCTATCCCCATAAATTGCCAGATTCAGGGGCTTGTAGCAATTCAGACCTTTTCGTGGTGCCATTGATTGTTGGGTATATCCACTTTTCCCTCTGTTCCGACAACTAGACTGTAGTTAGGATACTTAGAGGGACACACAGACAAGCACCTTCAAACCTGGAGTATTCACACTAATACCCGTTCACTCCGATCGGGTAGTGTTGCCGAGTTACAAGGGCCCGAGAATATGGACAGAATTTAGTTGATAGGTCGAGCGTCTATTTTGTGGAACCTTGCAGCTTCTTCAGCCTACCCGTCGGCGGCGGACTGGGGCGGGCCGCCCGCAGGGAAGACTAAAAATCCAAGTATTCAAACTAACCCCAAATGGCCCACCACCACGTTCATTTCAACCACATCAAATATATGTTTCACAGCAGGTTTTCACATTTAAGATTTCTTCCAGCATGCTGAACCGGACCAAATGCGCCAACCCCACGGATTTGCCCGGTGTTACCACCACATACCCCAAGAAAAAGACATCCGCCAGATTCCCATAATCTACTCTACCATCGCTGCTAGTGAAACGTATAGTTGCTACTTCAAAAACCTAAATCATGCTAATCCCGATGTGAGTATCGCGTAAATAACGAGTTCTGTACTTCACCACGTAAAATTAGCTTAGGAGGCAGTCACTGGAACTACAATCAAACTGACGCGACTGTAAGCTTAATGTCATTAGAAACAGCTCAAAAACGCATGACTTATGCATGTTCAATTTTACCTCGGTGTTTGTCGTGTTTGGCTGCCCGCGGGCGGTCCCCGGGCGGTTCGTCATGGGCGCGGCGGGCGGGCGGTACCGAGATCTAGTTTGGACTGTGGGGTACGGCAACATACCCGGAGACGGCAATTTAGAATTACCAGAAAAGGAAGATTTGTAGCGCCTTCTCACCACCGTGCGAGAGAAACGTGGGTGTACTTTGCCTGCGGACATCGGCGGGCACGTCGAAGTTCCATCTTCCGGCCGGGAGATAAAGGGTGAGGGGGAGGAGCTGAAAAGAGAAAAGAGGTGAGTGTACCAAGTCGCCCAGCGTTCTCTGCGGGTAAACCAAGATATCTTTGACTGTTCTCTACCGGTTGGTATAGTTTCCAAGGCTCTTCCCACTAAAGCGCCTTCGAGCGACGGGATCCGCCATTGGGACGCAACGTGGGGCCTACGAGCAAGGGGCCGACCTGTTCACTTACTATGCTGGTTTGGCCGACAAGATCGACAGTATTTGTCGAGGATGTTCTCTTGGCTAATTGTGAAGGTGTAGGCCGCGCTAGCGGCCGGAAATACTGTCGTCTTCAAGCCATCTGAAAAATCCCCCTTAGGGTCTCTTGCTTCGTTAGAATGCAGGCGCTTCGTAAATAGGTAACTACTAACGAAACCTTTGTAATTTAAGGTTCCCGGTCACAAGCCCCGCAAAATTCTCTCGGATCCTTCTTCGCCCGCCATGAAATTGCTCACACTGTTTGCTCTTCAAGGTATTTTAAGGTGTCTAAGATGGCCCCGTGATCGCTGTTGGACAGGGATATTCCACATATCTGCGGGGCATGAAACAAAATCGACTTACACCATTTGCTGATAGCGATCTCTTTAGGCTTATCTTATAACAGTACAATCATTTTCCCGGCCTGCATGGTTGGATAATCGTGATATTCTCTGCTCGCGTCCAGCTGTCCCTGTGCTCCGCCATCTGGATCGACTCGGCCGTGATTTTTGTTCCTGGCGATTATTGTGAGCTTTGGAAGATGGAAAGGGGTGAGAGCAGCCAGCGACACTACACATGATATCTAGCCTCAGGAACATCAACTGGTGGACCGAGACCCACGGTTCGCGTTGCCCCGTAACTGTTCCTTATATTGACTTCATGGTGTTTTTTTTTGGGGGGGGGGGGGGGTGGTATTCTCCTCGTATCACCTCGTTATCAGAGATTCAGGTGTAGAAAAGAAGAGGCAGATGTTAACTTGGTCGAGTACGGAGTATGTTAATTAACAAGCTGTAGAATGCGACGAAATTCAATTTCCTAACTTTCGAAAGCATTTTTGGAGAATGTCTACGTCTTTCTTTCCTTTCCTTTTCTAGCAGATTCCAATTCCTTGTTTTCCTTCAGTTTTCAAGGCCAAATGTCCGGCTACATCGCTTTACTTCTGTATAATATTTGTAGTGCAAGTGCTGGTTTTTAGATATGTGGTAGACGCTCTCCCAAAGTAATCGCTAAATATTAAGTGTTCCAGTTATGTCTGGTGGCCTTAGTATATACCGCTAGGATCGCGGCACTGCCAGATCTAAGGGATCAATCACTCAGCTTCCAATACGCATATGTTTCATCCGGACGCATCAAGTAGGATGTAGACATCCATCAATAGTAGGAGAATGGCAGAAACACAGCTTGAGCTCTCTACTCAAGGTGGCTGAACTCCCTGGTATTCAATCTTCGAGGGTCGTTTTCCTCACTATTCTCGACCAAAATATAGATCCGTACATAGTATAGTGTGGGTTTAAAAGCTGACAGTGAAAATAAGCATATGGATCTATCATGATCAACGTCTGCGTGAAACAATTCGTGCCTGTCTAGCGAGATAGAGGGGATCCCAAGGCTCTCTGTGTGGCCTGAATCACCTCCATAAAATGACATGGCAGACGTCCCAAAGAGACCACTCTCTCATCCACTATCATGTAGGAAAATCCATCCGCATTAAACCAACTGACAGGCACAATAAAGCTCCTTTCCAGCAAAGCCCGGTAAAATGGATCGAGATAAGGACTAATCGCCTCCAAGGATGGTGCCAGCTTTGTGATTACTTGCGCTGCCGCCCCTCTCACATGACGGTCTTCATCGGTAAGCAGTGTTGCGATGTTCTCGAGGATCTCTGGTGTGTGCTTTGACTGGCTGGCGAGCGTTTCAAGTGCAACCAGTCGAACACTCGAGTCTCTATTCTTAAGCCATGCTGTAACCCTTTGAAAATTATCTGGTGTAAACAGCAACTGGCTAGCAAGCGCTCTAAGCGCTTGCGGTCTCGTATCCCACTTTACATCGGCAAGCTGTACCTCGACTTTCTCGAGGAGCTCTAGTGTGAGCGTTGACTGGTTGAGGAGTGCTTCAATTGCGGCCACTCTAACTCTCTGGTTTTTATCCTGAAGCCGTGCTGAGACTTTCTCGACGATCTCTGATGTGAGCGTCGATTGGCTAGCGAGCGCTTCAAGTGCAACCAGTTTAACTCTCCAGTCTTCATTCTCAAGTTGACCAGCGAATTTTTGAATCATCTCTGGTGTGAGAGCTTCAAGTAGAACCAGTTCAACTCTCCGGTCTTTGTTCTCAGTTTGGCCAGCGAGTTTTTGAAGGCTCTCTGGTGTGAGCGTCGACCGGACAGGGAACACTCCTTCAGGTACAACCAATTCAAATGTCCACATGTTTGATTCGAATTCTGATTCACTATCAGGTGCCTCAATCGTTGCCTGTCTGGAATCTCCGTCTTCGTCTTGAACCTGTATTCCAACTTTCTCGAGAATCTCTGGTGTGAGCGCTGACTCGCGGGCAAGGGCTCCAACCACCTCCTGTCTAAGACTCCAGTCGATATCCTCAGGCTGTGCTATAACTTTTTGAAGGATCTCTGATGTGAGCGCTGACTGCCTAGCGAGGACCTCGACTGCCGCCTCCCTAACATATTTGCTTTTACTAGCAAGCAGAGCTGCAACTTTTTCAAGGACCTCCGGTAAGAGTGCTGACTGGCAGGCGAGCAGATTAAGGACAAGTACTTTCAAGGTATTACTGAAGCGATCAGCTTCCAGCATAGAAGTAACCAGCTCTAGAATACCTGGTTCGATAGCTAGTCTCCGCCGTAGTGAGCCTAGAAGAAGTAACCTGTCGACTTCCGACTCTTCTCGTAATGCACGAAGAAGAATAGGCACAGGAAATTCCATGTCACTTCCCAGACTCGAACGATTGGTGTTTCTGCACTCGAAAAGCAGCCACTGCGATAGCTGCTCCTCCAGTCCCTTTTTAAATGTCGCCGCTGTCCGTATTTCACTCAAACAATGCATGACCAGCCGTTGGTGCGTAGGACCGAGGATATCGAGAGGCTCCGCCTCGATAGCGTCGAAGAATCGGGATGCCTCTTCATCTCCCTCCTCCTCGTTGAGTAAGCCAGCAACAAAGCGCCAGAAGATGTCATATCGTGATTTATATTTTTTCCTTCGAAGAAAAGCAGTGGGATGCAGATTGGCAGGCTTGGAACCTCTGTTTCGTCCGTCGCCAAACATGATATACTCAAGTAGTTTGTTGGCTTTCCATTGCCGGACAAAGTAGCGCGCAGCAAAGTACTCTTGGAATGTCAGGTGTAAGAAATGGTAGCTCTGATCGCGGCTTCCCAACGATTGATCTGGTGTCCGCAGGAAGGAGAGGCTCTTAAGGGTCTCATCTAAAAGGAAATTTTTGCCGGTGAACGTGGGCCCATCTAAAATCGCATCGCAGTGTTTCGACTCGAAATCTATCACATTGTTATAGATTCCAGTGAAGGCAAGGTATTCAAGAAGATGGCGTTGGACTCTAATCAAGCTTGTAATCTCGCGTCGCCGAGCGCCCAGAGCTCGAGCCTCAGTCAGCTTGCCCAGTTTCACGGCATCTTTCTTCCATAAACTGAGCTCAATGGCTTGGTAGACAGCAGTCATAGTCTTCGGGGTGTCTTGATCATTGGAGCGTTCCCAGGTTTCCCAGGTAAAGCAAAATGCATCCAGCTGGACTGGAATTCGTACCAGTCCCTGGACTAACGGATGCTTTTGGAGGTAAGACTGGATCATGGAGACTTTCTCGTAATTTGTTTCGCCCGTTTCCCGGTCAGTAAAGGCGTTTTCAACGTACGCCTTCAGCTGGTCTGGGTAGAATCCGATCGTTTCCAGCCGCAGGTCAACATCTTTTGTGTCCTGTGGAAGCATTGCGTGGGGCCGGGACGTGACGATAACATTGGGTTGATCAAGGAGCTCCTTGAAAAAGACAAGCATATCGCCTTCTAAGTCCTCAACCACTTCGTCAAGGCCATCAAGGATGAGCAATATTCTCTCACTCGTAGTTTGGAGCAACGTACTCCACACTGCATCAGCCAGATCTTTGCCCTGTGGATGTTGAGAGAAATACTCGTCATAGAATAACGAGCCAAAGTTGTATGTAGAGGACCGACGTCTGTCTTCGCGCTTCAAATTCCGCAACGGGAGCCAAAGCACACGATCAAACAAATTCTGCCACATTCCGGCATAGGTAAAATCGTGGACGATTTTCTTGCACAGGGTTGTCTTGCCTACTCCTGCCCGCCCATGAATCAGGATCCGATTTGGCCGGCGCTTCTGGCCGTCGGGTGTCTGATGCGGTTCAAAGAGAGCTGGCAATGTCATCTCGATGGTTTTGTCTGGTCGCTCAGTCTTGATTCGGGCAAAAAGTGAGAATGGAGAACCCTTCTGACCAGCATTGTCTCCTACACGACTAGCATTCACGGAGGAGCGCTCTACAAGAGCAAGATTAATATAGCAGCGATCCATCGGAAGCAGCTCCCCAGAGAGCCGTTCGATCTTGAGCTCTTTCAAGGAGTATCGTTTAGTCCGTATCCAAACATCGGCCCTTTCGATTAGCCGACCCTGGCCGATCTTGCGAAGAAGGTAACCAACCCTCTCAGTAACGGTCTCATAATCTGGATCATGAGGGCCAGCGAACTTATTCATTAATACATGTCGTCGATCGAGGGCTAGGGGATGTTTGACAATGTCCAAAGTTCCGGAAGATCTACTGACAAGCTGCTGAGGATTAGAAAACATTTTCTTTATTCTCAGCGAGTAGGTGAAAAGGAAATAGATCATAGGTCGTACCGGTTTTTCTTGGGCCAAATACTGAGGGAGCCAACGAACTACCTTGTGTGTCAGCCTCGTGTTGCCAGTCTCGTAGAAGGTGACTATATAATCGGCAAGATCGTTCTCTTGGCAGAGGGCAGTAAAGTTGCGCACGAGTTCCTCTAAGTTAAAAGACGATTTCGCAAGCTTAAGCAGGTGACTGATCTTCTTGCCCCTGAGCGAAGCCCAGGCGTTCAGACCTGGTTCGGCCCATCTGGCCACGTCCTCGAACGAGGTGCCACGAAATGGGGTGGCAAGGAAGATAATACCGCGGGTTGCTTGTTTCACGCATTGATACTCATGGCTCGCCATGACGAGTGCTTTCATCAAGATGACACCCCCAAGGCACGATGCGATAAAGCCAATCGGCCTTTCTTCTGCTTTGCCGCAAACCCCGTTTGTGGCTGGAGATCGAGACTTGATACCGGCAAGCAAGAGCCGGGCGAACTCCTCGAACTCTTTCTGGACGAAGTCTGGATCCTCAAATAGGTCAGCAGGCCAGTCGCAGGTGAAAATCCGCGCTGACCGAAATCTGGTTGGCAGCATATCCGATTGTTTGAGCCAATTCACATTGTCGCCCTTGGGGTCCCACACCCAAGTCGCCTCCGAATTCGTATCGAGTCCATGAATGGCAATTATATCGATATCTGTTCGGGTCTGGTTCTCGGGCGGAGGGTAGACTTGCTGGAGACGGACTGCCCGCGTTGGTTGTGCCAGTCGGGCTGGGGGTCGGCCGCGACGCCAAAGATGATAAAAGGCTATTGTGCCTACGGTCAAAATGATGAACTGGATGGCCTTGATCGAATCCATTACTCTTATGTGGCAGGCTCTCATTCGAGTGTAGCGAAGGTAAAGACTGGAAGCTGTCGAGCAGATGTGCCAGAAAGGGGGAGATTTGCCAGCAGACTCCCAGAAGGCTATCGTACACCTAGCTTGTCCAGCCTGCTGCGAGTGGGCGCTGCATCGGCCGGGCGCAGTTGTTAGCCTTGCATGAAGGGCACACGTTAGCGTCTTTCAGCACTACAGCATACGTGCTAAGCACTATGGGGTTAGCCTCCATGTGCGGCACAGTAAGAGTATGCCCTATCACCGGCCACTAGGAGTTCAAGCGGCCCGTAGCCACCAATAAATGCGGTTATGATGGGGTGGAAGCGCTGTGAGTGTCCGCCGCTGCTGCTGATCCCTGCTTATGGCCGAGATACTCCGTGCCTTAATATAGAAGCTCACCGATTAGACACAAGTTCAAGAGTTCGTTCCTAGGGGCAGGTTGATGTAAGATGCTCCGCGGTCCGGCCCACCACTATGCATAAACCAGTCCTTGGTACCTGCATATACTCTACTTGGAAAGAATGTAGTTCGTTTGGAGATTCTCACAAAGACGTTGTGACCCCGAGACTCGAATGTCTGCTTTCATGCGTACAATCGGAAAGGTTCTCTCTTCAGCCGGCCAATTTCTCGCAGCGCTCCTGCTTCGTCGACCTGTATATGACGAGCCGCCGAGGCCCAATAATATGTCTAGAAAAAGACAGGGGAGAGCTGCAGCTAGCGGTTCGTGTGTCAGCATATAGGTCAGTCGGTCCGCCGGGGCATTTCCCTCCGTGGTTATTCGGCCGATGGGGTAGACTTTTGCATTCCCCAGCGCTCCCGACGCAATCCCCATCTCTATTCAGTCTTTCAAGTGATCCTTTAACATCGTGATCAGAGGAGTCGTAGAGTAAACATGCCTGCATCCACCCCTGTAAGGGCTTAGTCTTCCAATTTGCGAACACGGCTAATCTGACCCATTTGCCGACAGCTGAAAACGAATGTTTTGGAGATGACAGGCGCATCGTCTACAGGGGACGGGCTTCCAGCCTGCTACCGAGGGCCGTACGGTGTAGATATCCCCAGCAAGAACGTGGACCAATTTCTTGTCAGAGAACTCTCGCTTGGAAAGTTGGAGGTGCTGAAGCATTTGTGGTATGCTGGGGCAGTCCGCTCGGCAAAGCCACTGCACGAGCAACTCCTGATCGGGCGAGAGATTGTTATAACCGAGCGGATGGACCTCCATCTGCTCTGGACAAACGATAGAAAACTTTTTGTTAAACCTCTTCCGTGCTTCTTGCTCGAACCGGGATTTTGGACAGCGTATCTCTGCTGCCAACCTGGCTGTGAATGTGTACCTCCTGCGAGAGAGTCACAGAACAGCAACAAGAACGTTAATTCTGCTAAAGGCTGGGGCCTTCAGCAGAATGTCATCGATAGCAACAACGATTCTTCCAAGAAAGAGGTTCCTGCGTTAGTGGAATGCTCGAAGAGAAAACTGTGGAAATCTGCGATGGGCTTTCTCTACAGCTATATCTGCCTCGTTTCGTATGAAAGCGACTTCAACATTGCTGCCGATAAGGGTCTCCTGCCTCGTCGGCTCATTGAATCTCCACCCGCTTGGGAGGGCTGGAAGAAGCTGGCCAGCGAAGTCCTTTCCCGCGATGACAGGAAGCTCATTCACCCGCGCTTCCTCCGCGGCGAGCTTCGTCTCGCTCGCCTGGATACTCTTCATCGCTGGACCCAGATGCCGCCGTTCGAGCCATACCTGCGCCACTATTGGAACTATGGAAGCCTGTTCCGTGAAAATATCACTTTCCTGGCCACCGCCACCATCTTCATCGCCCTGGTCCTGACGGCGATGCAGGTCGGGCTTGCCACCGAGCAGCTGCGCCAGAGCAAGAACTTCATGGCCGCCTCATATGGGTTCACTGTATTCGCAATTCTGGGCCCGCTTTGCGCGTTCGGGCTCATGATCATAGAAGCACTCTGGCATTTCTTGAAAGACCTGCCTAAGCTTCTTCAGATCTCCGGAACGCGCAGGATGACAGTCGCACCTGGTACCGGGGAGATGCCGGTCTAAGGCTCATGCTACTTCAGGAATTACGGGTGAAGTAGGGCCAGGATACCGAGAAAACCGCCAGCTGTGATGGAAATACACCAGCTAATCACGGGCGCCGTCCCAGGCAACTATCCTCCCAAACTACGATGCCTCGGGACCAGGAGAATTTACAGCGCTCCTCAAAGCAATCACTCGCCGGTACCCGCCTTACCACTCTGTACACAGCATACAGAGACTCAGTACTTTTGCAGCTCAGTTGGGTCCTGGTTAAACTATTTCTGGTTCAGCTTCTCTGAAGTGGAGATTATGTGTTGAACCAAGCGACATATGTTAAGACGAAACCAGGGGCTCTTTGACTTCTAACGCAACAGCACGGATATAGCGTCAAAGTCGTCCTACGACAATCGTTTTGCCGGTCAAATATCTACGAGCAACAAGGCCAGGGAGTTGCTGGGACTACAGAGGTAGCATTTTATACTGTTCTCGAACTAAACCCAGCACATACGACCACAGGGTGTGGAAAACAGGGCTTCCCGTCCGCTCAGCCGTACTTAAGCCACACGCCGGCCGGTTAGTAGTTGGGTGGGTGACCACCAGCGAATCCCGGCTGTTGTATGTTTTTATTATATTTTTGATCTTTTTGTTGAAGAGGTTCAGAGCCTATCCGGCGCCGAGGGAGCGTAACAGGCGACTACCCAATACTTATTACTATGGTCACATTTCCAAGGCTTTCTCATTGATAGCATGAAGACTTAAAAGATACAGAGAAGATATACTTTCCCAGCCATTCCTACTGACTTCAGCGTCGTTATCTTACGACCGCATAACGCCTCACTCTATGTATATCCTGGGCTGGGCAACTCCGTTGGATGTCTTTTTTAGAACATCAATGCCATTGTAACTAGAAGACTCATGAAAGCTACTTTAATTGACATACGCAGAGGTTGATAAAACAGAGAAAGACGAAGTGCACCGCCATCTAAGAGTCCCAAGCAATAAAAACGACACATCCTGATTCCAACCCTAGAGCCACACAATTGCCATAAAACACCACTATCTTAGCCCTATAATCCGGCAGCAGCCAAAGAACCCTTTCGCCATCCCGCATAATCTAGTTATTGTTTAATACAAATTTACATAGTGATAAGACTTTATAAGGCTCTCTGTAAGATAGAGCGTCCAAAACAAAAACTTCCAGGTTAGTCCTAAGACGCGTATCATTATCATGGAAAGACAGATCAGTGATGTAGATATCAGCATAGAACGTCTGCAACGCGGTCCCTATAGCCCAATCCCAGAGGATAATAGTCCCGTCTCTCGATACAGATACCAGCATCTTATTATCAAACAAGAATATAACTCGGATAGCTAGTTTAATATAATCAGTAAAAGTTAGAAGTAGCGTTCCTACTAGTAAAAACCATCGCTAGATTATCCCGTTATCCAGCATACTTACAAGCAGCTTGCCATCAACAGAAAATACAATATACTCCACGTAGTCATGAACAGAGAATATCTACTAAGCACTTCGAATAACAATATCCCAAAGCCGTATTAACCGCAAGAAGGCCTCTACTAGTATTTTGCAGTCTAGTAAGAATACCAGCCGCTAAACATCGACAGACAAGTAGCCAAGGTCGATATTCCTAACACCATTACCACCAACAATATCCCAGATTTTCAAAGACTCTCCGCAGACAAATACCAATACCTCACCGTCTGGCGAGAATATAAGATAATTTATTTTCAGCTTAAATTCATCAGAAGTCCGAATTACTCTTCCTATCGTTAGATCCCACAGGTCTATTATTTTCCAGTCCGCTAATACAAGAATCTTACCATTTAAAGCGAATACAACCGGCCTTCCCCACATCCTCTATACCTTATACTCTGCAACATCAGCGCTTAAATCTAGTATTTTCCCTTCGGGCAGCTCCCATACCTCAATCCTAGATTCAAAACCACTTACTGCTACCAACCTCGTATTATCCAGCAAGAAAACAAGGGCACTAGTAGTTCTCAGACGCCCTTAAACACCACCAACTTCTCTCCGGAGGCTGTATTACGCAGCTCGACTATCCTAATAAATAATATTACCAGCAACTTTCCACTAGATAACAATATTATAGATTCGACATAAGGGCCGTACTCCCCGTACTTATACTCTTCAGAGCTAATAAGAGTTCGGATATTAGTGCTATCTTCTAGATTCTAAATTTTAACACTCCTATTAAGCGATACTATTAACAAAGTATGTTAAAGAGCAAAATCCACTATCCCAACTCCCCAAGGGAATTAATTAAATGTACGCAATAACTTCCCTAATAAAACCTCCCATACTCTAGCTATCTTATCTTCTAATCCGGATACAAGCAGTAGGATGTAAACCGAGAAAATAAGGGTCTGGGATTCAGCTGTCCAGATCTTGATAGCGGTGATGTCGTGGTAGTCGCATGGGACTTGACGGTGTGAGGAGGTTGAGAGGTTCCGATTCACGTAGATAAGGCTTCGATACCGGGCAGCGTCTGTCTTAATAGTTAGTCGGTAAAGGTGCCATGCGCTGTAGTTGACATGGGTTCGATAAGTGGTGATGGATGGTTCCTGGATTAGGAGGACTTCCAGGTTCTGGCTCTGGTAGTCGTTGATTAGAGCCTCCATACTTAGGCCCGACTTCATCATATTCAACTGTAGCATACGTAGGGTTGTCTACTATTAGCAGAAGTTCAAGATTTTTTTGTGGGGGGGTTAGGCACTGTCAGTCTCCTGTAGCATATTCGCCATTGCAGTCTAAGCACCGTGCTCAGACACCTGGTAGGCACCGTTGGCGCTCATAGAGGCCTGCACAATGTCCACAGCACAGTATTTCTTTGCACGACCACGCCAGGTGACCAAACTATTAACATCGCTTCATCTTAATCTCTCGGCGTTCCACGCAACCGATATACCGTCAGCCGACCAGGAGGCTATTATTAAGGATGAATTCGACACCTTCCACAGAGTCCAACCAAATACCTAGCGAAGCAAGCTTCCCCAGCACCTTGTCCTTTCTCTTCAGCCAGGCTACCTCCTCAAATCGGAAACCCTACCCTGTGAGGTCGTTCTCTTACATAATCTTCTCAATAGCGTCCAAGTTGGCGTTTTCCAGGTCGAAGTCCTCAGTTAGAGTGTGCGGTGCATGACGAGTCCAAATCGCGGTTTCACCGGTTTAGTGTTATTTCCTAATTCGTTCAACCATTCGATGTTGTTACAAGATGCGTCAGCCGACTCTGTGTCCTTGAATCATATCACATAGCCGGTCTTAATAGTCCCAATCCCTGCTACCTGGGCGTCTTGCGTCGATGGGGCGTTCAGGAGTGCGGTGCGGATTCCAGTATTGGCGGACTCAGTAGGGAGGTACCGGCCAAAAGCGTTGACATCGCTACTTTCATTGTCTACCGCGCCCACCACTGTTCTCAGGGTACTGATACGGACGCAATTTTGTTCCTTTTCTGGTCGTTGGTGGTTCAATGGGAGGTTTTCAATGCTACCGTTTGCTGCTACTGCGGCCCATGTTCTGGGCGGTGTGGTCTGTGGCCTGGTTCGTTGTGTTCGCAGAGCCCTGACTTCCTCGTGAAGCTTTTCGTTCTGTTCTCAGAGGACGTTCTGTTCGTGTTTCACTTCTAGAAGCTCGGTTTTGGCGGATTCGATGAGCGCTGTCTGGTTGTTGATAATTTCCTTCAGGCTGTTGATGAGCTGCCGGACCTCCATGGTCGTCACCCGCCCGTTGTTGTCTTCAGGGCCTGCAAACTCGGGGTTCGAGCACGACGCGGTGGTGTTGTCATTTCTATTAGGAGGGCTTCGCCTCTTTCGAGGTACAATCGAAGGCTCGAAGTTTACCAGCAAGAACAATGGTGCTCAGGTTGCACCATTCTCTGATCTACACACTATTAAACTCTATCACTATACGCATAGACTGGAAGATCTCCTGATCGACATATTATATAATCCGAACGGACCAGCCTAGATGCCACTACAGGGCATCCAATTCTATCTCGCCGCCGAAATTTGAGATTGGATAGCTTAAGAGATGTTTTTTTTTTCTTAGCAATAAACCTATGAGAGGTTGGAAACTACCTTACACAGTGTCTCTCAAGTATTTGGACACTCCTGCCTACCGCCTACTACATCCATTCAGGATGACCTCTGATTAACCAATATGAAATTTTGAAAAATATTCATTAGAGGCAGAATCTTGTGTAAAAAGTGGAACTAGTCAAATACTTCCTGAGGGGGACTGTAGTTCACAAAATTACGCAGTCAGCCTATAATGGGATATAGACGGCAAGGACTATGGCTGGAAAAACTAACCAGAGCATTATGGGTTTCAAACATGATTCCCACATATCTGCGTCTTACTCCCGGCCCAAAGTGTTTCTATAGTCGGGCCAGGTCATACGATAAATATACCTCATATTTGCTAGTTGCCTATACCTATGGAGTATATATTGTTCGCGGTCAGTAAGAATACTGGAGGTGAATGTTGCAGCTGAAAGAGAGACTTACGCTATTGGGTTTGGAAAAATGAGCTCCTTGGACGAGGACAACTTTTAGATCGAAACAAGGGGACTGAGGAATGCACCCAGCAAAATAGAGTTCAATAGTAGCAGATTGACGATACGACATCGTCTAGCTAATGCACTAGGACGAGATGGACGATATCTGGCTAGCCACGAAAAGTAGAAGTGGGATTATCTATATAAAGTCCATAATGCGACATCCTACGAGCAATTTTCATGAACTCTTTTTCTAAACAAAAATATCCCAGCCATCTTACGATGAGATTCTACTTCCCTTTCGTGACTCTGCTAGTCTGTGCGGCTGCTCAATCTACTATCTTAGTCGACCTTAACCAAAACATCGCTCCGCAGATAACTAAATTATCGGCTGATGTCGAAGGGTTTCCCGATAGCGGTCTTGATGGCGCATTGGTAGGTCTACGACGTTTGTTTCTGCTTCCTGTAATATTCTAATGTATTTCTTAGGCGATCGATACCGACTCGAAAGACTTGGTGAATATCTTCGACTCCGCTACGGAGAATGCTAGAAATGAAGGGTCGTTCAGTTTTGCCGACGGCGTGGCCATCCTTGCGGATTTAAGCCCTGTAAGTAAGCCCCGAGATTTATTACAATCCAAGGCTGACTGACACCGCGAAGATCACGAATACGATGACTGGCATACTCGACGGTCTCTCGGCCAAGAAAGATGATTTCGACAAACTGGTACTTCCAGCAGGCTCGTTGATTTTGTCGGACCTTCAAAAGCTGAATCAGTCCTCTATAGTAAGGCTAAGCAGCAATTCCGATCCGAAAACAAATATTAATTGCATTGGTACAGGAATACCTTGATGCGCTCGTCGCAGATTCACCGATTGCTCAGGTACCGCCTTTCGTAGCAGTCAGAACCACCTGGGCCAGTGCATTCGCGGAAACCCTTGCAGACTATGCATCCGAAGCTTGACTACTTAGCGATTGGAAGAATTTGGTGTGCTTATTACATACTTGATACCTTATAGGTTTTAACATGCCAGGATTACATAGTGTCGTCAACTTGGAAACTGATAGCAAATCAATCATGTTATAGAATCACAACAAGCAGGTAGTCTCTGCAGCCCTTAATACACGTCGTATAGGTTGCCCTTAGGAAGGACGACTCTGGTGTGTGGAAGGATTCGATTGGAGGGAGTTAATGAATGGGTTAAAAGTAGCGTAAAACAAGTTTCCAAAATCAGTAGGCGCTTAGGAAGCTCGGGATAGCCTTGGCCTACAATCGAAACACGGAGTCACACCAGGGCGACCGGGCAAGAGTTTACCACAGCATCAGAGGGCTAGCAACTCGAACAAAACAATGAGGATTAGAAGTGCCTGCAGGAAGCGGAACATGGCAGCCTAGGCAGGGTCACGTCTGCGGAGGAGGTGGGAGCTGTGCGAATCGACAAGCAGGGCACCGTGGAGACTGAATCGAGGTTGATAGCCGAACCTCGCGGCCATAGTCATGACAGGGACGATGCGATAGCATGGGCACTCTGTATGACAATACCGAAAGAATAGAGAGAAGTGCGAGGGCAGGGAGCAAGCGTGGCAGAGAAGTAACGCGTGGTAGTAGCGCGTCACTATAAAATCGGCGTCGATAAGTTGCATCTTGAGCAATCATTGAGCCCCAAGGTACACATAAAGCGGTCATTTTAGCGTGAAATAGGGGTGTTAACACTTTTTCACCCCCACTGTACCTCTTGAAAATCTATAAAATTCTGGAAATCCATTATGCGGGATCTACATCTGTTTAACTTTCTCAATCCTAGAACAATAGAATTGTTGGAAACTCTCACACCAGAAGCCTCCCATAATGTCGCCTCAACCACCAGTATAATGGATAAACGAGAAATATTCCCCTTGATTGGCAAACCTTTCACTCGCGAGAAAATAAAATCGCGAATCTTACAGTCCAAAGGCCGTATTCTGTCCTTTTATATCTTCTTCAATGACTGGAAGTACATAGAAGTGCTAGTGAAATCTGTTCGGCCGCTGGATTCAACGGTTCCCTATGTGACGAATTTTTCTTGTATCTTAAAAGCAGCCAAACCTCACAGAGAACAATTAAGATTCAGACTGCAGAGCACAGATCTCGAATATGTCATGGTACCCTAAATTAGCAACAATTGTTAGCGTACTTCATAATATTTCTCGCCGCTATGCGAGATTTCCCTGTTTTAAGGCAAATTACGCCTCGCAGATCGAAAGGCGAAAAAAAGCCATTGATTCAAGGCTTACCCGAAGAATGCCAATTATATCTTGCTTAGCTAGCCGTCGGGGTTGGATTCAAGTCACCTGAAATTGTCAAACTTGTCGCTGCTGACTCTGATCTTGCAGCCGCTAGATCATTCCTCCGTCGACCCCGGGACCAATATAGAATCAACGAACGAGATACTTTCTCCCTCTCAAAGCACATTGCACAAGAATTGAAGCGACTAGCTACTCCTTTATCGAGAAGTTTCTCACCGGAGTTTTCGTGCCAGCTTGACAAAGTTGAGAAGCAGTTCCGCTGAGGTTTGCCAGATAACAAAAGTCAAATGCATGACCGACAACATCTATATCTCGACGTTATCTACAATTATAATCCCATTCCCCGCTCTCATCTAACCTCGTTAACCTTCCAACGTGATATATTTGTTTCCTATTTTGGAACAATCACTCTCCCACAATCCCGTGTCAGTAACTCACCTAGCGACAGAAGTGAAGGTCAAGGCGGCCCAAGTTACTTAGGGACGGCATTCCCAGATTCAAATGAGATCCAGAGTTCCCTGGTCGAAAGCGACTCACGTCAAGACAATGGGCTGTATGCAGTTCTGGCTACTTTCACAGAACAAGAGGATATGAATGTCACCCCAGATGGAGCTCAAATAATCACCTCCCACCCCTTGGCCAGTCCACTATCTAAGCTGCCAGGTCGTCAACCTTAGGTTTTCATCCTCCTATGCCATGGCTTGGAGGATGCTGGTGTCTTGAGAGTTGTCTAGGTCTACGCTGTCCATATGGATGGGGATCGGTCCTATGGTCTTCAAGTAGCTCATAGATAGCATAACAGTATTTGAGTTAAGTAGAAATAAATTAAATGAGCACTACATCATGCTATGGAAGCAAGATATCAAATCAAGTTGGGAAACAGAGCTAGACTGTGTTGGGCTCTACCTCGTCCAGCCGCGTAAATCCATTCGACGCTCGCTGCATTTTATGCCCATAGTCAATAGAGTACGATACCGTCTTCGAGATACCGCTCTTGTTCGTAAGATGACCCAGCCTCAGTTCGGCTCCAGTAGGCGTCTTCTTCTGGTACGGCTGCCCACTGGAGGCTTGCCCGGTCGACACTCCTAGAAGGCCGGGGCAAAAGCGGACCAGCATAGCGCGAGTGGCTGGGAGACAAGCACAGATAATCGCGACCTGGCATTCGATCACCGACCAACGGTTGAGGGCCTCCATCTCGTCTATACTTGCCGGTTAGTTATGTCTTTCCTCGCAGACATGCAGACGGAGCAGGGCACAAACATGTCGGGTTTTGGTTCGAGCTATTCTTTGAAAAGACAATGACCCGGACCACTCCAATCATTGTTAAACTATGTGGCAGTTAGCAATTGTGGTTCTCAGAGGCCAGGGACGGCACCAACATCAACCCTGACGCAAACATAAGCGCCACACCCATCTTCTTCTGCCGAGAGAGATTCAACTTGGAAATTTCGTAGACGGGCATCACGACCATGACAGCATCGACAATAATGTTGACGAAACCGTTCGCGAAAGTGGCCGCGGTGAAATTAACACATTTCCCCTGTTCCACGCCCTGCCATTGTGTCCAGGCGAGGTGGACCGGAATACAGTGGAAGCTATCGACCAGCATCCAACTGATGGCAATCGCAGAATTGATTCCAATCATAGTGTATGCAGTGCAGCGGAAGACAGTGGACTGGAAGATCCGTAGAAGAAAGAGGCAGACGGAGATCTTGGCGAGGGATATTAATGCTTTGTATACGAGAACAAAAGCGTAGAAATGCTGCGAAAGAGTGAGTGCTAGTCAAAAAGTCACTGGTCAGTGCGCCTACTTTGTATGCCTTGGTGATGTTGTGCTGGGGGTAGATGTCCCATATGTTCTTCCCAAATCCGTAATGGATCACTAACATTGCGGTTAGACGAGCGTTAGCTGGATAGAACGGCGGACTTACTTGAGATATTGACGGAAAAGCCAACAACTGCCAGGCACTGCCCATGTCAGTGACAGCGATAGGCATGGAATGCGATACTCACGTATGCTCCAATGATAGTATAGTCGTCCGCACCCCACCCTCCCCCCAAGCGCATTGTTTTGGCTGTCATTCGAACGACGAAAAGGATGGTCGAAATAGAAAACGGGATAATGGTGCCGGCGTCGGCTTCAGGATAGCGCTGGATAATAGGAAGGCCACATTGGCGAGACTCCACGTACTTTGCGACTTTGCTGTCGTTAGATCCGATATCCTCAGATTCTTCTTGTAAAGATATGACATACGCAGTCCGTCTTCCATCGTGCAATTTGCCGTCACGCAGCTGGAAAAGGCAGCCTTGTAGTCCGCGTCCGCGCACAGGCATTGTGTGTCGGCGCATGTTGTGCGTTTGATTAGATCCTGCTGACAAGCAAGCTATTCTATGTCAGTGACTGCCTGGAAGGCGGGTGGGTGAGGAGCTTACAGCGCACTCAGGAGAGCCTGGCTGCTCCGCTGCCGCGGGCCCGACGGAGCTCATGAAAATTAAGATACAGCTGACGACGCGATGCAGGTGCATACTGGCTCCTGTCGGGGCGCAGAATCCGTGCTCGATAACTGCGTCTGTCCCAATTATCTAGTCGTCGAAATATCAGTATGTCCAGCAGAGGATGGCTGGACAAAGGTACTCATGAGGGAGAGCGAGACAAGAGACCCATATTGCCTCCGTAATGGACGCTTTGGCCGTCCCATCAATCTTGGTTCTTACAGAGTTGGGGCTTGCGAGGATCTTCCAATAGTGACCGATTCGCAATCTCGTGTTGGCCCGTACCAGTTCACGCCTTCGGGTGGATGCGCCATTCGGATGGAGAGGCGTGGGTCTAGTTGTAAGCTTAGATCTTGATCGACAGCCACTATTGCCAGCATGCACGGCCGGCAAAGCCTATGTATGCCGAGAGAGTGGGCAGGCTGCCCTATTTGTATCTGACCTACATCACGTGCTCGTTAGACACGAAAACAACCGGGTGAATGAGATAAAGCATGATGAAGAGATCAAACATAGTTATGCTATCCATAACCCTTTCTCGACACTTCCTGTGTTCTCTTTGGGCGGTCGCGTAGAAAAAATGAATGTCAAGTTGATTGCAGGCTTGAGAGTAGCAAAGCGAAACATGGTCTGTCTGCTGCAATCAAGATGGCTCAAAAAATTGCCGGAGAATCCAACTGTCCCACCTCCCACCGATCCAAAACATCGAAGTCTATGAAATCCCCCAGGTAAAAGGTACAATCCCCTTGCACATCCTGCGGCACAAATGCTCCCATCTGTGGGCGTGGTAGATCCGGCTCATTCTGCCGATCATCGATTTGCGGCACAGAATCGGCAGGACCAAATGATGTCGGGTACAGGTTCTTCTTTGCAAGCACCACCTCAAAAATAGGCATCGCTCTCTTGATCACGGGGATCTCTCTGAGTTCGTTGAGAACTAACATGGTCTGTCCGATGGATATGCGCGACATGGACCGGATGAGATCTGTTTCCGAGGTATCCAGCGCAGACTCGATGTGCAAGGCGAGTAAAGTCGGGATGGCGGTCATGCTAGACAGCGAGTTAGAGGATTGCAGAAAAAAAAAAAAAAAAAAAAAAAAAAAAAAATTAAAAACTGACAATGACACTGGGAATTTCTGAATAGTGCCATTGATTGAGATTCGTCTGGCAATCGCATCGAGCTCGAGTATCGCGGCGCGGAGTCGTGCTTTTGCCCATTCATACCGGTCGGTGTCGCGGGATTGCCAGGCATGGCGAATGGAACGGCAAATTGTAGACTCGAAGCGGTAGCTACTCCCAAGCAGGTCCGCGTAGTAGATATCGCCTTCGGTAGATGGATCCTGCATTTGCATCTTGTCGGCTAAAGTCATGCGCCAGGTAGCGAGGGGGCGAATCACTTGTTGTGGATCCATGCCTTGATCATCGGCGACAGCGGAGACCAAGCGGCCGACTATATGGTGAGCTTGTTTTCACCTTGACAGTGGGTTGACATACCGATCTGGGCTAGTTCACAGACGGCCATAAAGTACGACTTTTGTCGACTTGATATGGGAAGCAGCATCGACTGAAATTCTCTCGGGACTTCACCGGGCTCGCGCCAGTCGTGTTTTGTTATCGGCTTCAGACCTGGGTCGTTGCCGATGATCCGCAAGGACCGCGTGCCGGAATACATGTGAAGGAAAATGTCTCGACACTATTACAAGGTTGTGTCAGTGGGAATGCAGCGCAACCGGGTAAGTTGCGTACGTATAAAACCCACCAGATCCTCCTATAGAGCTTGGAACATCGGCCTGCTCTGTCTTCTCGGGCCGATCTGTGTCTTTGGTCAGTCATGATGGATACTATCGGCAAGGGACTTACGCTTTGTGAATATCTAGCTTCGCAGCAAGGCGCGTCGAGTTATAGAACCAGTAATAAAAGTCCTTGTCCGTCGGGTAATCAAGAACCACCATGCCGAGGATGATCGAGCCCTGGAGCAAGGGAAGGAGGTTGGTCTCGACTTGAAAGTCGTGAAGCAGGGTAGCTTTAGCCACGAATGAGGCCTGTGCACTCGAGCGGTCACTAAAGCCACAGCCATAAAGGATATCCACTGGGGCATAGAGAGTTGCCGGTGCCAGCATCGAGTATAACAGGAACAGTGAGTAGTGGCCCGATTGATAGGTCCTTAGAAACTCCACTGGGTCAATCACTGGGCCGTAGGGGTAGATGTAATCAAAGTACGTCTTGAGAAGGGAATCCCTGTGATCGTCAGCAACACTCAGCCCGCCCGGTGTGAATACATACAGACAGGGCTGAGGTGGTAAGTCAAAAACACCTTTCTTGGCGAGAAATTCTCGGTGAACATCGTCCAGCTGCGGAGGCCTGTGTAAAAGTCGGATCTGAGATGCTAGTGTTTCCTCTTGCACAGGACTGGTGGATGCGACACTGAGGTCAACATCCGGACGGTTAGATGCCGTGTCGTCCACGGCATCTTTTAAAATGTTCAGATAGTGCAGTTCAGTTTGAGCCTGACGGAAACCCTGGCAATCCAGGGAATCCGGAGTTGGCTGACAGTGAGAATAGCTCTCCGCGCGGGCACTCTCATCATGTGCCTCTACACTAGACTGGCGGCTGTCTGTAGAGTAGTCGGGGGGCAGTGACCCGTTATTCTCGCGATCCCTGGTGTTGGCCCTTGCACCCTTTCTCGGCGGAAGTGTTCTCTCGGTCCTGAGAGAGGTGAGCGCTAGGAAGTACAGCTTCTCCAAGTGGCGTACCTCCTACGCCGCTTCCGTGCGGTTAATACGCAGCTTTCAGGGCATCCGCGACTCACACATCCATTGCATGGGAGCCCCTTCACAGTAGCATCGCACTTGACTTTGCGGACACGACAAGGAGCGCAGGCCTTGGTCGGCTTCCCGGGAGGACCGGCTTCGGTCTCTTGCCAAATCGGTCTGTGGCCTGAGACTGTGGAGTTCATTTCGACGGACCTTTTTTTACAGATGGACGCGCACCTGTGCTTATGGCGGGGATTTGGACGACTCTTGAGCTTCGGGGTTTCGGCGTTTGGAGATATCGCCGCGGGAATTCAATACCGCCAAGACAAGATGGCGCAAAGAGAGATCGGAGATGATTTGATAAGATCTAGATAAGAGTTCTAAATCTCCGCGGCGTCAACAGAAGACCGAAATAACGAACCCACCTGGATGGCCTCCGCGAAAGTGAATAAATGCAACAGACCAGCTCATCTTCATGCTGACTGCCATGTCGACTTTCGTCTTTCATCCGAGTTCCGTCAGAAGAGATGGCGCCTCCACGAACCGTCTCGTCCGCCTCATCCACATCAACTATAGCCGAACCCAACCAAGCTCGAATCCCTTCCAGGACCTTGGGCGTCACGTCTACCGTCGACCAAGCTCAGCTTTTGAGCCACAACTATGCAGGCAACGGTTCGCCAGAGACCCCGTTCCTGGTTGAGTTTCTACCAACCGATCCCCAGGACGCGACGGCCTTTTCGGCATGCAAGAAGTGGCTGATCACTACGCACCAAGCGGTCGCGACGCTAGCGGTGACATTTGCAAGCTCAGCGTACTCCGGTGGGGTCAGAGAGATTATTCGCTACTTTGGCGTGTCTCATGAAGTCGCCACGCTGGGTGTCTCTCTCTTTGTGTTGGGTTTCGCTCTGGGCCCGCTCGTCTGGGCGCCCTTTTCCGAACTATACGGGCGACAGCGGATCTTCATCATCACGTTGATGGCGATAACGGCGTTCAATGCGGGGTGTGCGGGCACGGATGCCATCTCCGCGTTGCTTGTCTTGCGCTTCTTCGCTGGTGCGTGTGGGTCGTCGACGTTGGCGAATGCTGGGGGTGTGATAGCGGACATGTTTGAGGCTTCCCAGCGTGGACTGGCGATGAGTGTCTTTGCCATGGCTCCATTTTTGGGGCCCGCGATTGGTGAGAACAGATTGAATACTTTAAGCATCGTGAGCGTCGTTAACTCGTATGAGGTCCGATTGTTGGTGGGTTCCTCGGCGAGACGGAAGGCTGGCGCTGGCTGCATGGCTTGATGGCCATCTTCACGGGCGTTCTTTGGCTGCTGGGAACATTCTTCGTCCCGGAGACTTACGCGCCTGTTCTCCTTCGCCGACGGGCGCGCTGGTTGTCCCACGTCACGGGCAAAGTCTACATCTCGACCCTTGACGCGGGCAAGCCACCCGTGTCGATTGTTCGCCAATGTAAGATTGCCCTGACACGGCCATGGGTCCTGCTATTCCAGGAGCCCATTGTGCTGCTAACCTCCATCTATATTGGTATCATTTACGGCACGTTGTACCTGAATTTCGCGGGATATCCGATTATCTTCCAGCAAGACAGAGGCTGGAGTGCAGGCGTTGGCGGACTGCCATTTATTGGGACTGCGGTCGGCGTGATCGTCGCCACACTCGCTGCGGTGTTTGATAACACGCGCTTTCAGCGACTGTCTATGGCTAAGAAAGGCCTGGCCGATCCAGAGGATCGACTCCCTCTAGCCATGGTGGGATCGGTGCTGATCCCTGTCGGCCTGTTTTGGTTTGCGTGGACCTGCGATGAGCCAATTCACTGGGCGGTGCCGACCGTGGGCTCTGCTTTTTTTGCCTGTGGCGTTGTGGTCGTCTTCGTGTCGCTCCTCAACTACCTTGTTGATTCTTGTACGTCCCTTCCCTTGCTCTGACCCATCGTGCAATGCTAATTGAAACAGATGTCATCTTCGCGGCTTCGATCCTGGCCGCGAACTCGGTCTTGCGATCCATCTTCGGCGCCGCCTTTCCACTGTTCACGCGGAAGATGTACGAGAACTTGGGAAACCACTGGGCCAGCTCGGTCCCAGCCTTCCTGGCCGTCGCCTGTGTCCCGTTTCCATTCGTGTTCTACAAGTACGGCGCAGAAATCCGGATGAAATGCAAGTATGCAGCCGAGGCCGCAAAGATCCTGGAAAAGATGCGTGCTCGACGCGTGGAGAAGGAGGAGGTTTAATTTGATTGGCATTCAGCACGAGGTTCAGCTGTCCAAATATGAAAGAAAACCCTTGCAGACAGGCCGCGGCTGTTTTCAAAGTTGAAAGATTGAGGGTGTCTCGGGTTGAATCAAGTCATAGACATCACACGACGGAGTTGCAGGTGTTACCGATCTGCACGATTCTGTGCTATCTCAGAGGAAATTTTAGACTTTTGCATAGAATGAAATGGTATTGGCAAGCAAAGTACGAATCTTTGTAGTAGAGCATGTGGATAGAGGAATCCGCATTAAGACATATAATAGTAGAATATAGCCTACGATGGAAAGTAGGATAAGTATCCCAAATATAAATGCAGAAAATGACAGCTATTTAATAAATGCAAATTGTTCAGTTATACAAATAAATAAACTTTAATTAATATGAGTATTCGTTTTGTTCTATAGAAATCTTAACTGCAATTACTTGAAGAATATCTAGCGTAACCGCAGACCAGCTAACAAGTATATATTAAATGCTGTCTGTCTAACAAGCAGGTTTTCATCTTCCAGCCATAATGCGACTTTCTTGACAATCTCTAGCGTGAGCGCTGACCGCTGGGTAAGCACCTTAAGCGCCACTAACACATCTGTGGTATGCGTCTTCATCCTCAAGCCAAGCTACAACTTTCTTGACAATTTCTGGCGTGAGCTCTTGCTGCTCAGCAAGCACGGTTACCGCCACTGACAAGTTTGTAGCATCCATGTCTTTATCATCAAATTGATCTGTAATGGTCTTCAGAATCTCTAGTCTGAGGGCTAATTTGGTGGCAAGCACGTTAAGTGCCGCCCGTCTTACATCCTTATCGTTATTCCCAAGCTGTATTACAATTTTTTGAAGAATATCTGGCGTGAGGACTAACTGGCGAGTAAATATCTTAAGTGCCGCCCGTCTTGTATTCTCAAAGTTATCCCCCAGCTTTATTGCAATTTTTTAAAGAACATCTAGTGTGAGCGCTGACTGGCGAGTATAAATATTTTAAGTACCGCCTATATTACACCATAATCTTTATCTTCAAGCTTTGCTGCAACTTTTTGAAGAATATCTAGAGTAAGCGCTAACTGACTAGCAAGCGATCTAAGTACCGCCACACTGACTTTAATATTCGTGTTTCCAAGCTGGGATGCTATGGCACTTATAACACTGTTTGATGAATATCCGGTCCTATTTCCTAAGGCAGATGGCTATTTTGCTTGCTTCAACTCGTTTTATCACTTCTTCAAACTGCTCCTTAGTCACCATGGGGGGCGTTTATACCCCCGGGACATTACTTACTCAAATTGTAGAAGAGTCCATCGAGCCGAAGAGGATTAGGCTCTCGATAGCTAGCTGCGATTCCCACTTGTCACTTCGTTTGAAAAAAGGTATCTGCCACGTGCCGTCTCTCCATGGTGGGACCAAGCACCATGCACCCAGCATCGCAACACTTGGTGCCGTCACTAAGGGTATATATTTGTCTTCCTGACAAAAACAGATACATACAACCATAGGGTGTGGAAAACAGGGCTTCCCGTCCGCTCAGCCGTACTTAAGCCCGAGTGCAACCGCACGGTCAATTCTCAAAAAGCCCTAGGTTCCAATTTTTCTCTGAAACGAAGAGGTAGGCTAGGTGCGGGTGATAGGGGTGCAATCTCTATAGCTTCTAGCACTAAGGATGCAAAGTAAACACTACTAGTGCGATAGCCTTCCCCTTTTCGGGTACTGCATCGCACCAGTAATGCTTAGGATTATCGAGGCAGGCGAAGGCTACCACGGAGGCAGGAATAATTTAAAGCAATAATAAATAGCTAGAGCGCCAGGTCCGTTTCACTGTATTCTACTCTTTTTTCAATAAAACCGAGAATCGCGATATATCTCTTTATCTCCAGCACGTGATATTACATAATTATAATAGACAAGAATCTCAATCAACAGGTGGAGGAACAAAAACACCTAGCGGCTTCCTGTAGGTTTACTCTAGATTATCAGCACGAACAGGAATTCAAGGAGAATATTATATGTCTGAAGGAACTGGCACCCACGACGTACGAAAGACATAGTTAAGCAACTAAGAACTGGGCACTGTGAGTTAACCCCTAACTTATATATTACATATAACTGGCAGCTTCTTACCTCTTTCGCCCTAAAAGTTAAAGACTTGCCCGTAACGAGCCAGCGGAGAAGAATTTCTCTAAAGATAAGCCGGACCCATCTCTACAAGTCCTAAAATTATTCGCCGAGAACTATACTACTAACGCGATCGAATAGACTTCCCTCTTAATTATCAGTAATCAATCAGCTTACTACGATAATCTTATGTTAGGAGCGAAAGACGTCCAGAACATTATAGCTTAAAGTGAAGAAAGACGCTTACAACATATTGCTACCTTTTTTTAATAATATAGGTACTCGCTGCTGACATATCCTTAGTTCGTACAAAGCGTACTCACGCGAAAGTATAAACTGCCTACTAAACTAAGGGAGCGGTTTCTGGTTACAGCCAAGGATATTGACTACCTGCTCCGCCGGCTTTTCAGGGATAATAATTATAATTATAGGCATAAATAAGCTAGAGTCCAGACAGCTTCTACACTAAGTCTTTTTGCTAGCTCAGCATTACGAGCAGGTGTAATTGTCGAGTTAAGTTCCTATTGTGATATAAACAAGTGCCTCTACTACAGGGTAATAATACATTCCTAGTCGGCTTAATCCTCTCTATCTTTTAATACTAATTCTTAATATATAGTACGGTTAGTACCTTACTTTCAACCTGAATAGAGTGGGTTAACCTCACCGTTGTACCTCACTATAACCTAACTATAACCGGCTAGGTTAGGTTAAAATATAAAGAATTTAATAACTAGAGAGATACGGTTAAATTAAGGTTAAAAATTATATTTTACTAGATTAACTAGCCGATAAAATAGAGAAGATTAATTTAGTAAGAGTACTAACTGTAAGTTAAATAGTAATTAATATATTTTAATTACCTTTATAATTTACTGTATTTTTTTATTTCAATATTAATACTTTTATAATTCTGTAATATAATTTACTGCTTAAAATAAACTAATTAAAATATTCTGCTTTAAGAATACGTTAAAAAAAATATCTATTATTTATTCTTTATTCTTTATACTGTCTTAAATATTATTAATAATATTAAAAAGATTATATCTCTTTAATAGTCTAAATAATATATATAGATTCTAGTAATAATTTATTTTCTGAATTCTTATCTATATTATCTATTTTTTTATTATTATTAATATATAAAGGCGCTTTAATTATATTATTATTTTCTTTCTTATATATAAAGATAATAGAATTAAAGTTAATTTTATTAAGAATCTGCTAATATTTTTTATTAATAATAAAGTAATTAGTATATATCTACAGTATAATCGCCTTAATAATATTAAAATATAACTAACTCCGGCGATAGTAATAAATATCTTAAAAGCTATTAAAGAGACGTTTAATACTAACGCTGTTAATTATAATTATAAAAAAGTCTCTTACTATAAAGTAGAGAATTAAGAATTAGTTATAACAAAATTTCTATCGAACTCTAGGAGCCTTAGGCATCTCAGATGCCTTAGGCCCTCTAGGGTTTCCTAATTGGAAAGTCCCTATTAACCTGACTAGATAATATGAACCAATGAGAGTTGAGGAAATTGACAATTGAACTAGATGACTAATTGAATCTAGTAAACAACTCTGGTTGACTCTAGCCCGGAACCATGGGTTAGTAGGCCCTATTTATAGTATGGTCCTGAAGGCCTAGAGTCTTCTAGAAGCAGGCAATTAATAATCAGAATCAGAAATGACGTAGAAACACTAGAAGATGACGCAATGGAATCAGAAAGAATAGATCAGAACAATGCAAATCAAAACAATAGAAATCAATAGAATCAATCTGGTGGTTGCCTAGGCAATAATGGCTACCTAAAATAGGTGCCTGATTCTGCTGACTAAATGTCTGCCTAAGGCAGGCGCCCCTACTGTCTGACAAGATCTAAGTAACCTTCTTAGTTATAATTAAAAAGAAGCTAAGAAAGCCTTTCTTAATATTCTTTTAAATAGCTAAATCTAAGTAATTTTTTTAATTATAACTAAAATCTCGGCTAGCTAGCGTATATATCTTTTTAATAATTTATAAAATACTACTAGACGCTTTAAGTGTTTTATCGCTATTTTTCTATATATAAAAAATAGTATTATTCTCCGCTACAATCTATAATTTATTTATAAAAAAAAATAATATAGAGTTAAATAATATAAGTAAAATATAGGATATAATACTAATTCTAAAGAATTTTAGAAAGTTTTAGATCGGTAATAGTATTCTAGATTTAAATATTTATATTAAATTTATCGTAAAGTTACTCTATAAAAAAGGAGAATATAGTATTATTATTGCTTATATTATCGGTTGTTATTTCTAGTAGATAATAGTATAGATTATACTTATAAAGAACCGACAGAATAATAATAATAAGAGTTTTATTTATATAAAAACTAGATACCGATTAGAAGCTTAGAATAATTTTATAATAATTAAAATTATTTATTAAGAAATAGCTAATAAATATAAAAACTACTTTTTAATCTAGATTTATCTAATAGTTAAGTATAATTAATACTTTGCTAATTACTAGAAACTGTAAGAATAACTATATATAAATTTTATCTAATAACTTAATTAATTATTCTTAGATTTACTTTTAATTTAGAATATATAATTTATAAGATAATTTAGCAGTAGTAAAATTAATTATTTATTTAAATTAAATATATTTAATAGTTTAAAAAGATAGACAGTAGATAATAATAAATCGCAGAACTTAGTTAAAAAATTCTTATTTAGTATAGATAGTTATAAAATCTTAAAAAATCGAAGCTCTTAGTATAAAATAAATAAAAGAGAGATAAATACTCTATTAGTTTTTTACTTAGTATCTAAGCTACTGTTTATTTAGAAAATATAAAAGACGATTTT